CTGGTAACAGGTATAGTAACAAGCTAGCACAGTAGTAGCATAGGCCATTGTAGAATGTAGATACTCGATCGGAGGTCAGGGTAAGCTTGTTCATGGGTACAAAGACGTGGGGCATAACGGGTTAACGGGTTAACGCTACATTTGGGTTTTGTTTGTGGTGGATGAGACAAGGTCCACAGCCCGCCCTCCCTGTATGCGGGTGCTATCACTGCCGCCATGCAATGTGAGTTATTGCGGCAGCAAGCGCAATGTAAGCAATAATGTTGTAATCTTGGCTTACAGCAGGATGGCGCATCGATCTGAACTTGACTATTAGTGTAAGCGGGTACTACTTTTGCTACGGCGGGCGCAAAATACTGGTATGCTATCCCTTTCAAAGCAACGAAGGTTGATGCGACTATGGACTACGTTTTAGCGGCATTAGGGAATTAGCTACCTTCAGTGCATGAGTAGCCCGTTCCAGATACACAGGCGAGTTTCGCATTGCAAAGGCGCGCGCAAATCTTTCTCCTATCGTGACCCATGGGTCAATGGGGCAATGGCTGGGTGCGGGACAATGACCTTGAACTTGAACAGACAGAACGTTAGCACCCGCCGACCTAGCACCCGCCAACCTAGCACCCGCCGACCTAGCACCCGCCGACCTAGCACCCGCCGACCTAGCACCCGCCGACCTGGCACCCGCCGACCTAGCACCCGCCGACCTGGCACCCGCCGACCTAGCACCCGCCGACCTAGCACCCGCCGACCTAGCACCCGCCGACGTGGCACCGGTTGGATATGAACGTGTGCGTGCTTGGTGTAAAAGGTTCCAATGCTTACTATTTCAAGTATTAAGCGCCAACCTGCTGCAAAAGAGGATGGTAAAGGGGACCATGCAGTGTGGAGCTATGGTCGTGTAGCGGGACGCATGCGAGGGGTGTGCAGTATATATATCCGCCCTGCCATGTAGTCATGGCTGCCACCACGTACGTGGCAAACAATGGAAAAATAAAAACGCACCGTTGGAGTTGGTTTCGCTTTAGCCAGCAGGAGCCAGGCCATCGTTTCCATCCACAAGCATGCCAGTTGTGGCGGTGGCGGCTAACCGAGCTATGGCACGCATGCTATGGTAGGGATGGATCAAACAGTCAGCGGTTACATTCACCAAGGCACCCTCGGCATCACACGTTGAGTCGTATCCAGCACACCCGGCCAGGGGCCGACGCACTACTGACACGCCCAACAAACGACCAACCGAACCAGTGTCCGTAGTACACGTGTGATCAAAGCAAGCACAAAATAAGGAAAGGCAAAATCACGAATGTGTATGTCACGCCCAGTGGACGCCCTAGCTGCTAGGCGCGACCCATCTAGGCGAGCTAAAGCTCGCCAGGGGATCACGGAACTGACGCATGGCACCTTTGCAACACGAGGTGAAGGCAATGTACAAAGCGCACGAAAGTTCAGGTAAAACACGACTTCTTGGACATCTCATGCATTCGCTGTCTGGTTGGGTTCCAACAATGTGCCTGCCAGTCAGCTCCATTTTAGCCGTACGTTGGTTTTGGCAGAGCTCTTGAAAGCCTCATCTAGCCTGTCTTGCTCAGGCCATAGCATAGTGCGTACTGGTCCTCGTCACAGCCACGAGCGTAGGGCCCGCCAGTGCCCTTGGGCTCCACGAATGCGCAGAGTCCACCCTGCTGTCCCCACACCCAGCAGCCCTGGCCGTTGGAGTAGCAGTACTCGTAGGTGGGCTCTGCATGCGGGCCATGGAGAGGAGCGCGTGCATGGCGGGGGGGGGGGGGGTGGAGCCAGGTCGTGCAAGCAGGGCGGGATGCGTGGGCTTTGCATGGCTGTTGCAGGCTAAATCAACATGTCATAAGGATAGCTGGCTGGGTTACGCTCATTATTAACACTGTAAAACCAAGTCCCATATTGTCAACAGTCTCGATGATGCCTGCAGGTCCCCAAGCAATCAACCAAGCATCCACGCACCGTAAGCAATCTTGTCATCGTACGGCACCATGTTATAGCCGTACTGCCGGCAGAAGTTGAGGGCGTCGTCGTACTTGTACTGCTTGCCGGACAGCACGAAGTCGTACTTCTTGTGCTTGAAAATCTTGGGAGGCTTCTCTATTATGGGTGCATGTAGGTGTAGGGGTACACGGGAAACCAAGGTCGAAACGTGTGCGTGCATGTGCATGGGAGAAGGACACAGGGCGGTAGATAGGTAGTGGCAACAGTTGCATACAGCACGGTACTTCCAGCGTCGATTGAGATCACAGCCGGCAAAAACTTGTCAGCCCCACGCACGGCCCGGCCCACCATTCTGAGGCGGCTGTGGGGTCGGAGGCAATGGTGCAGGGACAGGAGGAGATGGGGAGCGACGAGGTGGGCGCTGCAGGCAGGAACAATCGCATGCAATGGGGGCGAGGGGTTAGAGCCTGCTGGTGCAGCCTTGCGGGTTGATGGCAAACAAAACACTGAAAGGTACGAAAACAACCTCCTCACTGTAGCACTTGCGCTTATAAAAGGTGCACCCTAGTAGTTATCACGCCCAAGCGAAACGAGCGCTCCTGCCTATAGCAAGCACTCTCCAACGCTTGCATTGCTGTACTTCATACCCGGGGGGTCCTCGGCGGCGGCGGTGGCGGAGACGCGACAGGAGAGGGAGGCAGCTGGGGTTGGCTGGGCGGCGGGGGAACCGGGGAGGGTGGGGAGGGCCGGGGTGACCTGGGAGGTCGGGACGGCCTTCTCCGGGGTGGAGGAGGGGCAGGCAGCGGTGGCTTAGACAGCGGTGGTGGCGGGGGCGGAAGAGGCTGGGTGGGTGGTGGCGGCGGTGGGGGTGATGGCTGCGAGGGCGGCGGTGGTGAGGGTTGGCTGGGCGGCTGGGGCGATGGGGGCAGCTGTGGGGGAGGCGACGGCTGCGGTGAGGGAGGTGAGGGAGAGGGAGGGGAAGGGGAAGGTGGCTTGCTAACAGGTGTCGGCGGCTTGGGTGATGGGGGCTTGGGAGTAGGAGGCTTGGGTGATGGGGGCTTGGGTGAGGGAGGCTTGGGAGATGGGGGCGCTGGGGACGGGGCCGAGGGAGAGGGCTGGGTGCTGACCTTGGGTGGGTTTGGCGGCATTGGCTTTAGGGGTGACGGAGGCGCCGGGGAGGGAGGGATAGGTGCCTTGACCTTTACAGGCGGAGACGGCGGTGTCTTGGCCTGGATTGGTTGCGGTGAAGGGGGAGCGGGCTTCCTGGAGAGCTTTGGCTCCTCATCCTTTTTGGGGTCTGCCTTCTGCAAACCATAGAGGGCAAGCAGCGTCTGGTTGTAAGGGCGTACGACGCGCCAAACGTTCGGGAGCAAGCGACTTGACAGCTGGATAGATGACAGCCAAACACAACGCCGTACCCGTGGGGCCCTCTCCTCCATGTGGCCTTTACCCGTGCAGGAGAATCCCCCGTAACACAACACCCATGGACACGTGTGCGATAACCGCTTCATCATGGTATGCTATACCGTCACAAGAAGGGAAGACATCGTACAGGTCGCCGTGGCCTGCGTAACCCGCAATTCCACGTACCTCGTCAAAAGTAACTGCGCTGTCCAACGGCTCAACCACGGCACGGAACTCCTCGAAGGTGCCTCCGTACGCGGGCGCGGAGTCCGGCTGGGCGCTAGCACCTGCGGGTAGGTGCGGGTGAGGGTAGGGAACAGTACCAGGCAGGCACCAGAACGTAAGGATTGACGGGAACAACAGCGTAGGAGAAACCGGTAGAGCAAGGGGGTTGCGTGTGCGCACGCACCTGTTGGTCCATAGCAGAGAACTGCTGACGCCGACACCAGCAGCAGGAGCAGCGCTGCTGCGCTGCTGCCACTACTGCGGCGTGCCATGGATGCTGCAGCCCTCTCGCGCAGCGGCCTCCCCGTTGTTTCCCGAGGAAAGAGCTTGCTGCAAAGTTATCAGGTTATGCTTGTTAGTTTATATGCTGCTGCGGGGATGCTAGGACTGCTGCGACTGAGTCGATGACTAAGGTGGTGTTACAAAAGCGTACATATCAACATATGTGGTTCCTGCCGGCTGCTGCGGTTGGTTGCAGTGGTTGTTTTTCGCTCGGATTGTCCATGCGGCGATTCAGCCGCCACAGGATTGGCCCCAACGCAAGTCATGGTAGACTCGCCCGCGCCGTTCGGGCACGGGACGGGCCGAACACGCACTTACGGCCGAACGGAACGGCTTTCGGTTGTGACGGTTGGTAAACCTTGGACCTTGCGAATGGCAACGGTGGCCGCAGCAGACACAAGAAGCAAGATACACAATGCTGCAAAGTTACTTGCGTCTTGCGACTTTGAAGATCTAAGGGGCTAAGGCTCGTGAATGTATGGCAAAAGGCCCTGTTTAGGCATACATGCATGCAAGTATGTGCAAGCAGGTCGAAGCGGATGCCTTGCATTGCCACGCCTTGCAGGTCCACAGTACCCACATCGGGTACCCATGGGTGGGCTGGTGATGCACGCTTTTTCCATTGCTTAGGCATGGTAGCTTGAACCAGCAAACTGACCTAGCTATGACTGCGGTTACGGCTTGCTTGCTTTGGTACGATTGGGGTTCCTCCTACATAGCGCAAATGGACTGTTCTTTGCTTGGGCGCACACAAAGCCTAGGGTGTGTTGGGGAAGGAGCGGTTAGTGTGTGAATGACTGTTGCAACAAATTAATGGTTCCCCAAAAGGGAATAAGGGTTCTGAACTCCCGCCACCCCTAACCTAAAAGATAGAGAAACCATAACACGTCGAGATCACAGCAGTGTTTGCTGGCTTTAGTGGGTTACAAGACTGCCGAAGTGCCTCTCGGTCTTGGGTATGACCCATGGGTCTTTCGTCATTCGTATGCACGCGGCTAGCCAGCGGTATGTAATGTGCCACTTACCCCGAGGCAGGGAGATTGTCATGGTAAACAGCAGTAAGGTCGTCTATCAACTTACAACGTGAAGGCTCTGCGTGTTAAGATATATAGTCGGTGAATGCCAGACCTGCACGAGCGGCTCCTCTCTGCAACATACCGGTGTTATTATCGCCACAAGATGAAACAGCATTCACCGAACATGCTCCTGCCACATGGCATTGGAGAAACAAAGGCAAACGTGGATGTACGCATGGATTGGGAGCAAGCCTAAGCAAGCACCGTGTGATCACGTTATCCATCCGACCGTGCCAAACTATAAATCACATTCGTACCACCTATCTAAACATGTAGTAGTTTTGCTGCGGCGGCCGATGCCACATTGTCACAGATACGTCCCTTGCAAACGTAATCACAGTATCATGTTAACTGGCAGCTAGCCACGACTCAAATTGATTGGCTACCACCAGCCGTACATCCCGCCCAGCAACCATGTGCCTAATTAAGCTACCCTGGCAGCAACTGCATCGCCAAGCGTTGTCCCGTCTCGATATAATATATCATCAGTGGCTTTTATGACTTTTATTGAAGTAGTTTACGGTTTCCCGTACACCACCACTTGCGGCCCCTGTTCGTACACCACTTCCTCCTTTGCCTTCTCCTGCGACGCATAGCACACCACATACGCGGGCTTGCTGCATTCGCGAGCGTAGGCGCCGCCGTTGCCCCTGGGATCCACATAGGCGCAGTAGTCTCCTTGCTTGCCGGCCACCCAGCAACCCTGCCCGTTCTCGTAGCACTCCTGGTAGACGTAACCTGGGGGGATTGGAATGGAAGGAAAATATAGCTAGCGTCCGTTCCAACGGGGCTAGCAGGGCTATAGTGCCAAATGCATGACGGCGGCTACAATTGGCTACATGGCGAATCACGCCATTACCGTCACAGTAACAGGACGTGATGACAAGGGAATCACACAGCAGACAGCGTGAAGGCGACGTGCATACGGCGCGCTGCTGGGATTAATGCGTGCTCGGAAAGTGTGTGGGCAACGCCTATTGCAGCGTCTGCTGCATTTCAAGAATATATGCAGCACGTTGCTACGCATGCTTGGCTCAACTCTGCATGCATGCAAGCAGAGTCGAGCCATGCATGGTCTTATACCATGCATACGGCACTCACCGTACGTGATCTTGTCATTGTACGGCACTAGGTCGTATCCCCACTTCTTGCAGAAGACGTACGCCTCGTCGTATGTGTAGGCCTTGCCGGAGACGATGTAGTAGTAGTTCAGGTACTTTGCGAACTTGGGCTTCTTCTCTGCAGTGATGCAATACGTGTATTACGTGTGTGTTAGGCATGGGTGCGGAAAGACACAAGTGAGGGGTTGGAAATTAGGCATCGAGACACATGCACGAGGATTAACCCCTGCGTTACACACTGGTGGTTAGACAGACGTTTGGGAGGTATGTAACAGCAAGATGGGTCTAGCAGGACGAGATCCATGCATGCGTGAGTGACCGTTACAATGGTTCCCAGCTTCCCATGCATGTCAGGGAAGCAGGCTGCTGCAGGTTGCATGCAGCTGTGTGTAAGGCCTCCATGCATGCAATCTAGGCAGGCACTGACCTGCTGGCGGCATCGCAGGCGGGGCGGGAGGCTGCGGCAGGGGAGCGGGCGAGGGTGCGCGCGAAGGAGGGGATGTGCGGGGCTGCCGGGGCCGACGAGGTGGCCGAGGAGAGGGAGGAGAGGGGGGTGAAGGCGGCCGCGGCGATGGGGAAGGCGGCGGAGGTGCAGGGGAAGGTGGCAGCGGCGACGGTGGCAGCGGAGAGGGGGGCGACGGGGACCTCCGGGGCTTGCGTGGGGAGGGGGGCCGGGGGGACGGCGGCTGGGGGGACGGCGGCTGGGGTGACGGTGGCAGCGGGGAAGGCGGCTGGCTTACGGGAGAAGGGGATGGGCTAGGCGGCGACGGTGGGATGGGGGACGGCGGAAGGGGAGAAGGCGGGAGAGGTGAACGCGGGGACGGGCGAGGCCGCCGTGGCCTGGGTGGCGGACGAGGAGACGGGGGTGAAGGAGGCGCAGGCGAGGGTGGCAGAGGTGAAGGCGGCAGAGGGGACGGCTGTGGTGATGGGGGAAGGGGCGATGGGGGAAGGGGCGACGGCGGGAGAGGCGATGACGGTTGTGGTGACGGTGGCAGCGGAGAAGGGGGCCATGGGGACGGCGGTGAAGCCTGCTTCAGGTCAACATGGGGGCGGAGTTGAATGTGGGGGCAAGGTCTATGAGCAAACAACCGTCAGATCTTTCAAGCGAACTATAGCAACTCTGGCATTGCTTACATCGCCAGCTGGCAAGCACTAAGCTATGAGGAGAGGCCTAGGTGCCAGACGCCGATCCCAAAGAAGGCAGGCAAATTGATACCGTAGCAGCTTTCCTTACCTTGCGCTTGCCCTTGCCACCCTGCAGGTTCACAGAGTCCAGAGTGAAGGTGGAGGCATCATCGGCGGCAGCGCCTGCGGAGCCAACACGTGGCAGTGGGTGTCAGCAGTACGGCACAGCAGTGCGGTCGATCTATATCCCACATGGCGGCAAATGAGCAGCAACACAAACACATGTCAAATCACACACGAGTACCGGCACGGCAAGGTGGTAAACAATAGTCACTTAGTCAGTGCAGCCAGGATACTGTGCATGCCTGTGCGCACGATGCTGCAGCCACCTCGGTAACCCACCTTGAACACAGCAAAGCAAGGATGCTGCTGCGGCTAGCAATATGAGCGCCGTTACTTGAGGCGCTCTGGAACGTGAGCGAACCATGACTGCAGGCCGGCCCCTTAAGCTGCGAGTCGCCGCTGGGAGGGTTATTGCTTAAAGAGGATACAGAAACCTAAGGGACACCGAAACAACACCCAGGGAATATTTGTTCAATTTCTCTAGTAGTATGTGGATGTACCTCCGCACTGGAAGAGGTGTGACATTTCTGGGTGACACGTAATGTTTGCTGCGAGGCGTTAGACGCCGAGCGTAGCGAGGCTCTAGCCTCGTAGATACAGCCATACCCCACTGTACGACAAAACGGGTCCGACAGGTCCCGGGCCCTGGGGCTAGTCGTGACCCCCCATGCACCCTCGAAGGACAGCATCAGAGAGTACTGGAAGGATTTGGCTTCATATACACTATTCGGGAACCGCGTGAACTTGCGCTCGTCCGCCTTTGACCAGCTCCCACCGACGCAAAACCCCCTCTCGCTGAAAATGTGAGTGCGCATGATTTAAAGCATTGGGTACAGAAGCGATTGCAAGTGAAAAATCTATGGGGTTGTATCGAAAATTTGTGAGGAAACTAGCTGCGAGCGAGTGCCGTTCATAAGTCGTTGCGCTGAAAATAGGTACCCCGCGAATACCATCCCAGACCGTTCTTACTTTATAAAGTTCAAGAGCAGTATGTCTACAATAAAGCTACCTTGGCAATTACGGCCGAAAGACTCTTTTGGCGCGGAGCGCTAATTGCCTCCCGACCCGTGCCACGTCTCGGAGCTGAAAGGAAAACGCCAATCTATTGTCTTAATACGTATCTTCAATACTAGCGAAACAAATCCGCATAGGCGGCGAGACCTTAACTGCGGTGTTCGCGATGCTCACTCCAACTGGACGCCAAACGCCTTCAGACGCTAAACCGAGATTGGCTTGATATTCCTGACATAACCGCGGTACAGAAAAGATCAAAATTTGGCCGGTTAAAGCCTGCTTCTTCCGTCGCGGACGCCGCGATGACATCTGACGGCTCGGAGCTCTCTGGCAAACGCCCAGACAGTCTTGCTGATTAAAAGCGAAACTACCACGGCACTCTCTAGTATAGCGGCTGTAAATTGGCGCCATCTCGGTTGCTCCGTTTGCCACCCGAGTATCCCTGCTGCTCGCACCCAACCAATACGGCTGCAAACCTCCTTTAATTTCCACCCACTTACCATCCACCTGCCACCCCCAAACACCGCGCCTGTCTCTGCGTTCCTCCCCCTCTGCACCTGCCGTCTTTGTGCATTTTTCCATGCTAGCTATCTCGCCTGTCAATCACCGCTACCTTAGTTACCTTTTGTCCCAACCCTTCACGGCTACAACGCTCCTTTCATTCTTCATCCTTCCCACCCTTATCCTACCCGCACGCATCGTCCCTATACCCGGCTTCCTCCTCCCCTTCGCGTACACTTCTGTTATAATTTTACCGTGCCTTCGTGCCCCCCGCCCACCCCAGTAATCCCTTCATGCTCACATAACGTCCACCCCACTCGTACCCACACCCCCAACCAGCAAACCCCCGCCGCCCCTCAACTGGCGGCAGCGGGCTGGCAGCGGCGGCCCAACATTCCACGTTGCATTACTTTTATTCATAATCTTCCTCTTTATACTCACACCCCATTTACCGCTGTTCCCTTTACATTCCTTCGCCCCCCACACCCCCCACACAGTTCCCACCCTCTCCCCCACACCACCCCCACCCCGCCGTCCAGCCCCCAACGCCTCGCAGTGTCGGCGCGCGCGCGCGCCGCTTAATATAGCGAGGCTCTATAGCCTCGTAGATACAGCGTAATCTGGACTGTACGGCAAAAAAGTGCGCCTGGATGCCGCGCCCCAGGGCTGGCGCCGACCCCCCATGCATCCTCGAAGGGCAGCACGAGACAGTACTGGAAGGATTTACTTTCATATACACTATTCGGGAAGGCTGGGAACTTGAGCTCGTCTGCCTTTGACCGGCTCCCACCGACGCAAAACCTGATCTCGCTGAAAATGGGAGTGCGCATAATTTAGAGCATTGAGTGAGGAAGCGATTGCAAGTGAAAAATGTTTGGGGTTGCATCGAGACTTTGTGAGGAAACAAGCCGCGAGCGAGTACGGGTCAGAAATCGTCGCGGTGAAAATAGGTACCCCTCGAATACCATCCCATACCGCTTTTACTTTATAAAGTTAAAGAGCACTATGTCTACAATAAAGCTACCTTGGCAATAACGTCTGGAAGGGTCTGTTGGCGCGGAGCGCTAATTGGCTCCCGACCCGAGCCACGTCTCGGAGCTTAAAGGCAAACGCCAATCTATTCTCTTGATAAGTATCTTCGATTGTGGCAAAACAAATCCGCATAGGCGGCGAGACCTTAGCTGCGGCGTTCGCGATGCTCACTCCAACTCGACGCCAAGCGCCTTAAGACGCTAAACCGAGATGGGCTTGATATTTCTGACATAATCGCGGTACAGAAAAGATCGAAATCTGGCCGGTTCAGGCGTGCTTATTAGGTCGCGGACGTCGCGATGACACCTGACGGCTCGGAGCCCTCTCCCAAACGCCGAGACAGTCTTGCTGATAAAAAGCGAAACTACCACGGCACTCTCTAGTATGGTTCCTGTAAATCGGCGCCGTCTCAGTTGTTCCCTTTCCGCTCTCGCACACCCAACCAACCCGGCTGCAAACCTCTTTTAATTGGCGCACCCCTTACCATCCACCTGCCACCCCCAAGCACCGCGCTTGCCTCTGCGTTCCTGGAGTTGGATTCTCGTTCTACGGGTAAACACGATATAGAAGATTTAAAGAGTTGGCCGATCGAAGTTGTTTTGTTAGCTCGCGGGCACCCCGAAACACCGCGCTTGCCTCTGCGTTCCTTTCCCTCTGCACCTGCACTCCCCAACATTCCACGTTGCATTACTTTTATTCATAATCTTCCTCTTCATACTCACACCCCATTTACCGCTGTTCCCTTTACATTCCTTCGCCCCCCACACCCCCCACACAGTTCCCACCCTCTCCCCCACACCATCCCCGCCCCGCCGTCCAGCCCCCAACGCCTCGCAGTGTCGGCGCGCGCGCGCGCCGCTTAATATTTAAAGGAGAGCATGCGCGCCCGCAGCCCGCTGGGATGCATGTACGACACCTTGTATTGGACGGGCCCGCAGCCACGTGCGTCCGTACGGCCGCATGGGCTCGGCCCCTTCCGAGAGCTTGGAGTGAAACGCAAACCAACGTAAACGTGTAAACGAAAACGAATAGCAGTATGAACGCGAATGAAGGTAGCGAAATTTCCTTGCTGCTTTTCCCACAGACGTGGAGTTGGTGACGATGTCAGTTGTCCTTGCTTACTCGTCACTCCATTTCATCCCCAGCTATTTCTCACAAAACGATGAGCCTCTCTGCAGGCTCCAAGTCGCTGCGTTCGCTTCAATCATTGCTTAATCGCCTAACGAGGCAACAGGCACGATCAATCCTAGTGGACGGCATCCTGCTTCTTGCATCCCGAACAGGCGCATCGCGCATGCCACCCAGTGCCAGAACAGCGCGTAATACCCAGCAACGTTAAGAAAGCATAACCATCTCGTCAGCATCGCATGTTGGCCTGCTGGCAGGGTACGGTAGCAACGGCGCCTCCTGTCACAACTGAAGCCATTCCTCACAGCACACACCGGCAGTATTCTGGCCCTGACGTTGTAGCGTTCACACCTCTCTGCAGCATCACCCACCCAGCTCACAACTCATCCATGCCTCTCCATTAACCCGCAAGCGCAAGCAATGCAAACATGCCCCAAAACACGTTTGTTGCTCCCAATTGGTGCTCGTTCGGCAGGGGTCGCACTTCAATAACCGCCAACTCCATAAGCCCTTCACGTCGTCCGCCACCCCCATCCTGTAAAGTTCATTGCAGCTTCGAAGGTACATGGAGCAGAGGTCCGTACCCTTTCCTTTTAATAATACATGCACTCAACGCTCCCGACGCAGCTAATAGTGAGCGCCCCCCCCACACACAAGCTCCGCTCACCCAACGCCTCCCTACCCAAGCAGACCCCGCCGCTGATACACCACCACCAGCGACTGACTCGCACACCCCAGATAGCAATCCGGCCCCCCGCCGTAGCCTCCGCCACTCCGGCCCCATGCCGGCCCTGCCGCCGCCACCATCCACGACGGCGGCTCCGGATGCGGATCCAACCGCTGTACGATATTCGGAGCGCCCGCGCCCCCGCTGCCCCCGCCACCACTGCTGCTGTTGCTGCAGGAACTCGAGTTGAGGGCATAGATGAGGGGCTCGTGGGTCACGTCGTCGCTTGACGCTAGGAGCAGGCCGCCTCCCGCTTCCCGGGGCTGCTGGTGCGGTTGCATGGGGTTGCGGTGGTGGGAGGGTGCATGGGAGGCGGATGCGGGCAGCAGGCAGCTGCGGACCTTGGGGTCTCCACGCCGGGAGTAGAGGCTCACCGTGGCCTGTCGGCGGTGCGATTGGGAGGCGCGCATGGATGGGGACCGGGGCTAAGAAGAAGGAAGCCCGGCGTATGGTGGTGCCGCCGCTTGTCAGAGAGACGAAAAAACAGCGCCAACAGGGTGCAGACGTGATGATCGGGCCAAGTGAGCCGGAAAACGTTGTGGACGCATGCCATCCGTCTAGTCACCGCCTGTGTATCTACATGGGTGTAGCTACGGCCTCACGTACCTCATGCACGTACGGCGCTTGCGCATCAAGCCGCATGATGCCCACTTCATGACGTGGCCCCCCCGCACCAATACCACCCAAGCGTCCGCTTGCTTTCGGTGTCCACGACAGCGCCACTCGCCAGGACTGCTGAGGCTGACCGACACCGTCTGCGCTCGCCATTCCGACGCCGCTGCCGCCGCCCCAGCCGTACCAACCCCCGGTCGCCTGGTGAAACACCGCCATGGATTCCACGTTCATGCTTCCCGCTCCGAAACCTCCGTCCAGCGACAAAAGCGTGCCAAAGGTAGGGGCGGCCGCTGCTGACGTTGTTGCTCCTCTTAACGACCCACCAACACCAGGGTGGTCCTCCGCATCGCCGGCCGACCCGCCAACCATCAGCCATGCACCTCCAGGGCACGACAGCGCCGCATGCGGCCACACGACGCCTCCGCCGCTACGGACACCATCCCCAGAGACGGCGCCAGTCAACGGCGTCGGGTTACCGCCGTCTGCTCCTCCCGCTGCCGCTGCTCCTGGTGCCGTCAGGGGCAGCGCGGCCACATTCCGCACCGGCATGTTCGCGGCACCTCGCGGCGCGTCTTTCAGCGCTGCTAGCACCGCCAAGGTGCGGTCCGTACGGCGATTGTCCAGCAGGGCTAGGTGGCCTTTCTCCAGCCCTGCTACTAAAAGGTGCTCGTTGTACGGCACCCAGCTGCAGCTGCAGGGGCGGTACGGCAGACCGGTGAAGGCAGCCACGACGGCTTCGGAACGCGGGCAGACGAGGCACAGCCCGGCGCCCCAGGTTGCGACGGCGGCTAGGCAGCTGTTGCTGGTTGAAGAAGAACCGGGGGGGAAGGGTGCGGTGGTTGATGAGGTGGTTGACGTCGGTTGGAGTTGCATGTCGCAGACGAGGCTGGTGTTGGCTGGCAGGTGGATGCGGGTGTTGCACTGCGAGCAGGGGACCAGCAGGCGGGCCGGCAGGCGCGAGCAGGGACAACAAGTAGGCTCGGGGTTAAGGGAAGTGGCTTTTACGCAGCAGTACACACCAGCTCACTATCCGGAAAACCCCAAGGCTTCTCGATAAGGAAAACCGCTGCCTACCTCCGGCGCATATAGGCTGATTTTTCGGATGAAGGAACTGCCCATGCCAGCCCCCTTAGTCTCCGAAACCAAAACCCGAGATCCCGGCACGTCGAGCGCTAGCAGCCTGCACCCCTCCACAGGCAGGCTGAACATCCGCTCAAAGCGACCAACCGAACCAGCGGCAGCAGCGGGACCGCCAAAGCCGACACCGCCGCTTCCACCGCCACTGGCACCGTTGTAGCCATAGCCCATGTTGCTGCCACTGCCGCTGCCGCCACCGTTAGTGCTGCTACTGCTACTGCCCATGAAGGCACCTTGGCCGTAGTTGTACGGAAATGCTGTTCCCGATGGCGCTCCCTGCTGCTGCTGCTGTTGCTGTTGTTGCTGGAGGCCGCTATTTGCAGGACCATGTGCGTTGAAGTGGCCCCACATGGAACTGGGGGTCCCTGAGGGAGGAAGCGGCGCTTGTTGCATGTGCTGAGTCGCCGCCGCCGGCGCCCCCGCCGCTGCTGCAGCTGCTGCTCCTGTGGCCAGCGGAGGCAGCAGCACGCCGCTGACATGTGTGGGCTGCATGGGGGGCTGCTGCTGCTGCTGCATGCTGCGTTGGGGGTTGTGCTGCTGCTGCTGCTGCTGCTGCTGCTGCTGCGTCTGTTGCTGGGAGGCATGCCAAGGAGCGTTCCCACCACCACCATGCGGATAGGGGTACTGCAGGTGCTGCTGCTGCTGCTGTACAGTCTGCTGCTGTTGCTGCTGCAGTGCCGCCATCTGCCGCTGCGCTTCCTGCAGCTCCAGCCTCAGCCTCTTGGCCTCCCGCTCCGACCTCTCAGCCGCCTCAGCCTGCCTGCGGGCCTCCCGCTCGGACTGCTCCTTGGCAGCGGCCTGCTTCAGAGCCTCCTGCGGCGTCATGAGGGGCAGGAAGCGAGCAATGAAGCATGGAAGCTGGTAATCAACCCAGAGCCGCAATAGACCCGTCCCTTTACCGTCGGTCACATGTACGGTACGTCATCTCCGCCTGCCGCTTCACGTAATTCCCCTGATTCCCTGTCACCCGGTCATTTCTGTGTATGATGTATAAACCTACGTCACAACAACTGCTTTTTGATGCCCACTTCACTCATCCACCTGCTGCGCCTTGCTGTACGCGCGCTGAACCGCTTGCAGCATCTCCTCCCTTTGCGGGTCCCCTCCAGGAGCTGCGGCGCCCTTAGTTGCCTCCATTGCTGCCGCGCCCTCCTTGACGACCACCGTAGGCGGGTTGTAAATTACAATGATGTGACTTGCCTTGGCCCTGGTAGTGCGGTTCACGGAAATTCATCGGGGCTAGGTTAGGAGGGAATGTGGCCGAGAGGTAATGTGGCCATTGTGGCCAGGAGCCACTCACCTTTTGCGACAGGTGGGGCAGCATTTTCTGTCTCGAATCCAGCGTTGTAAGCATGGTTTGCCTGTAGATGGAAACCCAAGGTCGGTGGAACGAGTGAAGGTGGGTTCAATACCAATGTATCCATCAGCATGGAAGACTCCATGCGGAGCCTATAGCCGAACCTACCTGCGTGATGGCCGCATGCTAGGACTGCAAGCTTGTGTTCCCCATCAGGCTCGTATGGTTCAAGGCAAATCATGCATTCGCTTCCCATAACAGGAGCGGCACCGTTCTGCTCGTTAGCTGCGGCACTTTGAGGGCGCCCTGCGCCCTCTTCGTCGTTGTCATCGTCAATTTCGATAGCTGCGTAAGGAAAAGGAATTGTTAATGCAAGGTTCTGCGCTTTGTTGGTTCCAAGCGATTACATACGTGGAGACCCAGGCATGAAGGTTTCCCGCCAAGCTCTGCCGTCAGTTGTCGGTACAATAGCGAAGAGGTATCATACGGAACAATCCACGTAAGAAGCCTGTCCAACAAGCGGTTCACCGGTCCCAGCTGTCACAGAGGAAACCGTATGCAGTACGGCTTGAGGACAAGTCTGGTTGGAGCACAGTGGTTGCTTATATCTTATGTTGTGCTAGACGTGGTATTTTTACAAGTACCTTTTACCTAAGTTGGTAGGGCTGGACAGCGTTTGTGCTTTGCGAAACCACTTACACCGTCTTACATTCTTTTAGCGAAACCACCATCACCATGCTAACAAACGCATTACGCAGCCCTCTTTGCAAACTACGGTGTGCCCGGTTAGCGCCCTTTCGCTCCTCATTGCCTACCTGCCGAACCGTCGCGACTCAGGCGCAAGCCTCCGAGCGCATAGTAAGAGTCGCCCATATCCTGTTGAGCAACGATCAGACGCCCCTGGCCGATGACATCGAGGCAAAGCTTGCAGGTGGGTGCCGTACTACGCCCTGCTTGCGGGGATGTATGCGGATACACGGGACCTCCTTCGTTGCAATTGTTTCCGACATGTTCCCTCTTGTACGTCTTACCCTACTTTCATGGCGTCCGTTTCCAGGGTCTGTCTCTTCATAGCCAAGTCGAACCCGCTGTGCATCCTCCCAATCCATTTGACATTGCTCCCTATCTCCTGTCCCACCAGATGGCGCCGCCTTTGAGGACCTAGCCCGGCAGCACTCCAACTGCGGCTCAGCACGCAGGGGCGGAGAGCTTGGATGGCTCAGCCGGGGGAGCTTCTTCCCGCAGGTCAGGACACGCACCGCACACTGCAAACAAACGGCTGGGCTGGCTCAGTGGATACAACACACGGCGATGGGAAGGAAATGCACCACGGAAGCTAAATCTGCACGCATACATAAGGTTCACGAGTAGCACGACGTATAGTACCAAGGTTGTCCATAATATCGACTTTTTCCCGCCTTCGAGCATCCGCTGCGGCTCCATCCTCCTCCCGCTGCGCAGTTTGAGGCTGCGGCCTTCGCTGCCCCCGTGGGTGGCGTGTGTCGGGCCACCACGGGGCGAGGACTGCATGTCATCAAGGTGCTTGAGGAGAGGTGAGCGCCTGGGAGCTTTAGAGAACGTAAGCCAGTAACCAGAGAGGCGTTGTTTTGTTGCTTACGGGGCCTTCAGCTCCGCCCTCTGCAACCCACCACGAACACATGTAGTCCTGTAACAGCATCCTTTCTCTATCTTATCCCCACCCCCTTAATGGGGCTATATTACGCAATTACCAACAGCCAGCGGTCATTACACGCCCTACAAGCAACCACTTTTAAACTGCTTTTCCCCCACCGGAAACAGGTTCCAAGCCCAGATCCAACAAATGTCCCCAGAGGAGCTAGCCGACCTCCTAGCAGCGGCAGCAGCAGAGGAGGTCCAACTCATTGACGTGCGTGAGGAGTGGGAATGGCAGACAGCGCGGCTGCCGGGCTTCCGGCTGATGCCGCTCAGCCGCTCCTCCGAGTGGACAGCCGACATCCGGCAGCAGCTGCAGCCGCAGAGGGAGACGGTGGTGCTGTGCCACCATGGGGTGCGGTCCATGCAAATGGCGCAGGTGAGAGGTCAAGAGAATTTGGGTGAGAGCATTGTGTGAGGGGGCGAGATGCGCTGCGGGTTGTGAGGACACGGAGGCTATTTACACAGTTTGAAGTGCGAAGTCTAATCCTCTAAATGCAAGGGTTATGTCACACACACCATACGGGTTATGTGACACCCATCCCACGCCATGGGTGAGCCTCTGCAGACACGAAGGGATGAAGCAGAGACGCCGTCTTGCAATCGTCCTTCACCTGCCTCGAATAATTATACCACCTGCTTCACAATGGGTGTCTGCGCCCCTCCAGCACGTGTGCTAGTAGCACAAGGCATATCACGTGCACCAAGCCACGAGCCCACGACCCTATCGCAACGCCAAACCCAAAAAAGCGCAAGCCCCGGAAGAGCCGGGTCATAAGAATCCACACACCCTCTTCCAAGCACATACACCCAACTGAACCAGATGTGTTTCCCCCTGCTGCCCACCCCGCCATCCCGCCGTACATGCAACGAAGTTCCTGGTCCAAAACGGCTTCACCAATGTCAAGAACGTCACCGGCGGCATCGACAGCTATTCAAAAACAGTGGATCCATCCGTGCCACTGTACTAAAGCAGGCTTTAACGATACATCCATGACAACAGCATCCTCCACGACAACGGTACCACCTTATGTGCTCACGCTTCATACCTACCGCGGTACTCATTCGTTAATACCCAACGTGTGAACCAGGTTTTGGGGTGTCGTACCGTCCCATACGTTGTTTTGGAGTGATGGGCGACTGGTGTCCTGTGGTTTGCCTGGGTCCCAACTGGAACCTAACAAAGCAGCAGCAGGCTAGCAGCGGCTCTTGCGGCTCTTCTTGACCGACCCAAGCGGCGCCAAGATCAAAATTTTGCCCACAAGACTCTGTAACTATCAACCCAGAGGCTCAAGTCGCTTGGCTCTACCCGGGCAATCCTCCAACCAGATACGCGGAGAATACTGCTCACAACGGCTAGCTGTGACCCCTCAGAAAAGCATCTGTGGAGGAGGCCAAGCGGATGAGACTACGCGGATGAAAAGACGCCATCATAACCCTAGGTAGCTTGTGAGGGGTGAAAGAGAGTATCACGAATTTATCCAACACGCCCGTGCGCCTATGCCACTTCATATACCTGACACCGCTACATTGCCAGAGCACTCGGTATCCACCATGCAAGATGCTGCTTAGTCAGGATAGTCACAACAACGATGCAGCCCACTACAACGCAACTACACGGCAACTGCGCGTCACAACAGGCATGTGACGTGTCACAGTAGGCACGGTGGGTATGCACAACGTATGGTTCCAAAGGTTAGGTGGTTAAGCCCACATAAGGGCTCTCCAAAGGGGCCTGCTCGGCCCCTTGTCAGACACAGATGCTAAGACGCGTCGTGCCAAAATGCTGCTGAGCCATCTGCCCTCCATTAGCCCCCGCAACAGCTGCGCGCACAACTGCCGTGATTAAGGTTCCGGGGAACACAGCAGCATGAAACAACCACCCTAGTCATCCAGCAACATAATACCTCACAAGGTCATATGCATATACCACTACGCACGTGTGCACCTCCCATTACAAGTAGCCATGGGCTTTGTGAGTCATGCAGCCGCCCCCTCCCAGCACCCAACGGTGTTGCGTAGAAAGCGGGCCTGATCACCGTATGCTGTACACAACGCACTCCCAGCCAACAGCGTTACGCCTGCATAACCATACACCGCAGGTCAACCATGCCTGCCGCATTAGCAATGTACACACGCGCATGTATTTATCAGCAAGCTGCAGGACCTCAGCCGCCCAAAGCACCCAGCGGCAGCTACGACCGCCAACCCCAGCCCCACATTCCCTGCACCCCTGCCCCAGACATCCACAAGGTACGCTCCCACACGCCTCCACAACCCCCCTCCCCCAACCCTGCGGCTCAGTCGAGCTCAGACCCCTCAAGCCGGTAACCCCAGGGCACTACCAGGTCTCGACCCACTCCCACGCCCTGACGACCGCAAACTAGCCCGGTTCGCGCGTGACGACAGCGGCCCCTGCAACGGCAACGGCATGCCCTCCAGCAGACCCGGCACTGCCGCCGCACCTTCCTCCACACCTCCTTCCCCGCCCTCCTGCGGCCCCTCCTTCCCACCCGGCACAGACGCTGCAGGCTGCTGCGGCTGCTGCCCCCTCGGGAAGCTGCTGCTGCTGCTCCACCCTGCATCCTGCGCCCGCTGTTCCTCCGCATCAGGCCCCGGCATGCTGGGCTGCATGGTCTGGTCCGCAGGCGGCTGACCGGGTGTATCAACGTCCCTGCTGTCCGGCTCGGGGCTTCTCCCAGAGTACCTGGTGCCAAGGTTCTCCGCGCCGGCCGACGTATTGCCGCTACCCGCATCAGTCTGAGGTAGGCTGCCTCCGCCCCAGTCGGTACTACTGGCCGGGTCCGGCCGCCGCTCTGCAGCGTCTCCGCTGGCAGCAGCAACTGAAGGCTGCGACTCACCATCCTCCTGCATACGCGGTGTGGACGAAGACACTGCCTCCTCTCCTTCCTCCTCCTGTCTACTACTGCTGGTGGCTGCGGTGGTGGTGGTGGTGGCGCTAGCGCCGCCGCTGCCAGAAGGCGGAGCAGGGATGCGGGATGACCCCCGGGACGAAGGCGGCTTGGGCGGCATGCCAAGGGGCTCCGAAGGCTGCAGGTTCGAGTCCCTGTCCCTGTTGGTGGAGGGCGGGCGAGGCGGCGGCTGAGGTATCGTCCTGCTGCGAGCGGAGGGCGGCTTGACGCCGGCTGACGTTGATGGTGCCGGCAATGACGATGAAGAGGAGTAGGGGGGCTGGGCCAGCGGCTCCTGCATGGTAGCGGCCGATGCAGCCGCATCAGATGTCGATGGCAGGGCGGACACCGCCGTCTCGGTGGCAAACCTTGTCGGCACTGGCGAGGATGACATTAAAGCCGGTGGCATGGACGTGAAAGCAGCAGCAGCAGCGGCTGCAGCAGCTTTGGAGGAGGCCCTGCTAGAAGCCCGCACCGCTGGTGACGACAGTCGGATGAAGGTCGGCGTTCCCGGCCCCCCTCCCGTCCGCGCCCCTGCCCTCGAGCCCCCTCCTGCCCCTCCCGCCCCCCGACTGCCCCGGTCCGGGGAGGCGATTCCTCGCACCACCTCCTCTAGCTGCTGGTCGATCTCCCAGCCGGCCACCGTGAAGCTGCCCGGCTGTACGGCGGCCTCGTACTGCGGCTCCAGGGAGTTGATAATGGCGGCCAGCGCGAAATCGATGTAGCCGCCGTCATCCTCAAAAACCAACACCTCCTCCTCCACCTCGGCCTCCTCTTGCTCCTCGGCCTCTGGCTGCTGCTGCTGCTGATCTGGCTGCTGCTCTTGAGGAGGAGGAGGAGGGACGGAAGCGGCAGCAGTGGCAGGAGGAAGCAGCTCTTCCTCCTCGTCCTCAGGTTGGGGCTGTGGATCTTCGTCAGGTTCCGGTAGAGCCTCCAGGTCCTGCTGCTCCTGCTGGGCCGCCTCCTGAGCCACCGCGTCGTCATCCTGCTGCTGCTGCTGCTCCTCCTCTCCTAGCTCCACCTTTCCTCCCTCCTCCTCCTCCTCCTCAGCCGCCGCCGCTGAAGCAGCAGCCGCAGCTGCTGCCGGCTGTTGCGCTGCGGGGGCCGACATGGATGCCGCGGGCGGCGTGATGGCGCGAACCGGCACCGCATCTGCCTTGGGAGACGGCGCCGGCTTGGGTGGCGAAGCCGACCGAGACGGCCGTGCGGGCCCTCCCTCCGCAGCAGCCCCCTGCTCCTCCTTCTCCTTCTCCTCCTCCTCCCGCTTACTCTGCCGCTGCTGCTGCTGCTGACGCCGCGGCTCAGAAGTAAACCCAAACTGGATCGGCTGCGGCACCAACTGCTGCTGGTTGCTTCCTCCTCCTCCTCCTCCTCCTCCTCCTCCTACTCCTCCAGGGCTCAACCTGGGCTGAGACAGCTCCCCAAACAACCCGCCCAGCCCTCCATTCACCTCAGCACCCCCACCCGACACCCCACCCACCATCACCCCACCACCACCACCGCTCACGCCACTCACACCGCCGTCCAGCGCCATCGAGGATGCCGTACTCACACTGTACGGCAGCGCCCTGCCGCAGTAGTGCGCCAGGACTTTCCGTGCCATGCGGATCCGCAGCGCATCCGAGGAGAACCGCTGGCCGCCGCGGCGCAGGTCGCATGTGGTGGCCTCCTCAATGGGGATGCCGTCGGGGGTGACTTCCGCTAGGAAGGGGTCGTCGGCTGCCTTGCCGAATGTGAGGCGCGAGCGCAGGAAGGGCAGTTCGTCCAGGAAGCAGGTGTCGGGCCCTATGGCGGCCAGGTAGTCCACGCCAAAATAAATGAAGGGGTCGGTGGGGCTCACCTGCGGAGAGAAGGGGAGCGAGGAGAGGAGCAGGGCAGCGGGCACAGGGATACGGGATACTGAGGTAAAGGGATGCTGTGCATTATGGGAAATCGCCGCCGCTATCGGGTCCGGACCAGGAGTTGTGTATTGTGGGACACGGGCATACAGCCGCACGCCGCTTACCCCCGTCGACCCCTCCCTTCCCTTCCATCCCTCTCCCACCTTCCTCCTCCACGCCCCACACCCCCGTCCACCCTTCCCACCCTTCCCCCTCCTTCTCCCACCTTCCTCCTCCACGCCGCAATCGCCTCCACCGCATCCAGCGTGCGCTGCCGCAGTGTGGCCACCAGCCGGTAGAACAGCCGCACCAGCGGGTCCACCGGCGACAGCACCACGGGCGCAACGCCGCCAAACCCGCTGTCCAGCTTGCCGCCCGCGATACGCAGCCGCTCCAGGACGTCCTCGCGAGCCTTGATGGCCTGGGGGACAGGAGGTGGGGGGATGGAGGGTGAGGGTGAGGACAGGGGATGAGGTGGATCAGGAGCGTAGATGAGGGGCTAAGAGGCAGGGGTGCGACTGGAGGGGGACGGACACGCGGGGCATGGACGCCAACAAGGGTTTGCTATGCTGGAAAGCGTGAACGACAACCCCTGTTACCTTGATAACTGCCAGCTCCAGTTCGAGGTTTCGCAGCGGCTTGTTGCCGTGGTTGTTTCCGTGAGGGGAGGCGCCATGGGGTGAGCCCTGGTTGGCGCCGTTCTGGCTGAAGCCCTTTGAGGAGGCCGAGTGCTCGTGCTGCAGCGGCGGCAGCCGACCAGGGAAGGCGCCCGTACGGTTGGGGCCGTCGGGATTGCTGCCTGCCGCATACGGCGGCACACGAATCTGGTACCCTCCTTTTTGGCCCTGTTGCTGTTGCTGCTGCATCTGCCCCGGTTGCTGTTGCAGCTTGCCCTGTAGAAGCTGCTGCTGTTGCTGAGAGTAGAAAGCAGAAGGAGCGGCTTCGGAGCCTTGCTCGTACTGACCGTACTGCTGTTCGTACGCGTTGCCGTACTGTTGCTGCTGTGATTGCTGCGACTGCTGCTGTTGCGGGCCCTGAGTCGAGGCTTCTGATGTGTCATCACTCATGGGCTCCATGCCGGGGGGTAATGGCGGCGGTGCTTGCGATTGTGAACCGCGAGCCGCACCGCTGCCGCTTGCTTCCTCCAGCGGGGGTAGATGTCCCGGTCGACCCCCTTTCCTGTACGGCTCCGGTGGCCGGTTTGCTGGTACAACACTGCCGTACTCCTCTCCAATAACTGCGGACCCCGACGGCGCCAGCGGTGGACGAGCAGCAGCGTTGCGAGTGAAAAAGTCCTTAACGGGCTCCTTGGCATGGAAGATGGGTGCTTGCCCCTTGGGCTGGCGCGGGTGGTGGTGCGGGAGCATGCCAGGTAGCTGCGCCTGGGAGCCTTGCAGGGGGAGCATCTGATTGACAGCACCACTGCTGGACTCTCCTGCGCCAGTGCTGCGCTCGGAGGACGATGCGCCTAGAGGAGGCAGGCGCGGGTTGCCGGTTGGCTTGCCGACGCTGGGAGGCGGAGCCTGTAGGACTTTGCCGTATTTTCGGAGCCAGAATTCTTCCTGCTTTCGCTGTTTGGATAGCAGATATTCATGCATGCGCCTGCTCGCCTCCATGCCTCCATCTGAGGGCGCCATGTCTCCAAGGCCGAGGCCCGCTTAGACGAGCGTTCGCGGAAAAGCTAGCACCGATGCTGTGTTTTTCGAAAGACGCCGCTGCAGTCCACTCGTGAAGGCTGGTTTCGCCGCTTAATGCCACGGAATTGCTACGGTTCTTTCACAGTTTCCTTAGGCACTACATCATGATACGTAGGGCTATGGCTACCGGATACATTTTAAGACGTGCTCCCGTCTGCGAGCTTTGTGCTAAGGAAGCTCCGTGGAGGCTCACAACAAGGCACTATGCCGTGAGGTCGCGTAATTCAGCCGGAGGTGCAGTTGTAATAACTACAAAGAAGCAGCGCGTGGGCAACCTGTGAAACAATGAGATATGGCTTGTCCGCAGCGCTAAGCAGCCCTCAAATCCGGGTTACGGACACTATCAAAATCGATTAGATTTAAATCTATACTTCATCACATATCTTATGATGTCGCTCAGTACTATGGTGCAACTCGGCGAATAGGGAAGGCCGTTAGGCTTAGAGCATTTGTACGGCCACACAATCTATACACATCCGGAAAAGCCCCAATTTGGACACAAGCTGCAGATATATGTTCATGTATTGCAAAAGTATATTGTGTTTTGTGGCTAGGAAGATGCGGATAGGTCCGATGTTCTCGTCCAAGATGCTTACGATGACTGCTTAATGCTTGACACTCTATGCAGCCCACCTACGGTTACACTTGTGACAGTCTGGCTACTATGCGCTGCGCCTGGATTAATAGCCTTCGGGTTGACGTATCGGCACAACAGGCATGGTTGCACACTTCGCTCGTCCAGGACGACCTCTTTCCAGTTTAAGGACGATTGGCATTGGCGGAAATAAGCAATCAATATTTCCTATCTCTGGTTAAAGGCGGCCTGTCTTGACTGAAATCCGGTGTCACCCAATGGCATTTTACCCCGAGCCCCTCTGGCAGGGTTTGGTCCGTCAGTCGTTCCAATAGGTTATACAGCGCTAATGGCACAACCAACTCAAGGCAGGGCAGCCTTCCTTCAGCTGCACATCTTTCAGACTGTGCACTCTTTCTCGCCTTGCAGTCATCGACCCGCCTACCGTACAGAAACCCAAGCCTATCCACCGCAGGTCCCAGCACTCATCCAGTCATCCTCACCCACCTGCCACCAGACACAGGCCGTCTGGGCTCCTGTCACACGTCTGGGTGGCATGGCAGGCACCTATCTAGCCCCCTTCCTACCGGTAAGTCTCGCCTCCTCCCTTAATAGCCCAACCCAGAGTACTGCATCAGCTCGTCTTGCTACACCGGAAGGGGGCTCACGTCCGCATGTCCGGCCCTGCTCAGCGCGGCGTACAACCGGGTCACGCAATCTTCGCACACCCACACACCTGCGTCAGCTGCTTCTGTTCTGCGCGGGCGGCAGCCGTGCTGCATCGCGACGCATGTGTCTCGCCGCCACCCACCACCGCTAGGTGCTCAGTTGCCCTTGACACCTCTGGCTAACCGTGAACTGGTATCCCTGGTATCCCTTGCGAAAAGCACCTGAAACCCATGAACCCCCGCACACGCTATGCTCAACGCTCCCAACAGCAATGTGACCCATGGGTCTCTATAGCGACTCCCTATGCCGGGACACTCTTCCACCCCCTCCCCCCACAAACCCTCCTTCCCTCCCAAGCTTCCGTTCCCTCCCCCCGGCTCACTCCTTGCCCGCCAGTGCAGTCACCTGCGCGATCTTCTGCTCCACCAGAGCCAGCTTCTCACGCGCCTCACGCTCCTGAGCCCGCGCCTCCTCCACGTACTGAGGCAGGCAAGGGGTATTTAAGAACGAAGGAGGGGGCAAGGGGTATTAGAAAGTAGAGTTGGGGACAAGGTAAACAAAAACAAAGAAGGGGGCAGATGGACAGGTGAGTAAAAGGGAAACGGGAAGACAGGTAGGTGGTGTGATGGAGGCAGATGGGAAAGGGTATGTCGTATGTGCACTAGTAGCGAGCAAGCAAACGGACGATCCGTGACCCGACCGGGAGACAAGGACGCCCATCCACCCGCCCGTCCTTCCCCCACTTCCCACCCACCCCTGGCGCCGCCTTGGCCATGAACGCGGGGTTGTTGAGGCGGCTGTGGATGCCCGCCAGGTCCTTCTCCAGCTTGGTGCGCTGCTTGCCCAGACGGGCGAGCTCCTTGGCCACATCGAACAAACCCGCCAAGGGCAGCAGAACCTGTAATAGGTGGGGGGAGGGGAGGGGAGGGGATAAAGAGGAACAACTAACTGACCGTGTGATAAGGCATCATCAGGGGAGGGGATGGAGGGAGGGTAGCCGTCTGACAAGGGGTGAGATTAGGTGAGACTGACGAGCTGTGTGATGAGGCTTACCCAGGGTAGGAACGTAAAAGAGGATCAGGAGGGAGGAGGCGTGGTTGGTCGCTTTCGTTGCTTTGGGAAAAGTATGCCCCGTATGTGTTAGGTGTAAAATGGTGTAAACAGCAGCGAGCCGTTACCCCCACCCACGACGCACGACCCACCTGCACTCCGTCCCGAACCACCAAGCTAACACAGGAAGCAGCCGCCTCCTGCAGCGCCCCCGCCTCCGCCGCCCCGCCCTGCGCCTCCGCCGCACAGGCCACCAGCCGCACCGCAGCCGCATCCAACTTGGCCAGCAGGCACACCACCGCCAGCTCGGACCGCAGGGCCTGTCGCGTCTCCTCGTCTTCCACAACTATCGTCGCGCCGATTCGTCTTCCCGGCTCCACATTGTACTCTGCGCGCGCGTTGCGCAGCGCCCGCACGCAGCCTCGCAGCACCTCGAAGTGAGCCAGGGCGGTGGCGTCCACGGGGCAGCGGCGCTGGGGCCAGGGAGCCTTGATGAGCGCCTCACCTGGGGGTCGGGGAGGTGGGGGGGAGAGAAGGATACCGCATAGGGGGGGGGGTCAATGAGGAAATTCAAGGCCTGTATGGCGAAGCTGAGTTGCTACATTGGTACCCCTCTACCGTACCCTGCCACCCCTATTCACGCCTTATCACACGGTCAGTTACTTGTTTCCCCTCTCAACCCCCCCGCCACCCCTCCCTCCCCCCACCCCCACCCTTGTGCGGCAACGCCTGCCACAGCTCCTCCGTGACGAAGGGCATGAAGGGGTGCAGCAGCCGCAGCACCGATTCAAACACGTACACCAGCGCGGCGCGGTTGGCTGCCTGCGCGGCAGGGTCGCCGCCGTAGGTGCGGGTCTGGGGGAGTGGGGAGGGAAGGGAAGGGGGAGGGGAGGAGGAGGAGTAAAGGAGTTGAGACGGATGGTGTGTGGCAACCCGTGGTGAAAGCCCTGACAGTTGGATGCAAGCAGCGGGAGATGGGAAAGAGGGTTTTGGCCTTGTCAGTAGCTCAGCACCGGTAGCTGGCTTGTCCTCTTCTGGGTCTTCTCCCCCCACCACCCTCGAACCCTCAATCCTCCGCGGCAGCCAGTCTTCTCAACACTGGCTCCCAGACCCGCACTCCCCAAACCCCAAACCCCCGCCCCTTTTACCTTGCTCGCCTCGATGAACCAGTCCGCGAACTCATCCCACAGGAAGTTGTACGCAGTGATGCCCGCGGCATTGTAGTCGTGCTTGTCGTACCGCTCGCTAACCTCGTCGATGGTCTGCGTGGAAAGAAGGGAAGAGCGAAGAAGGGAAGGACTAACTGAGTGAGTGGGTGAACGAAGAGAAGAGACGGGATGAGAGAGTCCACAAGCGACCCATGGGTCATGTTCTCATGAAACATGTGCCATCAGCTCTAACAGCAGCACTTCCAGCGGCTGCTGTAGCGATAATCCCACATACACTTTATAACTTTAATAAGCAAACAACCCGTCCCCGCCGTCGCCTGCTACCCCCCTCCCCCCCTTCCTACCTGGTGCAGCAGTGACACCCCCCACCGCTCTAACAGTGGCAGCTGCTGCAGCTGCTCGGGCGAGGACAGCGACACTCCGCGCAGGGCCTCCCACTCGGACTCGCTGACCTGGGGTGTTGGGGTGTTAGGTGGGGTGGGGGTGGGTGGGGTGGGAAAAAGTACATGAGAAAGTACAAGCAACTGGAGTCACAATCCCATGTCCCGACCGTCTCATCATGGGGCGGGAAGGGGCAGGGGTTGTAAGAAGTTGTCACAGAACGTTTGCAGGTTCAGTTGATCAGTTGACCGGGAACGGTCAGAACAGCAGGAGCAAGAGCAAGAGGGCCAGAAGCAGTGTGTTAAGGACTAATGCGCCTCTCTCACCTTGTCTAGGTTGAACAGCACGAACTTGCCGGCGTTCCACAGCTTGTTTGTGAAGTTGCGCGAGGAGGTCACCCGCTCCAGCGAGAGGTTCAGGTCCTGACCCACTCCGGTGCCTGATGGCGCGCGAGCGGGCGGGGGAGGCCGGGGAGGCGGGGGAGGCCGGGGAGGCGGGGGAGGCCGGGGAGGCGGGGGAGGCCGGGGAGGCGGGGGAGGCCGGGGAGGCGGGGGAGGCCGGGGAGGCGGGGGAGGCCGGGGAGGCGGGGGAGGCCGGGGAGGCGGGGGAGGCCGGGGAGGCGGGGGAGGCCGGGGAGGCGGGGGAGGCCGGGGAGGCGGGGGAGGCCGGGGAGGCGGGGGAGGCCGGGGAGGCGGGGGAGGCCGGGGAGGCCGGGGAGGCGGGGAGGCCGGGGAGGCCGGAGAGGCGGGGGAGGCAGGAACACGCGGTAACCAGAGGGTGGTGGCCAATGCGTACGTACGGTAACCAACGGCTGTACGGAAGCAACCGTGGCCCCCTGCTCCTCCTAAGCTGCTTCCCCCTATCCCCATTGCTTTGCCCCAACCCGTGGTACTGGTGTAGCCCCCCTCCTCCTCCCCCTCCTCCTCCTCCCTACCCCTCCTCCTCCCTACCCCTCCTCCTCCCCACCCCTCCTCCTCCCTACCCCTCCTCCTCCCCACCCCTCCTCCTCCCTACCCCTCCTCCTCCCTACCCCTCCTCCTCCCTACCCCTCCTCCTCCCTACCCCTCCTCCTCCCTACCCCTCCTCCTCCCTACCCCTCCTCCTCCCTACCCCTCCTCCTCCCTACCCCTCCTCCTCCCTACCCCTCCTCCTCCCTACCCCTCCTCCTCCCTACCCCTCCTCCTCCCTACCCCTCCTCCTCCCTACCCCTCCTCCTCCCCACCCCTCCTCCTCCCCACCCCTCCTCCTCCCTACCCCTCCTCCTCCCTACCCCTCCTCCTCCCTACCCCTCCTCCTCCCCACCGGTAGCGAGTGTGAATCGCAGCGCATCCGTGCCGTACGTTGCGATGGTGTCCAGCGGATCCACCACGTTGCCCAGCGACTTGGACATCTTGCGACCCTTGTCGTCGCGGACCTGATGAGAGAAGGGGGCCGGGGGGGGGTAAAGTAGACTGATGAGAGGGGGAGGGAGGTAGGAAGGAGAGAGAGTGAGAGGAGGAGGAGGGAGTGAGGAGGAGGGGGTGACCCGTGGGTCGGTAATGAGCCATGCGCGGCCGCACCACCACCGCCCTCCCACACAAACGTGCATTCCTTTTAGATACCTAGGTGCAGGCAGTGTCTTCCTCAATACCCTGCCGCCTGCCCTGCTCCTCCCACGCACTCTCCACCCCCCCCCCCTAAAACACCACCTCCTCCCCCAACACCCATGGGCCTTCCTATGGTTACGGTCAGGTGTTTTCCTCGCGGCTCGGTTCATCTACCTCCCCCCCCCACCAGTTCATATGTGTATCCCCATTCATCCCCCCCACCAGTCCACATGTGTATCCCCATTCAACCCTATCCATCCCCATTCACCCCCCCCCACCAGGCCATGCAGGTAGATGGTGCTGAAGGGCACCCGGCCGGTGCACTCCAGACCCATCATGATCATGCGCGCAACCCAGAAGAACAGGATGTCATGGCCGGTCTCCATCATCTGAGGTGGGGGGGGGAGGGGGGTGAGGGGAAACGAGGATGAGCATGAGGGAGGGAGGGTGAGGGGCCACGCGGGGGCCACGATGGAGAGGAAGGTAAGGCAGAGATTTGAACGAGCGTCAACCGCAGCAAAAGGAAAGTTGTACGGCAATGGGCATGTGTGGGCTAGTGCGGCATGTATGGAGCAGCAATCCTCCACAGGAGCCTTCTCCGGAGTACAGTTGGGCTTTGCAAAGTTGCAACCATGCACACCTGTGTCGGGTAGAAGGTACGGTAGTCGGGGCTATCCGTCTTGGGCCAGCCCAACGTGCTGAACGGCCAGAGCGCGCTGCTGAACCAGGTATCCAGCACGTCCTCCTCCTGCCGCAGCACCACGCCTGACCCATGGGTCGCTTCCGCCAACCGCCGCGCCTCCGCCTCGCTTCGAGCCACCACGTAGGCCTTCCCCCGGCCCTCGGGGGCTGCTGCGGCGGCCTCGGCGGAGGGGAAGATGTACCAGACGGGGATGCGGTGGCCCCACCAGAGTTGCCGGGAGATACACCAGTCCTGCGGGGGGGGGGGGAGGAGGCGGAGGAGCAGGGGAGGTGTGTCAGGTTAGAATGCGCTTGGTTGAAGAAGAGGTACCGGTAACGCAACACGTTGTGTGCATGCATGCATGCATGCATGCATGCATGCATGCCGAGAGCGATCGAGGTGTTGGGAGGGAGCGGCCGCAGTCCGTATCGCCCCTTCCCCCCCCCTTGCCTTTGGGTCCTCTCTCCAGGTAAGTTTCCCGTGACGCGTCTCGCTGACTTATCTGCTTGTATGCCCAATAGCCCTGTTGCCTTAGAATTAGTGGCCGGCGGCGCGGCACATGCCTTACTAGTGTTCCTATGCAAGGCGGCTTCTTCCTCAAGTCATCTCGGTTTCTGGTAAGCAAGCAATTGGTAAGTCTCTGAGTTGCGTGTTTCTAGAATAGTGTCTCCGAATGCGCTCACTGCATGAGTCGGGATTCGGGATTGGGACTTTGTTGTTGCACTTATTTATAATTTCCCCCCCGCCTGCTGCCTGCTGCTCCCACCTTGATGTTCTCCAGCCAGTTGTTGTAGGTGCGCACGAAGCGCTCCGGCAGGATGGCGATGTCGCTCGCCGCCACCGCCGCCAGCGCGGGCTCCGCCAGCGGGCTCATGCGCACGAACCACTGCTCGCTCACCAGCGGCTCGATCACCTCGCCGCTGCGCTGGCTTCGGGGGACCCTGGGGGGTGGGGTGGGTTGGGGTGGGAGGGTTGGGGGTTGGGGATTGGGGAGGAGGAGGAGGAGGAGCAGTGCAGGGGGCGAGGGGCGGGGCTGGGCGAGGGCACGGTAAAACAGGCAATGGGGACGGAGGCAAAGGGGGAAAGAAGGGACCGCGCGATGCTAGGAAGAGAGAGAGAAATGAAAGGGGAGAGAAGAATACCCGTAAGGGTGGGGTGCAAACACTCACGTAGGCTGCTCCTTCACACCGCATCCCCATCCAAACACCCCTCCACCCCCTCACTCCTCATCTATTTTTCATCCCCCCCCTACCCCAGCCCGCCCCTCCTCCCCCCCCCCACTGCGTTGATGCACCTAAAATTCCCCCTCACCCCCCCCCCACACCTCGAGGTGTGCGGCTCCTTCCTGAGGGCCAGCCCCGCCGCCTCCATGTCCGCCCACAGCGCCGCACGCGCCGCGAAGCGCTCCATCCCCGCGTACTTGGGCCCTGCTGCCGCGTTAAGTGTAGCGTCCTTGTTCATGATGTTGATGGTGGGCAGGCCGCGGCGCTTGCCGATCTCATAGTCGTTGATGTCGTGGCCTGCGTGTGTGGGTGTGTTAAAATAACTGGCCGCAAAGAGAAACGTACTGTACTGTACTGTGTGTGCGTGGGTGGGTGTGCGTGTGTGGGGGGGGGCGGTATGCGGGATGTGTGTGTGGGGGGGGGGAGGGTGAGGGAAGGAGAAGAGGGAGGCAGGGAGGTGGGGGGCGAGGTCCCGGATTTCTGCCCTGCGCAACATTCCCACCACCACCCTCTCCCCACCTCGAGTCAACCACCTCCCACACCACACCGGTTAGTTTCCCCCTGAACATGTTGCAACCCATGATGACGCCTTATGATGACACGGTTTCGTTAGTCGTTTCCTCTTTCCCCGCGTTACCCACTCCACCCCGCTACCCACCCCACCCCACCCGGCGTGATCTTGAGTGCCCCGGTTCCGAACTCCGGGTCCACGTACTCGTCCCCGATGATGGGGATGCGTCGGCCGCCGCTGAGCGGCACCTCACACTCGCGGCCGATCAGGTGCCTACGGGGGCGGGGGGGAGGGAGAGGGAGGAGGGAAGAAGGAGGAGAGGGAGGAAGATGCTGACGGGGGGAGGGAGGGCAGAGGAAGGGGAGAAGGCGACAGGCAGCACAGCAGCCATACCGAAACACACAACAGGATCAAGGATGGTCACAAAGCCAGCAAGCACCCTACCCTGCCGTACTTACTTGTACCGCTCGTCCTCGGGGTGTACGGCAACTGCCGTATCTCCCAGAATGGTTTCGGGGCGGGTGGTTGCTACGGGCAGGAACTCCCGGCCCTCGCTGCCCGCAACCGGGTACTTGAAGTAGTACAGGCTGCCGGCTTCCTCGCTGTACTCCACCTCCAGATCCGAAACCGCCGTACGCAGCGCGGGGCTCCAGTTGACCATATATTGACCGCGGTAGATGAGGCCCTTGGAGTGCAGCCGTATGAACGCCTCTGCAACAGCGTCTGAGGGAGTGGTGAGAGGAGGATAAAGGTGGGTCAGACAGCGTGGGGGTCAGGCCAAGTGGTGGAGGTGGGTCAGGATTCGGGACAAGTGGATAAGCGGGGAAAGAAACCGGCTATGGGACAGGGTTAGGTTATGTACGGCAGCGTGTGAGTGGTGTGAAGGACAGGAGGGTCAGATCGCGTGTGGGTGTGGGTGGTGGGGTTGAGGGCGGGGAAGGTAGGGAAAGGGAGATCCCGGTCCCAATTGGTGTTCCTACCGGTATATCGAGTATATCCCACCCTCGCACCCCTCATACCCCCAAAATACACACACACCCCCTGCTGTCCCCCCCTCCTATCACCCCTCTCCCCCCCATCTCCCCCCCCCACACACACTCACCCGACAGCCCCTCATCCAGTGTGAACCGCTCCCGGCTCCAGTCGCAGCTGGCGCCCAGTCGCCGCAGCTGGTTGGTGATGAAGCCGCCGTACCTGACAACAGGGGGGGGTGCGGGGGGGGTGTCAGCATGCGGGGTTGCAGCAGGGAGGGCAGCAGTGGTAGCAGTGAAAAGCATGCATGCACCGAACACGCATGCATGCAAATAGGCAGGCAGGCAGGCAGGCAGGCAGGAAGGAAGGCATGAAGGAAGGCATGAAGGAAGGCAGGCAGGAAGGCATGAAGGAAGGGGCACCCAAGCCTGCTGCAACCCGCTTGTACCGCGCCCACTGCATGCGCCATCTGCCGTACAGCCCCACCGTAACCCGGCACCCCATGCGGCATGTACGGCACTCACTCCTCCTTCCACTGCCACACCCGCTTGGTGAACTCCTGCCGCCCCAGCTGCAGCCGGCTGGTGCCCTCGCGAGCTAGCATCTTCTCTACAACCGTCTGTGGCAGGTGGGAGATGGGAGGTGAGGGGGTGCGGGTGGGGCAGGCGGGGTGGGGGCTTAGTTTGTGATAGCGGGTAAGATGGCCCTGAGACTCCATCCTTACACCCCCCCCCGCCCGGCCACTGCGGAAGTCGGGCTATGGGATTGGGGGTTCAGCGGTTCAATCCTACGTTTTTAATCCCATCTCCAACCCCGCCCCGCCCCGCGCCCCGCCCCCCCACCCCTCCGCCCCTCCCGCCCCCACCTGCGTTGCGATGCCCGCATGGTCGGTTCCCGGCAGCCACAGCGCCTTGCGGCCGTTCATGCGCGCGTGGCGGACCATGATGTCCTGGTGCAGCGAGTGGGGGGTTACAGGGTTAGAGGTGGGGAGGTTAGGTGGGGAAAAGAGGGAACAACTGGTGGGTGGGAAGGTTGGAGGGGATGGGCGCTGTGGGTCCGCCCGCTTGGTCCGGCTAGTCATCATACCGGGTAGAATGGTTCCCTGTTCGCCGCTTGCAGCCCTATACAGCCCCCATGCACTCACTTGCCATGCAGCAGCCCCACATACGTTCCATGCACTCTCTCAACGGTCTGGCTCCGCTTAGACGTGCTGGTCCCCCCCACCCCCGGCCCCCACCTCATCCCCCCCCCCCACCTGCAGCGTGGCGAACATGGCGTGCCCCATGTGCAGCTTGCCGGTCACGTTGGGCGGCGGCATGGAGAGGGTGAAGGGCTCGCCCGGGGCGGCGGGGTCGGGCTGGAAGTAGCCCTGAGACTCCCACCTGCAGGGGAGGGGCGGGTTGGAGGAAGACGGCGTGGGCGGGAAAAACGAAATTCCAAAGCGTGGGAGGGGTGGGCGGTTTGGAGGAAAAGAGGAGGGAACGTATGCGCGCAGGCGCTGTCCCCGCCGCCGGCTCCCGCACCGCCGCTGCTCCCATGTTCGGGTTGTTCCCCCATGAAGCGCTTTGCCCGTCACATGTCTACTCGTTGTGCTTGAACCGGGCTCGAGGCCATGTATGGTATGACCACTCTCGCCATAACGTCCGCTTCTGCCCCTTCCCATCATTACATCCCCTTTAGGAAACCCCCCTCCCGCTCCTTCCCACCACTTGTAGATGCGCTCCTCCGCGGTGGCCGACTCGAAGTTCTTGGGCAGCTCGGGGCGGCTAGCAGCCGCTGCTGCTGAGGTCGTGATGTCAGCCTCCTCTGCAGCGGATAGCAGGAGCAGGAGGTGGGATGAGGAGGAGGGAGGGAGGCGCAGCAAAGGCGCGCATGTCTTGTGGCACTCTGTCTTGCGGCAAAAACCCCTAGCCATGCTGACAAAGCCCAGTTGGATGGTGTGATGGATGCCTCTGACTGGCCCAGTTGGTCACTGTATGGTGATGACGCTTGTGTTGCGTTCATATGGATACCGGTATTGTGTGGCAACCCCGGCTAGATGTGCACCACGGCTTTCGCGGCTTACAGAAAAACAGGTTGTGGTCGGGGATGTGTGTGCCTACGGAGCCAACGCAAATCTCACAATGCTTATGCACGCCGCTAGCTAAGGGCACTATTCGTTAGGGGAGAAACTCACGTACAACTGTAGCCTGCAGAACAGGCGCTAGCCGGCGTCGTCCGTTCGTCGCCGCATGCTTGCATTGCAGCCACGCACTGCAGGTCGACCCTAGAAACCGCGATGAGATTGAGCGACACCGCTGAATTTGCATGGCTGGAATCGTCCTAGACGTCTCTTCGAACCGCAATACTCGTCGCGATTGGCCCGCAGGGTGAATGCCGCAGCGCATTGCAGTAGGGCTTAATGGGTCGTGTTATGCTTTTCTACCTAAGCAATAAATCAGCAGTAACAGCAGAACATGTTGAGTGGACAAACGTGAGCCCCTGAAACAATGTCCAAGAAGGTTAGCCCAAGTCCTAATGCCCTTGTCGCCGTGTAACCGACTAGCTAATAATGCTTGCAACAGATTTGCAACCGGAGCTATTGGATCGATTAAGCCGTACAGTGGCTCAGCTTGCAACGGTAATTTACCCAACTGAACTTTTCGGCAAAGCGCACGCAGGTGGAACGTCAGCAGCTTACCCGTGTTCGCAGACAACAGCTTCCAAATCCTTTAAATAGCGTGTGCGGAATGGCTGTCAAATACTTGGATTTCATACCGGTACCTTCAAAACGTCCGGCCTGCGACCCGCTCCAAGGCCCAGCTCGCAGGCCCTTGCCATCCCATTCCAACGAAGAACTTCTGCAACGCTAAACGTGGCTTCTGTTACTTCGGGCTTGTTTACAACTTGCAAAAACCACAATCGGGATTTTGCTCCTCTCAGGCCTTCCTGTCGTCTCGTGGGCCCTTCCTACCGCTGGCTCCCGTAATGCTCCAAGTCACAGCAACAACAACAGCGCCAACCTTGATGCAAAAATGCCAGCTGCACCGGACCACCAACACCAGCACCACCCTATACGCAACAACAGCAAGACCAGGAGCCCTAGCAAAGTGCAAGCTTCTTGCCTATTCCCTATCAACCACATAATCACATGAAAACTCCAGAGCTTGGACCAAATCACTGCATTTCTACATCAAAAGGACCATGCTGCAATGCAGTGCATGCGTGCACACCACAGCCTAGTTGAGGGCTTGACAACACCGTCAGCAACAGCAGCATGCCAGCCCCCGGGTTTGCTAGCCAGATAGCAAGTCGTGAAGCCAAGAGCCAGTTGTGTGAGTGAATCCCGTTTTTAACTCCAACAGTTACACCACCGTCGTCCGTTCCCAAAGCCACCAAACACAAACATCACAAAAATAAATCCCCTATCATGTCGCCGTGTCAGAAGCCATGCAATCAGGCACCGATCCCTAAACTCCTCGCAAGTGAGTCAACTTTCAACAACCGATATGTTGCAAGACAATAAATACCTTCTAGTGCAATAGAAAGGACCCTCCGATACCACAGCCCACATCCCCGGTTCACATGCCGCCACAACTCCTCCTGCTCCTGTCCCCCGCAATGATGCAATCCATGATCACCCGCCTCGGCACACGGTCCGTGTGTTTCCTCCTCCTTACCCCTCACACCCTCCTCCTCCTGCCCCTCCTGCCCTCCTCACTTCTGCGCACCCCTCCTCACTGCCCCACCAACCGGACCTCCCCCACCAGCCGCCAGCTCTTCAGGCTAGAGTCATCCAGCGGGGTGCTCCACACCTGCAAACTGCCCACGTCAAACCCGCTCTCCAGCAGCCGGGTGGCGGGGGAGTCGCCGTACAGCCGGGAGGTCTCGTACTCAACCACCTGTACGGCACAAGCGTGTATGACACAGGTATGTACGGCGGCAGGTGTGTATGCCGGCAGGTGTGTACGACGGCATGTGTTTGTACGGCAGGCGGATCAGGTAAGGGATGTGTGACGAGTCAGGTAAAGGTGCGTGTCTTGCGTGTGCCTGCATGCTGCATCACACGGACTGAGGGGGGCACGGTCATCGCATCAGGAAGGCAGCAACAAAGGGACAAGACAGGGTGAAAACACACACGCACACGCTCGCACGCACACGTACGCTCCGACTCGAGGCAAGCTTTCTTAGGATACACATGCACACGACACGCCCCCCGCCCCGCACCCGCTGCCGCTCCCCCTGGTCCATGTCCGAGTAGAGCAGGCTGAGGTGCGGCATGTAGGGCGGCGCGCCGGTGAGCCCGAACACCTCCCTCGCGGCGGCCGCTGCTGCCATGGTGCCCTCCTCCTGCGCCACCAGCAGGTACACGCACTGCGGGGGGGGACGGCAGGGGTGCGGGTGCGGAAAAGAAGGATATCCATTGTGTTCAGAAAACTGGCCGCGATCCAATGGGTTGTGTGCGTGTGAGGAGGGGAGGGAGCGGTGTTGGAGAGTTTTGTAGGAGGAGAGGGAGGGAGGGATACATCTTAAAATAAGCAGCGACGATTTCCTCCCTCCCCGCCTGACTCCTTCGCCATCCAGCTCGTCAGTTTCCTCTTTTTACCTTCGCCGGGGTCCCCGCCTGCCTCCCTGTCCTCCCTCCCCGCCTGCCTCCCCCCCCTCCCTCCCACCTGATAGAAGGTGGTGCCGGCGGAGACCCCCGTGAAGTTAATGCGGTAGGGCTGCGGGGGGGGGGTTGCGAGCGGGATGGGGAGACGAAGCGGGACAGCAGGCGTTTGGGGCGTGGGTTTGGAGCATGCAAGCATTCAATGAGGCCCCAGGAACTAAAGAGGAGACGAACGAGGAACGAAGGAAAGGGCTTACTTCCCCCAGGCGTGAACGGGCGTACTTCCCCACCTTGACCCTGCCCGCCAGCTGCTCAGCCAGCTGCAGCGCCTCCGCGCGGCTCTTGGCGGCCCCCGCCACCGTCACGTGCGGCGGGAAGGGCGGCGCGGCCTCTCGGTGAGCCAAGTGGGAGATCTCGTCGGTCAGCTGTTGCGCCAGTGCGCCCTTGGGAACCGCGAAGAGGGAGATAAATTCGGTGGGGGTGGTGGCGGGGTCGGAGGAGGAGGATGCCATTTTGGAGAGGGTGGTGAGGATGGATGGGTTCCTGTTGTGGGTGTGGAAGGTGGGGATGGGTGGATTGGGGGTGAGGTAGTGGTTGGGATGGGAACATGGGAATGGATTGAGGCACTAAGATCAACAGTGCCGTAAGGCGACTGGTTGTCAAGTATCGCTTACTGTATTCCTTTTTAAGTTTGCGTGGCGTCCTGCTCGCTGTTTCCAAGCGGCGATACGACTTGCTGTCCCGCCAGGGTTTGGCCAAACGACCTATAATCGAAGCGGTAAATATGAAAGTAACCAACACAAAGTGGTGCAGGAATGAGTATAGCGCAATAGCAGAACGTGCAAGAGATGGAGTGGCCAGTGCCGCAGCTCGTACGATACAGCTTTTACTGGTGTGCCGATCAAGACGCGTTGGGACACTGCGCGTTTTGCTGTCCATCCGTGTATAAATATTACAATATCTGGGGAAACAAGCACTGTCATCCACCAACTGTTGTTACCGGTGTTGAGTGAGCTTGCCATGAATGTTGCGATTCTTCCCCGCTAGCTCGCCACTCCGTAAGTTTTAGTGCATAATTATGATCATGCCGTAGCTGCGATGGAAAACGCGCCATCCTGTGCAAGCTTGGTTAAATTGGGTTCAGTTGGTCTGGTTTGCACTACGTTGAGTTTTAAGCTGGGGGAAATTGGCTGGTAGTATACTTTAATTGAACACGCTAATGCTGTCTGGTTTGTCGGTAAGCCAGACGTTCTTCGAGCACGAACGCTAGAATGGCGACAGACGCGGAGCAATTGAAAACGGACCAAGCGGATGATGGCAGCGCGAGCAGGCAGCAGTCAAATGATGGAGAGACGCTGACCATCATGTCTTGGAACATCAATTGCTTGGTGGGTGGAGCGTTAGAATGATTCCGCACCGACGTCATGGCCCCAATGGCGTGGAGGCGCCCGCAGCTGCTGTTACTGTCGGCAACCGGCAAGCTCAACCCTTGCGTGGCCATTTGCCATCTGCCCATCTCCGCTCCCGCTCCGCCCCTTCTCGCCACCACCGCCCGCGCCCCCAGGCCCCGACCGTACGTGACATGGAGCTGCGCCACAAGAGCTTCCGGGGCTTCCTGGACCACTTCGGGGTCGACATCGCCTGCTTCCAGGTATTATACATGCGAGGCAGGTTTGGTCGGGTCAGGGAACGCTGTGTGGTCCCATACTGTAAGCCTTAGCGTATTATCTGCCCACCACTGTCCCCTCTGCTTTCGGATGCGATTAAAACATGCGGCGTAGTCAGCTGAAGTTCGCTCTTGCAGCGGCTCGCAGCCGCCATCTAACATCCAGCTACCCGTGCCGAAGCTTTCTTACGGTAGCTGTTGACGAGCACTATCCATTACTTACCAGTTACCGGGCTCGCCCCACTGCCAACGCGCCACCACCCGCAGGAGGTGAAGCTGCCCGCTGCCAAAATGACCCGGGAGCTGACCTGCGTGGAGGGGTTCCAGGTGGGATGTGATGCTTCAGGGGGGGAGTCAGAACGACTCCAGGCAGGGGTGGGGCCAAGCTCTACCCTGCTATGTCGTACAACGCGTTGTCATGCTGTCCTTCCACCCTCCTCCACCAATAGGATTGTGCGTCGCACTTGAGTCGTTCGTACTCCCCTGTAAAAATCGCATTCTCCACCACCCCTCCTCCCCCTGCAGTCCTTCTGGGCTACCTCCAAGGGCAAGACCGGTTACAGCGGTGAGCGGGGGTGGGGGTGGAGGCCGCCCAGAAGCTGCTCCTAATGTTGACAGCATGGGTCTGCTTCTTTATCCTTCCGGTATTTCTCTTATTACCACACTTTTCTTTGTACCTCTCTCCCTCCCCAGTCAGTTAGTGATCCTCTTTAACCCCCCTCCTGCCATGCCCTGCGGACCCAGGGGTCACCACCTGGTGCCGTACACCCATCGCAGCGCCGTACGACGCGGCGGCGGACTGCCTGGGGGGCGAGGAGCAGCCGGAGCTGGATAACGAGGGCAGGTGGGCGGGTGTGGATGACTGGATGGGGCACCGAGCGTGCGTGTTGGATGAGATGAGTGCAACAACCCCTTCTTCCAACAACCACGTGTCGCTCTCCCTTCCCTCCTTGGCTCGCTCGTCCCTCCTCCCTCCTTCTCCTCTTCCTCCCCACCACAAGGCAACTAATTCAACAATAAGTAAACCGCTCCACTACGCCCAATTCCACCTACATTATCCCCCCCGGGGGGACATATGCATCAGTCGGGGTATGGGATTGGGACTCCACTTTTCAAATACATATCTCACCCCCTCAGGCTGATCCTATTCCCATTGCTTTGCCCTAACCTGTGGTCTCCTATGCTTCGGTGTGGTCTTTGACCCCCCCCCCCGCCCCCCCCACTGCATGAGTCGGAATACGGGATTGGGACGCTAGTTGTTTCACTTCAATAATCTTCCCCCCGCCCCCAGGCTGGTCCTCACTGACCACGGCTCCTTCGTGCTGCTCAATGTCTACGTGCCCAACGCGGGCGACCGCCCCGACCGCCCCCGCCTGCCGTACAAGCTGGCCTTCCTGCGGGCGCTACGGAACAAGATGGACGAGCTGACGGCAGAGGGGCGCATGGTGGGGGGCGTGCAGGTGGCTTGTTGCTCTCCGTAACCCATCACATGATGCGCGTTCTGGAAGTCTATCTATGAAAGGAGTTCTGGCCCCTGGGTTTACGCTTGGGCTATTTCTAAAGGTTATTTTGCACGTTTATTTAGCCATAAATTGGTAACTTTCTCCACAAATTTGTCCTGACGTTCTGCCGGCACGCTCCTCAGGTAATTGCGGTGGGCGACTTCAATGTAGCCGCGGAGGCTCGTGACGTGCATGCCGTACTCAACTTTGACGGGATGTACGACAGTCGGGAGCTGGCGCTGCTGCGCGGCCTCATCGCGGCCTACCCGGACGTGTGGCGGCGGCTGCACCCGTACACGCAGGGGACGTACACGGTGTGGGAGGAGAGGACCAGCGCGCGGGCGTTTAATGCGGTAGGTGCACAGGGCTCGGTCTCGTACTCGGTTGGGTGCCGATAACCGGTGTTGATCAGTTTTTCGGCAGTTTTTAGATACCTGGTAAGATACGCACCCCTCCCGTGTTTCAATTTCTCCCACCCCCACTCTTCTTCGCTAAACCCACCCCGCCCCCACTCCCACCCCCCCTTAGCTGCCTTGTCAGTTCCCTTATTAACCTACTCCCCACCCCTCCCAGGGCCTCCGTATCGACTACGTGCTCGTCAGTCCCGCGCTGCTGCCGTACATCGCCGCATGCGACATCCTGCCCGCCTCCGCCATCCCGCCCAAGTGGTCCGACCATGCGGCGCTGCTGCTGAGGCTGAGGGTGCGGCAGGGGGGCCTGCAGCAGCAACAACAACAACATCTAGGGTTGCCGGGGCAGCAGGGGTCGCAGCAGCCGGATGCAGCCCCCGGGGTGGCAGAGGCGCAAGGAGGATTGCAGCAGCAGCAGCAGGCGGAGGAGGACGAGGGCAAAGGGGAGTCCAGGCTATCGCCGCGGCTAGAGCTGCCGCCACCGCCGCCGGCTCCATGCGCGATGTGGGTCGCGACCGAGTCGCGGTTTATCGATCGGAACCAAAAGTCCATTCGGGATCTCCTGTTCGGCCCTCGACGTCCCTCGAAAACGGACAATGGCGGCAGTGGCAGTGGCAGCGGCAGCCGAAAGCGTGCTGCCTCTGAAGCTGCCGATGCTGTTGCTGCTGTGGACGATGCTGGGGATAGGGATGAGGACGATGAAGGCCGCCAAGCTAAACGGAGGTCGTCTGTAACAGTCTCAGCAGCAACAGTAACGCAGGCAGCAGCGGCCGTACGGCAGCCGGAAGTGGCAGTGGCAGCGGAGGGCGACACTCGCGAGAGCCGTGCCTTGGGGTCGCTAGGGGTTGAGGGTATGCATGGGGGCGGAGTGCGGAGGGCGGGGAAGGAGGGGGGCGGCGGAGGTGTTGAGGAGCGGCGGCTGAGGGCTGGAGAGGCGGCAGTGGAGGCGGCAGCGGAGGAGGCGGCAGGCGGCGACGGGGGTGGTGGAGGCGGGGGTATGGAAGGAGGAGGTGTGGGTGAAGGAGGTGCGGCTGGAAGAGAGGCGCTGGTGGGTGAGGGAGGTGGAGTGGGCAGGGATGAAGGAGCGGAGGAGAGCAGGGGAGGAGGTGGAGAGGCTGGAGGGAGTCAACAGGGGAGTCAGCAGGAGGTGGCAGAAGCTGCGGAGGATAGGGGTGCTGGAGTAGCAGCAGCCGGAAGAGGAAGGGCAGGGAGAGGAGGCGGACCAGGGCGTGGGCGAGGCAAAGGCGGAGGAGGAGGGGCCAAAGCAGCGCAAGGAGGGCGGAAGGGCCAGGCTGGGACTGGGACGGCAGCATCATCGCCTCGGGCTGCGCCTGCTGCTGGGGCTGGGGCTGGGGCTGGGAAGCAGCGAAACATCCAGTCCTTCTTCAAGGCAAAGCCTTGACCTCTTGGTCATGTGCTGTTAAGCCTTAGGCTGTATGAAGGTCGAGGTACTGGTAGGAGCGTGTGCAGTGCTGGGGGTGTTCATGTCCTCCTCAAACTTACTTCGTGCTTTCAATTCGATTGTTGCGCTGTTCAGAATCTACGAACTGTAACAGTAATGCGGCGGTTTACGCCCACCACGCCAATGCCGTAGAGCGCTATTGTGGTACCATGGCCACGCGACCTAAGCCGCGATGAAGCTTCGCGATGCAGTGATTGGGACCAGGCAATCAATCCAAATCAACGTAGGTAAGAGATAAAAAGCTGTTGCAAGTAGCCCAGGAGCAACTTAGTCATGCCTGGTTTCAGGATGTACGACGGGTTCCACTGAAAGCGCGAAAACAGCTCTTTCATGTCAGCTCAATCCTATCCACTGCCCCGTGAGGATCAAAACCGAGGTCTAAGCTATGTATCTTATGAAGTGATCCCAACATAACTTGTTCCAAGCGACCTCAACGCGAAAGACCCGCGGCAGGATCACAAACCTAGTGCCTTCATATAAGGGTAGTTAAACCATGGATGACGCAGATATGGACTTACTTTTAGCTTTAGCTGATGAGGCAGAGGAAGAGCCAGCTGTCGGAAAACAGCAACCAACAGTCCCAGCGGTCCCGCAGCCTGCGCAGCGTGCCCCACCACCGGCGCCAAATGCCGCTAATACGTCAGGACTACTTGAGCAGGCTGTTTTGCGCGCTGCTGCTGCGTCTGGTCCCCCACCCAGTAGGTTGGCAACATGTTAATGCCCGACGCTAGTCACCGGTAGCGACCTTTCAACACTGGCTTTATCCATATCCTTTGTACGGTACAAATAGCACTTACAATTAAGCGCTGACATTGCGCGCTCACTCTTTCGCGCAGTCACCTCCATCCTGCCCGCTCCAAAGCCGCAGCCGGCAGGCCGCCAAGTCACGGACGGCTACATGTGCAGCATCTCCGGCTTTCGGGTAGGTCTACCCTTCATACTACCCACACCTTCTATTATCTACGCTATTACCCTTATTAACACGCACTCTCTCACACGTCTTACCCTCCGTGTGTCTGCAAGCACCCACATGGCACCTACCGGTAACCGCTTAACACGAAAACACGGCTTAACACCGCGAAACCGCTCCCTCTCCCCCTTCCTTGCCGTTCCCTTCACGCCTTCCTGTCTGGCTCCTCCCCCTTCTCTTCCATTCCCTTCCCCTGCCCTGCCAGGTGAGCAAACCCGTCATGGGCAGTCTGGTGCTGCGGGAGCGGCTCACGGACGACTGCGTGTACCTGGGCCTCAAGGACATCTCGTGAGTCATGGGAGAGGGAGCAGGGAGAGGGAGCGGGTTTGTTTATGGGCAAGAGGGTCGCGAAAAAAGGTGTACAGAGGAGGACACGAAGGGGATTTGTGTCGATGGGGAGATGAGACCTAGCCCTCCTCTCTGCCAACCTCCATGACTCTCCCTCCGCTCCCAATCTCCGACCCACATCAACCGAGTCATGTTCCTCCCTGACCCACATCAACCCCTTCCCCCCTTCATCTTTAGTCGGATATGGAATTGGGACTCCAGTTGCTTCACTTCTCACTAATTTTCCTCCCCTACCCCTCCCCCTCCCCCAGTCCCTCTCGTGAGATGTCGGGGCGGTGGGCCACCATGGGGGCCCTGGTCAGCAAGGTGCAAGGTGGGGAGGGGGGGGGGGCGTTGAGGAGGAGAATTGGGGGGGCGTTGAGGAGGAGAAGTGGGGAGGGAGTGAGGGGTCAGGGAGGGATGGAAGGAACACTGGCGAAGTGTTGTTGCTTTCATTGTCATGTGAAGCCTCATCGATTGCTATGAGCATTCCATTCAATCATCCTCCCCTCCCCTCCCCCTATCGCTCCTCCCCTCAGCCACGGGTCGCGACGGTAACAGCTACAGTCGCTGGACCCTCACCGACCTGGCAGGGAAGCAGGTGGGGGTGGGGAGCAGGGTTTAGGTTGAGGTTGAGGTTGAGCGCGGCGGGGGAGAGACAGCAAGTGGGGAGAGTAACAGGGCGGGAAGACCTGCTCCCGCTGTCCTGCGTCCGCTCCTCGCTTGCCCCACCTTGCCCCAGCTTTCTTAAGCCTATGCTGGTTTCACTCCATCCCCCTCCCCCGATTTCCAGGTGACGTTGTTCCTGTGGCGCAAGGCGGCTGCGGAGCACTACAAGGAGATGGAGGGCAGTCTGCTGCTCATATGGTCGCCGCAGGTGGGTAGAGGGGGTGGGGGGGCGCGGGGGCAGAGGAGGGTGGGAAGGCAGCGTAAAACACACACATGTTGTAAGGGGTGCGTTCTACGGGAGTAAGCAGTGTGCCGTACTGGCCCATGGGTTGCCTCGGATGGAAGTCCTGGGCTAGCATGCTGCCATGCTTGGGTGCCACATGTGGCGGTGATTAGCACCTACTTGGCTGTTCCGCTGGCTTCTCTGAAAGTGCCGGTATGGCGTTTCCTGCTTGGCTTCTCCTGCTCCTCAGGTTCGCCGCGACGAGGGCAAGGAGGGAGGTGGTGGAGGTGGTGGCGGTGCGGGTTTCAGCTTGCACATTGACAAGCCGGAGATGCTGCAGCGGCCTGGAATGGCAGCGGACTTTGGGCTGTGCAGGGGGACGCGCAAGGTAGGGTTGGGTAGGGTCTTGGGTTGGGTTGGATTGAGTGCTTTACACACTGGGCGGCTTGGCAGCACTTTGACTAGGTTTGGATTCCCGGATTCCTGGTCGATTTTTGTGGTTGAGCAGGGGCATGGGAGGTGGGACATTCCACAATCGCCGACTCACCATTTCTACCATGCGGCTACCTTACCTCTCACACCCTAACGCCGCTTCCTGGCACTTCCCGGTATGTCTTGGCCATACGTCGTCCCCCTCTCCCCTCGCTGCACAGGACGGCCAGCGGTGCACCATGCCCATCAACAAGAGCGTCTGCGAGTACTGCCCCTACCATGCGCAGGTGGGGAGGTTATGGTGCAGAGATGGCTGCATCAGGGTAGCCTTTGCTCACATGCTTTCTGTTACAGCTCCCCACCCCTTGGTAATGTGCACAACCCCCCGGGCTCGCCTCTCGTACCGGTAACCCTTCCTCCCCCTCCCATGTAACGCATTGGAAATTCTTCTTTTTCCCCCTTCCACCCCCACCAGGCGGCCCTCCGCGCCCTCTCGTCCAACCGCTCTGACATGGCGGGAGCGAACCTGCTGCAGCGGCAGCTACTACCACAAGCGCGCGCAGCTCAAAAGCAATTGGCAGGACCGTACGGCAGACCCGCAGCCGGGATCAATTCGCTCATTAGCCGCCCGCCGCCACCGTCGACATTTGGCGGCAAGGCGGGTGCGGCGAAGCAAGGCGCCGGATCCCTTCGGGCGCCGTCCTTGCATGCTGGGGGTGCTGAGGGTGCTGCTGCGACGGCGGTGGTAGCGGGTACAGGGGCGTATGGAAGCGCTGCGGATTATGAGCGCAGCGAAGGTGGTGGAGCGGCAGCGGCGGCAGGAGGAGGAGGAGGAGGCAAGCGGTCGTACGGAGCTCAGCTGCTGGCGAATCTGCAGGAGCGTCAGGCGCAGGATGAGGGTGAGGGGAAGGGTACAGGGGGCTGCGGAACTGACGAGAGTAACTGCCCACAATTAACTGCTCATTCAGTGTGGGAATGCCATGCGGATGCGCGGCACTGTGTGGGGCCCTTTGTTGCTTGGTGTTGCCGAGCCTGCTTGGGAACTGGGCCATGGGTTGGGGTGGTGATTTGTAGGTGCATTAGGTGGGCGCATCGCCGTTCTTGGTTTCTCTTGCACACAACGGTTTGGTGCTTTGGTCTCTGTGTTTTCTGCCATTTATGGCTTGCCTAGTAAAACGGATAAGTGTACTGCTGCACTCTCATTGCCGTTGGTACATGTGTGTCGTACTGCCGCAGCGGAAGGCGGACCCGCCGCCAAGCGCCGGCGCTCTGACAGCGACCCATGGGACAACAGGCCCATGTCAGGCAGCAAGGTGAGGTGTTTGGCACTTGGTGCTTGGACGTATGTAAATGCTTTACACACCGGTTTTGCTACATGCATTGCCGTATGCTGCTTGTTTGTGCGCAAAGCGGCTTGCCAGTCATGTTGTCGTTTATGGGCCTCAATTGCCTTTCCCTTGCACGCCTTCATTAACTCCTATTATCCCATTCGCCTTATTGTAATGCACTTGTCTCAGGCTCGCGCCATCGCTGCTGCTCGAGCCGCTGGCAAACTCAACAACACCAGCAACAGCAGTACGCCCGGCGGAAACGTCGCGAACGGCCCAGCAACGACGCCTGGTGTTGGGGGCAATGGTAGCAGTAACGGCAGCGGCAGTGCCGCTGCTCCCAGGCCTTCTCCGCTGACAGGTATCCGACTCTCCGCGCCACCGCCGCTTCCAGCCAGCCTCGCGGGGCTGCTGAAAGGACCCACGGGTCAGTCGGCAGGAAGTGGCGGCGTACGAGCCACACAACCAGCAACCGCTGCATCTGGGGCGGTCGGCTGCGCTCCGAAACCTCGCACCCCAGCAGCAGCCGCTGCTGCCAGTGGCACGGGTCGTGTCATTGGAGGCAATGACGTTAAGGGTCAACAGCAGCGGGGACAACAGGCGGCGCAGCAGCAGCAGCAGCGCAAGGGGCAAACGCAAGTCGGACACCGCAAGTCAGGGGGCGCGCATGAGGAGAAGACGGGGGCAGCGGCCGAGCAGAAGGAGGGAGCCGCGGACGATGATGAGGTGCTTTTAGAGCTGCTGGAGGAGGATGAGTTGGAGGTGGTGGATGGGGTGGAGGAGGATGGTGGTGGTGACGTGGTAAGTACGGCAGCAGCGGCCGAGGAGGCGGCTGGTGCGGCCAACGAAGCTGACGTGGACCAGGACGCCAGAAGCGCACAGCCCCCACGAGGAGGAGGAGGTGCAGGTGACGATGGCATGGAGGAAGAAGGGGCTCAGCAGCAGGAGGAGGAGGAGGAGGGTGTGGAAGGCATGGATGCAGAGCATGGGGCCTTTGGTAAGGCAGAAGCGGAGGAGTCTGCTGCTGCTGACGCCGACGTTGAAAAAGACGACCAAGATGCCGCAGCCGCGTGCAAAGGCACAGCGGGTACGGCAGCCGCGACGGAAGAGGTGTGTGGTCTGGACGAGCTTTTGGAGTTGTTTCCTGAGCTCCAAGATCAGGCTGCTGACGCTGCTGCGAGGGATGGTGCCACACAGCAACGGCCGCAGCAACATCAGGACTCTTCCAAGCGTGTTAGCAGCAATGCTGCAGCAACGCCCGCAATCACCGCCACGGCAGCGACGCAACCGCGGCCCGTGGCGTGTGGCGGCGCTGGCAACCGTGCAGTTGGCGGCAGCGGCGGAGGCACGGCGAGCTCTGCTGGGCCCGCGGCTGCGGCGGCAGCCGGGCTTCTGCCGCGTGTCGCCGGCCTGACGGCGACGGCGCCGCCAGCTGCCCGTGCAGCGGAGGCTCGCAAGCAGGCCGCCGCCGCCGCCAAGGCACGAGCTGAGAAGCTCAAGGCCATTGGACTGACGGCGGCGGCGGCTCCGCCGCCGCCGCCCAAGCCCCTCGGCGCCGCCAACACCGCCGCTGGCAGCGCCGCCGCCGCCGTCGCCTTGGCTGCCGCCAAAGGCCTGCCGTCAGTGGCCGGTCGCGCGCGGGCTTCCGCCGCCGCTGCCGCGGCGGCGGCGCCGGCAGCTGCCGCGGGGCCTAGTTCAGCCATGGCGGCGGCGTTTGCCAACATTGCGAAGCAGCTTCCGGAGACGGCTGTACAGTCGCGGTACAGCGAGCTGTCAGAGGAGGCTGCGGGTGAGTGAGTTTGTGTCGTTGTAGCAGTGATGAGCAGTCATGCCTTTACCCGCCCGCCCCCATGTGGTGTTATTTTACCTGCCCCAACCCCTGCCCCCCCCCACCACCAGGCGAGGCGGTGCTGTCCATGCTGGAGAGTTTGGAGGCTCGTGACGCGCTGGTGCAGCAGCTGGACAGCGTCACACACCTCAAGGTATGCATCCAATGCATGCAGTGCGACTGTGTGGGGAAGCCGTTGTGGAGATGCGAAGCTCCCTCCTGCGGGAACTGAGGGGCATGTCCCTAGCTTCTGTGTAACGGACGATGCTTAAAACTATTCTCATCTTACCTCCACCTTACAATCCCCGGCCTTACCATTCCCACCTTACCATCCCCACCTTCTCCCCGGACCCCCCCTCGCAGGTGACAGCTTGGCATTGCGCCCAGTGCAACCGCATGTCGGAGTTCATGGATAAGCAGTGTCGAGCGGATGGCCACAACCTCAGCAAGACCAGCGTGCTGAAGCGCTTCTGGACGTGCGACCACTGCAACGCCCGGATCACGACGCTTGGGGTGCGCTTCCCGGCGAACCGCTGCAACAGGTGAGGGGCTGCTGCTTGGTTGGTTGTTTTGTTGGTTGCACTGGGTCGGGTTGGGTTGGGTTGCCTTGGGCTGAGGTTGTTGGCATGTTGAACCCAAAGCGATGTCGGCCTTGCTCGAGAGGGTGCGTTATCCGGTGCCAGACGTGTCGTGTCAGATGCATGTTTTGGCATATTTCCCTGTCCCCTTATCCCCACCCTAACCCCTCCCCCCGCCCCTGCTGCCGCTCTCCCGCAGGTGCAACAACCCCTCCCTGGAGTTCACCGCCTGTACCATGTACCGAGGTCCCAAGGAGCTCAAGCCCGCCGGCATGGCGGCTGCTGCGGGGCTGGCGTCCAAGGAGACCCTCTTTGCGACACTGGAGCAGCACCCCGAGATGGGCCGTCGTACTTTCAGGTAAGCACGTTCGATGACAATAGGGGTTCGAATTATGCGGCTGTAGGATTACGGTACACTATATATATAGCCGTGATGAAGGAGGGATGTGTATTGTTAGGTGGGAGCGTGTGCCTTTTGTTGTGGTATGAGAGCGTGTGCCTTTTGTTGTGGTAAGGCGTCGAGCGCGACAGGACAAGAAGAGACTTGCTTGACTGTTTGTTTGTCTGTTTTTCCTGCAGGTGAAACTGCTGCTCCCGGGTGGTGTGACCCATGGGTCACTACCACATGTTGACTGAGGTTGACCTATACGGAGAGGAGCGCACGCAAGCCGCACTGGACGCGACTGTAGCCGAGTGTGGGGCATCTCCGCTAAGGCAGGGTGCCATCGCACCCAACCCGCTGACAGCAACAGCCAGGCGCATGCCGTAAACCTGGTACACACCGTGCGCTTACTATTATGAGCAACAGGGAGTCCACAGCCGGGCCCCAGTGTGTACCCATGTGACCTGCTGTTCCTTTTCTTTGTTTGTGTTCATGGAAGTTTGCTCTGCTGTAAGGTCTGGGGTTGAGGTATACTCGAAAGTAACAGTGGCCTGAAGGGTAACGGAGCAGCAGGTTGGAGCGTCATTCAGTCATTCAGTTGGAGTGGTTATTATTCAGTTGGAACAGGTCGTGTGGATGGCGGTTACGGGGTGCATGCATGGCACGCAGTAGGCGCTGAGCTATTTGGTTGATGCTGGGGAGTTGGACGCCTGTACAAGTTTATTCGCTTTGCAGAATCCCAATGCCTAGCGATTAGAGACGTGCTGCGCAACCCTAGCGGGGAAACATGATGAGGATGAGAGACGCAGGCTTCTGAATACTATGCTGTAACTGGTGTGTGTCCTAGAGTGCAGGTAACCGGTACTTCATTTGCACTCTGGCGCCTTCTAGGCTTGTCGTACACTAACTGATACATCATGGCTGCATGCTGTTAGGGAAGGGCGAGAGGCTGAGAGCAATGTACGGCAAGAAAAAGTGCAACAAATTGACATGTGGGTCGCATCCTACCCAGTAACGGAGTGTCTACACTGCACACGTCGCGTACCTGCATAGTATCGATATTCTCTGCGAACGACTTCGAACGTCACTACAAAGTAGGGTAACAGGAAGAGTACAAAGCTGGCACAGCAGTCGAGCAAATGACAATTCACGTCACGTCCAATCACACGGACAATATCACCCATTACACTGCATTCCGCAGCTTTCGACGTACATGAGCGGTTAAAGCTTCACACCACCAGAACCTTTCCTTCAGCAAAGCCCAGAGCCACCGTAAACAGAGTGCCCAATTCCATACAGCAAAACACCGCCCGGCATGCGCACACTATAGACTGTGATGCATGCAGGGGAGTCACAACAATACCGGTATGTGTCGCGAAATATTATGGCAATGAATGAAGCGGAATTGTACGGCCTTGCGGTTGATTACTGTATCAACTGCCTACATGTAAGGCCTAAGAAAGATCCTGATCAAACTCGATGCAAACCAATTCCTATGTATTATGAGAAAGGACACTGTTACCCGCGCCGTACTGCAAGGAAACATGAGTAATACGACATACCCCGGCAGCAGCCCCCAAACCTCCCATCCGCACCTGCCCGCATCCCGCGCCTGCCCGCATCCCACGCCACCCTTCTGCTGCTCCCAATGTACAACAGATACGCCTCCGAATAGGATCAATGTGTTGCAAATACCACTGCCGCTCTTGCCCACCGTCCATTACAGCATGCAGAAGGGCTGCACTGCACTATGCGGCAAATGTCACATGAAGCAGCAAACCAGCAATAAACCCAAATCACACCCTTACACCCCCCACCCTCTTACACGCCGTAAACTTACGGCAATTCACTTACACGGCTCATCAAACCGTACCGTTAGTATGACCTACCCACCTACACGCTGCACGCCACCTCTAGGTCCACTTGCCACGTCCAAGGCGCCCCGCCGTGAGCCTCCTCAGCAGCCCGAGCCGCGGCGATGGCGGCGCTGTGTTTGCGAGCGGCGGCGACGTTGTGACGCAGGTTGATACCGCTAGCCGCGTACCGGGCGTTGATGGACCGCACAGCTGCCTCCAGGGCTAGCTCCCGCTTGTGCCGTTTGTACTGTTAGGCAGGAGGGAGGGATTAACGGGGGCGAGGGTTAGGCAGAATGTGTGAGGAGGAACGGGGAGCGTGAAGTGGTGAAAGCGTGAGGAGGGAGAGGGCTGTGGCCGTCAACGGGTCGCGGGTGTTGTGTAGGAGCGCTGTTCAGCGTCGCTTGTTTGGGCCGGTGGTTGCTTACCAGCAAGTAGGGCGCAAACAGGCCCAACGTCAGCACCGTAAGACTGAGGTACAGGTAGGACCCGACGGAAGTGGCGAAGAGGTCGTGATGGTAGGCCAGGGCAGCGTTCAGCTGCTCAAGGATGTCGTTATAAACCTGCGCTACGGCAAACGTCGTGAGCCTATAGGTATTTGACATGACTGATAGTGCTGCACGGGAAAGGGGCCGCTTGGAAGGGCAGCAATGCATACCGTAGATGTTGGTAAACAGCACTCACCTCCCGTGGCAGCCGACCCTCTAACGATAGTGAGTAGTTCTCGTGGAAACAAGGCGTACCGATTCCTGTAAAGCAATTCGATGGCGACACTGTCAACAAGCAAGGGCAGTTGTCGGCATACCGGTACATGTCCTGTCGCGAGTTTGACCGTTTCGTTTAGTTTTCAGAGGCAAGCCGGCACGACTGGGAAACTTGTGAACCTAGGCAAAACAATCTGCCTGTCCTGTCACTTATACATTGAACGCTGTGCTTGCGTGTCAAGGCATGCATTGAATTAGGCTTTGAAAAGCCTGGCGCAGACAATCAGTTACGCGGAAACAAACGATCGGCAGTGAGTAGGCTGACGGCATACGGCTGTAATGCAAGTCATGTCACTTTGACGATGTGAAGCCATCCCGACAACAGTCTAAGCGAACCGCTCGATGCCCTGCTTCAAGTTCTTATAGTACGACCTCATAACACGAGATAAGATGAGTTAGAATTGACACACAGACACAAGAAGAATCATATGGATTTGTCATACTTCTACCACGTGTAAGGCACACGCCATCCACCTACGAACGTCGAGGGCAAAGTCGAGTAGCTAAACCTCACCGTCATACCGCATAAGCAGCGGCAAGTTGTAGACGATACGGCCATCCGGATTGAAGCCGAGTATCCTGGGCGCGCCAATTGGTGGAGAGGCAGTGCCTCCGGCGCCTGCCCCGATGGCCATCGACGGTTCTGTCTTTCCTTCTGCTATACGCGTATATCGATTTCTCTGATAATAACTTGCGCGTAACGTCGCCACTCGCCAGGCTACAGCGCTTACAGGAGGGGTAGACGTTTAACTGCCATGCAAACATGGCGTGACCCATAACACATCTATCATATTTTACGCAGTAGGAAATTGATACAGGCTAACCCGTCGTCGGCTGACTCAGGCTGTCAAAAAGCTTTTTGCGAATCGTTCAATGCTACCAACTGTCAATATAATGTATAGCTTGATAGAAAAGATGCATAGCAGGATTATAGACATGACTTGGACTTAAATGTGGCCCTTTCTGCCGGATAACTAATTGGTTTCGAAGCATGGCGTCAACTTACGGTATCTGGTAGAGCAACTAAAGCTCTATTGTTTGACAACGGATGGGTTGCTGTGCTATTAGTAGGGGAAGCACCGGTGTGCGGGCAGGGACTCCTGACGTCCAATGTAGACATGGCCCTCGAGGGTAAGAGGCTATCTCGGGAGTCGTTTCCGCTAACAAGGTGAATTCCTTAAACCAGCCGCTATGGAACAGCAACCCCATTGCTCGATAAGACTCCTGTCAGTCCTTACAACGGATTCAGAGGTATTCAGAGGATTCAGAGGAACAGGTAGGTTCCGGCAATGCTGATGAAGGGCACCGATGTGACACCTGCATCAACCGTCAACCGGTTACCATCAACCTAGTGTCAAATGAATCTACACGCCCCGCCGAGTGATAAAGATGAATACTACGCATCCCTTCAATGCCCCAACGGCGCATGCCGCCCATGCAGTGGGAAGTAACCCAGCTGTCGTACGAAAGTCGAAAGGCCTAGGGACGCATAGCCGAGAATGCAAGGAAGTAAAGACAAATCCGGGCATAAGATTGCGACACGTGAAGGTACGCCAAGGCTTACTACAACGACAGCTCTTGCCATCGTCGACAAGCTGACAAGGCCGACCCGCCCAACCAAAACCTGAAAGCCACGGAGCCTCATTCTGTCATGTGAATTATGTACATAACTCACATGCGCTTGGATCAAGGCCGGATTGTACCCATCGCTGACGGCGCTGACGACGCTGGGGTCCCATCACCGCCTGCCGTACACATTAGACATCGCACTTTACACCACAAAACATCCATAGTCGCGCATCATGGTCTGCATTGCATCGCATGGCTTACGCTGCACCCCCATGCATCATTCTTCATTCACAGACAGGTATAGTGTTCTAAAAGCGCTCTCCGTCTCTCCATGCCAACCAAAGGGGGTCGCTGCGCAACACCTTGTCACAAGCCGTGTATGCAACGCGCACATGCAAGATGCAACGCAGCGCGTTCTGAAACAAACCCGACCCCGCCAGTCGCTGCAAACGTGTGCACGAGCACCAGCACACCTGTCGCGCCCACGTTCCACGAACGTACCTGGTTACCGCTGCACAGTTGTTAATTGGGGATTGGTGTAAAAATTTAGGGAATTGTGAGACTTTATGTGTAAGTCTCACAAATAGGGTTTCAAGAGAGCCCCGATTAGTCACGCAACAAGCGGCCAGCCACCGCTCGTCGCCTGCCCCTCACGCCATTCATACTCCCGCCTTCCAGCCGCCCAGCCGCAAACCCCTACTTCCCTGCCCCTTCCTCCCATCACCCTTCACACCATGAGGTCCCCATCTCCTTTCACTCCCTCCTCCCTGCCCTCCCTCACACCACTTCCCCCGCCCTGTCCAGCACCTCCAGATCCACCCGCAGCCCGCGCCGCACCCCCTTGGCCTGCAGCACCGCCTCCCCCTCCGCATTGCGCCGCAGGTTCAGCCCCAGCGGCGGCCCGTAGCGGGCGTTGAGGCGGCGGATGGCGGCCTGCAGGGCGGCCTCGCGCTTGCTGTGACGCCGCTGCAGGGGGGGGGGGAGACGGGGGGCAAAAGTTCAACGGTACTGGGATATTGCCGGTAACATACAGGGCGTGGCGGATGCGAGGCGGCGTTGTATATCTGGTAATGCATGTTACTTGCGCAGCGCGCACTGCCGTACTTACATATGTGTTGGGCAGCACCCAGAGGGGCCCAGCGAGTCCACCGGTGCAGAGGATGCACAACGCGTTGAGCACGCAGCGCAGGCGGGAGGTCTTGAAGCTGCCGGCTGCGCTGTTTAGATGGGCGAGGATGTCTTTATAGACCTGGCAGGGGCGCGCAGCAGTGGGTGTGGTTGTGGTTGTGACAAGGGAAATACTAGTTGGTAGGAGAATGAAATGCACTCAGCATGCCACTCAGGCCAGCTCAGAATACAAGTGTCAGGTCCAACCGTCTAACCGCACAGGTATGCCCTTCTTACCTCACATGGAAGGCGACCTTCTAACGCGGGCAGGTAGTTGTCGGGAAAGACTGCGTGTGTTAGCGTTAAGGGTTTGCAAGCAGTTAAGGGGACGCGGGCAACTTAAAGGTCTCATTGACGTCACGTCGGGCATCCGAGGAGGAATTCGCCCTGAAGCCGTGGCCGTCTCATGCACGGCGCTCATACGCTACTGTTGCACATCGGAAAAAATCGTAACGGAAAGAATCTCGCTAGACGGCGGGACGTTTCGCTTCTAGATGTCTCCCACCCGAAGACAGTCAACCACGCACACATCATGGACAGGATGCCCGGAGAGCCCGGAATAAACCACGATGTCACCCGCTTGCATATTTACCGCCTGTGCTTGTAACAAGCGGAAAGTTGAGAACCGCTCTGCCGTCCGTGGTTAACCCTGATATGCTAACTTGCCCGGGCGCGGTTGCGCCAGGTGCAACCGTCGATGAATTGGGGTATCGCAAGCCAACTGTTGTCATGTTGCGTTAAAGTCACTATGCTGGTCGTCTAACAATTAGGAAAGGCATGCTAAAAAGTGATCAACGAGTTCGGCTTACAAATACTTCGTTGGGTCGCAGTTACAGCGCTCCATGCGTCACACGGGACAATATTTTTATACATTAAGCAGGAGGACACTTGCCTGCGTTCGGGCCCCTTGGGTGCTCTTGCCAGCAGACTCGCCCTTCCGTACACGGCACGCGCTGTTACGCCACCTGTGCGCGTGACCTACGCTTTCGCATGAAGGCAGCTCCTGTAAATACAATAGGCTAAACCGACGTTGGGCCTCAGCTGCTCTTACAGGAAACCCATAGCGGTTGGTCAGATATGTAGGAAAAAGACTCGCCACTCATGCAACTTACCATAAGCACAATGAATATTTCAAAGAGTATGGAAGCTATTATCCTTGCCTCGTAGGCAGAAAATGGATGCCTCCCAACCAAGAACGTCGGAAGGAGGCGACCAGCCAGCGACAGGCCTACCTGCCGGGGATGGCACAGTCATAGGCCAGGCAGTGCGAGTTGTTGCCCTGGGGATTCCTCGTGACGCTACCTTGGCAGCGATCTCTGGGAACCAGGAGGCCGACCCCCAGCAAGTTCAGTTCGGGGCGCCTTATGTAAGATATGGCGAAAGTGCAGCCCTCGTCCTACCTATGCAACTGGTTTATGATGGTAAGTAGCTAGCAAATTAAGTCTCCTTAACGAGTACAGGTATAATTTTGCGCACGAGAGGATGGGTAACTGGGGATTAGCATCCCTTTGCGAACGGCTCACATAGATGACCTCATTGGCCTTCCTCATGCCACTTTCCATACATGCCTTGCCCTCCTCGCCGCCTCCCTGCTGCACTCTTCGCTGACGCGCCAAGGCCCCACCATTCGAATGCAGACTGCCTGGGCTGCACCGAACCTCGCTTCCCTGACAACTACTCCCTGCTACTGGAGGGCCGCCTGTCACGTGAGGTGCGGCGTGCAGGACAATAATCTAGATCATGAAACAAGGCTAGCTGTTAGTTACATCGTACAAAAACACCGTACAATGGCCCATCGCCGTACTCCGGATTTCCTACGTATGCGCGCCCCCAAGGCCAACTCAACAAGCTACATCCATACTCCGTACATACTCGTTACATACATAGACGGACGTTTACCCCCACCCTCGTCAAAAAGCAGCACCCACCAAACCATGTACCTGCCGGCCCACCACCGCCACCGCCACCACCACTCCCCTACCTGCGCAGACCTACACCGACATCCTCCGCATGTTGAATCAGGCGGTACGGCGGCAACACTCCTCCGCCGCCTCCTCCCCTGCCGCCGCCCGCTGCTGCTTCTGGGGCTGCACGCTGGCATCTCTGTTCGCCGCTGCGGCCTGCTTCCCATGCTACCACTCGGTGCGCTGCCATGTGAAGGCTGCTTGGTTGGGTGCTTTGGCCCATCGACAGCTGAAGGGAAATTCAAACATAGCGCAATCCGGGTCAACTTGGGGGCGTCTCTGCGTCTTGGGGGCTACCCAGTTATTGCTTTACCGGTGATGATACAGAGCCTTACTGACCAATGCCGGCATGCGACTGATGGCAGACGCGGACATGGGGCCTGGCCTTGGTCCGTTGCCTCTCACAGAGGCTTTAGTAACCTCTTTACGCCCCCCCTCACCACCCTGCACACCCCCGTGCTGCCATCGCAGTACCGCATGAAGGCGCTGGATGGCGCCCTAACCCGGGCGGTTGCGGGTGTGAATGCCAATTACGCGGACCGAGGCATCCGACTGACCCCGGTGGCGGGGCGGAGGGGGTGCCTCCGGCTGCAGGTAGCATGCGACTGCTAGAGGGGCGGAAGACCATACCGGATTACCCGAGGGGGGCAAAGAGGAAACAACTAACTGACTGCGTGATCATGAAGGCGTCATCATGATTTGCAACATGTGAGCCAGCCCGACCCGCCCGGTGGGGTGCGGGAGATGTAGGGTGGGGTGCTGGGTTGCGGCGGGCGACATGAGGAGAGGGTTTGCGTCGTGTCCTCCGGCGGTGGGTCCTTCTAGGGAGGGATTAGGGGAGGGAAGGCGGTGATGCGTACGACAAAAGTGGAGGGCACTGTTGCCGTACCACAATAGTGCCGTGCCGTATGGAGGAGGATGGTTGATGGGAAGGTGGTGTTGTATTGAAATGGAAGGTGCAGCAACAGAGTCCCAATCCCACTAAACCACTACGGTACCAAACATACCATTATCATGGAAAAACCAGGATTGGCGCTGCGATTTGGTTGTGCTTAAATAAATGCGACAGGGGTTGTGGGCGTGCAGGTGGGCATTGGATGATTGGAGGTGGCATGGGAAGGAGGATCCCCTATTCGGTTTACTGATCAGGGATGCGACATGTACGGCGCAATAAGATTCAATTGCATTTTCCGACGGAACGCGAGTCCAGCTGCCAGTGCGTTGCACGATGCAATTACGCATACATGTTTTGCCAAGAAGAACAAGGAGACGAGCCTTTTGTTGCGCATGTCTGCATGCATGAGTGTACGGCATGCAGTGGTGTTATCTTCCATTCTTGTTTGGTGTCTTGGTGTCCTGTACCCTTACGTTCTTTCTATGCCTTACCGTTATGGTTTGACCCTGCAATGTGCATACGCGCTGGACCGTTCCGGCTGAAAATGGGTGGTGTTGACAGGGTGTTGATACCGGTATTCGTATCGTGGGCGTGGCTTTCCTTTTCAAAATGGCTTCACTAAGCGTAGATCTCTGATGAGAAAGCTCTTGAACTCGTTGGCGGAGGTATATTACTGGGCAACGTGAGGTGGGATTATAGACGGTGGTTTATGCCTTAGACACGACATGAAGTTATGCCTTGCGTGTATGCATTTTGCGATTGACCTTTCTTGGAACTATAATAGTACCAGGGCAGCAGCTAACGAGTGCGTGACGGCCAGGGGCGAGCTATGGTTGCGGCTTATGGGAATTCGTTTCGACGTCGTACACAGATTTGGACGAACATTCTAGCATGCTGCCGCTAACAGTGCGTATCGTTGTTGATGAGCCATCAGCGTTTTAAGGTATCTATTGGCGATTGTCAACAGTAACTAGCACGTACCATATCTGCTGCGTTCACTGTGCGGGACTGCCCGCGACGCCAGGCGATCGCTGTTAGGACGCTTAACAGCGTAAATTCTGAAAGACTAGCAATATTGAACTAGTAATATAAGAATTGGATTGCTTGGTTGACCTCAACCCAACTGAGTCTCTGACAACATGGCACCTGAAGGAGTAAAAATTAAAAAGGAGAAGAAAGCATCAGCTCCGGCAGAGGATGGCAACAAGCTTACGGATGCTAAGCGCAAGCGGTAAGCCTTTCAACGGCTGCATGCCGCCGCCGAACCCTTGCAGCGATGTTGGCTCCCCCTTCAGAGACGAAGCCCCGAACTGATTGTGACCCTTTACCTTACTTGCCCTGCCGCACCCATATATGCTTGTGCCACAAAGGGACAGTGACGCTGCCCAGCCGTCAGAGGGTGCTGCCGAGCAAGCTGCCAAACAGCCAGCCTCCGACGCCCAAGCAGCGCCGGCAGCTGACAAAGCCGCGGGCGGGCCTCCGCGTAAGAAGCGGCGTGGACCAAAGGCGGATCCGGAGCAGCTGAACCCGGAGGAGGCAGCTCGGCGGCAACGGCAACGAGAGCTGCGGGTAAGAAGCAACCCTTGCCACGCTCCAGGGTTGCAGCGGTCCCCTCCCCGGGGACCGAGCCACGCGTTTCGGGGTTTCCAAGGTCTCGTCTGTCCTTTAATAATTCCAATTTCATTACGGCTACCCCCAAACGATGTGGGTCGAGGGGTTGCCAAGTATTTGGGGGTGATCTATGGAGATGCCAAGCTGGGAGCGCACCCCCCCTTGTGCTCGGGAGGGCGCATTCGGATTCCTAGCGCCAACCGTAAAGGGCAGCCGTCGTGCGAACACACAGCAGCTGAGCAGCTGCAGCGCGATGGCTCTTGTATGGCCCCTCCTCCTCCGGACGCAACTGCATGGTCCTTGACTCGTCTCGCCAACCGCGCCCTCCTAGCCCAGTAGCCCCCTGCTCACCTCCTGCTTTCCCTCACCCTCGCTGCCCCCCGCGTCGCATACACCGGTGCACACACGCACACTTCATCTCCGGGAATCACAGTACGCTCCTACTCGCGGCCAGTTTTCTCAACACACCCACCCACCACGCACCCACAGGAACGCGCCATGCAGCTGCGATCCCAGGGCAAGCACTACATCCCGCTCAAGAAGGGCGGGAAACATCCCAAGCCAGGGGACGGCAGCAGTGCTGGCGCCAAGCAGCAGCAGGCGGACGGTGGCAACCGCAAGGCGCGGCACTACCTGGGGGATAAGACGCCCGGCTGGCGGCCCTTCAGCTCCGTTGAGGTGGGTCCGGGGTCCGCAGGAGTTAGGGGGGGCCGGTTGTTTGAAAGGGGCCGGGGGGGCCGCTACTGGGCTGCGGGTCGGTGGGTCGGTTGCAGGAGATCTCTCTCCATGTGTACCCCGTCTCGAATACCGATACGTCCTTCCCTAACGCTGTCTCCCTCCCTCGTTCCCTCTCCGCCGCTTCCACCCCGTTGCCCCGCCGCTGCGCTCCCGCCCCCCCAGGCCATCGTCCTGCCCATCTACTGGAACAACGACAAGGAGGAGAAGGCGTCCGTGATCGCGGCTGCGGAGCGAGCTCGCGACATCCTGGCCTCCGCGGGCATTGCGGTGGACATGGACGCAAGCAACAAGTACACGCCCGGGCAGAAGATGAAGTACTGGTGGGTGGTGGGCGGTGGGTGGGGGTGGGTGAAAAGGGAGGAAGTTAACAGGGTGGGAGCAGGGTGGGAGGGTAAGAAAGGGAGGATACTGACGAGCCCTGTGCGGCAACCTGGCAAGGCTTCACCATGGGGTGCAAACGTGGTCGCCCTGGCGGGTGTAGGCTTGGGTGGACGGGTAGGGGTGGTGGATGGTGTTCGGGAAAGGGGTTCAGTCATACGCCGTTGACTGTCCCTGCCCCTGTGTTATTGCTCCTCTATTGCTACACCCCGCAACGCCCCCCACCACACTACAACAACACGGCATTCCCTCTTACCGGTATCTCCTATCTTATATCACTCTCTCTTTCTCTCCCGGCTCTCCTCAGCTCGCTTGCTGGCCCCGCCCCTTCCCACACGTCTCAATCATTCATTCATCCATTCATGCATGCATTCCCTGTCCCCAGGGAGACCATGGGCGTGCGAGTGCGGGTGGAGCTGGGCCCGCGGGACGTGGCCAACGGCAACTGCGTGGTGGCGCTGTCCACCAAGAAGCCAGGTGGGTGCGGAGGGTGGCGGGTGGTGGGGGGTGGGGGGCCGGAGAAAGGAAAAGTGAAAAGGGAAGTCAGGAAATCACCCAGATTACAATGCCGGTTGTGGATGCCAGGGGAGCGGCCTCAACTGACAATAGTGGAATACCTTGTATCCGTTATATGACCATGGCCCTCCTCCCGCCCCGTTGCTCCCCAACCCCCAACCTTCCTGTCTCTCTGTTTCCTCCTTCCCCCATCCTACCTGGGCACCTCCACCCCCCACACACACCACCCCAATGCAGGCGAGGTGGCCGTCAAGGACATCGTCAACATGCGGCACAAGATGCTGGATGCGGTGCGGGAGGCGCTCAAGAAGGCCAAGTCGGCAGCGCTGGAGGCGGAGGAGGAGGAGGAGGAGGAGCGGCAGCAGCAGGTGGAGGAGGGTGGCAAGCAGCAGCAGCAGGGCAAGGAGAAGGCGAAGAAGGCTAGCAAAGAGGATGAGGAAGATGAGGAGGAAGGTGAGGAGGAAGGTGAGGAGGAGGAGGAGGAGGCCGCACAGCCGAAGGAGGAGGAGAGCGGCGAGGAGAAGGCAGCTACGGAGGCGCCGGCGCCGGCTTCCAAACAGCCCTTCAGCGCTGATGCGCTGGAGGATGATTTCGGCGCCGTGGTTGAGTTTGAGCCGGAGGAGGACAAACTGACGTTGAGTAAGAAGGAGCGGTTAAAGAAGGGCGCCAAACTGGTGAAGGAGAAGCGGAAGGCGGAACGGCGGACGGTGCTAGCCGGCGGCGGAGGAGGGGGTTCGGAGGAGCCGGAGGAGGAGGGCGGTCGTGGCGTGGGAGTCAAAGAGGGGGGCTGGGGCAAGGGAGGGAAGGCGGCGGCGCCTAAGAAGCCCAAGGTGGTAAAGTTCTAGGCTTGGGAGGGTGCGTTAAGCGTTAGCGGCGGTCCATGCAGGCACATGGAGAGTGTGCAGTAGTGGGTGATGTCCCTGATGTGAGAGCGTGTGGGACGCTGGGTGCTCTGCTGTTGAGGCAGGTGATGGTGGGAAAGCCCCTTGGCGGATGCTGGTGGTAATGGGGAGTGCTTTAAGAAGATGCGCCACGGAAGCACTCAAGCAGCAGGATGTCCACCGCTGCCGTTGCAATTACTTTGATTGCAGTGCGAGTGATCTAGCAGCAGCGGTGGAGCCTTGGGTTCGGTTTGCCCTCCTAGGTACGCTTGCCCCGAGCCCGGACCGGGCCGGTCCGATCTCAGCCCTGTCTACTCGTGATATGGTACCCGTAACCCATAATGTAACCCATAACGGCTGCGCATGATTGGACGCGCAAACTGGGAGCAATTGTCATTCCAACCCGTCTGCCTGTCATAGGAATGAGGCATCCAAGTTAACATGCAAGAACACGCTTCGCCGTGAAATGCATGTGTTGCCGTCTTTCAGTGCTGCACTACCGTACGTGTGACAGGGGCGTCGCGATACCCACAAGCCACAGCATATCCTACACGCGCCGGGACTGGTTATAAGCACGCACACATGTTCGCATGTCCAAGCCAGGTCCGCACGCAGTCTCGGTCCATCCGTGAAGCATGGTCCTAACACCCCGTAAGCGGACTACTCCACATGACAGAGACTCGTAATCCTGACTCTTAGCTCTAACTGTGCGCTCGGTGAGGCTTCGCACGACCACAGCTGATCACATTGGGGGAGCCGGGCCCCCCACGACTCCTAAAAATCACCCGTGTTCCCTTTTTTAGGGGACCATTGTAACGGTCACTCATTCATTCACCCGAGTTACTCCTACCTAATCCAAGCAACTGCCCCTCCGGACAATTGCGAGCGCGCCGCCGTATGTGCCGCCGTTCGTTTCCCCATGCACACTGCAATCCACTGTCCGTGAACTCTCTAGCACGATGCGAATGTGCGCTTACGTTGCCATCAACCGTCACCATGTCCTGTAAGTCCATTCCGTTATACCCACTCAACCACCCATGAACCCTCCCCCCCACACACACAAACATTCAGCAACCGCCTACTCGCGGCCAGTTTTCTTAACACATTCAGCAACCGCATGCTCAGTCACACATCGCAGCGCTACCGGTTGCCCGTGTAGTAGGTCGTGGAGCTGACGTACGTGGTCGCGTCCTCCGCCGCTGGCACGTAGCCAGCCCGCCCGCCGCCGCCACCGCCGCCCCGTGCGCCAGTGCTGCGCAGGCTGGGGCCCGTGATCTGCAGCTCGGGGTTTCGGCGCCTGCCGTACTGCGGCGGCTGGTAGGTGGCGCGCCAGGCCTCGTTCATGCTCGCTTGCGCTTGAGTCTGCAGTCCGGCGCCCTCTGCACAGACAAAAGACAGCAATGCAGCAAGGTTGTGGGTTTCGGTGGCGGTTTCGGCTTTATACTTCAGTGTAAACGGCAACCCTAGTGCATTTCGAATCTCGACGGTATAACCCTTCTCGTTTGTCCCTAAGGTCTGCCAGCCAGGCCCCATCCTGCCTTCTAGAACCCAACCTAGATCCAATGCCCCAGCCAAAACCCATATGGCCACCCGTCTCACGGTCGTAGTGCGTGGCGAAGGGCGCGGCTCCCGGGTGTGCCGAGGTGGGGCGCCTGCCAGCCGCCGGCAGCGCCTCGGGAGCCACCCGCTGCGGCTTGGGACCCGAGTCCTGCGGTCCGCCGTAGATGACGTTCTGTGGGTGGGGGGAAGGGTGCGAACGGGGGAGTGAGTGGGGTAGTAAGTACCGGTACCCAGGGAGGGCAAGCTCCAAGGACAGGGGAAGCTCCAGCACATGACGTGACCGGGTTCTGCAGCTCAGGGGTACAGGGCGTGCCACCGCTTGGGCGGCAAGTACCGTCATGTACTACCCCACTACAGTACGTACTGCTGTAGATTGTGTCACCACCCGTAAGGCCCCCATGGCTTCCAAACCCTTCTCCCGCGGATACAAGCGATGCCCGCTAGCAGCTCTAGGAGCTCATGGAGGCCGGCACGTGTTTGCCGTACCTTGGCGTGGTCCTGTCTCCCCGCGTGGAGGTTGGCCTGGGCTGCCTGCGGGAGGAGGATTGAGAGGAGCCGCGGTGGAGGTCAGGGAGGCGGAGCAGGGTGGGGGTGTGAGATGCGTCGCAATTGCAAACCTGCAGAACAGCTCCCCATGTCATCGGCGTCAGTCGCAGCATGTCAGCTAGCTCAGCATGCGATTAGTTGTGACCCGTGTGCTTCTGACCCGTCTGCCCTTGCCGTCCTTCACACAACACACCCTCCCGTCCAAGTTTCCCCTCTTGTCTCCTCTCCCACGCCTCCGCAGCCCATAGCACAGAACTGATAGACCCCTACCTGCATCCGCTCCGCATTGATACGCGCCACATCGCTCTCCCTCAGCTGCATCTTGTTGACGTCCACAGCCAGCCGGTCCCACGGGTTGTTGTTACCGTTGTTGGGATCCCGACCGTTGTTGCCGTACGGCGCCTGCTGTTGGTACGGCTGCTGCTGCGGAGGCTGGGGTCCCCAGGCCTGCATGGGGGCCCCTCGCGGCGGCGGCGCCTGCTGCTGCTGGGGCTGCTGCCCGTACCCGTACCCGTACCCCTGTTGCGGGCTGTTGTACGGTGGCGGACTGCCGTACCCTCCACCTCCGGGTTGCCCTGCCAGCGCAAAGGGGTGATTGGATGGCGCAGGGCCGCCCGGCGGTGTATGACCCTGCTGCTGAGCTACCCCGGCGCTGACAGGACGGTGGTGCGGGGGGTACGGCACCTGGCCTTGCTGGTACGGGTACTGGTTCGGCTGCTGTTGCTGGGGGCTGCCGTACGGTCCTGCTGCTGGGCCGGGGGATCCAGCACCGGCGAAGGGGTGCCCCGGGGGGCCCTGGGGGGCTGCTGGCTGGGGTGCGGCGGCTTGGGGTGCGGCAGCAGCGCCTTCGTACACGGCTGGGTCGTCTGCAGAGGCTGAGGGCCTGGGGTTGAGGTCGATATTGAGGGCCTTGGCTTTGGCGATGAGGGTCGGGCTTCGGAGCAGCTGGGAGGTGTCGGGTCGCAGCTCGGGCTTGAAGGTGAGGAGGGAGGTGACGAGCTGGATGAGGGCGGGGGAGAAGGGGCCCTGCACGGGCTTGAACTGCCCCCGCATGATCTTGCGGTAGAGCGCGGCTTCGTTGTTGTTTTCCACGTCAAAGGGGTAGCAGCCCATGCAGCATTCGTACATGACGATGCCGAGAGCCCACACGTCCGTTTTGGTGTTGTACGGCTTGTCCTCGCAGAGCTCCGGAGCCAGGTAGTACGGCGTTCCTAGCCGCGTGCGTGCGAAGTTTGAGCTGGCTGACAGCACACGGGCAATGCCCAAGTCACCAATTTTGATGTTGTTCTTGGAGTCGATGAACAGGTTGGCCGACTTGATGTCGCGGTGGATGATCTTCTTGGAGTGCAAGTAGTTGAGACCCACGAGGGATTGAATCAGAACGCGCCACACCCCATCCTCGGGCATGGGCTTGCTGTTGTATGTCTTGAGAAGGCCCTTAAGGCTACCCTTCGAGGCGAACTCCATCAGGATGTTGAGCCGGTTTTCGCTGTCGATGAAGCTGTCGTAGTACTTGACGACGTATGGGTGATTTAACTGGGCTAGCATCCGTGCCTCGTCGATGGCCATCGCACGCTCTGTACGCTCCTTCATTAGCGAAAGGTCGACTTGCTTCAGAGCAAAGACACGACTATCCGTCCTTCGCACCGCCTTATACACGGCGCCAAACGCGCCCTTATCTATAAAGTGCATGTCATAGTCCGCTAGTCTACTACTGGGTGCTTTTGGTGCTGCCATTTTCCTGAGGTCCTACAGTAAGAAGGTCAACGACGTCCTTGTGTAGGCTCAGTAATCGATCAACGGTTGCGCTTAATGGGTATGTAGTTAAGCATTGAAGTTACTATGTAGCAGGACAAAAGATAGCAGAAGCAGGATGGCAATAAAGTACGTGCAGGTGGGCCGCGGGGTGGTGGGAACAATAGACGTCCTCTTCCTGATCCGCCTTACAACAGTTTCTATATGATCGATGTTCCGTTCTGGCAACCTTACCAACCAGCAACATGCGTTTCCGAGACCAAGCCGTACGCGGTCTGTGAAGCCTCAAAAGAAGCTCTGTAAGTACGTTTGTTATCCAAATCCATAGACATTTAATATGCAAATATGCTAACTGCAGAGCCATCTCTGTGTCAAGCATCATCCTGGGGCTCTGCAGTGACGAGACACACTGCTTGCCTTAAAAACTGCAGAAGTGCTGTAAGATTATGGGCGGCGTTCACATGACTAGGTTCACTCCTCCTCCCCGCCATGACACAACCTGCTTGACCACGACCTCGGCACTTCACTCAGTGCCGTACACACCCATCCGCCCCTCCTCCAGCAACCATTCCAGTAATCCTAACGACCCCCAAACCATGCACTTCACTCCTTTCCCATTCCCACACCTCACCCCCTGTACCGGTAGTATCAAGACCGCCATAGCAGCAGCTACCAACGGTTCCTCTCCCCCTCGCCCATGCAGCATGCGAAACCAAATCGGGGAGGCACCCCAGTCTCAGCCCAGTTGCATCACCCCCCCTCTCCTTTCACTGCGCGTTAGCCGCTAGCCCCATCTCCACCTGGTCGTACCCGCTGCCCTCCACCTGCCCCTCCGCCAGGCTTCCGTTGCGGCCGCCGCTCAACGCCAACAGCACCGCGGAGCGAGACAGGCTCAACGTGTTCTGGTGGCTGTGCTTGCGCTTCACATGCAGCGGTTGGAAACGGTAGCTGCCACCACCACCACCGCTGCTGCTTGTGCTGCTGCTATCAGGATCGTGGTCGTTGGATTCCCCGTCGGTTGATTCAGATTGCGGCTGCACCTGCACCACCGCCTCCCACACCTGCCAGGAGGGGAAGCCACATCAACAGGGGACGGCATGTCCGATAGAGACTTTACGTCCAAGCCAAAGCTACGGTGTCACTTTCACGTGACACGAAGCGATCGTGACAAATCGTGCGGAGTACGGCAGCCCCCCACCACAGCCCCCCCCCATGCAGCGCACCGGATTGGGACTTTAGTTGTTTGCATTTCTTATATAATTTCCCCCATGCAGCGCACCGTCCACGTACCGGCACCTCCCGTCGTCCACTCAACTCCCGCCTCCCAGCCCCATTACGGCTACAGCTTCCTCTCCCTACCGTATCCCCGCTGCCCCCCTCCAGCCGCGCCTCCTCCCATCTACCCACCTCCAGCGGCGTCTCATTCCACTGGAAGCCCTCCTGCAGCTCGGGCGGCCGCGGCTGCCGCGCGCGCACCTGCATGTCGAAGGAGATGAGGTGCACACCCTGGCGTGCAGGAGGGTGCAGTGCGGGGGAAGGGGGTTCAGTCAACTGACTCAGGCAACTGACTCGGTCAACTGACGCGATGAGACACTGACCGGGCGAGGGGGAGACAAGTGCAGCAGTTGGAAGTAACGCCCTGCCCATTATACACACCGGCATACGGCAGGGTTCGCTCCCCGCACCTGTATCGTCGACCGGGTAAGTCTCAACCCGATGCCGCGCCGAACCACGCTGTCCATGTTGGCGAAGGGATGCGACGCCAGGACGGAACGCAGCAACGTCTCGTACGACAGCCAGGCGGAGCTGTCGCTGTACGGCAGCGGCCAGGCCCAGGAGCGGGTGAGGGCGGCGGGGTTGAAGGGCCGCGGGGGGTGTCCGGCTGCCCCGGGAGGGGAGGAGGGCACCACTTGACCCTGATGGGTCAAGGGGGGGGGGGTGCGGAAGTCGTGTGACAAGGTGGGGTAGGATAGCAACGGTGGCTATCGATGGAAGCTGATTGTCAACTCCAGCGGTCCTTTACAACAATACGTGTTTGTTTGGCAAACAGCGCGTAAATCAAAAGCGAAAAAAAACAGCAGCAGCAGTGTACCCCACGACAGCACCTTTCACACCTCACCTGCACCCACCGGGTATCCTTCTTCTTCTTCCTTACCCCACCCCATCTCACCCCAGTCCCACCCCAATCCCACCCCAATCTCACCCCATCTCACCCCCACCTGTCGCAGCGACAGCTCCACGGTGCCTCCCGCCGTCCGCCGCACCTTGAGCCGCGGCGCCGCAGCAGCCGAGTAGGGCGGCGGCAGCTCGGGCATGGAGGTAATGACGAGCGACCCATGGGTCACCGTCTCCACCTCCAGGGATACCAGCAGCGGTTGGTGAGCTTGCTGGGACTGCGAGCCGCCGGACTTACCTGGCTTGCTGCTGCTGCTGCTGCTGCGGTTTGCGGCCGCTTCTAGCGCAGCTTTTCGAAGCTGCAAATGGGATTGGTGCACGAAGGGAGGGCGGGGTTATGTTTTGGTAATTGAAAAAAACAAGAAGCAACAAGGCCTTAAAATGAAGACCACTGCGATTCCAAGGGCCACACCCTTTCCATGCCCACCTTGCTCTTTCCTTGCCTTCCCTGTCTCCCTCTCGGAACTCCTTCCCTTTCTGTGCTTTCTTCCCTTTCTTTCCCTAACCCCCATCTGTGCTGGTCAAAACCCCTGACCCTCCCCCACCTGCGCTGCCAGGTACGTGATGCCGGGTGCCGTCTCGAAGCCCTCCTCGGGCAGCCCGGTGGCCGCTGTCGCCACCGCCTCCGCCAGGTACTGCCCGGGCAGCCGGGGCAGCTGCAGCGACCGCCTGGGGGGGCGGGAGAGGAGAGGTGAACGGGGAAGAGAAAACGACCTCGTAGCTGCTATTACCGACCTCGTAGCTGTTGTGTACTTGTGTTACGAGCTCCCTCGTTCCTGTCGCAGTCAGAACCCACGGTCGTCCTTCCCTTCCTTTCTCTCCCCGCCCGCCCCTGCCCCAAGCCATCTCCACAGCCCCTGCCCCGCACCCTCCTCGCTACCGCCCAACACAGTCACACGGCCAGTTATTTTCCCACACGGTCAGTTAGTTGTTTCCTCTCTACCCACCACCCGCCCCACCTCAGCGCCACCCGCCTCAGCCCCGCCACGCCCACCGTCACCCCCGCCTCCACCACCACCCGCCGCACCGGACCGCCCACGTCAGCGGACAGCGGCGCGTAAATCGCAACCGGCTCCGGAACCCCCCGCAGGACCAGCTCCAGGGGGCCCGTGAGTGTGGTTTCGGGGAGCTCTAGGGTGCGGCTGCTGGGGGACCCGCTGAAGAGCTGCAGAGGCGCGGCTGCGGCTGCCGCTGCGTCGGTGCTGGGTGTGAGGCCGGGTGAGGAGGAGGAAGCGGAGAAGGAGGAGAGGGCTGTCGCTGCGGGTAGGGCTTGGGTTGGGGAGGAAGAGGAGGCGGAGGAGCGTTGGCGGGCTTGTTGGAGCGCCTCGGCTTCGTTGCCTAGCAGGAGGTTGTAGGTGACGCCTTCGACTTCCAGACCCAGATGGTGTTGGCGGCCGACCATGACCTACCATGGGAGGACGCAGGTGTGGATCAGAGGATGTGGGATGAGGGGGTTGGGGAAAGGCCAGTATGCGGGCGGGATTGCGATGCGGATGGGCGATAGGGTGGAGGAAAGGTAGAGGCTTGGGGGACGGGTTGGGAAAATTCGGGGCGTGGCCGAACGTACAGCTCTCGGGTTCGAGTGGGTGATTCGTGGCCAAGGATGCTAAAGGGCAGGGAAAGTATCAGAGAGCGCCTTCTGCAGGCTAACCGATGCGTCATAATGCAGGGATACGCACCTGGAAGGTGTCCATTGGAACATTCATCAAGTCCATGTCCATCCCAGTGTTCGCTTTGACCGCTTTGACAGTCTCCCTGGCCGCCTTGGTCGCCAAAGCGTTCCACAGGTCATTTACCGATTGCACTACTGATAGCGGCGTGCCCACACCAGTCGCAACTGAAAGCGATGTGGCTATGACTAGAAGTTGAACAAACGTTAGTCGCAACACCCGCGGGCGCGGGTGCGGCCTATCCAACTTCATACAGTTACATGCTGAAAAGGCTATTCTTTCGCTGCGTGTTGTGGTACACTTCATAAGCGGGCTTCTCAGTCGCTCAAGCCTGCAGCTGCGCAGCTTTCGTCGCTATTAACTTCGTTGGGCGCTTATGGTTCCCTAATCGAAACAATCCCATAGCTGTCAGTTGCATTGCCCTCTAGCGCACGAGAATGTAATGGCAGCGTACTGTACTTTGCACGACAGGTACACGTAATCGCTATCGATAGTGAGAACAACTGTCGACGACTCGACGTCTCCTTGCTTCATTTGGGCCAATCATTTCAATTATTGTAAGTTTACTTCTTAGGATGTTAGGAAAGACAAAGACAAAATACTGGGCCGTACTGGGAGACCATGCTCTGAAAGTTTCATTTTGCTGTTCTAGATCAGACGCCATGAAGAGCGGGCTTCTGTGTAAAACACGAGATGCTCTGGGTCTGGTTTTCAAAACCATTGAGGCCGCGACCTGCTGTGGTGATCTGACTCGGCATGCATGCTCACGCCAGGAACGTTTGCACGTTCCTAGGCACAGTCTTAGATTCCTGATGCGGCGGAGGTTTCAGCTCATTGTAGCCTGGGCGCGTCTGAGTCAACGCTCGGCTGTCAAGGGCCCAAATGGCATGTAGTTACGGCGCCACGCAGTAGCCCTACTTATGCTGTCTGGGAGTTCACCCTTGATCATGGTCTTTAGTAATTCAGGAAGGATGCGGTTTGGTTTCCGTGATCAGTCAGGTTCGGGTAGCCCAAGACAGCGTTCCAAGGCACGGAAACTGGGACGGGCCAAACGACGACACAGCTCAGCGCACAAGTCCTGTCTCCCAATCTCCTGCCACCCCTCTCTTAACGCTCATCATATATCCAACTCACATAGCACTCGCGCCAGCATCCTAACCTTCACACCAAGCCATCCTTACACCAAAGCCCGCAACGGAACCACGTCGGTCCTTCCTAGAGTGCACCACCAGCTCCAGCCCAAAACAATCCCTCGCCAGTAATTGCTCACAACCACTCAACGCTCGCTTCCGAGCACCAGCCACAGCATGGGCCACCCCAAACCAGCTCCTGCCTCTGCGCCACCGCCGCCCCAGCAGCCCACCAAGAAGGTCCCCAGGTACTGCGATGACCTGCAGGCGCCCATTCAAACGGCTGTGGGCACGGAGCCGCAAGCGCCCGTACACGGGGTGGAGTGGCGCAAGGTGGGTGTAGGGCTAAAGGCGCTAAACGGCCGCAAAACTGGCACTGTCCAGGGTTGTAGTAGGAGGTGCTGCCACGATGAAAAGGTGTGGGAGTGTGGGCTTGCTGTGTGCCCTAGAGCTGCCCTACGCTCACGTTCGCCAGCGAAGCCTACATGGCATGAAGCAGCCGACTTGATACGGGGACGGACCGTACCTCCGTCCTGGTTGACATGCCGGTTGTGGTTACCGTAACTAAGGACGGACCATGAACGTACATACATACTTCTCGGTTCTTCGGGCTCGGCCCATGTTTTGGATAAAAGTCCGTAGCGGTAGTACTGCAAAGCCGTACAACTGTATTTCCCGCCTCGCTTTGCCGTACAGGTTATGAACGGCGATCCGGTGGAGATCAACCCCTCCATTGGCAGCGGCTACAAGGTGGGGTATGTGGAGACATGCACCGCCGCGGGTGCCCATGCAATCAATTAAACCCTTGCTAAATCCAATAAATTGACATGTGCATGCATTTCTTCCTTCTCCCTTTCCGGCAAGCTGCTCACATGCCTCGCTCTAACCGCAAGGATACCACACTTCCGTACGTACACCGCCCTTCGCATGCTGCATGCGCGCATACCGTTACCCGCCACCCCCGGCCCCCCAGGTCATGTCGGTGGCTGAGTGGAGTGCGCGGTGGAAGCGCAATGAGGACTTCCCCGCCTGCCTGGCGGCGGGCTGCGGCAGCTCCGACACACGCGAACACTACTTCACGCAGACCTGGTGCAGGTGAGAAGCAAGGGGCCCGAGGGTTAGAGGAAAACCAAGCTGCTAGTTTTAGTTTGACGGTTCGTTGAGCTCATGTAGCGTGAGCACTTTACAGGCGTGTGCATCCTTGCCTCTTGCAATTCCCCAACAGGGGTCGACGCGTGTGGGCCAGCGAGTCCCTCTGCATGGCCTGCCACCACTTCTCCTGGCGTTCGTACCGGGATCCGGATTTCAAAACACCCGAGCAGTACGAGAAGGAGGTACGACAGGACACGAAAACATACACAATTGACACGCAGCTGCTTGTGGCTAATACTGGGTTAAACGTCACGGTGTACGGCCATTGTTTCCAGCATGGCGTGTTCTTGGTCGCCTTCGTGAGGGAGTTGTGATGGAGATAGAATTGCCCTAGCACAATCTAGTCCTGCGCTTCCGCCGATCCCTTTGCTTGCCCCGATGGATTGCAACACTACAGCTTTGGGAGAGCATGGCCACTGGTGCAAGGTCCAAGTAAGCCGCACGGCGTCCTAAGCAATTTGTCCAGGTAGCACGCCCGAGACCTGTCTCAAGACCAGCTGGATGCCCGCATCTTGCCTTACTGCGGCCAACAGACCTTAAGGTAGCTCTAAAGACGGAGCGGGTGCGAGTCCTTTTAGGACCTATCTGAAGGCGTGAGATAGGACAGCCAAGTTGGGGACGTGGAATGGCAATCGTCAGCTGGAAGACGCGTGAGGTGCTGCAGCAGATGTTCGATAGCTCAGACCGGATATATGGCCGGGCCAACTGCCCACATTGTTACGCATGCAACTTGGACATCACGTTCGTGTTCCTGGCCATGGCGTCGGTCGACGCACTCCATTGCTGTAAAGCCTCGCATACCGAGTGTTTCGCAACCTCAGCTAACTGCAGATATGGTGCCTTGTACTTGTGCTTGCCAGGTTCAAGCCTAAAGATACATTTGCGGGTTACCATATTCGCGTTCCTAAGTTTAGCACATCACTGTAAACGTGTAAAGCCCATTCCCCTTGGTCCGTGACTCAACACGTCTAAGTAAAACACGGAACCTTTAGGCCCACCGCAGACGCACTTAACGAACCATCTCGCAGGTCGTTACCCCAACCAGTCAGATTCCAACCGCCGACGGCGAAGATTCCCAAGCATGTTGACTCCGTGTAAATACCAACTAATAAGACAGCACACAAATTTGGTAGTTTGACATGACCATTAACCGCATGCCGCAGTTGATTGACGCGAACTCACCACCCGCGGAGAGGACGCTCCCTATGATGCTGGCAGCTCTTCTGTTATAGTGCTACAATACGTCATTACTATACAACCGGGTGATATGCCCCAATCCTGCAAGGCTAGCAACCCTAGTTGTGAGCACGTGCGCCAATGGGCTCCTCTTGTTCATCCCTCCGCACGCCGGTTTTTACATCCTTGAATTTAAGAGGGACCGATAGCAAGCTAAATAAGCAGCTATCGCTTAGGCCGGGCCTCTTCTCAGCTCCTGTGCCAGGCGCCTTCCTTGGCCTCCATGACACCGCCTTGCATTTGGCTAGCGAGCAGCGCAATTTACCGGTATGTAATCATTAAATATACACCAGTTACATAGAACGACAGCAGTCTACATTAAGCTACCGTCTGGAACTTACCGTAGTCACCAACTGCCAAGGCCTTCCTCGAACCATCATCGTCTGCCTGGCACTCCCTGGAACCATGCCGCTTGGTGCTGCCATCCTCCCCAGCGGTGATGCCGCGCACGTAATCATCTTCACACCCTCTATCCGCTCCTTCCGTCGTACAGGCCGTCAAACAGCTTCTGGTCTTCTTGTCATCAGCGGACCTAGACACCGCCCAAGCCGCGCTTCAGCCGTACTGCCGCCGCCTGAAGCTGCCGCTGCCCAGCAGCCCAGCGGAGGCAGTTCGACTGGCTGTCAACGCAGCTAACAACAAGGGTAAGACCGAAAACCTTGTTTGCGTGGTTGTCACACCACACTGACAGTCGCGGTAGATAGCTGAGGGTTGATGGAAACGGCCTGAGGCGGGAGCCAGCCTCTTAGAAGGAGTGCCGGCCACTCGTCTTTGTGAGAAGGGCCACCCGCAACAAGCCATAGCGGGGATCCATGCACTGCTGCAGCCTTGTTGCGCTGTTTGCGCCATCATGCAGCTCCAGATGCAGGGACACAGGGCCATCATGCAGCCCCAGACACATCATCAATTCATCATCGCACTGCCATCTTTCGCTCCACACACGCGCCAGGTGTCACTCATACGCAGCTCACTTCGTGGCCTCATGGCAAGTGTTCTAACGCGCATTCGTAACCACCACACATGCACACACCTGCGCGCGCGCCCTCACACAGGCCAGACCCCGCTCATGTACGCCTGCTATGCGGGCTGCGCGGACATTGTGAGGGAGCTCCTGGCGCAGGTGAGACGTGAGGGAGGACGGGCGTGAAACGCGAGACGTGAGACGTGAGGGAGGAGGGACGTGAGATGTGAGACGTGGGGTGTGCGGGCAGCCTGCATGATGAGACATAAGGGAGCAGCCGGCAGGGAGCAGCTGACCAGCCAGCCAGCCTTAGCGGGCAATCACGCAACAGCACCGGCTTTGAACGGCCCCTGTAGTTTGCTGATTGCAAGAGACCAGGCAGCGACCGGGCTGACTTGCGCGGCTGCTGTTGCTGCTGCTCCACTCCTGTGTTAGCCTTCCGCCGCCGACGTGCCTTCCTTGACGTATCAAGGATTCAGAATGGACTGCCTCCCTGTCGTGTTTGCCGGCGGGTGCCTGGTGCCTGGCTCCCTGCTGTGTGCCTGCCACTGCAGGGCGCACACCCCTGGGTGGCGGACAACTGCGGATATCGCAACGCCCTCCATGTGAGTCGCGTGCGGGTTACTGGCTGCTCACACGAATCGCAGGATCGCAGCTACTTGGGCCAGTGGCATGAGCGCAGCACATGGGTCTGTAGGTGTCTGGAGTAGCGGCCTTGGCTTGTTGGGAGCTGGCGACGGTGACCCATGGGTCGTGGTTCGGCACCTTTCAGTGCCAGCGTTGCCCACCCATGTGGCATGTCGCGTGTTGTAACCCCCGCGTGTCAATAGCGACGGGCAGCCCGTACGTCTCTCGCAGCCTATCTATACCGGTAGCCGTTATGAAGGCCTTGTGTATGTGTCCCATGCCCCAACTCTTCACAGCAACTCCCCCACTCCTTGCCTCCCCCACTTCCCCTCACCCGCCCACTCCCTCCACTCCATGCCTCCCCCACTCCCCTCACCCGGGCAGTACGCAGCCATGGCGGGCAGCACCGCGTGCATCGAGGCGCTCATGAGCGGCTCGCCGCCCAGCCTGCTTGTACGGCAGGGACAAAGGTACGGCAGCGGCAGGGGTACGGCAGGGGCAGGAACACGGCAGGACATGTCTCTCCTTGTGGCACAGCGCTTGTGGCACAGAGCGTCCTTAACTGACTGCTCCCTCGCCACACAGACCTCTCCTCCTCCTCCTCCTCCTACTCCTCCGCCTTCCTTTCCCCACCTCCCCACCGCGCCACTCTCATTCACCGCATTGGGTACCCTATTCTTCCCCACCCATCCCCGCCAGGCTCGTTAACGCCCGCTCCCTCAGCGGTCTCACCCCCCTGCACTACGCCGTCGCCTTCAACCACACGCCCGCGGTCGCCGCGCTGCTGCTCCACGACCCCAACATAAACGCGGGGTCCACGGGCGAGAGCTTCGACGTGTGGGTGACGTACGACACGCTGTCCACTCCGCTGCACTTTGCGGCCGTGAAAGACAACGTGGCAGCGTCGGCGCTGCTGCTGCGGCACTACGTAAGCTGTGGTTGCTCCTCTCCCGCTATGTCCAATGACTGTGCGACGGTAACCCTTCGTCAGTGCCTTCCGTCAGTCTTCCTTTTGCCCATACGCCTCCTCCTCCTCCTCCACCTCCACCAACCCCAAACCCGTCCCCCTCCTCCTCCCTTTCTTCTCTTCCCCCCCAGCTCCGCCACCGGCGCAACGGCTCCCTGCTCGACCCCCGCCAGCGCGCCAACTCCGCCGGAAAACTGCCCTGGCAGCTCGCCCGCAGGCCGCTGCTGACGGCGCTGCTGCACCCCGGGATGCAGCCGGCGGCGGCGCTGGCGATGCCGCAGGTGGCGGCGGCGCTTCGAGCGTATGTCGGCAATGGCAACGGCGACGGCCCGGCGGCGGAGGGCGAGGAGGATGAGGGCGAGGTGGGGCCGCCGACGCTGGCGGCGATTGCGGCGGCGGCGTTACGGCAGAAGTTGTTGGCATCGCTGGAGGCGATTGAGCGGGAGTGTGTGGAGGAGGCGGAGGAGGAAGAGGAGGAGCGGGCGGATGGCAGGGGGCGGCAGGTGGGTTTCCAGAAGGACACACCCTTGCCAGGGCCTTGTGCTTGGTCTTGTACTTGATCTTGTGCTTGGTCTTGTGCTTGGTCTTGTGCTTGGTCTTGTGCTTGGTCCTCCGTTTGCCCTGCTTTCACACTGCTCTCGAACAGCTAGCTACCCTACCAGCTCTCACGCGTACATGATGACAACCGGGGTTCCCTCTAAACCCCCCTTCCAAACGCAGCGTTCCGGGCGGGGCAGCAGGATCCTCTGCGGTGCCTCCTCCCGTCGCGGCGGCTTCGGTAGCACGTTGCCTCTCTCCTCCAGCATATCCCGACTATCACGTCTGGCGTCCGGCCGCCTCAGCCGCCGCGGCACCGCCTCAGCCTCCATGCAGCTCCCAGCCACGCCGCGGCAAGCACCCTCCCTGGATCGGTTGGGAAGCCATGCAATGCCGTACGATCTGGTTCCGGGTCTTATCGCGCCTGAGGACTTTCTAGACGGTGCGGCGTCTCCGCAACCGCAGCAGCAGTTATCGCCACAATCGCGTTCAGCAGCTAGGTACGCTGCGGCGACGGCAACTCCAGCGGGAGGAGAGGGAGGAGAGTCGACGTTGGCGCCTTCCCCGCCACTGCGACCCACGGGTCGGACCAGTGCGGGCGGGGGCGTTACAGGGCCCACATTGCAGGGCCGCAACAGTCATCGCATGCAGCGTTCAGCTGAGCGAGTGACGGTTGACGGCATTACGCAACAACATAACGGTAACAGTTCTCCTAGCAGGAGGACTGTACCGCACAACGGCATGGCGCCCTCTTCATCTGCAGCTGCTTTCGTGACACCGAACATCGGAGGAGGTGGGCCCACCGGTTACCTTGGAAGCAGCGGTTTCCCCACCTCGCCCTTTTCCAATATCGCTGGAGGACCCATTTTGCCCGGCGCAACTGCCTCCAACGGTTCGTCCCATCGTAAGCGCTCCGCATCCATTTGCTGTGCTCCCAGCCTGGGGAGGGAGATCGCTCCGGGGGGAGTGCATGGGAACACGTGGGGGCACATGGGTCGAAGCAACGGCGGCGGCGGCGGCGGCGGTGGTCATCTAAGCACGACGTCCTCAATCCCAGCTGGCGGCTCTCCGACTTCGTCAGAACGACTCTTCGCCGTACATTGCGTTGGCGGCGGCGGCAGCACTGCCGTACGATACGGCTCAATGACGCCGCCGGCGGGTGCCTCGCCAACTCATGGAAGCGGCAACGGCGGCGGCGGCGGCGGTGGATACTATAGCTCCACCGCCGCCGCTGCCGCCGCCGAGTCGCTTAGCGGCGCCGGCGCCGGCGTCGACCCAGCCCTTCCGTACCCGCCGATTACCAACATGTTTAGCCCCGCTGCTTCCTTGGCGGCTTTCGGAGGCGGCGGCGGCGGCGGCGGATCCGCATTCGCGGTCGTCAACGACGGCGACATTGGCGGCATTGGATTGTACGGCAATGGTGGCGCTGACGATGACGTATGCGGCGGCAGCAATGAGGGATGGGAGGACGACGGCATCTGCAGCGTGTGTTTTGCTCGTCCCGAGGCCGCCGCCCCGGCCACGTGTCATCACGGCATCTGCAGCGTGTGTGCGGGGGAGCTGTGTCGTGCGGTGAGCAGCCGGCCGCTGCTGTGCCCCTTCTGCAGGCAGCCAGTCACGGACTTTGTGCGCGTGGCGGCGCCGGCGGGAGGAGCTGCAGCACGGGCAGCAAGCGGCAGGCGCGACAGGGGGAGGGGCCGGCAGCAATCGCGGTCATAGCAACAGAAAACATCCAAAACGGTGCATGACTGACCTTGTATAACGGCCATTCAGGCTTAGGTCATGGGTACCGGTATGTCATTTGTCCACCGGACCTGCAATACACAGCAGCACTCAATCCTTTAGTCCGGGTAATGGAGGTACCGGTGCTCCTCAACTCATGCCGAGGCGGGACATGGGTCAACGAAGCGCCTGGTTACGAACACTACAGACGTTTACAACACATGTGTGTTGGTATGTGTCGGTGTGTGTTATGCAACGTAAACTGGTAACCTGGCGACCTTCACTGAACATTCACAGCAGGAGCTGTTAATGGTAATAGGTGGTGGTGATGGTGGTGGTGGTGGTGGCAGACGAGATGAACTTAATGCCGCCGCTGCTGTGGCACGTATTGTACGGCAAGAGTCCTGACGATGCCGTACATATGCCGCACCAAGGAGGCTGCCGACGTTCTGACGTTTGACCGTGCGTTGACCCGGACACAAGGCCCAAAGGGGCATCGTGCGCTTGGGCAACAGCATGCATCGGCTAAACGGTAACCTTTGGCGCACGAGGAAGCCTAGGAGGAGGGGGGTTTGCCACTGCGTTGCCTCTTCCCCCGGCGGCACTCATCTCCCCTGGGCCAGCCACGGTCATGTACCGGTATATTGTGAGGTTTATGACCCTGATCGTGCAACAGTGGTAACGGATTTGAAATTGCCCGCTCTGTCTTCAAGGCTCCCGGTAACGCGGGGCAATTATGGCAAGAAACTGCTCGCAGCCACAAGCCGGGCAACTGGGCCCGTATTTCGTCTTGTGTGGCTGATTGTGTTCATAGCGAAGGCTTTTTGAGCGAAACAAATACGCACCGGCATACTGTGAAAGGGCTGTTCTTCTCATGAAAGATGCAAAACTGGGAGAAGAAGGAGAACATTAGTATGTTCCTTGCACGACCATCTACGTGTAAGCCGGGTCCATCCACGAGTCTTTTGCGAGCGGTTTGCGACGCCCCATCGTGGTCGGGCGGACGACCCACGGGCCATAAGGACCGCGAAGGCGCCTGAAGAGCCGCAACCCACTCCCTTGCGCGGCACAAATAAACCTGAAGTAGAGGACAGGGTATTAGTGGCTCTGCTTTAAGCTGTGTAGGCGATGCGAGATGTTGTGAGGGCTTCTCGGCTGGGCCGTTAAAAGCTATGTCTGCCAAAGTAGTACAGCTGAAACTCTCTATATCGCTTCTTGCTTGGACACCAGCATCTCACGCCAACCTGGTTACCATACAGCAAACGAGCACCTCAATGTTTATTTCTTACTTTTATGTACCACACTGTCCAAAAGCTCCGACTACAACTAACACTTGCTGGTTGTTCAGCTTTTTCCACCGCTGGAGGGACCTGTGATTTGACCCTCAGTTAACATGCAGCAGCCAGCCGCAGCGGCAGTTTATGTGCGCGTCCTTGTTTGCTTGCTGCTCCTGACCGCAGTCGGGGCGACGCGTTCTAGACCTGCGGATGACGAAGCCGACAAAGCAGCGCTTTCCTCCCCCGCTTCACCGCCAAAAGCATTAGGACAGCAACCACTTTTGGCCAGCAACGAAAGCACGGTCAACAAAGACGGCACCCTCGACCTCGATCCCTACTTATCCCCACCGCCCCGCGAATTTGCCACCACCACCAGCCACATCAGCAGCGCCGGCAGTGGGCATACAAACGCGGAGTCCCAACCAACGCAGCAATCCCCAGCTGCCCCTTCTAGCAGTGTAGACGACGTCAGCACACAATCCCCAGCTGCCACACCACACCTTCCGTCGCCGCCGTCGCCTCAATCCATTCCTTGGCGATCCATGCCGCTACCGCTGCCGCTGCCGCACACGTACCCATCATCGCCACCTGCCCCACCACTTTCCTCTTCTTCAGCGGCTCCCTCACCATGCCCCCCAGCGCCCTCACCCCCAACGACCTCCTCAGCAAGGTCGTCAACAGACCCGCCCCCTGCGTTCTGGTTCTGGCACAAACGCCACGTCTCGCCTCTTCCCCTCCCAGCCCAGAGCGCCAAGGGCGGCACCTCCAGCAGCAGTAACTCCACAACCACGGCCAACGGCAGGTACGACAAAAGCAACAACAGCAGCAGCCGTACCGGCAGTTGCAGTGGCAGCAGTAGCGATGGCAGCAGCGGCTCTAGGCAAGGTGGACGCGGGGGTTACAATCCTCATGGCGACGGTGGTAACAATGAAGGTGATCATCAGAACGGTGGCAAGAGCAGCGGCAACAGCAGCGGTAGCATCCATATTAAGGTTGGCGGCGGCATTGGAAGCACCAACGGCAGCAGCAGTATCAACGGTCGCGGAGGTGTCGTCAACGGCCCACAACCGCAACCCGCCGGTGACATTGGCTTCCAGTACAACCTACTGGTAAGCAAGACTTACGGACATACACCACCCGATACACACCTTGCTCTTGTCGTACATGACGTGTTGTCGTATCAGTATGGAGTAAAAATAACTGGCCGCGAGGCGAAACCAGTACATGTAGTAGTGTAAACATTCAACACGAACGTAAACTCCGTACACTAGGCTGCTTGTGCTATGCTACCTGTGGAGGCGTCTTAACAATGTGACCCTCATCATGCACATGGCATGTGATGTCTCCATGCACATGGCATGAGCCCCACCGCGTGCCGTACCAGAATGTAATTGTACGACATTAATACGGCAATCAACATGCAACGTTACTGTCGCTGCCGCTGCCGCTACCCATGCTACTACAGATCTGGGGGGTCTTCATGATCCCCGTGTTGGTGGTCCTGCTCATGCTCTGCTGCTGCGTGCGCGTCTGTCTCCAGCGTTGGCGGGCGAGGAGGCGTCGCAGAGCCCCTGCAACAACAACAGCCACGCCAACCACCACGCCTTCCTCAGCATCGGTTTCCGCCGCCGTCGTCCGACCCACGGCGCTGGAAAGGGCTGCCGCCGCCGCAGCTGCCGCAGGCCAGCTGGGCAGAAGCGGCAACGCCGGCAACGCCGGCAACAGCGGCGGAAGCGTGGGCAGGCGTGCGAGGAGCAGCGACTTGTCTCAGGGCCTGTCGAGGCTCCTGGCACGCAGCCAGCAGCAGCAGCAGCAACAACAGCAGCAGCAGCAACGGTCGCAGCGGCTACAGAGACAGGAGCAGCAGAGGCAACGGCAGCAGTGGCTGCAGAGCGCGCTGGCTGAAGGATCGACTGCGGCGCTGTTTGGACCGCCCTTCGAACAGGTGAATGAGCTGCCCGTCACGTTCCCGCCCGTGATCTTCCCACCGCAGCCGCCGCCGCCATACCAGCAACAACGGGTGGTTAACAACTGGGAGGATTTAATATCTGCTGCGTTAACGGCGGCCGTTATCGAGGTGAGTACGACAGCTTTGTGTACGGATGCTGTGCGAAGCATTGTCAACGGTATGCTGTGCGACGCTGCGTCGTCATACCTGCATTGGAAGGACTTTTGTAAAGCACTCTGCGCTTTAACCAACAACTCTCATCCCTTGCCGCGTAACGTTATTCCGCTGTGCGTGCTTTCACGCATGCGTAAACACGGTCACTTGGGCCCTCAATCGCTTTGGAATGTGTGCATGCAGGCAGCGGCGGCAGGAGAGGCTCCAGCCGGCGGCGGCGCGGCTCCCTCGCCGCCGCCACCTGCAGGCCCCATGCGCCGCGCGGCCATGCCGGGCATCACATCAGACCTGCTGCAGGTGAGGACTGTCTTCCGCCGGGTGCTTGTGCTGGTGTTGGGATCGGGGTATCGGGGGAGGGGGTAAGGGCACGTGGGCTTCAATAAGAGCGCGCAGGGTTCGCACCGGTATAACTTGTAACACGAAATCGCACGTCCTATTACCGTAACAAGGCCCTCCTGCCAATCGCGCCCCATCGGTCTCACGTGCCGCCGCAGGACCTCCCCATCTTCATCCTACCGGAGCGGCCGCCGCCGAATGCGGAGGGCAGCCGAGACAGCGCCGCCGGCGGTAGCGCCCGTGATGGTGGCGGCGGCGGCGGCACCCTCAGCGGCGGCAGCGCCTGGGCGACGGCGGCCTCCGCCAAGGAAGAGCCTGGCGGCGGCGGCGGCGGTGGCCGAGGCCCGCCGCAGCCGTCACCTGCCTCCCTCGCGCTCGCCCCCGCCGGCCCTGAGGAAGTCTCCGCTGAGCTTTCTCCGCCGTCGGAAGCATTCTCTACGCCGGCGGCAGCGGCGACGGCGTCGGAGACGTCAAGGCGAGGCGTCAGGTCAGCTGGAGGCGCACTGGAAATGGGATCCAGAAGGTCGCTGCCGCCGCCAGCGCCGCCGCCGCCGCCACCGTCGTTAGCGTCGTCACCTCGGTCGACGGCGGCGACGGCGGGCTCGTTGGCCGGCGGCGGTGCCGCATCGGAGGCCTCCTCAGCACCGGCGGCGGCGCCGCCGCCAGCGGCGGAGGCGGCTGCATGGCAGATGGCTCGTCTGCCGCGCGTCGGCGGGCAGGGCCGGCCCAGCAGCAGCAGCCTGGGCGGCGCCGCCGCCGCCCGTCGCGCCTCTTCAAGCCTTGCAGCAGGCGAACCGTATGGCATGGAGCTTGAAGATCTGGATGTTTCGGAAAGACTGTCGCCATCGACGGCGGCAACGTTAGCGGCACCTGCATCAGGGCAGCATCGACCGCACGACAGGTTTTACCCGTACGGCAGGGGACGGTACGGCAGTTCAGATCGAGAGGGATCTGGATCCGGTCTTCCGTCGGCGTATGAGGAGGAAGAAGGGCGCGCCGCAGCCGCCGCAGGGACCGCGGTGTCAGGTGTCCTCAAAGAGGAGGAGGAAAAGGAGGAAGAAGGCCGCGGCCACGGCCGCGGCGGCGGCGGTGGCGGTGGCGGGCAGGATGTGGATGAGGAGGAGCTATCAGATGAGGAACGGGAACGCGCGCGAGCAGATAAGCTTGCATGGCAACTGGCGGAGGGGACGGGTGTATGCACGGTGTGTTTGAGCGGCTTTACTCCAGGGGAGGAACTGCGGCTGCTGCCTGGCTGCGGTCACGTGTTCCATAGCGCTTGTGTGGACAGGTGGTTGACCGTTAGCGCCTCGTGTCCTAACTGTCGTACAATTGTATTGCCGGCTTGGGTGGTCGAAACGGTTTTGGAGGCGTCGACGGCGCGGCAGCAGCGCAGGCAGCAGAGCGGCAGCTCGGGTTCGCGTGCGCCTCCTCGCCGCACGTAGGTGGTTACTAACCGGTAGTTCGTTGATGTCGAGAGCTGAAGAGGGTCCCATTGTCGTACCGCCGTACCGTTGAACTGTTTTTTGGCCGGTTGTTGTGGTGAATGCATCGAGTCAAGTAGGCTAATAAGCTGGTTGCATGGGTTAGCTTCGACGGCCAGGAATGCTCCAGGATTCCCCAGCAGGCATTCGTGTACGACATGAACTGACGGCAAGTACGGCAAAAAGCGGTACCGGCACCATCTGTGACAGTTGCATTCTCCTTTTTGCCGTTACGGGGTTGCAACGTAACGGCAGTGCTGCCGAGTGGAGCGAACAGTATCGTACGGTTGCAAAGTTGAGGGATGTACATGCAGGCGGTGTCTGGTTACCGTATCAGAGTCAGGCTATCGATGTGGCTAAAGCGGGATGGAGCGGGGCAATCAGACGAGTGAACCTTACATGGCAGGACGACGTCACCAAACCGCGAGCGAGCGCAACCACACCCGCCAAGCAACAGGGGCCGACCATCCATCGGCAACCTACCAAAAACAGCCACGCGGCAACCACAAGGTAAAACCCACAACCCGCTGCGTCGTGTTGCGCCAGCTGACGGCACATCCCAAACAACTAGGACGCCAGGAACCCACCAAAACCTGGGACCGCCTGTCAGCCCCTGCCTTCCCGATGCATACAAAGCAATCAAGCAAGCACGGAGCGAGTATAGCGAGGGAAAACGGGAACAGGGGCGCACAAGGGCAAAACCCTCGCCACAGCTCCGGCCAGAAACCTGAGCTAACTACCGGTACATCCCAAACAACTAGGACGCCAGGAACCCACCAAAACCTGGGACCGCCTGTCAGCCCCTGCCTTCCCGATGCATACAAAGCAATCAAGCAAGCACGGAGCGAGTATAGCGAGGGAAAACGGGAACAGGGGCGCACAAGGGCAAAACCCTCGCCACAGCTCCGGCCAGAAACCTGAGCTAACTACCGGTAGGCAGACGACCCGAACAATTTAATACGTTTGTTTTACCCACAAGCCAAACAACCTCAGGAGTCCCAGCGGACAACCAGGCAACTAAGCACAAGCAAGGAACCAACCAACACCTGAGACCTCCTCCCCGCGCAGCCCCCACAGCGCTAGCCAACCCCGGTACCAACTGGCATGACCAGCGATACATCAGCCCCTTCATGCAGTACGTAACCACAGTAGCCGTCACATTCCTGCGAGCTCCCTCTGCTCCATCTCCGCAATCTCGTCGTGAGCACTCCCAGCGCCTGCCGCCTGGGCGGAGTTGAGGAGCGGGGACGAACAGGGCGGGGCACAAGCCTGGAGGAGGGCCGGGCAAAGGGGGGGAATGGTAACCACGCTGAGCGATGTGCATGCTCTTCTGGTGTAGGCAGAAGGCCCGAACCTAGGGAGTGAAGGAGTAACACCTCATGCAGCTCCTATGCTGCCGTACAAACATGGCTCCCTACGATCGATTAGCTGCTTCCTCTGTGTACTGTGCATACCACTGCACTGTGCTCCCCCCCTCCCCCTCCCCCTCCCCCCTCCCCCCTCCCCCCCCCCCTCCCCCCCCCCCCTCCCCCTCCCCCTCCCCCTCCCCCTCCCCCTCCCCCTCCCCCCTCCCCCCCCCCCTCCCCCCCCCCCCCCCCCCTCCCCCCCCCCCCCCCCCTCCCCCCCCCCCTCCCCCCTCCCCTCCCCCTCCCCCCTCCCCCCCCCCCTCCCCCCCCCCCCCTCCCCCTCCCCCCCCCCCCTCCCCCTCCCCCTCCCCCTCCCCCTCCCCCTCCCCCTCCCCCTCCCCCCCCCCCTCCCCCTCCCCCTCCCCCCTCCCCCTCCCCCCCCCCCCCCCCCCCTCCCCCCCCCCCTCCCCCCCCCCCCCCCCTCCCCCCCCCCCCCCTCCCCCCTCCCCTCCCCCCTCCCCCTCCCCCTCCCCCTCCCCCTCCCCCTCCCCCCCCCTCCCCCTCCCTGTTAACAGCAGCAGCCCATTCACCGCTGGGTCGTTGCCCCCGCCGCCCCCGCCGCCGCTGTCGTACCCATGACCGCCACTACATACAGCTCCGCCATCAGGTCCGGGCTGGCCGCCGCCAGCCGCCGTACGCTCTCCGGCGCCTCCGTCACCACCGCCGTCGCGTGTCGGAGGTACAGCCTCCGCAAACCCCCCAGGTGGTCCGCAAAGGGGGACAAGTCGCAGCTGCTGTGAGCCTCGGCCCACAACATGTCGTCAACAAGGGTGGTGGGCCAGGCGGCCGCCAGCAGCCGCCGCAGGGCCTCGGCCAGCAGGTCCGGCAGCAGCAGCCGATCCGCAAGCTCGGCTACAGACCGCAGGAGTGAGGGCGGCGTGTACGGCAGCGGGTCAACGGTGCAGTTGTAGCAGCCGCGGCATTGGGTTTGGTAGCAGTGGCGGAGCACGGCGGCGAAGGCACCTGGGTCGGCTTCGGGAAGGGCGATTTCAGCCATGCTGGCGGAGGCGGCGGCAGCGCCGGCGGAGGCGGCGCCAGCACCTGCGGTGCAGCTCTCTGCAAAGGCCCCACCGAAGAAGAGGGTACGGAAGTAGTCGGAACAGGCCGCTAGTACGGCTCTGTGCGCTTGGAAGCACACCCCGCCATCCAGGCGAATGGTCACATCAGCCGTCGGGTCCTCGACATCGTTGACACCGCCAATGACGCCGTCAACATGCATGACGTCCTCGTATACGTCGACGTCCTCCTCCTGCTGCGGCGGTGGCGGTGGCGGTGGCGCAACCATAGACGGCCGTAGACGGCGGTGGCCGCATGGGCCAGCAGCCGGCATGGGCACCGTTAGCGGCGGCGGCGGCAGACCCAACGCCACCAGGGTAACCACATTGTCGTTTGCAGACGAAGCCGCCAGGCAGCCATTTGGCAGCACGGCGAGAGCGCGGGAATACGCGGACATGTCTGTAAGCAGCGTCGTCACGCAACAGTTGCCAATGTCTACCCGGCGGAGGCGGCCGTTGTCAATTACCCAGGCCACACCGCCTCGGGCATCCACTGCAATCCCCAATATGCCCTGGAACCGTGCGTCCGTCGCGCTACCGTCTGCAGTGCCGCTGCTTCCCTGCAGCCCAGCTACTAGCAGAGGCTGCGGCAGCGAAGACGAGCCGCTACCGCCGCCGCCGCCGCCGCCGCTGCTGCTGCTGCTGCCATCATCATCACCACCATCTCCGCTACTCACTGCCGAGCGGTGCGCTGGCGGGGGCAGCCTGAACCGATACAGGGCGGTGGAGGTAGCGGCCAGGAGGGCGCCGGTAGCCGCGTCGAAGGCAAGTGCAGTCCACGGAGCCGAATCGCCGCGAGTGTACAGCGTTGAAACTGTAGCGGTGAAGGGCGTAGCGATGGCTGGGGCGTTGCATCGGGGGCCTGAGGCTCCTTCTCGACCGCTACTGCTGCTGCTGCCACCGCCGCCGCCGCTGCTGCCACTGCCGCCGCTGCTACTGCTGTTTCCCTTTGGAGTTTCCCCCTTGGGTTCGGCGGTGCCCTCATGGACGTGCCGTCGTCGTGGCTGGAATCCTTGCTGGCCCTCGTGCGGCGGCGGCGCCCACACTTGCACCCGACGCAGCCTGTTGTATTCAGCTACAATCAGCGACCCCTCCCCATCTGCGACGATGCCGGTACTCACGAAACCTTGAAACCGTGCTGTGGCTGCCGGGCCGTCAACAGATCCAGCCTCGCTGGGACTACCCGCCACTAACATCACCTCCTGGACTTCACTGCCCTCAGCTGCGGGTCGCATAGCCATGAGGGCGTAACCATCTGTGAAGTAGACAGCGTCGGTCTTTGGCTCCCAAGCGGCAGCAGATACGATACCCTGAGGCGCATACGGATACGCGGCGGGTGCTGGTATCGTTGCAGCGGCGGCTGTATCTGACTGGTTGGCGGTGGCTTGGGAGGTCTGGGTCTTGGAAACGCTGCTGTGCTGAAGCTGCAGCTTTGGGCCAATACTGATGCTCGCGGAGAGGCTGTTGGAGACATTGAGGATGTACCAGCCGCGCAAGCTGCCGTTTGCATTGGAAAGCACCAGTGTCTGCGATGTATCGGTGGTGCTGCTGCAGGGGCGCGTGACTAGTGCAGTTGGGGTCTGGAGACTTACGCGAGCGCTAGGGAACACCATAGTGCAGGCAAGCGGCGAAGAACTTAAGCAGGTTGCCCCAGTGACCCGCGGGTCGTTATCGGAATGACTAGTACCGGCTTCTGCAGCTCGACTTCATTGGTTCCCAAATTTTTACTTAAAAGGCTTAACGTGTCGGGTGCGAACTAGCTAGGGTTGCTTGACCACATGAATCCAAGCCGTGGTTCACGGGTACAAAACCTTTCCTTTGGACGGAAGACACGATTGGACACTGCTCCTTGGCCCTCGACGACGCTCCTTGCTAAGACGTAACACTTAGCAGCAGAAGCGACATTACTTTTAACCGTTTACCCATTACGAGATAACCAGATAAGGGTTTCCCAAAAGCAAATACAATTGACGCTTAACGGCGTACCTCTGAACATACACCTTGCATACATAAACAACACTCGACTCCAGACGTGAACGAAACCAGATAGCGCCCGCAGGCTCCTGCGCTGTTAATGGCACAATATCCGACGACGATGTCACGCACACATCACCCAGTAAGGTCACCCATCAACCGCCATACTGACAAAAGCATAGGCGTTCCAAAGCCATACACACACCACCACATTCCCATGTGCTACCTAGGGTACCACCCGTTACAAAGCCCTAGCGGCGCAGCGGTGAGGGCAGCCGGGTGCGTGGCCTCGGACTCGGTGACCCCCCACCTCCACCTCCACCTCCTCCCATCATCCCACCGCCTCCACCTGACAGCTCCTTACCACCCCCTGCTGCTCCTGTACCGCTCCCGCCCGCCATTCGGCCCTTTAACCGTCCTGCTGCTGCTGCTACCCCGCCTATATCCCCCGGCGCGCTAGCACCCCTCCGCGGAGACCTCTGTGGTGAAACCGCCAACGTACGAACCGCCATCGCAGCCGCCGCGGCTGCCCCCGCCGCCTTCGCCGCAGCCGCCAAACCGCCGCTTAAAAGACCCCCAGACCTACGCACACCCGCTGTTGCTGCTGTTACCGTCGCTGTGCCTGATTGTGCTGCGCCCATCATCCCCATGCCCTCCTCGGCGGACTGTCGTACCGGTACCTGCCCCAAACGAGCTGCGGCTCCCCCAGTGGAAGCACCCGCACCCGCACCCGCTTCCCGCGCTATGCCGCCGGCGGTACCCCTACCGCCACCACCACCAGTGCCAGCAGCAGCCCTAGCACTAGCAGCACGCTGCGGCTGCTGTGTGTGAAACACGGGCTCGTAAAAGTGCTCAGAGCGCACCAGGCAGCCGCGGGTGCGGTCCGTGTGGCCCGCTGCCTGGCAGGTCATCCACTCGGGTGTGAACGTGAGGCTGCCGGGCTGGCTGAGCAGTGCGGGGTGGAAGCGGCAGCAGCCGGGGCTGGTGGCGTCGTTCAGGCCGCAGCGGAGGCACCTGACGGGGGGGGCCGGGTGGGGTGCGAGGAGGAGGAGAGGGTACGGCAGGCGGGAGTTGGGGTTTTGTGTGCTGTGCGCAGTGCGTTATAATAAGAGTTTGGTGATACCGTACCGGTCGTTTCCCAGAAGCACTGCTGCCGCACCAGTTCTCATTGGCGCGCGTGTTGAGTCGCACCCATGCTGCCATCAAGGTGCTCCCAGCATGCGCCCAGCACTCCTCCCCCGCAACATCTTCACCTCCACCCTTACCTGGGCATGCTCGCAGCCGCAGCCGGATTGCCACTGCCGCTCCAAGCCACAGCCGAACCACCTCGCTGCCCGTCTCCTCCTCTCAGCGGCGACGGTGGCGACCCCGCCCGACTCCCACACCCTCCTCCTCCACCTCCTGCTGCTCCGCCTCCTCCCCCTGCTGCCGAAGCCCTCACTGTCCCTGCATGCCCCGGAACCCCCGCGCCCGCAGCCCCTGCCGGCCGTAGCGGAGAACCGCGCCGCGATCCCTCTGTTCCTCCCCCACCGCCACCACCACCATAGCCAGCGGAAGGCCAAGACCTCCCGCCCGACGCCTCCACTGGCGCCACCACAGTCCGCTGCTGCTGCCGATCCTCGTCACCCCCCTCAGAGGAAGCGGCCGGCCTCCAGCGACCCAACGTGACCTCTGACGCCGCCTGGTCAGGACTGCCAGGACGCTGCATGGCCGTGGGCGCTGCAGCAGCATGAGCCCCATAGCAGCCGCCGTCACCAGCCGTACAGCCGCCACCGCAACCCAGGGCGCCGCAACCGCACCCACAGCCGAGATGCTTGGATGCAGCGGCATCTGCAGCAGCACTAGCATGCATTGCAACCATGCCGGCAAAGCAGCCAGCAGCAGGGCGCGGGTTGCCGCCAGCAGCGTGGGTTGAAGGCATTGTGGTGGCTGCTGCTGCCGCTCCTGCTCCTAGGGCAGTTGCCGTACGGTTGGGGTCCGCCACCCTAGCAGCGCCTGCGATGGCTAGGCCGCTCCGGCTGAAGCTGCTGCTGCTGTTGTTGTTGTTGCCGCTACCGTGCATGACAGCATTCACGATCTCACTGAGGCGGGAGCTGGAGGCGCCTGAGGGTGGCGGTGGCGGGTCCACACATGCGCCTCCTGCAGCCAGGGGGCGTGCAAGGTTGCGTGTAAGGCAAGGGGAAAGGCACGGCGATGACCAGGGTGCCATGTGAAAACCCACTTGGCTCTATTGGAAAACGCTTGGCTCTATGGCGACATCCCAGGTCATCAGGTGATTATCCACATGAGCTGACAAGCTGGCTGTGCAAAAAAGGCCAGGTAATTAACCCCTTACCTTGTCCCCGTGCACTGCGGCTTGTTGGCGTGGCCGCAACGTCCTCCGAAACATCCAGGATCGTGCTACCAAACTCATCCAGTGATAGCCGTACAGAAGAGGCACTACAGCCTGGAGATCCCCTACGGTTACTACTGCCGCCGCCGTTAGGAGCGCCCTCGCCAAAGTCGCCTGCACCGCCCCTCACGGCAGCAGCTTCTCGGCTTCCCGGTCGACCAACGCACTGCTGCAAGTGCTGGCAACATCCCTGTTGTTGATGCTGCTGCTGCTGATGATGATGTGGACACGCATTGCAGTAGTCCTTGGCCGCATGGTTCATCTGATGCCCAGGTCCCCAACATGGCAGCGCCGGTTGCGCTGCTGACGGCTGCAGCCGCTCAGCAACCGGAGCAGCTGCAGCTGCTGTTGTTGCATGCGGATCGTGGGCAAACCACTGCTGGTGCGGCCCGGACTGGCCGGCGGCGGCGCCTGAGCCCTCTTGTTGTCTGGAGCCCGAGGCCGGAGGAGCACTGCCACCGCAGGCAGCGGCAGCACTGTTTGCGTAGTTGCCGCAGCTGCTTCCTGCGGAGGCGCAAAGGGATCACGCAGGGCCGTTTGCATGACAGTAAACGGGAACTGCGGACAACACCATACTATCAAATCACCTTGTATTAAAGGAAACAGTCACCCCTCACCCATCTGCACACTGCCGCGTTTGCTCCCCGGCCATGCCTCACGGAACACATCGCATCTCTTTACGAATTCCTCCATACACACACAGCGACCACTTTTCTTTTACAGACACAGCGGCCGGTTTTGCTAACACGCACACAGAAAACGCACCTACAGAGCGCTGCGGCTCCCCCCCGCTGCTGAGCTGCCTCCTCAGGTCCGCCAGCTCCGCCAGCAGGGAGGTGTAGTCGCGCTCGCGCTGCTGCAGCGCCGCTTGCCACTCCGCCTGTGCCGCATGGCAGCATGGGAGAGGGGAGAGGCAACATGGCGTGTGTTAAGAAAACTTGCCGTGAGTCGGAACATACTGGCGTGTGTGCGCGTAGGAGCGCGGGAGGCGCATGCTCATGGCATAAGCGAGGCCCCGGGTGGTGTCAGGAGAGTACCGGTAGATGGATGGGCTATAGCAGGTGCGAAAGCAACAGCATTGCTGCTGCAACCTGTGAGCGGGTTATGATGATGATGATGATGATGATGAGGTGGACTACCGCTTATGGAACGCAAGGAAAACGTTAAGACAGCAGGAGGGCTGCGAGCGGGGTTTGCCGGGCGCACACCTTGAGGTGGGTCACCATCTCCTCATGCTTGTGCAGCGGTATCGTGCCCTGCATGGAGCAAGAAGCAGCGCCACGGAGGGTCGGTTAGCGGCCTGCATACACGTACGTCCACTAGGGCATCAGTAAGGAACGGCACTGCCGAAGCATGTCAGGGCATGCCAGGGTCCGGAAGGGTACGCGGGCGCGGCTTGTGACAACCGGTCGCAACAGGTGTGCAATGCAGTGTTCGCCAGCCAGCTTACCACCTCACACATAGGGTCTTGTACGGCAAGTACGGCACATCGGGTTCCCACGGCAGCCCCATGTCCTCACCGCCTCTCATCAACACCATCCCCTGCCCGGTCCCCCTGCGGCTCCCCACCTGCTGTATGTGTTGCAGCTCGGCCTCGTGCATGGAGCGCTGCAGCTGCAGCTGGGACTGCGCGCCGGGTTGGGGGGACACAGGGGCAGGGGAAGAGTGGGGTTGAGCGCTCATCTCGCCCATCTGGGTCAGCTTTGTATAACGCTCTATCTCTGAGGCGCTTCGAGAAAGCAGCTCCTGACCACCAACGTGGGTTTCCCCCTCGTCACTGACCAGGCCCATATCCAGCCCTTCTCCTTGCACCACCAACCCCCTAGGCCCCCCTGCTCGCCTGCAGCGCCTCCACCGCCGCCCTGGCTGCAGCCACCTGACTCAGGCTGGCCTCCGCCTCAGCCCGGGCAGCCGACAGCTGCGCCTGCGGGGCACAGGGACGCACACGAACACATGTCTGAATTAACCAATACCGTACAACTAGTAGGCCACTCAGCAAGCGGGCGACGTTTCATGACGCCAGTGTCCAGGACCATCCACCCGGTAACTCCTTCCAGGCTTCCAACCGTCCACCCAGCCTTTTAAACCATAGGTTCCTAGGGGTTCGAGGTCATGGATTGGCCAACATATTCAAGGTTCACCTCGAGTCGCTGCACCTCCGCCCTCCACGTGTCTGCCTCCCGCTCCCGCCGCTTGTCCGCCTGCGCTAGCTCCGCCTGGTGGCTGGCAGCCTGCTGCGCCAGCGCCCGGCTGTGCTGCTGCTCCTGTGCTCGCCGTTGGATGGAAAAGCACAAAAGCACATGACAAGACAGAAAACATCCGTTATGCAGTGGTGTGCAGCCGGCAGCGTCGAAAGTCAAGGGCGTGCTGCAAAGGAATGGGCGCCCACTTCACATGCCACGGAGACCCTTCTTCCTTGCCCTCAACCAATCTCTTTAAAACTCGTCATCCGCACCCCTCCCCCCAGCCCCCCACCTGCTCCTGCAGGTGCAGCTTGTGCACCTCCTCCTGCCGCTCCCGCTCCACGTGGTAGCGGTGCTGCAGCTGCAGCAGCATGGAGCGGTAGGCGCCGCGCAGCCGCGTTTCGAACTGGGCCTGGGCCAGCGCGGGGCCTGCATGCGTGCGAGTGTGTTGAACCGTCTGAGCCGTGCATTCGCGTGCGTGTATGTGGGTGTGCGTGCGGGTTGCGGGGTCGAATGAACGGGGGGATCCCGGTGGTGAACGGGCTATACCAGGGTGCCTGGGACGATGGAAGTGGGGAAAGCATCATCAGCGGCATGAGGACCGTAGCAAAGGGGTACGGCAAGTCTGGGCCAGAGCCGCTCCACTATGCAGTTGTGCGTTGCCGAAGCCCCTGCCCCTACCCGATATCCCCACGGGGGCAGCTCCAGCCGTCGCCGGCCTCTCTCGCTGCCGCTCCCGCTCGCGGTCATGTGCGCCATCCAGGTTCAGGACGTCGCGCAGGACAGCTACCGGCTCCGTCACAAGGCCCACTGTAGCGCCGTACGCTGTCGATGGCGCGAAGTCATGTGGGTCAAGGCCCAGCAGGCTGACCCGCGGGTCAGTCGCCACGGCTTTCGACGCCGGTTTACATTGTCCACCGCCGGCGCTGCTGCATGCGCACCTATGCTGCTGACATTTGCGACAACCGCCTCCTGACGCCCTCAGCCCTTGTGTCGCACCTTGCTGCTGTACTGGCCGCAGTACCCCTCCCGCAGTGCAGCCGCCAGTAAGGCAACCCGAGGACCCGCCATCTGCTCCTCCTACGGTTGCCATACTGCGCTGTACGGACAATCCCGGCGGCCTCCCTGCAGCTGCTGCTGTTTGGTTTCGTGGAGGTAAGCCTTCGCGGAGACCCCCACCATGGAAGGAAGAACCGAAGCAGCCATCAGGGCTGTTGCTTCGGATTGGGTCTGAGCCCCTTAGGCTGTTCGCATGCGCTCCGAGACCGGCGCCGAGTTGTAGTACGTCCACGGCGGCGTTGTATTGGTCCTGCAGTGACGCCACGGTGAGCTCCAGCTCGTCCTCGTAGCGCACATGAGCATCTGACAATGGCAGTACCAGGTTTGGGCCAGCGGAAGCGGGAGTCGCGTGGAGACCGGAAAGGAGCACAAGATAGCAACTGTGCAAGACACTATGTGGGATCGCATGCGCACAGCATGGGATCCAGGTCGAGTCCTCTGGCACATGGCATGTTGAGGACAGGGGCTGCGTTCAGGCCCAATCGTAAGGCGCGCAGACTCCCCCTGTACCTTTGACTAGTGACTTCAGTTGCTGGACATGCTCGCTGAGGTGCTCGTTTGCGACGCTGAGCTGCCCTACTCGGCGGTCCTTCTCCAGCAGCGCCCGTGCTAGCTTCTCTGTCTCCTGCTTTGAAAGAGTCAACTGAGCTTCCTCGCAGGACTTCGACATTTGTGTTGCCATCACAATTGGACCGCCGATAGGGAAGGCTTGCTGCTAGGTTACAATATCTAACATGGTACCAAGGTAAAGCGGCCCCGCTGCTATCCAATAATTATGGTATATGTTTTCATGAAATTGGTTACAAATGGAAAATATCTTGCATGGAGCACATAAAGTTCACCGGTCCTGTTCTATCAGGACAGTCAGGTGGCAAAAGTTATCGGTTAACAATAGAGGAAAACCAACACGAACATCCACATGCCTTTATAGCAAAACATACTCTACAACCGCGGTGTAGTGGGTTCTGCGTCCAGGCAAGTTCCATGGGGCCAGCTGTCGTTCGTTTTCATGGAACTTGCCAGAAGACGGAACCTATGTGAAAACGTTTTGCAATCATACTACATTTATATATATGAAATAGTAGTCATTTTGAGCTTTAATACCAACCTAGGTTCTGCCCACTTCTTCCAGTGTCGGTTCCAGACTGTTGCCCGTGTGCCCCATGCCTCCAGCGCTTATTCATCAACAAAATGCTACATTACAGCCACCAGTGCATCTGGGGCGGCGAGCGCCCTATCCGCGTGCGAGTATTCGGCGTGGACCGCTGCGCATTGCCGCTGTGTCACAAACCCCGCGCGGATCGTCCACGGAGAATGCGGTTGCAAGTGCAAAAACTGGAGTTGTTGACTCTGGGGCCGAACCTGTGTAAGTCATCGAGCGACATGGGTCGACAGTAAACGCAAGGAGCGGCTGCAAGGTCGCTTAATTCATCCAACATATGCCCCATGATATTCCAATGCCGATCAATATATTGCAGCGTTGTGCAGCTGCGCGTTGTGCGGTTGGAAAGTATGCAAGCATTGATGCTCGACTCGGCAATTGTCACCCCGATTCACAGGTCCATGAAAGGCACAGTGTTCTTCACTTCCAGCTTGGATAGCGCATCTCTGGATGAGGAATGCAGCGCCTTTATTGATCGTGACGGCAACTTTGTGGAGGTGATGTGCTGCGATTACGGTTTCAGGTACGCGTTTCCTCGCATTCCAGACCGCGGGACCGGTCAGGCACGAACGCAACCGTCCACGTCTTCTCTGCGTTGCTTATTAAGACGCCCGCCCACTGCAGGACGGGTGCCTCCCGCATGTACGACAAAGATGCTGACGGTCGCATCCCCGTCAGCGCGTTCAAACTGGTGGGTAACGCACCAGTCCTTTAGCGGGAAGAACTAAGGGACTGGGTGAAGACGTGGAGTCCTTCCTCCCTTTCCTTAACCCTTCCATCCCACTATCTCCATGCTCCTCCTACCCCACTCTCCCCCGTTCCCCCCGACACGCAGGCCTGGTCCAACTTCCAATCAGAGCTCCGCGCGCTGCGACAGTCCTTTCGCTTCGACGACTTTGCCACGGTTTCGGAGGCCAACCCGCCTCGAGGGGCTCTGGGGCGGGCGGCCTACGGTCTGGGTCAGGCCGTGGTGGACGGATTGGGGGCTCTAGACCGAGCGCTTGAGAAGGGGCAGGTTCTGGAGCCGTTGCGACCTCGGCCCATGACGGTGGACATGAGCGGGGAGGAGGGCGGCGAGGGCAGCAAGCTCATCAATGAGTGCCGCCTGGTGGGTGGGGAGTGGAATGGGAATGGGATGGCGGGGGCTAGGCAAGCTACGGAAGTAACGGGGTACCGGTACCTTTCCTAGCAAGGGAACCTACCGGTACCTACCACTGTGCGCCTTTCTCCCCCGTCTGGCTGGCTTCCCTCAATCCCTCCGCTGCTGTGCCTCCTCTCCCTAGTCGATTAAGTCCTCACGTGTGGTTCGGTGTGGTTCCTCCCTCGGCCCCCTTCCCTCCGCTCGGCTCCGCTGCTGTCAGATCCGTTCCAAGCTGAAGCAGCTCAAGCTGAGCAACCGAGCGGTGACAGAGCGGGAGCATGCGCGCGAGCGGGCCGGCAAGGGCGTCAAGACCCCCTGGTGAGACCGGGTTGTGTGCTGTAGCAGGGGTGTTTTGGCGTGCTGATCGGGTCTCCTGGTCTGTGTCCGCACCCCTTTCTACGTGGTTTGGCTCCCCCTCGGGTCCAGAAGCCGCCTGCCTGTCCCCCGAATCCTGCCCTGTCCCCCGGTGCCGACCTGCCTGTGGCCCCCCCCGTTCATGTCACCACACCCGCCAGGTTCATCCTGGCCGTCTACAAGTCGCTGTGTGTGCTGCTGGACGTGCTCTTCAACAACCGCCCCATCCAGCGCTTCTGGTTCCTGGAAACCGTGGCGCGCATGCCGTACTTTTCGTACATCTCCATGCTGCACCTGTACGAGTCCTTTGGCTGGTGGCGTGCGGGTGCCGAGCTCCGCAAGATCCACTTTGCGGAGGAGTGGAACGAGCTACACCACCTGCAGGTGACGATGCCACCAGTGCCGAGCAGGATCGCCACGGCCTGGCTTGTGCCGCACTGCCACTACTGCCACTGCCACTTCGTACATGCCCGCCTCTACCCTGTTTCGACCTCACACGAACGCACCCATCGCGTTGTCGGTCCACTGAGCCCCACTTAACCAACCAACTAACTACCGTACCAGTAACCAACTACCATGTAACCAACTACCACTAACCAACTCCCGGTTGCCAACCTCTTCAACCCCTGCGCGGGTTTACGCCCCGCAGATCATGGAGTCCCTGGGCGGCGACCAGCTGTGGTTCGACCGCTTCGCCGCGCTGCACGCCGCGGTGGTGTACTACTGGATCCTGCTGGTGCTGTACGTCTTCTCGCCCGAGCTGGCGTACAACTTCTCGGAGCTGATCGAGTACCATGCGGTGGATACGTACGGTACGTAGGGTACGGCGTAGGGTATGAAGGATGCATGAAAGCAGGCAAGCGGGTTGCTGGAGAGGTGGGCCACAGCGTCTACCGTAGTATTATCGTACGGTGTGCGGTCCATAACGGTTCATAACACCCCCCCATGGGTCGGCACCCATGTTTGCACCCGTTTGGTGAAGCCGTGTCGTACAGCTCGTCAGTTTCCTCTTCACCCCCACATCCTTGCTATCCCTCCCCCCCGCCTCCCGCAGGCGAGTTCGTGGACGCCAACGAGCAGCTGCTCAAGTCGCTGCCGCCGCCGCTGGTGGCTGCCATGTACTACCGCTCGCAGGACCTGTACATGTTTGACAGGTGGGTGAACATGCATGGTTGGAAGGTGGGTGAACATGCATGGTTGGAAGGTGGGTGAACATGCATGGTTGACAGTTGGGCGTAATCAGCTGGGTGTTTGATTGGTGGGTGGGCGGTAGGGTTTACTGCATGCCTTCTAGTTGTTGGAAGGTAGAGGAGTAGGGGGTACTCACCTGTGGTTGCAGCCACGATGGCAGGCATGGGCAGCCGAGGGTTACGGTCCAAACGCTGTTGACGTGTTGCCTTGCCGGCTAATGGTGAGGCAGGAACACGTCAAACGCGCATGGTACAGCAAAACTCACTGCTTACCTATACCTTCCTCACCGCTCCTACCGGTATCCCTTCTCCCTTCTCCTTCCTTTGGTCTGTTTCTGACTCCCCATCCTCCCCCTTCCTTGACCCGCCCCGCCCCAACTCAACACAACACCCCCACCACCACCATCACACACCGTAGCTTCCAGACCTCCCAGTCGGCTCAGGCGCCCCGGCGGCCGCCCTGCAGCAACCTGTACGACGTTTTCCGCAACATCTGCGACGACGAGATGGAGCACGTCAAGACCATGCGAGCCTGCCAGGATGCCACGGTGCAGCAGGATATTGTGAGCCGCCGAGACGAGGGGCCGCGGGTGGGGCTGTAAGAGAGCGGCGAGCATGCAGGGGCGCAGCGCCGGTCTCACCCTGTGTGACTGAGGGGCAGATGGGATTTGGGACACGGCAGGTTGTTTTGGTGGGGTTGGTTTGGGAAGAGCAAGAACGCATGGAGGATGTTCTAGGGCTCGCATGGAATAAGGCCGGAAGGCATTAGGAGGGGCAAATGGAGATTGGGGTGGAAGGAGAGGTATATGAGGTTTGGAGGAGTTTGAGAGAGTGTGCAGTCAAGGGAAGGTTACTTGAGTTGGTGCTGCGTTATTAATGAGTAAGCCTGAGTAAGCTGGCAATTTTGCACATGGTGAGAGACTGAGAGAAGACTATTCATCAACGTAGGATGCATGGGCGCTGTGGGTCGTGGGCGGTCCAGGAATGGTTAGCCAGGCAAAGCCCCATTTTTGTGCATTCGGGGAGCTGTGCTGCATTCTTTTGTACCCCGATGCAGGGGTGAGCATTGTGGCACCGAATTAGGGTTCGTTTTCCGTAGCATAATACAGTTCGCGGCATCAAAGCAGGTGCGAGCAGCACATACATATTTTGAGGGACCTACCGAGCATGCATTTGCTTGACTAGTTGTGTTCTACTACTTCCTATTTGCGCAGTTTTGCGGCACAAAGGCTCAATACCGTGTCTTATGTTACTGCCTGTTGCGTCCGTGCCGTACTACAAAGGTCCTAGCTTGTCCTTGACTTGGACCCAGCAGTGGACGTGCTGTACAGTGAGAGGCGATAACTGCGATAACGGGCAGTTCTCCTTTGTTTGTTTAACCTCTTGTCCGTGCATGGGTTGCCCTCCGCCCCGACGGGGACCCTTCATGTGGTTGGGCGTGACAGCTGCACCCAGTTGTGAGGCGTTACGTGGTGGTATGAGTTGAGAACTCCGTACATGGTGAGGTGAGAAAGATCCAGTGTTCAGGGATCTGGTCCTAATTGGCGGGATGCTGCTATAGATGTAAGGGCACCCGTGTTGACACACGAACTAGGGACGCAACGCATATAAGGAAGCGGCTATAAGAGCCCGTTTAAACAAAGCAGAAGCTTCAGAAATAATGGCTTAAAACGCCCGTTAGACCGTACAGCTGCACGGAGTGGATGACATTTGCCGTAGGAAAACAGCAAAACCCATCTGAATGCCCCGTGCGCCATCCCTGCCGGCGGAATGAAGCACGGCGGGACGTTCATCCAGAGCCACGCGTCCGTGCCAGCGGCACGGCCACTGTGGCCATACGTAGCGCTCAGGCGACGGGGCTTCGTCTCTTCGTCTGGGTTGAGGAGCTTGTCTGATTCGAAGAATACAGACAGGTGTATGACCTATAGAACAGATCCTGTTCAAGTACGGTCATGCCTTGCTTGCCCTAATCAGCATATATATTTAGTTGAACGACTGCGATGGTGGGTGCCACGGTTTCTCAAACTTCCGGAATGGTGCGATTACGAATTAAGCCTGACATGCCTGAAGCAGCTTACGCGAGGTACGCTTGGAAGCATGCACACCAGCAATTCGCATCCCATTCGTGGCTCCTGGCAACCCAAACCACTCTGCCACCGTGCTAACAACCCCGTTCGTTCCATTAACGAGGTCGTAACATGCACACACCCCTCACGGCTCCCCGCCAACCCTTCTCCGTGGGGGCCTGGTACCCCACGGCTGCGCTGGCTGTCACCACCATGCATCATGACTGACCTTCCGCGCCACATGCAGCGCATCAAACGGCCATGACAATCCAACAGCTCCTCCCCCCTCCACATCCATACGCACGGTAGGCTGTCTCAAGCAATCACGCCCAGCTGACGTGTAGTGCGGAGTCGTTACAAGTCGGTTGCAGCCAATACGACGTTAGGCCCATTTGGAGCAGCTCCTCCTCAACGGCATGACGGCTGGCGTCCACCAGCGGCGGCCTGCCCAGCACCTCTCGCGCAGCATCTCCCGCGATGCGTGTTGCGGTCGCTGCTGCTGGGGTCAAACTGTGTGTGTGGCCGGCGCGCAATGTTGGGAATGCGGGGGTTCATCACTAAGGGCATTGAAAGCATCAGGCTGTTACCTCTCTAGCTAGCCAGACCAGGAAGACTTGCAAGTTTTTGGACTGCAAAATGACATTCGGAATTACCGCTTTATTTCGCTCACGTTAGCGGTTCCTCGCTGTCGAGGCGGAAGACGTCAATACGCGGTTCAGGTTCGCCGCGTGATGCTCTTAGGATGAAAGCAGCGCCGCTTACAGCGTGTAAGTCGTTTAGCGGAAGCAGTTTGACGATGTCTTGTGCGGCCTGTTGCGCGCCTCGCTGACGAGATGCTTCCGCTGCCAAGCGCACGTCGGCAACACCCTTGGAGGGGTTTGCTGCGCTCCTGCTGCTGAAATACTTATGCCTAATGATGTCCTTATATGCGACTAGGTCCATTTGTTTGGATGCAGTGTGGGCAGGCAAGGCTAGTGAGCTCGGTGGGAATCGTGGATACCGTTACCTTAACAAAACATGCAAAAGGAAAAGAACAAATCAACATGTGCGCAAGCGCTCTAAGTGGCAGTGGAGGATGAACAGCAGGTTGGGTACACCATTAAATTAAGCGGTACCGTTAAAGCGGTTGGCGTTGCCTTTGCTTCATTGCCTCGACTCCGTAGCTGGTGCCTTGGGTAGGAGCGACCCATGGGTCATATTCCCATATATTGTTCAGCTAACGACGCTCTCAGCTGATCCCGCACCAGCTGCGTCATGGCTACGAGGTACGACACAGCAGGCGCAGGCGGCACTCAACGCAGGCTCGGCTGGGCATCCCCTCCTCTACATGCATGGCCCTGGACGCACCGGTACTGTAATCAGGGTCTAAGCAATAAGTTACATACCTAATACTATCTGCATTGAGGGTCGACATGCGTGAAATACCTTCCATGTCCAAGGCACGCATCCCACCACTTCCCTAATACCATCTTCTATACAGGCACCTGCCCCCTTCGTACTCGATTAGTGACCCACGCCCTTCACCCGATAAAGCATGGGCTTAGATGGACGAGAAGTCACGACAGGACTGTCAGACCCGGATGCATGCTTGGTGAAGAAGTTTACCCCCAACCAACCCCGATCTTCAGTACGAACCGTGCTTACTAAATATAAAACAGGAAATCTACCACAACCCCCGGCAACACCACTTCTCTCCAGCGTCGTCCCCAGCAACCCCGCTTGCAGCGTTGATGTTTCGAGCTGAAAATTTATGAAGTTCCGCATTGCCTTTATCTCCTAGCAGGAGCAACCAAGCCGGACCTGCGCTGCGAAGACCTCATGCGCATTCAACTTATGCAGTAATAGCGGAGGGTCGCAAGTCGTACCCCTGCGAATGACGTTTGCAACAATTCCAACAAAGAACGCTTGTGCATGCCACCTCTGTATCCAAACGTCCATCCTGCAACATAAGAAAAGAGACACGCCAAGCAAGAGGCTAGTGTATATATATGACATGCTTGCAATCATGCAGAAGCAACACGAGGGTAAGGACGGGACTTACAAAGACACACGCAACCCCCGGCAACATGCGTGTATCCCTTCATGCATGCAAAAATACAGAACATGCATGCCATACGAAAACCGCAAGAAACGACGACAACGGTGCACTGAAGCACCCGCAGGTATGAGCATTGCGATGAGATAACCATGATTATAGCTTCGAAGGGTTCATGATGCCGTACATCTTGGCCAATGTAGCAGTCATTCATTCATACATGTTGGCAAGGCCAGAATAAACGAGCGCGGTTTAGTACCGGGCGACCCCAGGAAACTGGAGCCGCAATCCCCTGCCTCCGTGGCCGCTGAAATCTATGTTTTTAGTTTCATGTATAGCAAATAGTGTTATACATATATACGCGCCGCTCAGAACCCGTGATGTGTAACCCATCCATTGAAGATTAGTGAGGTTCATCTACTGCCCTAATTGTACGGCAGAGGGGCCTCAAGTGCCGGCATGCAGGCAACATCGCAATGCTCTCTCGGCAGGTCACAACTCATCACAGCGTTAACCCTCAAAACTTCACCTCAGTTGACAACTTGGGCAAACCCAATCAACTCTCCAACAGCACATACAAACCGACATTGTCATGCCCTCAAGGCACATGTGGTGTTGCAGCTCCGCAGCATTGTTGTATAGCTGCATCTTTACCGTTAAGATGGTCGTGCTGAAACGTAAGGCGTAATGCTTAACGACAGCCATGGCGCGCCCCAATGCACGCAGTTCCAGCAGCATGCGTCAACAGCTGCCGTACGCCCCGCGCCTCGTGTGTCCGTTGGCGTCCTTCAACCTTGTCAGCACACGCTGCTGCCAATGATCGACGCAACAGCCGTACGCCTCTCTCCAAACGTTCAAGCGGGCCCCTTGCTGCAATGCAGCTGCGTGTCTCGGTGTCTGTCATCACCACATCAGCAATCCAAGAGCATCGACGCCATGTGATCGGGTTCTCCACCGTCAGCATCGGGACCAGCGGGCGTTGAGGAACCCGGCTCCGGCATCGCGGCCCGCATCAACTCCGCCCCCTCAGCATCGCATGCAGCCTCTTCGACGTCCATATGGGCGAGCAGGGCATCGAGCAGGGGTGAGTCCAGCCGTACTGGCGCATCCGCTGCTGCTGCGGCGGTGGCCATATTGGTGTCAGCCGTGTCTGCATTGTCGGCCGTACGAGCAGGCAATGCCATGGGCGCTGCTGCCGTCAAGGCAGCACCGGCAGTGGCTGCACCAGCAGGGACGGTAGTGGCGGCAGGTGGTACAGCACCTGCTGCGTAGCCGCCTTGTGAGAACGACGGTGACCCATGGGTCGGGGTCGGAGTTGGGAAGCATGCAGGCATTGACGACGGAGCATTTGCAATGCCAGCTTTGACAGCAGCAGCATGAGGAAACAGAGGCAGACCGTGAGGGCCAACCTGCCAGAAAGAAGGATGGACGATTGGCTGCTGCAGGGAGGGGGGTGCCGGCGCCAGTGAGGGTGGAAGGGAATCCCCGGAACCGCGCATTGCATGACCAGCTTGCAGGAAGCCAGATGCGGAAGAGTACGGCAGCATGCCTGGTACGGACTTGGTAGCGTACGTGTACGGAATGCCGGCAGCAGCCCCGCAGGGCAGGTACTGCTGTGGCGGCAGCTGCGGCGGTGACAGCTGCGTCCCAACAGCAGCTCCAGCTGTGGATGGCATGGGCGCAGCGGCGGCGCCATGCGACCCATGGGTCATATCTGCAGCTCCAGTCGTGGCGGCGCTGTTGCTGCTTAGGGCTGCGGAACCACCTGTTCGCCATGCCGCTCCATCACGCAGCATATCCGTACATGCAGCCGGGGCACGTTGCTGCTGTTGGTGCTGCTGTGTGTACTGCTGCTGCTGCTGTCGGTGCATGCCCACCTGCGGCAGACTCCTGCCGCCGCCAGCGTTTGTCTCTCCAGCTTGGTTCTGACATGCCTGCTGCAGCGACTGCTGCGTTTGTGCTTGCGGCGGTTGCTGTCCCTTCTGCCGCATCGCCTTCTTTGTCTGGTGCGGCAGAACGCTGTTGGGGTCGTCATTGCGGGCGAAGCGGCCGCCCACTCTCGGACGGGAGTCCGCCAGCGTCTTGCGGCACTGGTACTTGATCTCCCGGTTGTAATTGCGTTGGTTGCGTTTGGTGCGGTAGCGCAGAATGCGCTGCAGACGCTCCTCGGGTGTCAGGCGCCCGATCAACTGTTGTGGAGAAGGAAGCAGGGTAGAGGTGGCGGGTGAGGGTCAGGAAGCTGAGGTGACAGTAGCATGCGAGCGAAACAGGGCGGTTGAGCTGCTTGTGAAGAAAAAGCAAGGGCTGTGCCAGGTCCAAGGCGCCCGGTAAACGGTTCACATACTCGCAAGTTTGCTAATATCGGTAGCCCCATTCGTCATCGCCATACAGATAGCGAAGCAGCTGAGCAAAACGCCAAGGGTCGCAGTGCTACATCAATAAACGCGCGCAAGCGTCCACCCTTCACCACTTCACCCTCCGGTCCCACCTTCTGTCCAGTCGCCGCCGCAGTCGCGTCAGACGTGTCCCCACCCGCCAACATCGCTGCTGCTGCCGTGCAACGCCAAGCTCCCAGCTCGAGAGCACTCTGACTCTTGCGTAACGCCCGCGCGGCGCCACCGCCACCGCCACCGCCACCGCTACCGCCGCTGCAGCCAGCACCTTCTGCGATACCGCCAGCTGCCGCCGCTGTTCCACCGCTGCTGGCTTGTTGTGCGATGAAGCAGCTTGCCGCGCCGGTGGTCGTTGTTACAACGATTGCGGGTCCTGAAGTGGACGACCTGTGAGGCCGTGGCTGCGATGACATTGACAGCGGTGAGGCTCGAAGTGCGCCCTGGGCAGCAGAGCCCGGGCACGGGGGGGGCACCGCGGCATGTGCCAGCAGCGCTGCCGGCGGTCCTGACGTCCCTAGCTGCTGTTGGAATGGCGGCACCTGCGGGGGCTGTGGCTCGGGGTGTTGCAGGGGCTGCTGCTGCTGCTGTGGGCGGCCGTCCTCTGGATGAATGCCAGTATCTCTCTGGATGTGCAGTGTGGTGCGCATGAGGGCAGACAGGGTGCCGCTGGAGGGCACGGGGCGCATGCCGCCACCAACTCCGCCATCGCCGCCACTGCTGCCGCCTGACCCGCCGCCGGCACCAGCGCCTCCTCCATCGCCATCAGCAGCAGAGGTGGGCTGCGGCTGCGGCACTGGGGCCTGCAGCAGCGGCAGGTCTGCTGCGTCATCAGGGGGTGTGCAAGTGCTGCCTGGAGCCGCTTGTGCAGTCGTCCCAGAGTTGTTGTTGTTGTTGTTGTTGGTGGTGGTGGAAATGGCAGTGAAGGGGTTGGAAGGGCAGCCGCTGGCTCCGGAACCGGGTGCGGCGCTAGCCAAGTTAGGAACAAGCTCCAGCGAGGGAACTCCCTGCACGGAAAGTTAAAGTGAAGAACGTTTGACGGTAACTCGTGAGGGCTGTACTGCTGTACGGCAAAGCACGCTCGCCAGTCCGCAAAAGCCTTACGTGCATTCCTAGCAAACATGTAGCACCCGGCCACATTCAGCTACCTGTGAGGGCGCCACTGCCCCTTCAGGCACAGGCTCCAGGGCAGACCGCGCGCTGGACTTGGAGTTCAACCGCGGGACGGCATCCCGCTGACCCATGGGTCTGTCGCGCGTACACGACCCGTAGCTGCCTGCCAGGCCGGTGCTTGGCAGCGACATGCTGGAGCAGCCCTCCGAGAGCTGCTGCAGGAGCTGATGGGGGCGCGAGGAAGAAGGGGGGACAGCTTAGATACACCAAACCATATGGAACCGTAAGAAGGGAGGGAGAAGACAGGAGAAGATCGTTGCCGAGGAAGGGCCATGGAAGGGGGTTCATGCCATTTCCATAGAACGCGCGGGTACCACCGGTAATCCTGGTGTGTACGGCATTCGCGTCGTGTACGCTAGGTAGCGACGGACACACTTTAAGCTTGGAGTATGAGTGGCCCGGATGCTGAAACACATGTCCGTGGCCTACCAGCTGCGTCTGAACCCTGAAGGGCAAACGCCCCACCTGTAGGTCGTTTGTGCTGAAGCTGCGGATTGCTCCCGTGGATCGAGCTCGATCCATTTGTACGATGCCAGGGCTGAGGGAGCCGCTGCGGCTGGTTGGGGCTTCCTGGGACCAGGCTGGCTCGCCGCCGGGCCCACCGCTGCTGGCAGGACTGGTGTTAGGAGAGGATGGGAGCTGCGGAGCAACATGATCTGACTCCAGGACTGCCTGCGAAAGGAATTGCAGGTTGCGCAGGTGTTTGCAGTCAAGCGCAGCATGACGGGCATAGAAGCTCGACTCTACCCAAGAGTAGGGCTCAGAGGCACGCGGCTATAGATGCGTTATAGCTTACTCTGGAAGTTGATGGATCGTCTAGGAGATCTCCATATGCGAAGTCTGTAAGGGACCTTGCCAGATCAGCGTCATCCGCCAAGCCTGCGCGACGGATGGAAATGGCCAAGAAGGATAGGCAGGCTGCTGGACCCAAAGACAGGACCGATCAGCATAATAGCGACAATTATGCTTAAACAGCAATACTGTGGGTTGCATATCGACCTCTCGGTTAACAGGCCCGGGCGTCGTTCGGCCCAATTCAATCGGCCGCACCTGGTACCTCGTTTAGCCAATGGTCGATCCCCGCGTGATCTGATGATGTAGTAGGACTGGACAGAGGCATCCAGTCCGCTAAGGCCGTGTCCATGTCGGTCAATTGTAGAAACCTAGCCGAAATTTGCTTGCTTCGGTTTTCGCTCTGCAGGGTGAGGAGCTCCCTCTCAGCGATGAATCACACCATCGTTATTTTCCTCTCGAGCATTACGAGGGTGATACCGGGCTAAACGCTGTCAATGCGCTACTCCGTCAGGCAAACCCAGCGACGATTCGGCTATCCTTTGGACTGTTTCAAGCAATGTCTGGAGTTTGCCAGTAATCCCAGACCACAACAACTCACTTAAGCCATTGTCGCCAAGGTGAGGGCTTCGGCGTGCGGCATCGCTATATAATAAGATAAATCCGAATACCTAGCTAGGCGCCTAGGTTCTTTGCCCATTTAGTTTACAGTATGCATAATTTCACACCAGCTTTATGGTGTTGCTAACAACAGAAACATCAGAAGCAATTCATCAAGACCGGAATCCTTGCACAGGACAAGCTAACTACCTTCAAGGTAATATGGAAGGTACTAATAGTAAACTGCTGCTGTCACCGAGGTGTCACGTTGTGCAGTTGCATACGTTAATGCTTGAATCTAGGATGTGACTCTTGCATCGTACGGCACAAGTTGATAGCTGTTGGCTGCTTGTACGCAAGCTAGTGCTTCGTTTCCGAAATGACTTACTTCGCTATGCTGGAAACGGAGACTTTCAAATTCTTGATAGGATGATTATGTAAGGGATTCAGCATGCTTTCTTGTGTCGTTGGAATTAAGAAGTAGCTCCCAGCACCATGCAGCGACACTTAACAAATATTGTATGTCTTCGGCGACAGCTTCTTTCCTGCGGCCGTCGTCGATGTGCTTCCGCCTCAGCCGCAACCATCCCGGCCATCCCAGCCACTGCGCGCCCTCACCTACACAGTTGGCTGCACGCGGAATCCAGTGCCTCGATAGCTACGACTCCACATTGCAATAACTCTAAGCTTCCTCCAGTACCAGGTAGTCGCCAACTATCCCAGCCAACCCCGTCGCATGCTGCCCCCAACTGGCTTCTCCTGCGCATGGCCCTGCGTGGCCACCCTCCGTTGACCCGTTCAACATCAGCCCTGTCCGCCGCCATGGCTCCGTCATGCACCCCCGGAGCACTAGTCGTCATGCCCACATGGGCGCGTTGCGAGCTGCTGCAAAGGCGGTCATCCTCAACGGCTTCTGGAGCGGACTCCTTCAGAGCCCTGGGTGTGAGCCCTGAGCTTCAGGTCAGGCGCCCTTGAACCACTGACAGCAGCGGACTTGTGCCATCGATCCTGTGTGGCCTCAGGCATGGCGGCAGACGCTCACAGCCCATGCAACTTATACACGGCTCTCGTTACCCTCTCCCACATGACCGCTACTGCCTCCCTTGCACGCGACCTCGTACCCTTGCCCAACGTACCTGCTGCTGAATGAGGCGGCTCGCGGCTTCCTTACCCCACTTCTTCATCCCTTACTCCCCTCTCTGCCTGCTTCGGCCTTCTGCCATACCTCTCACCCTCAACTGTTACCTCCCGCATACCTCCCGGCTACAGGAGCGGCTAGCCTCCCGGGACATCCTGCGGCCGCTGCCGGTGCAGGCCGCCGTACTGCCCGCGGTGCTGGGCGGCCGCAACGCAGCCATCAAGTCGTGCACCGGCTCGGGCAAGGTGGGTGGCGGGTAGGCGGGTAGGCGGGTAGGCCCGGGTAGGCCCGGCTGGGGCAAGGTGGGTAAGCTGGGGTGGCTGGGTCGGTGGCGCGCCACCCTCCTCTTGCCCAATAGTGGTCATTGGCAATGCGATGTGGGGGGCGAATGAGATTGAGTCTTGGGCTGATGACAGCGACGGTGCCCGCTTCCGGGCCTCGGTCCGGGCCCCACCCCTTACACTCCACATCTTTCTGTGCCCACCTTCAACACGAGCGCTACGCGCCCCTCGTCCCCCGGCGGTGCCCCACAGACCCTAGCCTACCTGCTGCCGGTCCTTCAACTGGCGCTGCAGCGGCGCAGGGCAGCAGAGGCGGCCGCGGCTGCGGCAGCGGCAGCAGCTGCGACGGCGGTGCCCACGGTAGACAGCCCCGACCGCGCTCGAAGCGGCAGCAGCAGCGGTGGTGGTAGTGCGGCAGCCCTCAAGCAGCAAGCCAGGTCGCTGCAGGTGCGGGGTAGCTGCTGGGGCGCCCCGCCGCATTCCGCCCTCCTCCCTCCAACCTCCTCTTGATACATGAAGACATGGAGAGTGCATTTCCGCCCTCTTACCGTCTTACCTTCTTACCAAGGGCCTATGATATGTATATGACCCTGCCGCTCCCGCCGCACCATACCACCACCCTACCCTCCCGCAGGCGCTCATCGTGGCGCCCTCTCGCGAGCTCTGCATCCAGATCCAACGTACGGCACAAGAGCTGCTGCCTGCGGGCGCCTCAGACCGGCGGCTGGTGCAGCAGCTGATTGGCGGCGCGAACCCCAAGCGCCAGGCGGCGGCGCTGGCGGGCGGCGAGGGCGGCGTGTGGCCGTTGGTGGTGGTTGGCACGCCGGGGCGGGTGGCGGAGCTGGTGACGAACGGGACACTGCATGTGTGGAACTGCCCGCTGCTGGTGCTGGATGAGGTGGGGGGGGGGTGGAGCGTGGACGCGAGGGGAGTTGGAGGAGGTGGCAGGGCGGGTGGCGTGGGGGCGTGTACCGTATGTGCATTCGGCTGTGCGTTAAGACTGGCCGCAAGTTGGAAGGTACTGGTCGTATGTGTGTTAGGATAACTGGCCGCGAGGCGAAACCTACTGTGATTGCCGAATGGGTGTCTGTGTATGTGTGTAGTGCGCCAGGGTGAGGGAGTCGGCTAAGGACTGTTGGCCAAGGAGTCGGCAAAACACCCAACCTTTATGGATCACTACCAAACGCTTTACCAATTCGTTATCGCCACCCCGGGTGCAGGTCGACCAGCTGCGGGCGCACGAGGACTTCCGGCAGCACGTGGACAACATCTGCACCCACGTCGGCCGCAAACTGGGACCCGGTCTTGCCGGCAGCAGCAGCAGCAGCAGCAGTGGCAACAGTTCCCACACCGCATCCAGCACCAGCAGCACCAACAACAGCTCTAACAGCCCGGGGGCTGCTGCTGCGGACGTCCAGATAACACGCAGTTCTAACTTGACCACAGGCAACGCTGCCAGCAGCGACGCCTCTGGCACGCGTAGCTCCATGATTGGTAGTGGCGGCAGTGGCGGCGGTGGCAGGCAAACGGTTATTGTGAGCGCATCGCTGGACGGCCGCGAGCTGTCTCGCTATGCTGCCTGGTGTCCTAACCCGCTACCCGTCGTGCTGTCAAGCAACCAGGCGCTGCCGCAGCCGCCGCAGGAGCGTTCGCAGCCGCATGCAGGCAGCCAGCAGCGACCCACGGGTCAGTCGGGCAAGGGCGTGGCTGGTCAATTTGATGAGCAGGCCGCTAAGAATAACAGCCATGCGCCTAGCAGAGCCGACAGGACCGGCGGCAGAACTAGTTGCGTCGGGGCCCCAGATCCCCAAAACACGCCAGTTGTAGAGGATCCAAGGGATGCTGAGGCGGCTGCTGCGGCTGCGGCCGCGGCGGCGGGGCCCCTGTCCGGTGTGCTTCCGCCGCACCTAAAGCACATCTACGTGCTTTGCCCTGGGGAGCACCGTACGGAGCATGTACGGCGGTTAATCCATGCATTGGGTGCGGAGCGAGCGCTGCTGTTCGTGCCCAAACAGAGCCATGCCATGGTCACCAAGTACAAGCTGGAGGCGCGGCACATGGAGGTACGGCAGCACTGTACTGCAGCATGGATTTGGGTTGCGGGTTAAGGGCAGGCTTATGAAATGTCGCTATTGGAGTGATAGGGTGTAGCTGCTGGCCTGGTTGGGGTTGGGGAGTTGTTGCAGGAGCGGGATTGACATGAGGTGACATACCGGCGGGTGGCTCTCTTGCCCATATGTCTGCCGTGGTCGTACCCATGGAGACGCTTAGGTCGAATCGCAGAACTTAAGAGCTCCATGTCGCCAAATTCTAGGCTGTTTGCTGACACGGCGTATGCCTTGCCTCTTGATTTCTGCAGGTTACCATCCTCCACGGCCAGCTCAGCAAGCTTGCACGCGGCAACATTTTAAATGCATTCCGTGCCGGGACCTTTCGAGCGCTCATCGTAACCGATTTGGGCGCGCGCGGCCTAGACTTGCCCGACTGTGATGCTATCATCAACTTCGGGCCACCCCCTGACCCCCTGTCGTACGCCCACCGCGCCGGCCGTACGGGCCGGGCGGGTGCACCCGGCGTGGTGGCTAGCGTTGTGACACGGCAAGAGCTGCAGCAGCTGCGGGGCACTGTTAAGAAGCTGGGTGCGACTTTGCAGGTAATTGTTTGTTGCACGCATGGAACCTTCGGAACTACCCCGAGGGTTTCATGCTGAGGCAATGCTTGCTACTGGTGCTTGTGTAGGAACTAAACGGTGCGTTTCCTTGCACACAGGCGGTATCTATACTGAATGGCAAGATTGTGCCGGGAGAAGAGATAGGGGGCCATCGTGAGGAGGACGTCGGCACCGCGTCTCGGCCGCACAGAGCTCATCGTTAGGCCGCATGACGAGGGGTGTCGGGCCGCACCCACAAGCCTGAAGAGCAAAGATATCAAGGGCGACATGCTCACTAGTCGCACAGGCGATGCAGGGTGGATATATGCGATTAGTGTAGTTTTAGTACGCCGCGTGCGCTCAGGACTTGCGCGGCATGTGGGCTATAAGGATGCTCTAAAGCGGCTCACTTGCGACGGGGGCCAGCCGTATTCTCTTGTAATACTCATTTCAAGGGATTATCACCTGAGGAAGTTCGAAGGTGGCTCATTGGAGTCTAGCCGTACGGGCAGTACGGTTCATTGTCGCCAATTATAAGCGACTTTAGCGGGAGTTAGAAAGTCCGCTCTCCTGCTTAAGACAAATTGGTTTCTGTACTTCTTATCCTTACAATTACATATCTACAAAATTGACAAAAGACTTGCGTAACGCGCGTCATGCTCGTGTAGAAGTTGCCCACGGAGGCCCTTACATTAGCGCCCAGGGTCCACAATGTTCAAGAACGCTTTTCAATCCGGCTTTTTGTCGGTGCTATATAGCATTGGCTCGAAGCCTCTAGAGATTTGGGACAAGCAAGGTGGGACCGCATGTGCCTGCCGAGGCGGCCAGGCCAGCACAGCTTCGTCGCCAAACCATGTTCTACGCTGGAGCTAGTTTTCATGGAGTATGCTTACCGCGGCCTTTCATGCTCCCGCAGTTAGCAATGGGCACATCAAGCGCATCACAGACACAGACATCCAGTCCTCAGTGCTGGAGATTATGGGGCAGAATGTCTCAACAACATACATCACATGCCCAGCAGATCCCAACAAGACGTTGGGGATTAAGCTGCCTTTCCTGGTTCTCATTATCAAGAACCTCAACAAGTACTTCAGGCAAGCCCCGCCTCATTGACCAGCTTCTGTTATGCAGCTGTACTAACATATGTGGAACGGTTGTGCAGCTTTGAGGTACAAGTGCTGGACGACAAGAACGTGCGGAGACGCTTCCGCGCGTCGAACTATCAGGTGATTATGTTTTTGTTTCGCAACTTTCCTTTGTTGTCATGATGATCCAAAAAAGTCTGTTCTGGTTTAGTGCACTTCGCTTGTCGGCTTGAACCCCGCGTCCCTTCACTATTGTGCATGTTCACGCTCCCGCAGTCAACGACGCGCGTAAAGCCTTTCATTTGCACTATGCCAATGAGGCTGGACAGCGGGTGGAACCAGATCCAGTTCAACCTGTCGGTGAGTACCGGGGTCTGGTAGGGATGCACATGTGTGTTTGGTCTTGTCACAAGCTAACTCCAATTCGTGGGTCAATGCAGGACTTCACGCGCCGTGCCTACGGGACGAACTACATCGAGACGCTCCGAGTGCAGGTCCACGCGAACTGCCGCATTCGGCGCATTTACTTCTCCGACCGCCTGTATTCAGAAGAGGAGCTCCCCGCCGAGTGAGTATAGCCTTGGCTCCCCCGTGTTTACCTGGCCCCTCGGCACTCTCTTGCAAGCCTTGGAAACCTTAACGACCATAGGTGACCCTAATCCCAAATACTCAACTCAACTACCTCCCTACCCTGCCCTGCCCCGTGTCCTCCCAACTCCGCCATCGCACTCCAGGTTCAAGCTGTTCCTGCCGGTGAGCACTTAGCTTGGAGGGGCAGCAAAGGGGGCTTAATACAACACCTGGTTGGATACGTGGGGGCTATGCTCCGTGCTGTACGTGTCTATCGTGCCTAGGAACAGCGTAGCTGGCCCCCAGCGCAGCAGGACTGCCCTCGCTTGTTGCGCTGACGTGGCCCATCTGCCTTCCTTGGTTACACCTTACAGATCCAGAAATCGTGAACGGACGGAGCGCTTGGACGTGGGTGGACATGTTACGAGAGCAGCCTGAGCGCGTGTGAGTAGGTGCGAGTGCGATCAGCCGGGCTGCTAGCTGCCAACAACCAGGCTGATGAATTTCAGCGCCGCGCCGCTGCCGTGCGACAGCATCCTAAGCTGCGCCTAGATGGCTAGAGATGCGGGCACGCATGGGGGGTGGGGGTTTCTTGTAATGGTACGTGGCTGGCATTGCTGGATACGAGGTAGGAGTTTCTGTACATGGACTATGATGGACTGGAGGCAGAGGATGCTGCTTTGGTGTATTCGCATTACTGACGGGCTAAGACCAACACCTAATGACCTGACTATGCAATGACCTAAGTGTCGTGAAGGCATAAATAGGCCAAAATGGGCCCTGCCCTTTGTGGCATTCGCAATTGTTGTTGACCGACCGAGTTTTCTTGTTGACCGCATGCACAACAGAACAGGGGTATGCAAGCATGCACACCCCGTAACTGCAGCGGCTGCGATGCATGCAGCGTGAATGTGGGAAATTGTGCCATATCGTGTATGCAAGATGAGGCGGTGTGCTAGCATAGCACCAAGCGTTGCTCCAGATACTGGAGGCGGTGCAAGTGTAAATATCTTCTCCCTTGTTATTTTACACGAGATATTGCGGCTTGCAAAGGCCAAGCGTTGCACGTAGGCGCACACCTGCGCGCCCGAGAGCCGACTAGAATTCACGCCTCTTTGCGTACTTGTCAGGAGCCAGAAGCAGCAAAACGCGGTAGTTCATCTTGCGGAAAACACTGGCCGCCAGGACCATCCCTCAGCATAGCGTCGCACACTCCATGACATTGACGCCAAACCCGTCAGCTCCGAACCCCAGTTCCAGTGTTGGCTCCCCTCCATGCATGCCACTCACGCAGCCTACAAGGCTGGATACGCGTGTTCCAACACCGACGGTACGGGCATGGTGGAGATGAAGTCGGATGAAGCGCTGGGCAGCAGCCGCATGGCGCTCAGTTTGTACAGCCCGAATATGAGTTGTCCGGAGTGCACGAGGCAGTACAGAAGGCGCGGCGTGAGCACGTCCAGCTGCTTCCACTCCTCGTCCCGGGGGAACACTTTGGGGAGGGCCGGGGCGGAAGTTGGAGTTAGCGCATGCAGCCTAGGAGCAATTAGCTGGTTTTCTGGCGTTGCTTTGGGGAACTGTAACCTTAGGCAGCGCAGTGCTAGGCAACAAACCAAAGGTTTCCTTGCTGTTAAACGGGCATAGCACGTGTGGAAGCCGGGCCCCGTCCCATAGGCCAGTGCCCGGTCGCTTTAGCAATTCATGATTCGATACTGCGGTAAGGCTTGAACCATATCTGCAAGCGCCTCTTTCCTAAGATCAGGACAGGGCCACAAGCATTCTCCCACACACTTGTAACGAGGGCGTGCGACCAAAGCTACCGTAGCGTCGCTGCGGCCCTCGGACCGTGCGCGTCTACCCTCCTCCCGCCTGGCTTGCGCCCACATGTTGTGAGACACTCACCGTCTCCGGAGCTCATAATAGCTGAGATGGGCGCGGCGATGAGGTTAAACATCATGAAGATGCTAAAGATCTGGATGGTGTTGCCAAACATCCACGCCATGAAGCACATCATGCCGACCTGTTTGAGCGGCGCGGTCGCCTTGGCGAAGAGGGCCTGTGGGGCAGGGACGCGTGCGGAGGGACGGGATTGGGGCATGGTAACGGTGCGACTGACGAATGGGTGGGAAGGCCAACGCCTTACCAAAAGGTTTTGCATGTGCAAACGTCTGGCCCGTGTGCAATGCAAGCTGCTTCTGGAAAGACATTTTTAAGGGCCTTGACGCCCCCAACTATGGATGAGTAGCAAGACATCAGGCAAGCCACGAGATACACCCCTTCCCATGCGTTCCATGGCCAAGTAAAGAAGTTCCTTTGCCACGCCATTGCTTAATATCTTGTGGGCCACACGCATGGGTGGGGTCCTTATCTTGCCAGCACTCTCCTAACCCCAGGCCACCCGAACCCACTCACCGACTGCTTGCGTGCCAGTGTGTTTCGGTCCCTAGGCTTGCTGGAGCTGATCATGCAAATCTGCAACATAGTGTTCAGATGCATTACAAACTAGAAGATTACTTCCTACTCTAGGCGAAGTCGTCTGCTTACCGGGTCCTTTGCAATGGAGGCATCATAGCCTGGAGGATCTATTTGGCCCTTCCGATCTGGTATTAGTGATTCGAGGTCTAGTCGCCAGCTTTTGAGGTCAGCCATAGCGAATCTGAAGCTAGCTGTGGCGTTTGGAGCAGAGAAACGACAACAGGCTATGGTAAGGGAGAAAGGGGCGTAAAGGTTGTGCTGACAGTACCACCGTTCTTGAATATACGCACGTCAAAAAGCGGCAAGGAAGCAAAGAAGTATTGTACGGATGGTTTCAGGCATGCCCAACTGCACTTTGGAGCCGTTTCCAAGGTGAAGAGGACAATAGTGTCCTTAGCTGCGCACCAATTGGTAAGGTCCTTTATACTGCGAACTTCCACAAAACTGTGCAGCCCTGAGATTCGGACACTGCGTAGCTGAGAAGTACATCCCACTTCTATTACACCTTGTCATATAATGGGTAACAAAAGGCGAAAGGTTGAGGAATCAGAGTCGGAGGAGGAAGAGGAGTTCGAGGAGGTGAGCCGCAGAACGTGATGACTTTTTCGCTGTGAAGCGGCGGTTCTTAGCATACGAGTTCTTGCCCAAACCTCAATAATTTGCAAAGCTGCATGCGCGCCGCCGCCGTCAGCCGCCGGGTTAGGCGAAATGCCGTTGCCATGGGCGTGTTGCAGCCGTCTTTTTAACCCAGGGCGGTGTGTCGCCCAGGAGTTATCCTGGGAGTTATGGAATAATGGTCTGAAAGTAACAGAGATATAGTAACGTCGTCTGTCACTACCCTTGCAAAACACACAGGATGTTGAGGTCGACGAGGACAATGAGGGGAATGAGCCCGGGACTTCGGGGCGGACGCGTGAGGCTATCTACAACGTGGACGCTTTGCACGAAAAGCTAGAGGACATCGGCTGGACAACCGAGGTGGATTGGGATGAGACGCTGGCCATAACAACAGAGCAGCCGACGGTGGTGGAGAACGTGGAGGACGACTTAGCACGCGAGCTTTCCTTCTACAACCAGGCCTTGTCAGCAGCACAGCAAGCAATACGGCGCTTTGAGGAGGCCGGCGTGCCGTGGCTACGGCCGCTGGACTATTACGCAGAGATGGTAAAGAGCGACGAGCACATGGCTAAGGTCAAGGAGCAGCTCATGTTTGAGCAGAAGCAGATCGAGCAGGCGGAGGAGCGGCGCAAGCAGCGCGAGGCGAAGATGTACGGCAAGCAGGTGCAGCTGGCGAAGCAGAAGGAGCGCAATGCCGAGAAGAAGCGGCAGATCACGGAGGTCTCCAAGCTGCGGAAACAACGCGAGAAGTCGGTGAGTGTGGTTGCCAAGGTGTTAATTGAAACAAACTGCTGCTTCTAGCCGGTGCTTGCATGTTGGGGGCCGTTATTGCTCCTGCCGTACGCGTTACGTGGCGTGGGGCAAGGGACACAAGAACCGTAGGCTATGCATATAGCAGGCTTTTGGTTAATTGGGCATTTGACAGGATCCCGGACGTAAATGCGCAAGTCCTGCCCTAAGGCTCAATCCCCTGTCCTTCCTCTTTGTTCGAATGTCTTCCAATTGTCGTACAGGGCTTTGCGGGCGAGCTCAACATGGATGAGCAGCTTGCTGAGATGGACCAGCGCCGGCCGCTCAACCTGAAGCAGCTGGGGCAGCGCGGTCCCAAAGGTGCGTGGTTGTAATCTGGAGGGTGATTGCAGGCCGGCGCTGCGGGCTTGTTGGCAGGTGCTGTTGTAGTGCTGTTCGCAACTGAAGCAGTTGTGCATGTGCTATGGAAATCCAGCACGTGGGTCTTTGTGCGGTTGGAGGTGTGAGTTACGTAGGGTCTGCTTTTGCCATGGGCTAAGCGATTTGACTGTTGCGCCCCTACTACTGCGTCTGGAGACGGAAGGACTGACGTGGTGTGATGTTGCTTGCCGTTTTGCACTATTCGCAGACGCCAAGGCGCCCAACAAGAAGCGCCAAGCACGGGATTCCAAATTTGGTAAGTCTCCGCACACTTCTGGCCGCGTTTACGTCACGTATTACCGTAGCCAGTTGCACGATCACGGCTTCTGCTGCTTTTTTGCCAACGTCATACCGCCCTTTGCGTACAGCTTGTTGGGTTATGCTAGCCTCGCTATCTCAGCCTTGCTGCCCTGCCCTACCATGTGCTGACGCACTGCATGCCCCCTTCCCCTCTGTTCTGTGCCGCAGGCTTTGGCGGGCGCAAGGCGCTTAAGAAGCAGAACGACGCTTACTCCGCTGCCAACATGGACGACTACAAGCCTGGGCGCTTCAAGGAGAACTTTGGGCCGCGCAAGGGCGGCGTCCAGAAGAAGCAGGGCGGCGGCGGAGCCGGAGCCGGAGCGGGAGGCAAGAAGGCCAAGGGCGGCAAGCCGCAGCGGCTCGGCAAGCAGCGGCGGCAGGCAATGAAGGGAGGCAAGGGTGGCCGGCGATAGAGGCGGAGGCGGGGGCAGGAAGGGGTTGCATGCATGGGGGGTTAGGGTAGAGGGAGGATTCGGGTTGGGGAGATAGGATAGGCTGCCGGCTATTGGTGTATGCTACATGCAGCTTAGCGCCATGGAAAAGGGTTTGGGTGGGAGGGCTTGCATGGCTGCGTGGTGCGGAGGATTATGTTGGGGAATTTGGGCTCGGGAGCCCCAACAACTCCGTAAGGGTCTTGCCGACCAATGGGTGGCAGGCACCCTGCACATGGCGTGCTGTGGAGTGCCTGCCTCGGCACATGAACACGGCTGGTACTAACCAGCTAGGACAGGCGGAAAAATAACATTTGCAGCTCTCGCAGCTTTGGACTGTTGGCTGAGTTGGCAGATAAGAGGTCCACGTAGCGCATGGCTGGTGCAAACTAGCTAGGGATGGAGCCAGACAGTTTCATGAGTGCCCCCTGTCATGCGTGCAGTGTAACCGTTGTACCATTGACATGCTCTGCCCTGCTTGTTCTTCTCGCACTACATTGGCCTGAGTCTAGGCACCCTGCTGACACCCACTGCCCACTCTAAACAAGCCTCTCAGCTCCCTTTAGCTCTAACCCAACCCAACGCTTCTCAGGCCCACAGCTCCCGGTTCGCTACTCCATAGGGACAGGGGGCGTCGAGGATTACCCACCCCAACCTTTTCGTGGATCATAAATGGAGATGTACTCGACCACACACCTGGTACCGGTAGGTCCCCTGAAGGTCACGAAAGAGCTCACAAAACACAGCAGGGTGGACATGTGGGTTTATAAGGGGATCAAGACAAAAGTAAACATTGCATTGCAGAGGTACTGATGGGGTAACCCTTTGACTTTGGTGTTGCTTACTAATTGCAACACTAGGGCCCAGTTGTCCAAGACAGGTATAAGAAAGCGTGTAGACTAAATACGGAGTAATGCTGCTGGCAGTAAACGCCTCAACATCCCCAGCACCTAGCCTTCCTCTCTAAGAAGCAAAGCGGCATTTGTTAGGCCGGGTGCCATGACTCCATAATAGCAAACCGCCTCCTCTACCGTGCCCCATGCAAACAAGCATTGTAATGCAGGAAAAGCCTGTTGACATGGCTCTAAAAGGCGCCTTGGATTCACTGAATCCCCGGCACAGCACGTGCAGCAGCAACAACCCTATATGACGCTATAAGTACCCCTGTGTGCCTGATAGTCCCCTGGCCCTATTGGGTTGGCCCCAATGGCCAACGCCAGCGTCCATGAGTGCCGCCTTACTTGTTTTGTGGCGAGAATACCCATGCCGCGTTCAGCAACCTCCAGTTAATGCTCAGGTAGTACTTGGGTCAGCGGCCATGGTCCGTGGGCCGCGACTCGAATCTGCCGGCATCGCCTGCGTCGGTTCACCGCTTGCACTTTTGAGAAGTGCAACAATGTGAGGCCGGTGCAACGCTAAGCTGCTTTCGGAGAGGTTCTTAAATCGAAGGACAGAAGCTTGTTGTACCTTTGTTTCTCATACGGCATGTAAGGGAACTGTTGCGGCCTTCTAAAATGATAGATTTTTTCCTCTCTGACTAACTGCTTTGTGATCGGCCTTAATCGGTCTGCATCTCGGCAAACCTGAGTACGCAACCACTACGCTCACACAGGAAAGGCTGGACTGAACTGCACACATAGGACAAATAATACTCTGCTGTTACTTGTTGTATGACCTTATGGCTTGCGTGTAAGGTCGTTGCAGTCCTTGCGGATCGATTGCATTGAGACTCAGGACTCAACAGTTTCCGGGGCCACGCCGGCGGCGGCGTGGTGGGCCTCAATTGATCTGAATAAAGATGGCAGGCCGTGGAAGGGCCGCCACATTGCCAGCATGGATGACTAGTGAGTGGGGTTGGGCCGCATTCAAGGAACGCTACACGGAGTCAGGAATTCCGCTCCTGGTTGCCGTTTTTGCTGATTGTTTATCTGTTATTTGTTGTCGTTTGCTTGGGGGCTTGGGGGGCGTACCTGCTCTAGGAGGCCGTCGCCAAAGTTGCCATCCTGCACTTTCTATGAGCATAGGCGCATCTATGTGTAGCATACGACTGCCTACAGAATGTTTATTTCAACGTTATGGTGCCAGGAGATAGAAGTGTGGCCGCCGTTCCACATTTACCGAAGGGTTGCATCATGCGTCTTTCCATTGTCTCCTTCTTTCGCAGGTGGATCAGCTGCTCCGGCTCCAGGCGCGCCTGCGCCTGCGCCTGGACCGGGTCCTACGGTGAGCTCTGCCGCTTACCTTCAGGCTTAGCTCCCTGCACTAGATAAGTCCCCTTCGGTCATGTTACCGTTCTTGTCGCTTAATGTTTCCGCTGCCCCTTTTGTTTGTCCGAACGTGCGCAGTCTGGGCCTTCGGCGCCCGGCGTGCCCTCATTTCTCCAGCCGCAGGGCGCCCAGCCACACCAGGTACGTCATGGGCTCGTGACCCTGCCCACACCCTTCTTACCTTCCAGCATCGCACGACCACCAACGCCACAACTGAAACCGCTCACGCGCATGCTTCCAAACCTCGCCACAGGCTTTCCTACCGAACCCCATTCCACCCCTACAGGCCACAGCCCCGGGCAACAGCCTTTCCCATCTCGCGCCCCCGGGTGGCGCTCCTCCAGGAGGGTCCGGCGCAGCAGCACCCACCGCACCACCACCAGGGGGCCACCATCCGCCTCTAGGCCAGCACCAGCACCCCCCACCAACCGGAGGACCTCCCCCTCAGGGCGGCCAGCCGCCCGCAGTGGGCGGACTGCCTCCACCCGTGGGCATGCCGCCCGGCATGCAGCCGCCGCCGCAAGGGTCCGCACCGGGGGGAGCCCCACAGGCGGGCAGTGTCGCCCCGGGCGGCATGGCCCCGCCCGGCACCTCGGCGCCACCCCCGGGGATGCTGCCGCCGCCGCCTGGGGCGCCGCAGCCGGGGATGCTGCCACGTCCTCCGCTGGGGGCGCTGGGGATGCCGCCGCCGGGGCACTTCCCCGGGATGCCTGGAGCGCCGCCACCGGGGATGGGGTATCCACCGCCGGGGAGCCACATGGGGCCGCCACCGGGCATGATGCCGCCGCCGTACGGCATGCCGCCAGGTACGGAGCCAGGGCCGCAGTAGGGCGGTGGAGGGGAGGCGTGCGACGACCCACGAGATCCTCTGTGCTGCCCCACACGGGTCGCTGCTGTGTTACGTACCACTTGGCCCTCCTGTTAGGAACAAGCATATGTGTCGTCTGCGTGCCTTTTAGCCGTCAAGCGCGGCATTTGGCTGCGTTGCCTCCACCTCTTCCTCCACTGATGCAGCCGTGCTGATGCTGGCTCCGCAGGTGCTCCGCCGCCGATGGGCCTGCCGCCCCCCGGCTGGCAGCCGGGCATGGGCCCACCTCCTGGCTACCCCCCGCGACCCATGCCAGGTAGGGGGCGGTGCCGGCATGCAGGGCTGCAAGCTTGGGCTGGCTCAGGGGCTTCGTGGTTTGGTGCAATCATGCCCACACTTGTTTTCGAGCCCCATCGTTAATCGCTCCGTATGCGCCCCCTTTCCCCGTTGCCGTACGCCAGGGTTCCCACCCGGCATGCCGCCGCCAGGGATGCTTCCCCCAGGCATGCCGCATGGCATGCCGGGACTGCCACCACCTCCCATGGCGGGATCCCTTCAGCCCCCGCTGTCTGGGGCTCCCCCAGGCGCCCAGCCTCAGCAGCAGCAGCAGCAGCCCCCTCAAGCGCAGCAACAGGCGCAACAACAGCAGCAGCAGCCACCCCAGCAGCAGACCTCGGCACCTAGCGGGGGACCTGCTGCGTCCTCCTCAGGGGCCGCCTCCACGCAGGGACCACCCGGAGCAGCAGCAGCAGGAGGAGGAGCACCATCCCCAACTGCCGCCGCTGGCAGCGGCGGCGGCGGCGCTGCCGCTCCCAAGGATTGGAGCGAGCACACCGCACCCGATGGCCGCAAGTACTACTACAACTCGCGCACCAAGCAGTCCAGCTGGGAGAAGCCGGAGGAGCTGAAGAGCCCACAGGAGCGGGCGGACGCCACGGGTTGGAAAGAGTACACCAGCCCTGATGGCCGCAAGTACTACTACAACAAAAACACCAAGGAGAGCCGCTGGACGATGCCGGAGGAGCTGAAGGCTGCGCTGGCGGCAACGGGAGGAGCAGCAGCAGGAGGAGGAGCAGCGGCGGCGGGAGCAGCTGCCCCCAAGCCAACGACGGTGCAGGTGGTGTCGCTTGCGGCGTCGACGGCGGCGGCGGCGCCTGACGGCGCCGCCGCCCGCGGGCCGAAGTCTGAGGGAGCCGTTGACGCCGGGGCAGCGGCAACCGGAGCGGCGGGGGCAGGGGGAGCCAGCAGTCGGGCATCGCCGTCGCAGCAGCAGCAGCAGGGTGACGGTGCCTCGCAGTCGGCTGCGTCCGCTGACCCCAAAAACTACAACTTTGCTACCAAGGTGTGCATGCAGCAGCAGCAGCGGCCGGGTGTTTGTAGCGGTGTGCGACACAGGGGGGCATGCAGCGTGGGACTGGGACAGCAAGCAAGCGGTGGTAGTCAGCCTTCGCGTGCTTTGTGCCTGTGTCCCTCATAGGGTGGCACGGGGCCACCACCGGTGCAACAACAACCCCGCACATAAGCCACATCGTTGCGCCTTCACGGCATCTCCATTCCCCGTTTGGCACCTCCCTGTCCCCTTCCAACCTACATACTCTGCCCCCCTCACACGACCCCACCCCCTGCCGCCGCTAGTCCCAGTTGGTGCATTTCCTCGCATCTCAGTTTACCTAACAATCTAACCCTTCCCCCTCCCCGCCCGTCGCTGTCATGCGGCCTGCAGGAGGAGGCCAAGGACGCGTTCAAGGAGCTGCTGGCCAGTGTGGGCTGCCGCAGCGACTGGACCTGGGAGCAGGCCATGCGGCTCATCGTGAACGACCCCCGGTGAGCGGGCGGAGGGTGACGGAGGGGGATCATGCTAGTGGGAGCTTGACAGGGAAGAGGGAGGAGGAGGAGGACGGGGGGATGGGGAATGGAAAGGAGTGGAAGCTGGGGCGTAGCGGGATGGGATGCTCGACGGGGTATAGCCTGGAATTAGAGGGGAAAGTGAGCTTTCCGTTGGTATCTGCTTTCCTTCAGCATGGTTTGGCGTTGTCATGTACCGAGGTATACGGTGTACCGGCATGCCACCCTCCCTGCCCAACCCACGTAACCATGCAATGTGCTGCCGCTGCTGCTCCCTCCCCTCCTCCTCCTCAGCTACTCGGCCCTCAAGCTGCTCAGCGAGCGCAAGTCCGCATTCAACGAGTACGTGCAGGCGCGGCGCAACGAGGAGAAGGAGGAGGAGCGGCGGCGGCAGCGGCAGGCGCGGGAGGACTTCCTAACCATGCTGGCCTCATCGGATGAACTCAAAGTACGAATGGGCGGTTAGCAAGCAGTTGCCGTACGCATGGGTGCAGCAACTCAGCATGCATGCGTCGAGAGCATTGCCGGCGCATGGGCGCGGCGGGAGGGGGGCTGCGGCGGACGGGAGTTTGCATGGATGGCGCCGTAGCCGGTACCAAGCCCTCCCTTCTATCCTACCTCCTACCTTCTTTACGCACCCGCCATATAACAACGCCTCCAGGTGACCCACCCCTTCCGGCGGGCCAAGGAGCTGTTTGACGACGATCCGCGCTGGAAGGCGGTTTCGGAGCGCGAGCGTGAGGAGCTGTTCCATGAGGCGCAGCGGGAGCGGGACAAGCGGGAAAAGGAGGAGCGGCGGCAGGTAGGCTTGCAGGCAGGGGGAAGGAGGAGTACCCCCCTGCGTTGAATGGCAGTGACAACATTGCCTGGTTCAGGAGGGGAAGGGCGGGCGGGTTATAGGAGTGATGGTTGGACGGGACGGTCCTGGGCGGTGGAGCATGGGGTACGGAGAAGGGAGACCCCTGTGGAGTAGGGCGTCCGTGCCATGCGGGGTGTTGCCATGCGGCAATCGCTGCCTCACGGCCGCCTGACATGCCATGTGCTGCCCCGCCCGGTTGTGTCCGGATGTGCTTTCGGTGTCCTCCGCAGGAGCGCAAGCGGCGCTGCGTCGCGTTCCGGGAGCTGCTTGAGAGCTCGGGGGTGAAGGCGGGAGCGGAGTGGCGCAAGGTGGGTGGGAAGGAGGAGCTGGATGCAGCAGGCGAGGATGGCAGCTATAGCCGCCGCTGCCGCTATGCACTACCGCTGACCTGCACTGCCGCTGACCTGCACTGCTGCAGGTGTCCAAGCGGTTGGAGGGCGAGGAGGAGTACGAGGCGCTGGACAAGGTGGAGCGGCTGGAGGTGTTCCAGGTGGGCTGGGGCGGGGAGGGGGGTGGAGGGGAAGACGGATGAGGGATGAGGTGTAGCAGTGTAACGGAGCCACGAGGTGTAAGAGCTGGCAACGCTAGGAAGGCTGCTGTGCAGGGGGGTTAGGGGAGCCATCTTCGTTTTTGCCCTGGGGGATTCCGCAGCACTACAGGATGGGGAATGGGCGTGTCGCCTGCCCCCTGGGTCAGGCACGTGTTAAAACAGCAGTCTCGTTGGTATGGTTCTGATGATGTTCCTTGCTCCCCGCTCTTTGCTCCTGGTGCTGGCCTGCAGGAGTACATGAAGGATCTGGAGCGGCGCGAGAAGGAGGAGAAGGAGCGCGAAAAAGAGGAGCGCAAGCGGCAGGAGCGCAAGGCTCGGGACGCGTTCAAGGAGCTGCTGCGCCGCCACAGGTACGTCCTGCGGTCCACGTCCCTTAAATCCCATGTTTCTATACATACCCAACGTATACTTAGGTATGCTTTGGAGCATGCACGCATGGCGCATCAATGCTTGCCCGCACATGGGCAGTTGAGGAGGGCTGACACAGGGGGGCTGATGGGTCTGTTTTGCTGCTGCACTGCCAACTGCCAACACCTGCTCGTGGACACCTCTCCTGGGCCGCATCCCACACTGCTCGCAACCCCTCGCCACCCCTCTGCACGCCCGCTGCAGGGACGAGGGTTTAATCGGTGTTCGCAGCCGGTGGAAGGAGTACAGCGAGCACGTGGTGGCGGAGGCGGCATACCGTGCGGTGGAGGGCAACTCCTCGGGCAGCAAACCCAAGGTGGGGCTGGGGCTGCTGGGAGGGAGAGGAAGGGGTAAAAATTCATGAGACACCGGCGATGCAAGGAAGGGGGGATACATAAGGAAACTGACGAGGCAACTAACGAGCTGTATGTGACAAGGCTTAGGGGGGGGGAGGCATTCCGGGAGGGAGTGTAGACCTTGGTCCTGATGGGCCGCATTGGAGGGTGCGTGAGGGGCATGTTGTGTGCGATTCCGGTAAGCATGCATGATTTTCACGTAGCTTCTGTAATGTCTGTATAAACTGTAAGGGACCATGAAATCCGCGAATCCGCAGGAGCTGTTCGAGGACTTGGTTGAGGAAATGGAGCAGGAGTACGACAAAGCCAAGGTAAGGGTGGTTGTGTTGGCCGCGGTTGCCAGGGTCTAGGTCACTGGTTCGTCCCCGCTGCGGTGCCGTGTTTCTTACCTCCGTGCCTGTCGTACCTGCATGCATGCGTGCAGGACTTCCTGAAGGGCCTGCTCAAGGAGGCTAGCTTCTCCGTCGTACCAACCACCACGTACGAGCAGTACGAGGAGGCGCTGACGTCAGCGGCCTCCGCGGCGGCAGAGGATGCAGGCGACGTCGGTGGCAAGCTGGCAGCCCTGCTGCCCACGTACAAGTAAGACCTGGGTAGACTGTACTGTGCAGTTGTACAGGTTGTGACCCATAACAATATGTCGCATGTCGACGCTACCTCGACTGTCGACGCTACGTCTCGCGCTTCATGTTGAATGCCTTCTCTGCGGAGACTGGCTTCCTTTTACTGCTCCATGACTGCCCTCATCACCTCTTGTCCCATGCGCTCCTCGTGTCCCCCTTCCCCAGGCGCACCTACTTTGAGGAGGCGGTGGCCAAGGCGCGTGCTCGTGAGGCGGAGGAGGCGGACCGGCGGCGACGCGCACGAGACAAGCTGGCGTCGTACATGCGGCACTGTCGGCCCGCAGTACGGGAGGACTCGGTGTGGGAGGAGTGGCTGCGGGAACATGAGCGCGAGCCAGAAGTGAAGGCGGTGAGTTGCCGTACACCTTGGGTGCTTTGGGGAGCTGGAAGAGAGGGCTAAAATGAAGGGCTGAAAAAGAGGGCTGGGAAACCGTGTTGTCTGTTACCTTGGGTGCTGTTGGAGCTCTTGGTTGGTGTTGGGCTTTTGGAGAAGCAAAGACCTAGCAGAGCTGATGTGGAATAAAGAGCGGATTGAAAAGCCGTGTTGTCAAACCTTTTCTTTGTTTAACGGGTAATGGATGCACCGCTTGCACCGCTGCCGTACTGCTGTGTTTACCGCACGTGTGCTACAATCATCACACAGCCCTTATCCGCCCTTATGCCCCTTGTCCCCCCCTGTTTCTTCTTCTCCCCCTTCTCTACCCGCGCAGGTGCCCCTGGAGGAAGCCCGCGTGCTGTTTGACGAGCAGATTGCCAAGCTGCGGCGCAAAGCGGAGGCGGCGGAGGATGAAGACAGCGACGGGGGCGGCGGCCGCAGCCGGCGTCGTGGCAGCCGCAGCGATGAGGAGGAGGAGGGCGGCGGCCGCAGCAGCAAGAAGTCCCGCAAGGAGAAGAAGAGCTCCAAAAGGTGTGTTGAAGGGAGGTATGTTTTGTGTTTGCGTTGTATGCAATACATGCCCTGTGCCATTGCAACGCGCAAGCCTCGCCGCTCGGCCACACTGTCTACAGTTTCCCCCTTCTCCGCCCCCCCCCCTTCACTCCCTGGCACCCCATGATGTTTGCCCTTCTTTCTGCCCCTTAACTCCCCCCAACCTCACATCCACCTGCCGCCCCAGGCACGATCGCAGCGATGACGAGGACGACCACAAGTCCAAGAAGCACAAGAAGGACAAGGACAGGGAACGCGAGCGGGAGAAGGACAAGGAGAGGAGTCGCGGCCGCGAGCGGGAGCGGGAGCGGGGCAGTCGGGAGCGGGAACGGGAACGCAGCGCTGGCAGGGCGGCTGAGTCGGACCGGGACAGCGGGGAAATCCGGGAGGACGGGCATTGAGGGGGGCATGACGCCTCGTCATGCGGACGCTTGCTGATTGCATGCATGCATGCATGCATGTATGCGGCAGGGTCTTCCGATGGCCACGGGTGCGAGGTGGAGAGGCGAGGCGTGTGGGGTCCGCAACAGCAGCAGGATGCATATCTTGAGTGTCTCGAGGGCTTTCGCCGATTGGGAGGGGCTCTCCTTCTGATGCGGATGATGAGGAGGGTAGCTGTTGATGTGGGACAAGTGGCAGCGGAGGCGCGTTGAGCCGTGGTGCAGCGGCGCTGGTTGCAAGGTTGGGGCTGTTTCTCCTAGCTCGTGTTGTTGTCTTTGCGTTTGTGGACTGACAGAGGTGATGGGCGACTGCCGAACTGGTAGGGCGGTGCCTTGTAAAAGGGAAGAGAAGGTATTTGAAGCTTGGAGGTTGCATTTAAGCTTTGGCAGTAGTGGTGTTGTGGCCTCTTCCGTTAACGCTGATGAATTGGCAAAAGATTCGGGACTGTCCTGCGCAGTAGTGCTGGAGGGGTTTTGTGCACTTTTGGGAGCCTTTTTTCATGGGTTATGCGGACAAATCTGCGAGCTTTTTACGTGCATCTTGCGCTCTCGCTCCTGTGGGGCAGCGTTCGAAGACCGTACCTCATAGCTCGAGTACGGTAAAGAGACTGGACCTGCAAAAGAAGGTTAGGCATGCAAGGACTGTGCTTTCTTGACATTTCACATGCTTGCGACCTGAGCCATGGGTCGCCCAAGCCAGGACGACACGCCTTCTGAAGCGGAGCTTGTTCAAGTGAAACCCGCTAGGAAGGCTCAAATCCTTGCTTGCAAAGTGCGTTGGTGGGAGGGAGTTGGGTCTCGTGCGGAACCGGTGTCCCTGACGGCCTCTTGGGGGTCGTTCATACACGGCCTCTGCTGCGTCCGAAGGAGAGAACGTCGGACTCCCCAGGCCTCCACCCTGTGCCGACGCTCATGTACATACCGGTAGCATTTTTGGAAGGCATAGTGTTAGCACAGACCTATAAATGCTACTTAAGGCTTGGAACAGCTGTGATCTTCGGGGTCTGCACGCAAAATGGTTGTGTGCACCCCCGGTGTAATTCGCAGCCCAATGACACAATAGCAGCAGGGGTGCCGAAGCCAACGGGATGGCATGCCAGCTGCAGCAGCTGCAGGTATTACCTTAGCGTTGTCTGTGGTTTTAGGAAGCGGAAGTTACACTGGAGGACAGTAGCTGAGACCATCGTCAGACGTACATTCTAACAGGGCGTCGACCGCCCTACCCCAGGGGGCACGCCGTGCACAAGGCAGGGAACCGTGCCCAACAGATACAGGGACAGGCAACTAGGTCCCAGAGAAACAACACAGAGAGGCTGCCAAACCAGCTCCCGAAAGTCCGACATGCAGGCACTGCCAACCCAGCACCTGGAACAGGGGCCGGCAAGCAGGGTCCCAGAGAAAGGCGACACACGTGTAGACGTGTGGAGACGTGTACGTAACCCCATAGAAATGGGCCTTGCAGACGCAGGCACAGCACCCGCAGCATAGCCTAAGAAGGGTGAGCATTTTCGCTTAGGTACTCATCGACACCTTTCTAATGCCCCTTTATGCCATATGCACTTAATATGTATGATGGACTATGTGTGTTAACCGGAATATTCCTTCGCATTGAAGGTCCTTTGGAGCTGCCTGAGAATTGAACCCACCATCGGGTGCAACCTACTGGTATATGTAGTATGCTGAAGCGTTCTTTAGCATGACCGTACTTGAACAGGATCTGTTCTATAGGTCATACACCTGTCTGTATTCTTCGAATCAGACAAGCTCCTCAACCCAGACGAAGAGACGAAGCCCCGGCGCCTGAGCGCTACGTATGGCCACAGTGGCCGTGCCGCTGGCACGTACGCGTGGCTCTGGATGAACGTCCCGCCGTGCTTCATTCCGCCGGCAGGGATGGCGCACGGGGCATTCAGATGGGTTTTGCTGCCCTTGCTTTTAAGGTCAACAAGTCATTAAGAGCATCTGACCACATGAGGGGTCCCCGCACATATGTACGATTAGGATCACTCTTACAAGACATCTCTCCTCATGTCTCACAACCACTGTACGGTATTTTGACGCCGCATTGAGACGGATCTGCAGTGTTGGTCTCACGCCATGTACCCTAGAGATTAACGGAGACAACGCACCACGTGTTGTAGGCACTCTTATCTACCGCCAAAGGTACGACAATACGAGAGAACTGTGTAGAACTAGTCCCGCAAAAAGGTCCAAAACAAAACGGCATCCTAACTGACCAAATCCAACCTGTAAACAAGCTGGCATCACGAAGTATGACAGTGCACATGCTATGGCGCGACAACAAGCTTGTGGTGCACCGCCCACAGTGCGTCTTCCTTGCACCTCTAGCAGCATCTTGCCAACTAATACCAACCCTGAACACTGGATCTCTCTCACCTCGCCATGTACGGTGGCGCTCCTAGCTCATGCCACGTAACGCCTCACAACTGGGTGTAGCTGTCACGCCCAACCACATGAAGGGTCCCCGTCGGGGCGGAGGGCAACCCATGCACGGACAAGAAGTTCAGCAAACTGAGTTCAGCGCATCTCACAGTACACGTACGTTACGTCCACTGATGAGTCCACGTCAAAGACAAGCTAGGATCTTCGTTGTACGGCATGGACGCAACAGGCAGCATTAGACACGGTGTCGAGCCTTTGTCTGCAGGTTCTCCCTAGGAATACCGGTATGTAAGCTTAATTATTTCTGCTTGCACCTGCTCTGATGCCGTGAACAATCCATGAACATGCAACGAACCCTAATTAAGCCACAATGCTCACCCCTGCATACCGGTACACAAGAATGCCTCACAGCTCACCTATTTGCAGGAACAATAGGGCTTTGCGGGGCTAGCCATTCCTGGACCGCCCAGACAGTGCAGCTGGGGGGTGGTGTGGCTAGTGCGCACGTTACGCTGTGTTCATTCATGGCACGAACGTGGTTCTTAGGGCGGTGACGGAGTGGTTTAGGTTTCCAGGGGACATGAATGGGATGTGAGCTGCGTTTGCTGTTGCGCATGCTCCCAAGGGTACTTCGCGTAGGCTGCTTAACAGCTTCAGGCATGTCAGGCTTACTACGTAACTGCACCATTCCGGTAGTTTGAGAAAACGTGGTACCCACCATCGCTGCCCGTCAATCGTTTATAAAAGCTGGCCAGGTAGAGGTCAGTATGACCGTACTTGAACAGGATCTGTTCTATAGGTCATACACCTGTCTGTATTCTTCGAATCAGACAAGCTCCTCAACCCAGACGAAGAGACGAAGCCCCGGCGCCTGAGCGCTACGTATGGCCACAGTGGCCGTGCCGCTGGCACGGACGCGTGGCTCTGGATGAACGTCCCGCCGTGCCTCATTCCGCCGGCAGGGATGGCGCACGGGGCATTCAGATGGGTTTTGTTTTTTTCCTTTCCATTGTTCCTAGACACTAGTGTCGTTTGCAAAGGCCCCTTCACGAAATAGCGTTCCATACAGTGCGCACGATGTGATCGTGGGCATTGCACATGTTATCGATTGTGTTTGTGTGGACAATACAGTAGCTTCCTGCGACCGACGTTTGAGGCAAACGGGTTACAGCACTCCCGTGCATGCCACACTCACGCGCCACAAGCTTCAGCCTACAGCAGTTGGAGCAGTTCTTAAGAGTCAGAGCACAGTGCTTACTGTCATCTATACTGCCCACAAGGACATCCGGCTTCGAAGATTTCCTTCCCGTTAAGTGCGGCGGGACCTACTTCTCTGTCCTCCAAGGAGTATAAGCACAATATGCCTTATATGCATAATCCGTACATGTTGGCTTATATGTTGGAAGCAGTCCGGCATGGCGTCAAGGAACTGATTAGATAGCGTTTCCGTAACATTAGAGTACCGCCTCACTTCAATGGCTCAAACTCCGCTAAAAAAGAAGCAGCGTAATAAATCAATTGGATGACAAACCGAAGACGCACTCCGGAATGATAGGGGACCGGTATCTACGAATGCGTGCGTGCCCGTGCTTAGACCTGTGGTCCTCTAGCAAAGCTCTGCCTTGCCCTGCCAAAGCAAAGCTTAGGTATACACAAAACTACCAAAGCAACTCTGTAGCCTGGAATGGGTCATTCTTTATAACGCATCGTCATTGTTTGCTTGTTCAAGCTCGTAAGGCCCATGTATGTTTCCGCCACGAATTTCGTAAGGCCCAGTTACTTTCGGCCTTAACGGGTACCCTGCGCAATGGACGGTGGACGTTGGACATTTGTTGATTTGGACTCCTTTAACCTGGGCGTGGCCAATTGCCTACGTCGTGCTGAACCGTTAGTGTTGACGACCTCACTAGCTCCATTGGGGGCTTTTGGTCCTTTTCCCACGCTGCGGCCATTCCAGCAGAGAACGACATGTGCCGGGTTACGCTTGAAAGGCAAAGACTTTGAGTTAACACTACTGCAAGCTATCGCCCGCCCTATTAAGCTTGCCAGCAGAAGCGGAAATCCTGGTTGAACCGAGGACGCTAATCAGGGTTAGGACGCCAATCAGAGTTTTAACCCCTTTTTGGAGCGTAGCGGCATTTTCCTGGTTGAGCTTCGACGGCAAGCCACTAATGAAGCGAGAATTCGCTTCCGGCCTTTGCCGGCGAAGCTGCCTTGTGCTCCTGCTTCTCCTCCCAATAAGCAGCGCTCTTGGGTATCCTGATTTACTACCTCTGCCACCTCCATCCTGTTTCTGCAATTACAGCGCTTTGTATCTTCCGGACCTCGTTGCGCCCCACGCCTACGACATCTTCCTTGACATTCACTTTAACCCCCATCCCGCCAACAAAGGCATCAATAAAATTGATGAGTATGTGACTGGCTACGCCAATGTCAGTGTCAGCGTCGCCATGCCGACTCAATGCCTCATTATTAATTCGTCACCGGAAATGAATATCAGCTCTGTTACCTACTTTTGGAAGGGCAAGCAGTACAAGGGTAAGGAGCTCGCGGATTTAATATCTTACTGCTTGAATAAAATTGGCGTTTGTCCTTCTTGCTTCGACGAGCATAGCTCATGCGTGCATAATTCCGTACGTTTCCAAATGGCGTGTCTTCTACTTAACGTTTATACCTGACAAACTCTTCAAATCCATGAATATAGCAATGCAATGGAACCTATGTCACTGCTTCTACAAGGGGTCCTAGAGCTCCCAATAAAGGGCCTGGGTCTCCTTGGCATGGGCACCCTCTGCTATTCGACACTTAACTCCAACCCTTGCCAATATTTCCATTAAATTCCCAAACCAAGCTTCAACATCCTTCATCACTCCCGATTAGGCACGGCGCAGGCGACCAACCCTGTGTCGCTTCAAACAGTACTCCGCTTTAATGAAGTCCTGCAAAGTACGACAGGTGGAAATGTTCCAATGGGGGCTACAGCTAAGGCAGGTTTGGCCGCCTCTCCCTACGGCCTTCTCAACTTGGAATTTTCATACCGTTTAAGTGAGAACTCTGATGGCCTTTCTAAGACCCTCTACAAAGGTAAGCAGAAGTAGAAACCCGAGCCCTAAAGTAAGTGTTGAACGTCCGGCTCTAGGAGCTGTCGTTGATTAGGTTGTTACGTACCAGCAATGCATGAGCTAGTGACCCATGGGTCTAACCTCCGGAGCCTCTGCACAAGGCAAACCCGCTCCAGGCCTGTGCCCTGCACCATTCCTCCAGAACCGAAGACCGTTACTCCATACTGTCAGCCATATATACTACGCTAATGATAATATGCATCTTGCTTCCTGCTCGTTACTGCAGATGCCTTGGGAACGCATGCCATTGTGGCTACCCAGTTCGACCCAGTCGCAGCCCGGAAGGCCTTCCCATGCTTTGACGAGCCGAGGTTCAAGGTATGTCTTTCAATGCACGACAGCCGTCACCCCCTGGCACTTGCAGATATGCTTTATGTGTGTGCATCTAGCTCATGACCTGTTCATTGACCTGTTCATTTTCAAAACTATCAGCTTCCCCCATAACTCCAACGTGGCTTCCCACCCAAAATGGCATCTGATTGAGCGTGACTCTCAGCTTCTCCTTCGTCTTTCACTACCCACTCTCCCCATTTGCCTCCTCCGTTTCGCCCAATGCGTGCGTGGTCCTTACCACACGTTTCCCGTCCTCCCTCCCCACCCGTTCTCCGCCCCACCCGTCCTGCGGACCACCAGACGCCCTTCCGTATCTCCGTTGTCGCCCCAAGGCTTGACTCCGATCAAACTCAGCTGGCCACCATTTCGAACACTAAATGGGCCAAGCGCACCGTGCTCGGCAATGGCATGCGCTTGCGCACCGACTTCACGCCCACCCCGCCCCTGAGCACGTTCTCCGTGGGCATCCTCGTGGGACGTCTGGAGGAGAAGGAGATGACATGCGACGTGCCGCCCCTGGAAAGTCCGGTTATAATTCGCGGCTGGGCAGGAAGCGAGAAGTGAGTTTGCAAACGCTACTAATTTGCATACGCCGCTTGCTCAGGACGATAGCGGCAGGTTCCCACTTTTCCAAGCACCCCTCTACCCCCTACCCTCTGCCCTTGACAGCCACGATATGTATATCATCCTCGCCGTTGCTGCCACTTCTGTCTCTTGCCGATGTGGGAAATCCCCTTCTCCTTTGTTGCCACCGCAAACCGTTCTTATGGGCTGAGGGTCCTTGCTTGTCCTTGCCCCCGCTTCTACCTCGCATTAAAACACAAACTCAACCATCATCCGTTTCCACCCATATGTGTAGGATCGGCCTGTTCGACCTAGGTCTCCAAGCGGCGTGCCATTCTCTGGCTACCTTCACCTCCATCTTCAACGTTAGCTACCCCCTACCGGAGCTTAATCTAGTTGCGTTGCCTGAACTGGCAACTGGCGGCATGATTGGGTTGGGATTTATCCTGTTCAAGTATGTGAATAATTGCTTGGGACGGGCTGGACATGGGGGTTCTGGATGGGCGGGGGCAATGGCGCCAATGAGCGAGGGAACCAACAGCAGTTACCATGGTTGTACGGCCGGGGAGAGGGGCATGCAACTGACTGGCAGGCTGCCGTGAGGGGGCGGGAGCGAAATGCAGGACGTGGTTGTGGAGGTTTCACCTCCGTTACCTACCCCAATTTGCCTGCTGCATACATCCCGTGTTGTGTCTTTTGCCATTGACCCACCGGTACCTCACTTACTTCGTGCTCTCGTTGGGCAGGTTGGACCTACCTACCTGGGCTCATTCATTGCTTGCTACGGAAGACTTGCAGTTGCCTGCCTAGTAGTCCGTATCCTTCTACTATCCGTTTCATCCTACTGCTGTCCTATTTCTTCTGGTTGACATGAATGCAGGCAGGACTTAATTGTAGCGGACCCCTCCACAGCTGTTTTCAACGTCGCAAAGGCACCAATCTTTATGACTGCGCAGGGAGTCGCGTCGCAGTGGTAAGTTGACTGTTACAATGATGGTCCCCTAAGAAGGGATGGTGATGAAGTGGTTTGCACTGCTGTAGAAACACGCAACGCTTTCGGAAAAATAGATCAGGGGTTGCGAATCGGCCATGCATGCTGTACAGCAGGAATGGGCGTCAGCGATCCGCTGTCAGGGCAGCACGCAAAAACGTCTACGCCATTGACCACCCGCAATGTATGCATGGCCCCTTTGGCTGTCCAGCTGGAGATGTGCACGACGAGCAATGCAAGACCTCTTTGGACCCATCCTCTTTGGGTTTACCATGCCGACCCAAACCCCGCACCCGCAGGATTGGAAGCATGGTCACCATGTCCGATTGGCGTGACATGTGGATCAGGGATGGCTTAGTGGTATACTTGGGGAATCTCGCGACGGGCACTTTTGCGCCGGCGCTTGCCACATGGCAAGCAAACTACAACTTTATGCCCTTTCGGGCGTTTAGAGCAGACGACAGCCCGGACTCGAGACCCCTTAGCGGCAGCGAGGAGGAGAAGACGCATTACACGTCGCTGCTTGATATGACTAACTTGCCAGTTGAAATTGCCAATTATAAGGTGAGGCTCTGCGCTGGTATCCAAAGGCAGCAGGGCGGGTGGGCAAATGGGCGGAATTAAGAAGCAAGCTTTGGGGCCCGCACGCCGTTAACCATTACATGCGTGCACGCGCTACTACCGGCGGCGGTAAGCTTTCACCATTGCTGAGCGTATTTGCTCGGCCTTTCCAAAACTCCTATGTTGTCGTCCCCTGCATCTAAGTGAGTCCAGACGCCTTGCTTGCCAATAACAAGCCCTTTATTCCCTGATTGGCGCCGCTGCTACCGCTTCTGCTGCTGTTGTTCCTGGCACGCAGGGCTTCTGCCTGCTCCGCATGCTCCGCGCCTACCTCAATGGCAGGGGAGAGCAGCAGGGGGCAGCGTCAGTCCTGGGCAACGGCGACCCGCAAATCATGCGACGCCGGAGCGTGCAGCAGCAGCAGCAGGAGGCCGAGGTGACTTCCGAAGAGCAAGAGCCCGACCTAGCTAAGGAGGCCGAGTGGGCTGAGGAGGCAGAGCTGCCTGTGCTACCTGAGCGCCAGCAGCAGCAAGATCAGTCGCTGAATGTCCGCGGCAAGCTGACTTCGTCTCAGTACGGACCCATGGGTCAACCGCGCATGCGACAGGCGCAGCAGCAGCAGGGCCTTCGGCATCAACGGTTTCAGCATCAGCTAAAAGTGCCAGGAGGAGAAGTAGAGGTCACGGCTGCAGTCAACACCCGTAGGAGCCGGAGTCTGCTAGGAATCAGACGTGTTGCCAGGAAGTTGCTAGCTAGAAGCACCACTGCCGCCACAACCGCTGCGACAACCACTAGCGAGGCAACCTTAGCAGCGGCAGATGAAGCTGTGGATCCTTTCTTTGCAGCCCTTCGTGTGTACGTCAAGGAGAATCTGTACGGCAGCGTAACTCCCCAGACGTTGTGGGAGGCCATGTCGCGTGCAACTGGTAAGCTAACGCCGCTGCTGGGCGGGGAGTTACGTGAACAAACGTCCTTTAGACTATTATGTATGTTGCGTCTGCTGTTAATCATTGCGCGTTATATAGAAACGCATTCGTAACCTTTATACTGCCACATTTCTTGCAGGCCTTGACATTTCAACCTGGATGTACGACTGGACGTACTCGGCCAACTTCCCGGTCGTCGAGGTTTCCCTTTCAACTAACGCGACTGGAACCATTGTGCATGTCGATGGATCGTCTTCGTCAGCAGAGCCCGATGCGGCTCTCACCTATTTGAACTTCAAGCAGATGGAGATAACCGACGGCGGGAAGAAGTGGTGGATTCCAATTAGCTACCGGCTGCCGGTGAGTAATGCAACTGACACAACACAGCAGCGGCAACGCAAGAGTGACGTTGCAAGCCCATGTTCCTTGCACTGCTTGTCACGTCTGCTGTTGGGCGTGCCGCCGCTCTCCTTGTTGGATGACCCATGGGTCGCCAAGATTTGAGAATGCATGCAATTATACTCGCAGGACGCATCCGGCATCGAGTGGCTTCAATCGGACCATGAGGACGCGGTTTCAGTACCACTCACCGCCGAGCTTCTACACGGCTCTAATGCCGTACCTCCGTACGTCCTCGTCAACCCGGGCCGGTACGGACACTACCGAGTGAACTACGACCCATCGCTCTGGGCTGCATTGGCTAAGGCGGCTGTGAACACCTCGGCTATCCCGTCCGGCGACCTGGCCGGTCAGTTGTTTGGCTGTAACAGCTTCTGTTGGAGGTTCGTTAGAACCCGTTGTTATTACTACCGGTAACTTGCTGAACGCAGCTATTGCTGCGCTTTGTTGCTGTCAAGCACACAAACTTTCGTCCATTTCTTTGGCTTGGCTGTGCCGTCCCTTGCTCACGAATAGGAAAAACTGCGATAACCGCGTCCCTTCACTTCTCTTACCTTGTTCTGCGGCGGTCACCGGGACAGGTTCCTGGCCGTTCTCATAATGCTGAGATACACTGCTGCCTTCTCTCCCGCATGTAGCCATGATTGCGGATGCCAGTGACCTGAGCTGGTACGGTTTTGCAACACCGCCGGAAGTATTTTTTCAACTGGTTTCAAGCCTGGGTGCACGACAACAGGTGAGTCCTGGCATCCCACAATGAACTACACGTCGGTAGTACCTCGTATAGTTCGTGAACTCAACAACGACAGCAGCCTGTGTCTTGTCAGGAAGGCGCAGAGGTAGGTGTAGACCAGTTGTGGTGCAATGCAAATGATAGATAGATAGACTTACGCTGGGAGTGACGTCACCACAGTACCGCAACGCTAATTACGTGCCCCGGTGCCCCCCTCCCCACCCTGCATTGTTCGATGAAATGCCGTTCAGCCCGAGTACGATGCACAGTGGCACACCACATCAATGCTCACCTTCTTGCTAAACATGTTGGATTCTTGGACACTTCTTCCGGAAAACAACACTCAGCCGGGGTTTGGTGGCGACTACTTCCGGAAGTGTACTCGTAACCTGGCAACATTTGCCCGGGATAAGATAGCAAGTACGTTTGTTTTCTGGAACCCGCACCCCGCCTTAATCCTGCTGCTGACCGAGCAAGGCACCCCAACCACCCACACCTTGCCTCAGCCGCTTTAAGTAGTTTGTTACACGCGTGTGCATGGTGCGGCTTGACTTGCATACGTATTGGCCTGCTTTCCCGTCATGCCTCTGCACTAACGCCTTGCCTGCTTGACGTACCCACGAGCAACAAAACCAACGGTAACCGTGACCTGTAATCGTGTGAAAGCTTTACTGCCCTCCCTATTCGCCGCCGCCGTACAGTTCCTCTCCTCGTCAACATGAGTATACCCACCAACTCGAGCAGTGGCGGCGGCACGAAGCGCGTCGGGCTAAGCTTCTCCTCAGTGGATCTTCACCCCCAGGACTCGGCTCATTCCCAGCTGCGCATGAGCGCTCCCCCACTGATAGAACTTGCTGCTATAACTATGGTTGCTGCCGCCAAGGATAAGCCCGCACAATTGCAAAAACTGTGGGAGCAAGAGCCATTCAAGTAAGATAGATGTTTGGTGTACGCATGCATGGGTAATAATCCAAACGCACCTGTGCAAATGCATGCATGCATACCGTGTAGCATCTGGCTCTATATTCCAGCCAAGGATCATGTGTTTATTAACTACCGGTGTTCATCCCCAAACTGTTTGGCCTCCCGTTGCCCGGCTATCTGATACTCTCTTTGCAAAGGAATTCCTCAGCATGTCACCTGGCGGTCTGCTTGAAACCGGATGTATGCCTCTGGACACCTCTTTGCCTCCCCATCCACCTCAACTAACAGGGAGGCTTACAGCCTGAGGCCGCGGCTTGGTGGCAAGCGCTCCCCTGCTCATGCGGACATGCGCCGCACAGTCTACTTGACCAACATCCTCGGTAATCGCGGGAATATCTGGGAAGTCACAAAGAAGCTCTACATGGCGGTGAGTATTGTATGTTGTGGACTTGTGATTCTTTGGGGGGCCCTAGCTAGCTAAGGTGGCGTACTAAGGGGCCGTGTTCATCAGTTGTCGGTTACCAAATAGGGACCAAATGCATGCACCGCATGTGTGCCGTACCGCCGGTAGCAACACGCAGCAACCAATTATTTGTGCAGAACCCACCGACTGACCGCGCTATCCTGGATTCTTATACATCTTGCCACGCACGCACGGCGCTCTTCGAATTATTCCTGTTCTTGTCGAATCAATACCAATGCCGTACTTCCATGTGGAAGTCGCCTGCTCTAGTCCGCAGCCCTACCGGACACGCATAACAACTGCTGCCACATCTGCAGGAGAAGGACCCCGCAGAGAGGAGCGGCCTGCTACTGGCCTTGGCTCATTCCCCCACTGTGGCAAACATTCGTAAGGCCCTCAATCTCACTCTGAGTATGCCACGTGAAGACGTAGAGATGTTAATCAGTACGGTGAGTGGTGGTTGTGAACGAGGTAGGCTTGGGTGGATCCATTTGCGTTGTGCTGCCTGGCCCACATATGTCACCAACGCACCCTGAGGCCTATTTGCGTAAACCGCTTTTCCTGCGCACGTGGATCACGTTACTACTTGACCCTGCGGATGCATGGTTTCCACCTGAGGACCTTTTTTCCTGCATTCCTAACAGATGGGGGATCTTGGCGGCATCCAAGTGGCTGAAATCTGGAACTTTGTACGACAACCTGAGAACATCGACCGCCTGCTTGCCTTGTACGGAGCTGACAGCACGGATGCGAGCAACGCTAGCAGTTTGGGTCAAACCCTGCAAACGCTGTTTGGGCATTTCCCAGATGACAGTCGCGCTGCCGAGATTGTGGTAAGCCGTAAATTTCGGGTCTGATACCTAGTACGACACGTGTACAACACCCGTTAATTCTGTACGACTCATTGTCATGTATGCAGGCATGGGCCGCCAAGTACCCGGGGCTTATGGATTCGGACATTGAGTGGTGGCTCCAGCAATCCGTGGAATACAACCAACAAACTGGTGAGGAGTTTTGCATCCCCGTCTGCAATTGGCTGCAACAGAACTTGTAATGGGGGTTTAGTACTGCTGTATGCTAGCTTCGGATGCACGAACAGCATTGCCGTGGTCATCGTAAGTAGCAGTAGCAACGGACGCCGTACTGCAGTTAAATGTGCATTGAAGCAGGGGCATGCTTTGATTGCTTTCACTTTGTGACTGAAAGCACAGCTCTGTTGAGTAAAAGCAAAGGACTGGCATGTATGTCCAACTGTTTGCTTAATTGTGTCTCCTTACTTGGCAATATTTGGACTGTATGCTGTGCGAGCGCTCCTCGTGCACACGAGATGTTGAGTAACACTTGCAGTATAGATTGAACTGTTAGGATTGCGTGCAAATTAATGATGCCGTCTTTGGTGGCATGCCGGCATAGCTGCTCGCCAGCACGCACGCACGGTATTTAGGGTGCGTGTGGCGTTCGTTGAATTTGGAATTGGCGTACGCAGCATCATCACTGCATCATATCCGTTCTGGTCGGAGTGACTGCTCCATATCTATTATGTTCATGTTGTCATGATAGAACGTATTCCATGGCATTTCTCGCCCTGCGTTAGGGCGCGTTCCACAAGTCCATTTAGCTACCTGTAAATAATAATTGTTCTCAAGCCACGTGACCAATGTCTGAGGCCAAAGGAATGCTAAACACGGTAATCCTACACCAACCCTGGTGTGTGGCATTTCAGAACCAGTGACCCATGGTTCAGCTGCCTTGCCTCGTTTCATGTGACTACACCAGGAGGGACAGGAGAAGCAGTATGGGCATGGACTGCTATGAAAGACCCATGGGTTCTTAGCTAGGAAGCTAAGGAACACGTCGGGCGGTTATTCTTACACACTACTACAGGAGTTTAGGTTTTGCCGCTAGCTACACCAGATACGCATAGTTTACACGCACTTCCTTGATTCTGGCCCATCATCATTGCCGTGCAACTCGCACACCGCGCTTGAGTAGCCATCGCTCCACATCCTCGAGCAGCCCATCTCGCGCTGCGAGACCTTCACGCAGCATTTGAGCATGCAACGACCGCACGGCGCCGACGTCTCCAGCGCGCCGTAGCACTCGACTTAGCTCGTACGCCGCCTGCAGTACACGACATATATAGGACAACGGATATAGAACGTATAGGGGACACTGCAAGACAGGCCGTATAAGTTTCTGTATACGTGCTTCCGTGAACTAAGCTCCTGGCAAGGCCTTACAACAACAGAGCAGCGACTTCGCAAGCCCGCCGCCATAGGCCCTCTTCACAGCCTCCACCTCGCCATGCGCAAGACATACTGAAATCCACCACTGAGGACCCTACCTCGGGTGAGTTGGCGCCGCGCAGGGCTGCCTCTTGCTCGTACAACCGTTGTACGACAACCACATGCTCGTCCATGTTGTCGTACAGTCCGCCTGCACCACTACCGCTGCGGCTGCTGGCGCCATCGCCAGCCGCCATTGCGGCAGCCACTTTGCGCATTAGGGTGGGGATCAGGTCCTTGTTGAGCGTGAGGTGTAGCTCCTGAGGGTCGGTGGAGCGGGAAGGCAACTGCGCATTCAGTGCATGCAGCTAATAGGTGGCCTGGTCGCGCTCATGGTAGCATCAGACAAAGGATGGTCAGGGTGCAGAGCTCCTTGTAGACGGGTGAGCACCTAAAGCCAGTACGGGTGTGCACACCAGACCAATGCAGCAGCCCTGCGCCCACCTCCCGGCGGTCCAGCAGCTGCTCCGCAAGCTCGGGGGCGCCGGAAGCAGCTGCCGCCTGCGGGAGCGTCGTGGCGTGAACAATGTAAGGCAGTATGGGACGTTAGCAGGGGGATGGGGACATGCCATGACCCATGAGCGCCGCATGGGATGTCATCAGACGGGCATGCATGCTCGATTGACACGATGTGACACGCACGACGCATGAAGGTTGACGGTACCGTAATGACCGCATAAGTTGCCCTTCTCCGTCCTGCAGAGCTGACACCATCTCCATCCATCCATCCATCCATCCACCCAGTCCTGCACCCACCTGCACCAGCTGGTAGGCTGTCTGGCCGTACCCATGCGTCCCCCAGTCCCAGCCAGCCGCCTGCCGCACCCGGGCATCTGCCTGCATGAGCTCCAGGGCAGCTGCGGCCTGGCGGGCGGAGCTGAGGTGGCCCAGCAGCCTCTCCCAGGTCTCCCGGCCTGAGGTGACGGTGGATAGGGCGGGGCAGGGCAGGATAGGCGGGCCAAGCAGGGCAGGGTAGAGGCAGGGCAGGGTAGAGGCAGGGCAGGGTAAATTGCTATTGTAAGACAAATGCGACACCCGAAGAGCCACTACTCTCACCTGCGGCGATTCCCTCCTCGTGTTGCCCACGTATCCGCTCGTACACCGCATCAAAGCCGACCAGCGACCCCTGTTTGGGTGTCCCCCCCTCGGCCCTGGGTTCCCCCACCGAATCCGCAGCCGCAACCCGAGGTGTGGAGTCACCTGCCGTACGGCTCCTCACTCTGGCGTCATGCGGCCTGCCGGCTGTGGAAGGGCGCCGCTGCTGGCGTGGCGGCCGTTGATGCTGCTCCTCACTCTCATCGTCATCGCCGTCACTGTCATAAGCAGGGGCACGCCGCCGGGGCGCCGGCGTGTTGTTAGTGGCGGCGTCCCGACTCGGGCGGCGGCGTTGCCTGGCGTCATCGTCAACACCTTCCTCAGCGACCCAGCGGCGGCTGGGGCCACGTGGAGCTAACAGAGGTCCCCTGTTCCTGTCCTCACGGCTGGGGAGCTGCTCCCCGCTCCTGCCTCGCTCGCCTGCATTCCTGCCTGTGCGGGCAAAGGCGTCAGTCAAGGGTGGGCAAAGGGGTCGGTATGTAGTACGGGACACGAAGTATGGAGACGGGCCGGGCCATGTTATGTGACAGGCCTTGTGGACAGCAAGTGCAAACCCATTCGCACCGGTTCCGAAGCTGCTCCTCCGTCCTTCACTCCTGCCGGAATGGCTGGCTAGGATGCTCAGTGCGGGAGCCCTTACTGGCGTGTTGTAGGTCAATCGTCGAAGATTACACGGCAGCTGCATTGCAAGTATTCAGTTTTCGTGTGTTAGGAGGGCTGATACTAATAACCCACGTTTACGTTAAGGGTGCAAATGCTTCAATGAGGGCGACGCTCCTACGCAAGTGGTCGCCAGTGTCGCAAATGTAACTTGCTTATGCCTTCACAATATACTAAACCGACCGGTTTAACTTGGTAAGCTTGCATTGCCGAATTGCGACTCCGACATGACTTACCTGATTGGATCTGGAGCGGAATTGCCACAGCTTGTTTACGGATCTGGGAGGGGAAGCTTTTGAGGACAATGCAGAACGGCATATCAGACAGTTCAGCTGAACGCAGTATGCTACTATCGCATTAAGCGTAACCCTAGGACGACAGGCACCTCACGAGAAGCGATGGCATGGCGCCAGCCACTGCGTTAGGTCATGTTACAGCCTACTTTGCGTGAGAGACCGAGCCGCGAGCCCAGACGCCCACTCTGCAGTTATAGTGCTTTGTGATACCATTGCTATAACGGGGGGGGGGCCGAGGCCAAACTCCATTACCGGCCCACCCTGCTCCGCTAATAGATGTCCTTCGGAACTGAGGAGTGACGCAGAAAAACATCGAGGGCAGGCCCCTCGTATGACGTCCCCAAGCTTGCATACGGCGGATGCAGCTCTGCCTACATTGGGCAGCGTACCCAACCCCTGCCACTGCCGTGCTCGTACTACCGTACTACAATCCACAAACCCACTCCACCTGCGGTTACTCACATGGAACCTTCCGTCACAGTTCCGTCAAACGAGACATGCGCCACATGGCTGCATAAGCCCGATCTGCAAACACCAAAGCGTGCCCAACCGTGTCCGCTTTGCGCATCTTAGTGCGCGCGTAAGGACAGTTGACATGGCACGTTCGGCATTTCACTTCACTCGACACGACATGACACAGACACGACAGACACACACAATAACATCACACAGCCAAGCGACCTTCCCACCGACATGAAACGCAGTACCCGCCTCTGCTGTGTCCCTGCTGTATACTTCGGTGACCCCCTCTTCAGGCGCACTCCTCTTCGCTCTACCACCAATGGAGGCACGGAACCCTTAATCCACAGCTTCACTCTCACGTGCCGTGACAAACCCAGATCCGTGCCTCATCCCAAAGCCCAAAGGCCGCCGCCGCTCTCAGCTGCCCATGTACTGCGTGTCCTCGTACACTTGCAGCTGCCCTCGACTGCCACCATGCGACTGCCGCATGGGCTCCGCAGCAGCAGCCGCAGCAGGACGCGCCCCTAAACCCCGCGACGCCGCAGCCGCGACTGCCCGGCTTCCCATTGGCAAACCCCCTGCCCTCGGTGTACCAAACGGCGCCGCGCCGCCAGCAGCGAGGCCCCTGCCAGGTGGTGCCGCAAAGCCCCTGCCGCCGTCTCCCGCACCGGCAGCAGCAGCCGAGGCCATGTGCAGTCCCTGCGGTCGCGTTAGGAACTCCGTATCCTCGCAGATGAAAGGCCCACTGGACGCTGCCACGGGCCCTGCCACTGCGCTGCTGCCAATCCCGCCTGCACCAGGCCCACCGCCTCCGAGCCCTCCCCGTGCCGGTCCACCACCACGTGGAATGAACTCGGTATCCTCGTAAATACCAGGCCCCATGGGGGCGGCCTGCGGCGGCCCGCCGCGGAAGCCACAGCCGCCGGTGTTACCTAAGCCACCTCCTCCTGCAGCCATGGACGCTGCTGCCGTTGCAGGTCCCAAGAAGAACGTGTCCTCGTGAATGGCTAGGGAGGGCGCAGCAGCTGGGGCGGGCAGGTTGCTGACACCGCCGTACGGGGCACAGCTAGCGGCGCTGTGGAAGGGCGCTGCGGGGGGAGGAGCTGCTGCTGCTGTGGAGGTGCGGCCTGCGTTAGCTAAGCGGCGGACGTCCGCGTTGGAGATGGGCTTGAAGGAGGTTGTGTTGTTGTTCTCATCGGCCGCACGACGCATGAGCTGCATGGGGTGGGGTGGGGTGGAGTACAGAGGGAAATGCTAAGGATACAATCCAAGGTGTGATGGGTGAGTTAAAGATGGCCAGGAAACGGAACCTGGTGTAACACGTGTCACAAGACAAGCACTGTTATATATTCTTAGGTATCGGCCTTGCAGCTTACATCCTTCAACCTGGCTACCGTAAGAAACCACGCAATCTCCTACCTTGCGGGCCGCTTCATGTGGCAGAGTGTCGCTAAACATATCATTTAGGGCATCGAACGCCTCTCGCGTGTGAAGCGTCACGGTCGGATCGTCCGCAACCGGTGGCGGGGCAGCTGCCACTGGAACCGCTGCAGCTGCCACCGCTGGTTGCTGCATGTGCGCAGCGGGCCATGGCTGCTCCACTGGAGCTGCCGCCCGCGGCTGCAGCGGCGGCGGCCTGGGCGGGGGAGGCGGCATTAACCTGCTCCGGCTTGTTGGCTGCTGGTGCTGCTCTTGCTGCTGCTGGGCCTTATGCTGCTGGTGCGGCAGATCCTCGCTAAACATGGAGTTGAGCAGGTCAAAAGCGCCACGGGTGGAGATGGTGACAGTGGGCTGCGCGTCGTCGTGCTTGCAGCTGTGGTTGCAGGGCACCTGAGGTGCTGTGCCCCCGGGGACCAACGGTGCTGCCGCCACGGACGGCTGCAACAGCTGCTCCGGTTGCGGCAGTGCAGCAGATTGGCCTGCGCTGGCGGTATCGGAGCGCGGAGCTAGGGCCCGGCGCTTGGTTCCTCCGGTGGCTGTGCCGTCGTCGAGCCTTGGCGTCGGGATGCTGTTGTCGCCCTGCGGCGCCTGCTCAGGAAGCCTTAACAATCCTTGCGATGCGGGTGCGTCGGAGGGCGGGTGCTGTCCGAACGGGGCCCGGCGAGCAGTAGTTCCCGCTACTGCCGTGACAGCGCCAGCTTGGGATTCCGCATAAGGCACTCCTGTGAACCCCCGGCATCCGGTTGCTGCGGTGTCTGCCATGTGTGCAGAAGCACTTACGGCGACGGATTGGAGACTCATGCTGCTGGGGGCTACTTGCGCGACAGACACAGGGTTGTCACGGGCGGACGAGGCGGTCGCCCGGGGTGCTGCTGCGGGATTCCGCCTAAACCATGCTGCCGCCCTGAGCTCGTCGTACGACATCTCTTCGACGCCGTCGTCTTGCCGACCCATGGGTCCCTCCCCATCCGCTGCATCCGCATGCCGAGCTGACGAGCCAACAGCCTGCGTTGCCACCGAACCTGCATCCGCGTGCGCCTGCACAGACGGCAAGCTATGACCGCCCCTGGAAGGGGCGGCCGCAACCGCTTCTCGTGGTGCCGCCGCTGCCGCAGCTGATGGCGCGCCTGGCAGAGGCCCATGCAATGAGCTGCTTGGGGCTGCTGCAAATGGCACGGCAGGCTGGAAGTCCGCAGGCTGTGCACCCCTTAGCAGCGATGGCAAAGGCGCCAGCCCAGAAATAAGCGAATCCACACCGGTTGTTGCGGGCGCCGTGCCCAGACCCGTTGCAATTGGCGGCCATAGTGGATGGCCAGCAGGCGGCCCTGCGCTCGCTGCGGCCCCGCCCAATCCCGGGATTGGCAATCCAGGCTCGCTTCTGCGGGCAATTGGTGCAGGACCGCTGTCCTCTTCTTCCTGGAACTCCTCGTCCGTGAAAATGGCGATGCTGGATGACCTCCCGGCACCAGCGCCCATCCCTCCTGCTGCAGGCCCGGCTGCACCGGGCACCAGCGCTGCCTGATTCCATGCGGTGGGTCGATCCAGGTTCTCCTTCCTGATAACGCCGTACGGCTTCAGCTCACGCAGGTTATTTACCTGTGCAGGAAAAGGGACGGGTGTCATTGCGAAGTCCTGAAACCAAGCACCGAACCACGCCACGGCCACGGCACTTCCCTACGTCGGCTGCACGCCGCTTTATCCGCCCATGTAGCATGCCCCTACCTGCGGCATGGTGCTGTACCCAGGTAGCCCCGCTGGTGCGTTCTCCGGGTCCACAAACTCCTCATCCTCCACGATCCCCACTGCGGGCCGCGGCCTTAGCCCCTGGTTGCCCGGGCGCGGTCCGCCCAGCAGGCCGCTCTGTTGCTGCGGCGCTGCGGCGCCAAAGATGCTCCCCATGGCGCTTTGCTGCTGCTGTTGCTGCTGCGACCTGCCACCGGAGCGGGCTCCAAGGGTGGCTAGCGAGGAGCGCACGGCCTCAGGCGGCGGCGGCCCCATCACCTGCTCGTCCTGTATCTTGCGCTGGATGCGCTGAGCCTGAGGGTGGGTAGGCATGGTGCATGAGGCGTTGCGAGAAGGTGGCGCGTCCAGAAAGCTGTGACCCAGTTCAGGTGACGCATGATAGTACGGCAGGTGTCGCTAAAGGCAACCACAGTGGCGGCCCGCGCTTACCATGCGCTGCTGGAAGGCCATGTGCTTCTGTTTCAAGCGCTCCAGCGGCTTGGCACCCCTGCGGGTCGTACGTGCGATGTCATGGCTTGGTTCTGAGTCAGGTTACCCTAGGACCCTCGGAAGCTAATGAGTATTCGCTCGGTGACCGTCCACGCCCCCAAAGCATCACTCCTAATTTCCATGCCTATTTTGCCTCCTTATCACGCACCGTTGCACGCCGTCCATGTAAACGGCGTCAGCGCTCTGGAAGTTCCCCTTCAGCTCGTAGTACGTGCCATAGGCCTCGTAGTAGAGCGCAAAGTCGCGGCCAATGTTCTTTTCCTGTGTGCCAGATTGGTGGATAGGGGTCAAACATAAGGTTCAGCTTTCAAGTACCGTAGAGTACATTGGTTGTGCGTTCATCTGCGCAAAGGACAGATGTCTCTGCCGGCTGAGTGGTTGTGCATAGGGGTACAGGTGTATTGGACAGAGCCTGTATCAATAAGATTGTGGCGTACCTTGAGGAAAAGGAATACATCTCCCGGGTCCGGCAAGCAGTCGGCCTGCGACAAACCGCACGACTGTTAACCGTCGGGTTTTTAGGGGGAAGGGGTGCTTGGATGGTAAGGTTGGGGCCCATGGCGACTCACGTATTGTATCCATATGCGTAGGAAACGGATGTCGTTTGTGTAACGGGGGTGCTTTTGCAGGTCCTTGGTGCACGCCTCGAGGACCTTCTGCAGGTCCGCCTTACCACCGCCCACGCCATACTCCTGCATCCACTTGATGTATCTGTGCCACACCAAAAGGCCAAGGTGAGAAGGGTAAACGGAACTTTTCGGTTTGCGAACGCCGAGTCCCTGCACATCTGAAGTTGCGAAGCGCCAAGGTCGGCCGGGTTAACAACGCCTACCTCTGCCAAGCCTCCAATGGATCCTCCCCTTTGTAGTTTGTAACCTCGGCCCATAGCTCTCTGTGAATAGTCGAGTTCGATTATTACAGTTCTTAAGCGTGCTGCGGTATTTGCCAGAGCGCGTACCTTCGCTTGGCCTCGAGGATGTCTATGGTGTTGTCCGCTATCTCTTGTAGAGCTGCCTTGCTTCGGCCCTGGCGAACAGGCACGCAATTTTCCTTGGTCTGCTCCCAGTCCATGGCCCCTAGCTCCACAGCAACGAAAACCTTCAAAGTTCAGTAAAGCATCTCAACAGGACTGTTGTTAATGTGCGCTTGCAAGCTCCTTATTACATTTAAATATATATATTTGCGATCGGACGGATGTGTTTGTGGAAACAGTAGCCGTGGCCAAATTTGCACGGCTTGGCATCATCGCATCTGTCGCTGTCAGCTTTGTACAGTACTGCGGAATTCATAGCCCCAACTTTCCCCGCACCTGCTGTTCGTTTTATTTTGCCATTGCATAATGATTTCCTTCTCAAGCGCTAGCATGTTCTAGGTGCTCATATGTCCTGGCATTCCGCTGGTGCTCACTATTGCATATTGAAAAGCTTAGAATCCCCAATTGAAGCAAAACAAGTATTTTGACTCAGATGCACATGACCTTTGAAAAGAGCTCTTCGTTGTGGTCCTGTACCCCTAACCGTCATGCGCGATTTCTTTGGGTGTTACTTGCTGGTCAGCAAGTCCCCGCAAGGCAAGGGGAGGACTTACATCGGGTAAGGATTTCCACGGACTAAGTACCCGAAGACGCACGTCGCTGCCTACCGAGCCGTTCACTTCCCCCACAGGTTCACAGTTAACCCTCGTCGTCGCATTCGCCAACACAATGGCCTGATCACAGCTGGAGCCTGGAAGACGTCAAAGTGGGTATATGGGCAAACAGGCATATCGCTAAGGCCACCGACGCCTTAATATGGAGAAGTGACGTGGGATTTGGTAGCGTGTTCCAGTGGGTCCTGCAGGCTAAACCAGCCATGCAGCCATACCAGCCTTCAATATGTGTAATTATGTGTATATGACTGGGTCCCCTCCTTATGCACATGCTATATGCCGTCTGGCACTCCCAACTTTATGGTTTGTGTCGTTACCAGATGGCGGCCCTGGGAGATGACGCTAGTGCTGTACGGCTTTCCAACCAAGGTACGTACTTCAAGTGCACGCCCTCACACTCTCTCTCGCTCCCTCTCTCTCTCTCGCTCTCTAAATATACATGCGAGAGAGAAACATAAAGAGGGCGTGTACTACTATGCCACGTACTCATCTGTGGTCTTAAGAGCAGCACTCAGCCTCACCTCATCCCTCCCGACACCCACATGCAGATCCAGGCGCTGCAGTTCGAATGGGCCTGGCAGCACCCGCAGAGGAGCGTCATCGTGCGCCCCATTGCCCAAGCACTGGGGTCCAAGAAGCTCACCGGAGTGCGCGGAAAGGTGGGACGACAACATAGGACTACGCCACTATACACAACATTGGGAACTTTATTCGGGAACTATATGCAATGGGCTTTACATTGGGTTGTCGGGCTTTGCGTCGCCTATTAGTAGGTGCTAGCAGGCTCCCCATGTCCCACGGGTCGTTCTCGGTCTGTACGTAAACCTTTCTCCTGCTCCGCTGCAGATCCTGCTGATGCTCAGCATGCTGCACGAGTCCCCCTGGCGCCACTTCCCGCTCACCCTGCAATACCTGCAGCCGGAATACGCGGCCATGGTAAAAGGTGCGCGCAAAGGACGCGTCTGTGGAGGCATAACTGGGTGCAGCCTGCAGCCTCATGCACATGCTTTATACAGGCCTTGCACATGTGCCTCTCGGATTGGCGTGTACGGTTGAAGTAGAGCGCCGCGGCGCATGCAGTGTACTTCATTTCCTAAACCCTCTTGTACGTTTTCCTCACGACCCCTAGAGAACGTGGCTAGTGCGCCCGCACACGTCCGCGTGTTCACCGCCCCCATGGAGGACCTCCCTCGCGCCCTGAACGACATGGATGAGGACTGCAGCGAGGGCGACGGCGGCGGGGAGGAGGGGAACGAGGAGCAGCGCATCGGCGGCACGCAGCAGGCGGGGCGGGGTGGCGGCGGCGGCAGCAAGGGGCAGCATCGCCAGGGTGCGGCTGGCGAGGACGGTGCCGAGGATGGCGGCGGCGGCGACAGCGATGGCAGCGGCGGCGGTGGTACCAGCAGTGCTGGCGGCGAGGGCAGTGATGACGAGCCGGTGGAGATTGACGGGTGTCAGGAGAAGGTGTGTACGGCAACCACTGGAACACGTTTTGGTAAATCCCGACATTGGTCGCGCTGCATTGATGCCCATCTTCGGGTCCAGTTAGGGTCTTGCTCAACAACCTGGCCGTATTACACGATGTGTGGCCGCTGTGCGGCCGTTATCCCTTCCCTCCCATCCCCACCTTGCATGGCGACGTTTATCCTACCCTGCCCTCCCCGCCAGCAGCGCCTGCCGGCTGCCAAGGCCGCCGCTCAAGCCGCATGCGGGTCACACCAGCCCGCCGCTGCTGGCACGGCCGCTGCCGCCGCCGCACGTCAGCGTTGTCACATCTGCCAGGTCGCTATCCAACGACACATCCTGGTCTGCAGCACCTGCGGCGTGTACTTCCACCTGGACTGCCTGGCAGCCAAGTGGTGCAGCGCAGAGGCTGCCAGCGGCGGCGGCCAGGAGCGGCAGCGCTTCGGGGGCGTGCCGGAGCAGGGGCACTGCCCTGCATGCGGGACGTTGCATGGCTGGATGACGATGCTGCAGGGCATGCAGACGGTGGGCTGGGGTAACAAGCCGAGAGGGAGACGCGGGTGAGAGCACATGAGGGGTTAAGGGTTGTTGGGGTGAAGGCAAACCGGGCTTGGGTAAGGGCAGAGGGATGTAAAGGGTACCGTACGTAAATTCTGGATGAGGATAGGGGATGGGGATTGGTTTCGTGTTCAGATGCCCGCAGGCGGCATACGGTAGCAAGGAGGTGGCCAGTCTGAGGCTAATCTCCATGTCAATGCAGGAAACGTGTTGGGAATGTCAGCAAGACGGCAGCAGCAAAGGCGGACGCCGAAGCAGCGTCACTGACGCAAGATGGCCCACTCGAGCGAGATGGCGCCAAGCCCACAGCCGCTGGCAAGGGCCGCAAGCGCGCCGTCAAGCCCAAGACGGCCGCAGCCGCAGACGAGCTGCGGCCGCCTGCACAGCCCCTTCCCGACCTGCAGCGTGTTGAGGCGCATGCGTCCGGCTGCCCTTATCAAGACGCTGCCAACGCGCAGCCTCCGGAGCAGCAGCAGCAGCTGCTGCCGGCAGCGAAAGGCAGAAAGCCACGCGCAGCTGACAAGGAGGGCGCTGCGGCGAAGCCACGCCGCAAAGCGACCGGGAAGGCTGCGGCAGCAGCTGCACCCAGCGATGCCGCTGCCGGTGCTGCTGTCACTGCACAGGATGTCGGAAGCGAGGCTTGGGACGCGTTGGCTGGCGGTGTCGTTGATGGTGGTGGGGCCTACGGAGCCGAGCCTCTCGATGCCGCAGCAGTCAAACCGGCCAAGGGGAGGAAGCGGGCTGTGAAGCCGCGTGCCCCGGCTGGTGCTGGTGATGCTGCTCCTGGTGCGGCTGCGGGAACGGCGGCAGCTGCGGTGCGCGCTGGTCTGGACATGCAGTCGGCGTTAGGTGACAGCGGCGGTGCGTGGGCGCTCGGCATCGGGACATTGGTGAGGTTCATTGCCTGCCATCAGCCGATCACGTGTTCTCATGAGGGTAGTGGCACATCTGCATCATTGTTGTTACGACATAATACCTTCGATGCATACCTGTACCTCTCGCATGTGGTACTTCACTGGAGTGCACCTTGCGCGATCGGAGGCTGTGGCTTACCAGGATAGAGAGGTGCCCGCACAATGCCAAAGATTCAAAAGATACAATGCCCACTTCCCCATGTGTGCTGTGCCACTGCGCAGGCAGACGCCCCAGCGGCGCCCTCACTGTTCCCGGAGTCGCCCTCGAAGCGGCCATGCAAGGCCCGACCGCCCGCGCCGGCGCAATCAGGGAACGACCGCACAAGAGGGCGGCCGCAGCCACAGCAACCGTACTTAGAGCGGGACGGTCCCTCCTCGGCCTCGTGGCGTCCACAGGACGCCAAGGGCTCTACGCCCCCAGCTGGCGGCGGCTCGGCGGATGGTAGCATGCCCGCTGAACCGGAACAGCCCCCACGGGATGCCTCACCGCTACCCTTGTGGCAGCGACTGCAGTTACGGGCCCAACAGACAGCCGCCGCCGCCGCAGACGCGCAGGCTAGGCCGCGAGCTGCCGCAGCGGGTGCAGCTGCCGAGCCCTCGCCGGCAGCGGTTGTCATATCGCATGGGGGCCTAGGCCTCGGTTGGTCGAGCTGGGAGGCTGGGAGCCCTAAGGACAAGGAGGGGGAGGAGGAAGAGGATGACGACCCGGGTCTTGGAAGTCCGGGCCTAGAGACCAAGCCAGCTGGACGCAAGACCGTGACGCAGGCAAAGCGGGGTGGTGCTGGCAAGACATCCGTGCAGCCGCGAGGACAAGTGCAGCTAGGACAGCCGCGGCGACGGGCGCCAGAGGCCTGGTCGCAGGATGTCATCGTGCTAGGCAGCACCAGCGAGGAAGGGGGTGGCGACAGCGACGAGGAAAAGGAGGGGGCCGCTCCCTTCGCGGCAGGCAGCGATAGCGACAGTGAGGGAGGCAGCGCGGGCAGGGCTGACGTGGATTTCAGCAAGAGGAACAGCAGTCCCGCCCTTGCCGGGCAGCCGAATGCTGCCTTCCCTGCACCGCCCTTCCCTGTGGTCCCGGAATCCTCCTCCTCCCTGCCAACCCCCAGAGCAATGGGCCAAGCCCAGCCTCCAACTATCTGCTTGTCCCCCATGGCTGAATCGCCGCCACGGCACCGCCTTGATGCTGTTACCGCCACCGCTGCTGCCACTGAAGCTACAGCCACCCCGTCCCAGCTGCACGCTACAGCCATGGCCACTGGCACGCTTAGCACGCCTACGCCGTCGCTGGCCTTTGGCAGCCCAGGTTGGGCAGGGTCAGGACCGAATTCCGGGTCCAAGTCCTCAACAACGGCTGAGGCCGCCTCAGCAGGAGCGGGCTCCGCCGGCGGAGGCGTGACGACCCTTATGGCTCAGCTCCAATGCGGTGGCTCAACACGTGACGGGCTGGGCTCCCCAGGGGGCGACGCTGACGACCCCATGCGTGCCGCAGAAGGGGCCGCCCTTGAGGGCACCCATGCAGGTGACGTGGCTGCGGGGGCTGCACACTACAGATTGCCGTACACTGGCGTCGCAGAAGACCTAAGAGATGCGGAACAGGAGGATGCGGATGTTGGGCCGGCTGGCATGTACGACGTGCATCGTCGTGATGAGGACGCTGCTGGCGGCGAATCCGACAACGCGGGTGGCGCATCTGAGCGCCAGCGGACCTACGGTCGCCCCAGCATCTGCCATGCATCCACACCTGGACAGCCGTCACCGTCGCATGGAGGTGATGTCGCCGCGCTGGGAGGGGGCGATGGCACAGCAGCAGCGACGGCATGCGAGGGCGGCAAGCAGCCACAGCAGCGGCGGCCTCCGCATGAAGTGGTGGACTTGTGCACGCCGCTGCCGCTTAGCATGCGGCTTGCGCGCAAGGCTGCCGAGGCGTCCAACGCCGCCGCTGCCGCCGCCGCCACTGCTGCCCCTGGAGCAGCTGGTGCTTCTTCTGTTGAGGGTGCGCAGGGATTGTACGGCAAGCGCCTGCGCAGCCCGAAGCCTCCAGGGCTGTGGCAGCACGGTTGCTCCGACGCACTCTCGCCCTTACAGCCCAAAGTACCGGTAAGCACTGGCCCCCTCGAGGGCATAACCGTGCTACCGGGCGGAGGAGCGCTGCAGGGGCAGGGGCCTAGCGATATCGGGCCTTCTGGCTGGTCGGTTTCGCCTTGGCCTCTTCGGAGGCGACGGGAGGGGCCAGACCTGATGTTGTGCGACGATGAGGGCGATGAGGAGCAGGAGGAAGCGGAGGAGGCTGGGCTGCCTGGGCGGTCAGTTGGTGCTTTAGTTGGTGTGGGGCGGGGGGAAGAGCTGGTGCGGGCCACTGCCACTGCCGCTGTCGCTGCCTCCTTTGACGATGACGATGTTATTGTTATAGACTAGGTCCCGAGAACTGCTGACAAATGAGTGTTTGCACCTTAGGACGAGGAAGGAAAGCTGACGTGCCTAGCGGATTGCTTTTGACAAACGAAACGAAACATGTGAACAAACTCGGCGTGCAGGTTGAAACACCGGTGCGATTCCAGCAGGTGGTTTGGGACAGACAGCGTGGGAAAGGCTACGCCAAGCTAACGACCAACGGACCTCAAAACGTCGTTGTGTGCTTTTGGCTACATTCCTGGCGTCATTTGTTGGTGTGCATGGCGCCATGTGAACTGCTTTTGGGGTTTTATATATTGGGTCATGGCCAGACAGGTAGCCGGCACATGTGATGCCAGGCGCCATGGCATAGAGTATGCGAGTGACCTGGATGTCATTATGTTAGGATAATTCCCGGTGCTCTCACTTAGCGCCAGGGTGTTGCGGGTTGACTTTGCCTGGTCTTACCGGATGTAAATTAAATTGCTGTTGAGCACCCTTGTTGTAGGCCCAAGAAGGGGTGCCGAGCGTGATGTCTGTTCTCTGTTGGTTGACCTCAGGGACAGTACTGCGAACGTACGGCCCTCAGGTCGTACAGGCTACACATGCGCAAGACTTTCTTCTCCGATCAGCAGCATGACTATTGATTAAGATTATTTGACACCTACAGCGTTACCTAGTTAATCAATGGGAAAGCATGCGTTGCCAACCCTAGTCGCCAGGGACCTTTCAGGCCCTCACCTAATCTGAACGACTCCCGTTTGGAATACTGCATAAGCGAAGCCGGCCCACCCCATAAGCACATATATCCAAGACCTGCAGAAAGTATGCCTTCACCGGTGCATGAGTACTTGACAAACGTGCTTTCGCAACGGGGGCCTACTGCGGTGCCTTACAATGAAGACGTGAAATGGAATATTAGAGACCATTTGACAGAATTGCAAAAGGCAGGTGTCGTCTTGGTTGCCTGTGCGGTCAAGGAAGCTACCTTGGAGCTGACGCGCGCTGGCCGTTAAACAGGTTTTTCCTACGTTGGCGACCAAGCTCAGCGAGTATCATGGCAACGACGGGAGGTGAGCGATCTAGCGTCGCACAGTTGTATAGGTAACTAACGAAGGTTTGACGCAAAGTGGGTCCGAATGCGCAGACAGCTCAATGTCCTCAAGGTGGAAGGGACCATACCAATTCACTACCAGGTAACAGGTTAAGACGCGGGGCGTTGCGCTTAATGGATCTCACAGATGTTGGGCCTCATCGCCCCACCAGATTGCAGTGGAGACCTCTACCTGCGATGAATTTATTGCGGTAGTGACGCGAGGTTTACAAATGAATACACCGCCTGCAGGGCGCCAAGTACAACATCCCCATCGTCATGTGGCTTCTGGAGCGATATCCCTTCAACCCCCCACAAATCTTCGTGGTACCGACATCAAACATGATCATCCGAGCGGGGAACTTTGTCAACCCCAGCGGCGAGGTGTCCACACCGCTCCTCCGGGAGTGGCTCTTCCCCAGCAGCAACCTCGTGGATGTCGTGTTGGAGATGTCGCAGGTCTTTGGCAGCGAGCCTCCGCTGTACACGCGGCCAGCCGGCTACAGCTCGCCCTCAGCCGCACATACCCCAGCAGTCACGCTTCCGCCACCAAACTACCCGCTCCCACAAGGACTCGCAACCGGCTCCGGCCGCGGCGCACCTGCACCTCCAGCCTCAGCCACCAGCAACGGCTACGCCCAGTCGCACTATCCAACCGTCCAGGGAGCCAGCAGCAGCCTTACCCCCTACGCGACTCCCTCCGTCGGCAACACCCCCAACTCCACACCTGGTCACGTCCCAGGCCCCGGTCCCGGAGCTGGCTGGGGCAGCAGCACCGCCACGTCTGCAGCGCCCTACGCGGCAGCACCGTCAGGAGGAGCCGTACCGCCGCCCCCGCCGGTACCGCCGCCCCCGCCCCCTCCTCCGCCCTTCGCGGGCCTTTCGGGGCTCTTCGGCGGGATATTCGGCGGTGGTGGCGCCGCCGCTGCCACCACCACACAACACAACCCCGCTCCGCCACCACCCCCACCCGGCCCCCCGCCACCCCTTTCACAACCACCCTCCCAGCAACCCCCATTCCCTCCTCAACCCCAGCTATCCATACCACCGCCCCCGCCACCACCCCCACCGCCACCACCACCAGCCGCTGCCGTCTCCGCTGCCACCCCGGAGCCGCCTCAGCCCCCGCCTGTGTCCCGCGAGGAGCTGGAGGTGCACTTCCGCCACCTCGCCATAGAGGCGCTCGCAGCCCGCTTCCGCGCGCTGGAGCGGGGCTGGGGGGAGTGGGCGGCGGAGGAGACGGTGAAGGCGCTGGAGGTGCAGCACCAGCTGGGGGATCGGAAGGCGCAGCTGCAGGCCACGGTGAGGGTGGCGAGACGGGCGTGGGCTTGGGCTTGGGCGTGTGTGTGTATTGGCAGAATTGTGGCGGGAGGAGTCCAGAGAAGTGACGCCTCTCCCCCCAATCCTCGCCCCCTTGACCATGCGCGCTCTCTGGTAGTCGAATAACTCTACCTCCTTCCATCAAAACAGGATGATGGCACTATCGTTTACCAACCTACCTGGTGTTGTTTGTTTTCCCTCCCCTCCTCTGCTTCCCCTTTCGCTCCCCTCCCCCAGCTTGACTCGCTGACCCAGGAGCGCATGGGCACCGAGCAGCTGGTGGGGGAGCTGGCCAGCAAGACGAAGGCGCTGCAGGTGGGCGACTATGTTCAGTTGGGGTTAAGGCCTACGTTTTGGGGTTCGGAAAAGAATAAGACCAATTTGGGGTAGTCGGAGAAGGACAAAGCCGCGAAAGGCAACACACAGGAAATAAACGTTGAGAAGACGATGCAGGTGGGGGGACCAGGGTAGCATGGTAAGACTGCGGAGGCTCCCTGCCCTTGGCTAAGCCCCCCTTTCCTGCCTCCCTGCCCTCTCCCTTCGCCCTCTCCCTTTTCCCTCTTCCTGCTTGTCGTTCAGTCCTGGTTGGAGCGCCACGAGCCGCGGGCCGAGCGCTTCGACCCCGCCTGCCGCCCCGCCAGCAGCCTGCTCCTCCCCGCGGACGAGCTGTGCCGCCAGGGGCTGGAGACGCAGGTGGGGGGATGGGAAACGGGGTGGAGAGAAGGATGGTGGTGGTGGTGTAGTGAGAAGAGGGAAGCTGCTGTGCATGAAGAGGAGGGGAGCGGGGGGAAGCAGGCGCGGTAGAGGTGGCGGCGAGGGTGGTCATGGGATAGGATGCCGTTGTCATGCCGGCCGCACAATGCCCCTGTCACTCACGGCACGGTGTTTTGCCCTTCCTTCTCCCCCCCCCCCCGTTCGGTATGGTCTTTGACCCCCGCCCCACAGGCTCGCGACCTGGCCCTGGAGGACGCCATCCTGGCGCTCGACAAGCTGCTGCAGACCGGCCAGGTGCCCCTGGAGGCGTACCTTAAGCAGGTGGGGGAGGGGTGAAGAGGGAGAAGACGAAGTTGTACACGGTAGCGGCAACCCGCGGTGGGGCCGGGGCCGGAGGAGGAGGACGAGGAGGAGGAGTGGAGGCGGGCTCGCTGTGCTCCTATCGGTAGCCCCTCCTTGCTTTGCGCCCCTCACTGATTCCCCTTTCCCTCCGTCTCCCTCCTTTTCCCACACTTTCCCTCCCTTTCCCCAACAGGTCCGTGCGCTGTGCCGTACCCAGTTCTTCTCACGCGCTCTAGGGCTCAAGGTAGCGGCAGCGCAGCAGCAGCAGCACGCGGCGGCAGCCACTGCGAGGAGCGGCACCTCAACAGCGGCGACACCCGCAGCCGGCTCCTCATCGCTCTCCTCCGGCTCCTCCTCAGCAGCCTACCTCCACCAGCAGACGCGGGCGTTCCCGCTGGCGCATGCAGACGGCTGGTCGCATGGGGCGCCGCCGCCGCAGGGGACAGCGGCTGCTGGCGCGACGCCGGCGGGACGGGGGATGGGGCCGGGGGCGGGGATGGTTGGGTCAGGCATGTTGACGAATCCGCTTGCAGGGTCTGGGAGGTGAGGGGTCGGGTGGTAGGATAGAGCAATGGCGTGTTGGAGGTTGAGGATTAAAGCTGAGTTGATTGGTGGTTGTGGGTGCGCGAGCGGGGGCACCCTGGTGGGGTTCTGGGTGTGGGGATCTTGTCTAGGTACATGGCTTGGTTTAATTTGGCTGTGTTTTCTACGGGGCTGGACTGCTGCCGATAGGCTTTGCGGAGATGGCGGAAAGCCTTGGTGGCGCATGTCATGCGGTTGGCCTACCGATTCTGTCAGCGGAAGGTTATGTACAAAGAGCTTTAAGTAGTTGTTTGCTGGCGCTGCCTCAGTTGTTAATCCTTCATATGTAGCAGAAACGAAAAAGGCTCTATTACAAGAAGTGCCCGTAAATATTGGGTAGCTCGTACGGAATGTACGGGCGCTTTGCGAGGCCGCAGCGACACAATTTCGAGCTCTTGTGCGAAGGCTTTAGCCATGTTACTATGTCAAGATAAGCTCAGGCGTGCACAGACTCTTCATCCCTCAAAATTGTACTGTGCGACGGTGAACGCGACGGGAAGGGCACAGGTATTATAACGACAGCCAGCGTCATCGTCTCGCATTTTACTATATCGAACAACGTCATAACATTACCTAGAACTGGAATCATAAACTCCACATGGGCAGCGGTTCGTCATGTGCCAAGTTGGACATTGTCTCCGAGGAGGAGATACACGCCGCCATCAAGGCAATCACGGATTGGGAAGAAGCGCAGAAGGCCGAACAAAAAGCATCGCAGGTATGCAGCATATGCATTGTAGACCAAAGAGTAGGGTCTTAGGATACCGTAGTACTTCCGACTGTCAAAGTTGGGTCCACACCTACCAGCTAGAGCGAATGCTTTATGAATCATATATGGTTCTTTGGCTTATGCCCATTACATTGATGCAGCTCCTTATGCGTTGTGCTGCTTGCCGCTGCTGACGCTAGGAATATGAAACGTGACCTAGCCGCGTACCTTCAGCGGTCCAGGCATAGTGTGTCCATGCAATTCGCTAGTTGTCAAGACCATGGTCGTCGGCTACAGGCACACGTCTTGGGAAACCCTACTTACACCTACCAAGTTCCCATCCGTTTCCCGCTGCCGGCTTCGCCCACCTCCCCAACCTGCGATGACAGGCCCTACGCACTGTCCGTAAAGACAGCTTCAAGAGAGCTGCTAACGAGCTTAACCACCATGGAGGCATTGTTGATCGCATTGGCGGTCCTGACCGGGTACATGACATCATCCAGGTGGGTCGTATTGCCGTTCGCAGCCCAAAGTGCCATCGTGACACTGTTCGTCCCTCCCTACTTCCAAACCCGCCCTTTTCGTATCCTGCCCCGCATGTTCCCCCCGCCGCCCTGCTGCATCCGCCCCAACCGCTTCTACCGCTGCACTCAACAGGTCTTTTACCGCAAGCTCTTTAGCAATCCGGAGGTCCGACACTTCTTCGAGCACCTTTCCACCGAGCGCATGCGCGCCAAGCAGATGAAATTCATGCGCTACATCATGGGCGGCCCCGGCACCTACACTGGCAACCTGCGCTGCGTGCATGCGCGCATGGTGCTGGAGGGCGGCCTGGACCTGCCCACGTTCCAGGTGATGCCGTCGCCACCAGCAGGGGGTTAGGTAAACTGAGCCGCGGAAACACTCCATGAGGTTTGGGACCGCGGCAATGATGGCATGCACCAACAGCACCGTTTGGGCCAGCTAGATAACACACGCAGCAAAACGTCGACTGAGCGGTTAGAGCGAGCAGCCCGAGACAATCCTCGCCACAAGGCGGGCGGTGGCAGGGCAAGAAGAGCGGTAGCAGCGACATGTAGGCCATGTAAGCCATGTTGTATCGGAGTGTCGCCCACATGTACTAGTAAGCTACCGAAGCTACCGGTAGTAGCTGGTGTGTGCCGGCGTAAAACACACATCCCTGTGTGCGCGCACCTGCGCATGTGGTGGTTGCAGGTGGTGGAGGGACTGCTGGTGGCCACCCTGCAGGAGCTGCATGTGCCGCAGGTGGGCAGGGGAGGGAGCGGGGGTGAGCAGGGGAAGGAGCAGGGGGGTGAGCAGGGGAGGGAGCGGGGGTGAGCAGGGGAAGGAGCAGGGGGGGTGCAGGGGAGGGAGCAGGGGGAGGGGGGGGGGAGCAGGGAGCAGGGGATAAACGACTGGTGTGGTATTGCGCTGATGATTCCCGTCGTACTCACATACAAGCAAAAGCCGCCTCCGGCCTTAACCACCACCACCACCACTGCATGGTCATCACCTCAACCCCACCGGCAGGACGTTATCGACGACGTGAACAGGAACGTGGAGTCCGCCAAGACCGCCATCTTCACACCCAACCCGGATGAGCTGGTAAGCAACGAGGAGATGGCGGTTGCGGCGTCCGAGATGAAGCACCCGCTCATCACAAGGCTGGGAGGCCCGCAGGCGGTGCAGGTGCGTGTGTTAAGAAAACTGGCCGCGAGTAGGAACGTACTGGGATGTCGGAAGGGGAAGTCCGGTCCGCGTGGCTGTGTACTGTGCTAACCAGGAGGGTGCTGACCATTTGCACAACTGCCAGCACGATTGCAGTTCGGTCCTCAGCTCTCATCACCTTTTCTCTCATCGTCCTCATCGTCCTTCCGACCCGCATCACCTCCCTGCTCACCACCACCTCCCACACCTCCACCCCTACAGGCCATCATCCAGGCCTTCTACAAGAAGCTCTTCCGCTGCGAGGAGCTCAAGTACTTCTTCGCCTCACTGTCCGCGGAGCGACTGCGCAACATGCAGGTACGGCAGCAGTGTACGGCAGACTGGAACACGTGTACGGCAGCTGGTCTTTCCTGCGTCCGGAACCCTACTCTTCGCGGACAGCTTTACTTTTTCTGCCTTGCCTTGCCATGTAACGCGCGCTGCAAAGTCCTGGAGTCCCGGAGATGCGGGACACTCCTGCAATGCGCTGTTGGTTGACCTCTTGCCCCTTCTCCCAATTCCTCTTCCCTTTCACATCATCCCAATTCCTCTTCCCATTCCCACCGCAGTTCAAGTTCATGCGGTACCTGTTTTGCGGCCCGGCCTCCTACGCGGAGACGGGCGGCAACATGCGGTGCGTGTGACAGCCCTGCCTGACTGCATGGGCTGGTTACAACGGTTACCTTGCCTGGATACACTGCCTGCCTGCCTGCCTAGATACCTTGCCTGGGCGCCTCCCTGGGTACTGCTCTCCTCGTGCTGCTGCTACAAGTGACGGGGGCTCTGCGTCTGGCTGCTGCTGTTGCTGCTGCCGCTGCTGCTGCTGTCTTGCAGGTGTGTCCACGCACGCATGGTGAAGGAAGACGGTCTGGACATCCGCAAGGTGAGAGGGAGGGTGTGTGCACTGCCCGGCCTTGTCTTGCGGTGTAGGTAGGCTTTGGTTTACCGGTATCGTCCGTGTTTCTTTGCGCCCTCTAGTGGAGAATTCCTGTATCCTTGCGTGTATGCCTCTGTCCTTCCCACACAACTTGTGTAGCTTTTAAACACCCGTGCCCTCGCATGCGCCCCTGTACGGCCGCAGTTCAACATGGTCGTACAGATGCTGGTGGACGTGATGAATGACCAGATGGTGTCACACGTAAGCTGGTTGGGGGGGAGGAGTATCGTTTAAGTGTTTCAACCCTTCCCGAACAGCATTCCCATCCTTGTGCTCGTCCCGAATGGGCTTTGTGCTCTTCCTGTAACCATGTGGTGCAGCTGGTGTAGAACACGGAGGGGTACATGACTTGCTACGAGGTTCCTGTCATCCTGTGCCTTTCCTTCTTACAGCACATGACAGCACATGCAGCTGTGGGAGGAAGCATCAGACTGTCAAAACGTGCTAGTCTTCAAATGCTCCGCCTGCCAGCCACCTCTGCTGGCAACCTCTTGTGGCGCGCCTAAGGCGACCCCTCTACACCTCCATCTCAGTAGATGTTTACTAGTAACCGAAAACGACCTACGCCCTTCAACAGATCTACGCGAGGGAGGTCCTGGCCAACGTGCAGGCCGCCAAGAGCGCCATCTTCACCCCCGGCCCCGATGAGCTGGTGGGTCGCGAGGAGGTGCTGGCGGAGGTGGCTGCTGCGGGGCTGGCGGGCGGGCAGCTGCTGGGGCGGCTGGGCGGGCCGGAGCGGCTGTGGGAGCTGGTGAGCGGCTTCTACGCCAAGCTGTTCGGAGACGAGCAGCTCAAGTACTACTTTGCGCTGACGTCCGACAGGTTGCGTACGAAGCAGGTAAGGGGGCGGATTCAGGCGCAGGGGGGTAAACACTCGTTCCATGTCAGCATTTGGGGTACGGGGTTGGTTGGACCTAACCTCCTTCCCACCGGAAGACCTGGTCTTCCCGTTGTGCCATGTAACGGCTGCAGCCACCAGCTAACCACCCCAGCTCATCACCTCCACGCCGCCCCTCCCAGTTGCGCCTACTCCCCTAACATCTCGGTCTCCTCCTCCTCCTCTGTACTCAACCCCATCTCCAGCTCCCTCTATCCCCATTACTCTGCCCTTACCCTTATGGTTTTGGGAAACCCCTGACCCTCTCCCATCCCCAGCTGCTACTTGTATCATTATCATACCACACTTTGGAATTTCGTTTTTCATCCCCAGCTGCGCCTGATGCGCTACCTGATTGGCGGCCCCGCTGCCTACGCGGCCCTCGGCGGCAGCGGCGGCGGGCTGCGCTGCAAGCACCTGGCGCTCATTCGCGACAAGGGGCTGGACGGCCCCAAGTTTGACCGCATGGTCCGACTGCTGAAGGGGGTCATGGAGGCCATGAAGCTGCCCGAGGTGGGGGGGTCAAAGACCATACCAAACCATAGGAGACCACAAGTTAGGGCAAAGCAATGGGGGTAGGAGGGGGGGTGGCGGTTGGGGGTAAGAATAAGGAAAACTAACGAGCTGTAGGACAAGGCTTCACCAGGGGGGGAGCTCTGGGGTGGGGGGTGAGGGTTGCGGGTGGCTGATAGGCGGATGATGGCTACCGAGCAGCGCGTGTGTGTGTGTGCCTGCCAGCCTGGGGACCAGGAGGCAGCAGCGCTTCGTTCCCACGTTCGCCTCCAGGTATACGCATGCATCACGGCGCCTGTCCTCTCTCTCTCACTCTCTAGCTTCACATCAGCGACCCTGCTTGCCACCATCACGACCACGACGACGCGTCATCCACGCTTTTGCCCCACCCCACCTGCTGTGTGTTGAGCAAACTGCCCTCTCTCACTCTCTCCACCCCACCTGCTGTGTGTCCCCCGTCTGCTCCCCCCCAGGATGCCGTGTCGGAGATCCTGGCCAACGTGGAGGCGGCTCGCAGCGCCATCTTCACGCCGGGCCCCGAGGAGCTCATATCGCGGGAGGAGCTGGTGACGGCAGCGGGTGAGGACCGGGGGGCCGTTGGGGATGGGGTTGGGAGTGGGGGTTGTGACGGGAGGTGCAGCGCTGCTGCTGTGGGGGTACCGGTGGGGCCGCCCTGCATGTGGAGCTCAGCATGGAGCCTTGCTACGTACTACAAAAGAACAAAACAAAGCCAGAAGTACATGCAGCAAAAACAGTACCGGGAAATGTGGTTGCGGAGAATGGTGCGGTTCTACGGTACCCACCTAACCCTGGCCCAGGCCCAGCCGCGCATCACCGCGCCCCGTTTTTTAATCCTCGAGCTTCACCCTTTCTTCCCAACGGCTCGGTTTACCTGCTTCCCATACCTACCTGCTTCCCATACCTACCTGCTTCCCATGCCTACCTGCTTCCCAACACCCGCGCCACACAGAGGCACTCAAGTCCGAGACGGTGTCCCGGCTGGGCGGCCCCCAGCGCGTCTACTCCGTCATCTCCACCTTCTACTCCAAGCTCTTCAACGACGCCGAGCTAAAGTACTTTTTCGTGTCGCTATCGGACAAGAAGCTGCGAACCAAGCAGGTGTGTGGGGGGGGGGCGGGCGCGTGGGGGGGGGGGGGGGAACAGCTGGGCCATGAAACGTGGACGTGAAAGAGGGCAATGCGGGGGACTGGGGGGATGTTGCGCGTACTGGGAGTGAAGGGAACACGGCACCGGGGAAGGGCGAGGCGTGAAAACACGATGTGTATTGTGTATGATTGGGAGGAGCGTGGACGCCGTGGATGTATCTGGGCAAATTCACGGCCTGCCGGTATGCGGCGCTACCCCTCCTTTACCTCCTTTCTCAACGCCCTGCCGTCCTGCCTGCCGCCCACTCGCTGCGCAGTTCAAGCTCATGTCGTACCTCTTTGGCGGTCCCGCCGCCTACGTCGCCACCACCCCCGGGGGCAACCTGCGCTGCTCGCATGCCCGACTCATCAAGGAGTACGGCATGGATGCCAGCAAGGTACGACACAGGGTTCGCCTTGAGACGTTGAGAGGGGCGAACCGGTAGTGTCGGCGGATTTCAGGATATAGAGTCGTCTTGGGCTTAGCCAGGGGTGTCTCATTGCTTTGTCTTTTGTGGGTGGCTGTGCAAAGTATTTCTTCTTTTCCAGGCTCCTCAGCACCTGTTACACACCTTAACTGCTTATGCAAGGCATTTACGTATCCTTTGTAAAGCCCTGACAGCTGACACATGTTTTGCCCTCTGTCCCCCTTCACCTTATCCCATTCCATCCCACACACCACCGCGGCTATCACCCCCACCCCCACCCCCACCGCCACCGCCAGTTCGACCGGGTTGCGGGCATGATGCTGGAGGTACGCGGTTGTGTTTGCATGCAGTTGTGAACTTGGGGTTGTTAGCCAACGGTGCCAAAAGTAGGCGGGCATCGCTTGTGGCCGGCACTGGGGTTGTGCGCGTTACGAGTTGCCTTCACTGTTGGCTACCGGCATTCGCTGTCCTGTGCTGGTGTTCCAATTTGCAGCTGGCGCAAAACCCATCCTGCTGCATTGCCACTTGGGCTTACTCGTCTAGGCCCAACCCTCCATCACCTGCTCCCGTCCTTGTTGCGTTTGTGTACCGGTAATGTCTGCTGGTGTTTGCTTGCATGTCTTCCCTTGCAGACCCTCCGAGAGGAGAATGCCCCAGAGGTAAGAGTCTTACCCTAAGAACACAGGCAGATCGCGGTTAGCCTGGGTAGCCTCGTGCGGGCAGAGCACAGCATGGCAACGCACGAGCAGGGGCACAGGCCGTAGCACACTAGCTTTTCACTACTACGGTATCATGAGGGTTATGGACGTGCGGAGAGGATGCATATGTCCTGCCTAGCAAAGGCCTGCGGGCTGATGTCCTCTTTAGGTCCTAACTCACCCTCCTAACCACACTTGCCACACTTGCCACACGTGCCACAGGATGTGATTGCGGCGGTGCTGCTGAACGTGCAGTCCGCCAAGAGCGCCATCTTCACCCCCGGCCCCGATGAGCTGGTGGGTCGCGAGGAGGTGCTGGCGGAGGTGGCTGCTGCGGGGCTGGCGGGCGGGCCGCTGCTGGGGCGGCTGGGCGGGCCGGAGCGGCTGTGGGAGCTGGTGAGCGGCTTCTACGCCAAGCTGTTCGGAGACGAGCAGCTCAAGTACTACTTTGGAAGCCTCACGTCGGAGCGGCTGAAGAACAAGCAGGTGAGAGCGGAGGCTGTCTTGCGAAGGGTTGCTTGTTCAGGTTGCTTGTTTGTGAGGAGTAGATGTCTTCGGAGATGGATCACTTGAGTCGTGACGATGGACGGTGCCATCAGGGTTCACCGCCCGCCGTCGCTGCCACCGGTACACCACCCTCCTATTCTTGTTAGCACCTCTGCTTTCACGCTCCTTGCCTCCCCTGTCAAATGGCTTGTTGGCGCCCTTCCTTCCGTGCAGCTCAAGTTCATGCGCTGCTTGGTGGGCGGTACCAAGTCCTATTCTGGCGACCTGCGTTGCGCCCATGCGCCCATGCTGCCAAAGCAAGACGGCGGCGACGGCAGCGGCAGCGGCGGTGGGAACAGCTCAGGAGGTGGGGGGCTGGACGCCGCAGCGTTCAACCGCCTGATCGCGCACCTGACGTCCGCCGCCAAGGAAATGGATGTACGGCAAGATGCCCTCGCGGAGATGCTGCAAAATGTGGAGGCTGCAAGGAAGGAGATTCTTGGCGATGGTCGTACCGGCGCCGGCGCCGCCAACGGTGGCGGCAACCGACCAGCTTCGGCGGTGCGTAGCGCCGCCGCCGCCGCCGTCGCCTCTCCCAACACCGGTGCCGCCGCCGGCGTTGCCGCATTGAGTCTGTACGAGCGACTCGGCGGTGAGTGCGCCTTGGGCCTTCTGGTGGACTCCCTGCATGAGCGGCTGCTGGCAGACCCACGGGTCGCGCACCTGTACAAGGGGGTGAACATGTTCAATCAGCGTCGCCAGCAGCTGGCTTTCATGCGGACCGCCTTGAGCACCAGCGGCTCCGCTACCCCAGCTGCTGTTGCTGTGGGCGGCATTGGCGGCGTGGGCTCCCGGCCGTCAAGTGCCTCCAGCACGCCGACCTCCCTGACGCTCGGCATTGCGTACGCGCACTTGGCACGCGACAAGGCGTTGTCGGCCGAGGGCTTCGAGGCGGTTGCGATGCATTTGGTGGCCTGTCTGAATCACCAGGTAGGGTGTGCGCTACGGGGTTTACAACACGTTGCTGCACTCCCCACTGAACATTCAGGTAGAATATAACCCATGCACACACACACAGCTCTTGTTTCTGCTCAACTACATACACACAGCTGGTCTCCGCAACCACCACAGCGCACGTTACCGGTGTTTGCGGATGTCAGCATGTCCCTACCTGGCTACGGTAGTACCTGACTGGTACCGATGCATGCAAATGCTTGCATGCATGCATGGCACCCTTGCAGGGCGCGTCCCCCGACCTCGTGGCCGCCGTTCGGGCCATGATGCAGCCCGGCAAGAGCCTTTTGTTTCCACCGGTAGGCGCCGGCGGCGGCGGCGGCTGCCCCTTCGCCAGGTCCATCTCCGCGGAAGATGAACAGACGCTGGATGCAATCATGGTTTCCGCCTACGCTCCCGCCGCTGCTGCCGGATCCTCCGCCGCAGAGGCTGCTTCCTTCACTGCTACTAAAGCTACGGCCCGGCCCCAAGCGGCTGCTTCTACGGCCTCGTCTGTAGCTGTGGCTGAGGCTGTGGCGGTGGCAGCGGGTGCTGATGGTGCAGCAGCAGTGACAGCCCCGGCCGTCGCTGCTGGCATGCTGGCAGCGGACGGCACCGCTGCAGGAGGAGTTGGAGGGGCTGGTGCGTCGCCGACGCTCACTCTCAGCCGTGTTCCTCGCCCCCCAAGCAGTGCCAATGGCACCGGCAATGGCTATGCAGGCAACAGCGGCCCACCCAGCCGTACTTCCTCTAGGCGTCGGATCTATATCGGCGCCGGAGGCGGTGGAGGTGATGTTGGCGGTAGCGGCGGCGGCGTCACAGGTGCTGCTGCCGCTGCTGCAGGCGCTGCCAGTCCTGGAGGCGCCACAACGCCACGTGGGGTTGGGAATGGTGATGAGGTCCCTCTCCGGCTGAAGCTGGCGCAGGAGCGGCTGCAGCTGCTCCAGCAGGAGTCTGCTGCTGTTTCTCCCCAGCAGGCCGATGACATGAACAACAACAACAACAACAGCAGCAGCAGCAGCCCCCGGACTGTTCTTGCGCCGTACAGTCCGCGGACGTCTGCGGGCCAGCTATCGTCATCTCCTCGCTCAAGCTCAACCACCACTCCCGCTGTTCCACGCCTCGTTCTGGCACCATCGTCATCTACACCAACCCCAGATCAGGCTGCCTGCTTCTCCTCCTCCGCCTCTTCCGTGCCTGCTCCTTCAGTTTTCGCCTGTGCAACGCGCACCGCTGACTTTGCCGCCAGAAGCAGCAGCACCGGCAACCTCACAAGCCTCGCAGACAACAGCAATGGCACCCTTGCCGCCGACGCCGCCGGCACCACCGCCATCGTCGGCAACAGCCTCGCCTTCCAGCCCACTCCTCCAAAGCCCCGAAGCGTGACGCCTAGTCCACGACCCACGGGTCGCCTCAACAGCAGCAGCAGCAACCGCATCAGCAACAGCAGCCTCCTCTTGTCCTCTAGCGAATTGCGCCCCTCTGCCGCCAGCATAACCCTGCCAACCAGCCGTCTGAGACCCTCCGCCTCGAGCTTCCTGGGCTCCAGTCCGCGACCCTCGGGCCCAAGTGTGTTGGGGGACGAGGACGAAGCGCTTGCGGAGGCTATCATGATGAGTGAACCGCACATATTGCTGAGCCGAACGGAGGTGGAGGCGTAGGGGTGACGCAGGGCAGCAGGAGGCGCTGGTGGAGAGGGTGCGTGTTTACCATGCCGGTCGATCGCCTTGGTCCTCATGGCCTTGCGGCACCAAGCCGCTTTTGTGTTGCAGTGTGTTTTGGAGCTCAACTGTAGTTTTGCGACCGAGCTCAGCCGTGTGCTGTTTTCCTGCCATCTCTTGTGGCATCCTCTTAGTAGGGGGAAGAGAATGAATGGAATCTATATGTAAGTCTGCATGGATGTGAAGCTGGTAAGGAAGCGCTGACGGGGTGTGTTTGTCGGCGGTCATGTTTCTAGTCCTTGGCATGGGCCTTGCAGGTGGGGGCACCACACCACGTGGCGTGGGCTGGTTACTCGTAATGTGTGTTGTGGTTCGAGCTATGCGCTAGGTAACCTGAAGACTCGACGTGTGCTGCTCATCAGATGGTGGCGACGCAGCATGCATGCATGCATAGCTTGCTAGCAATCGTTGGAAAGGCGTCGACAATTGTGTTCGCGTCGCTTAACGTTTCTGTTACTTTGACACTGTCTACCGCCCGGCGTGAGCTGTTTTGGTTGTCACATGGTTATGACATCACCCCGTTGTGGACGCCGTTGCGTTTGGAGCAGAGGCGGTTTCCAACGGGCCTTGCCGTACCGTGTACAACAATTAACTGGACCACACCGTACGACACGTATTGTTTGCTGCTTGGTAAACGGTCATCATGATTACGTTTCGGATGTGGGTTGTTTGGCGCCGTTGGTATGTGGACACCTTTGCCGCCTAATAACTGCTGCTGCTTTTTCGCAGAGAAAGAACTCGCCATAGGCTTTGTGTGAACTTCAGACGTAGCAAAGCGGCGCCACGACTCGTGTGGTTTGTGTCATCCCCGGGCGTGGCAGCAGCGGTTTCTAGTCGTCAGCATCCCTCGAGCACTTCCCTTACCGTGTCATGGGCATTCGTGGGTTTGTGCGCTAGGCTTGTGTCGCTGACTCGTCGATTCCTATTTCCTTTGGACCTTGTCCCTCGGCTTCTCGGCCCTCGTTGACTATTTGTTTCCAGCCTTGGTGTGTCCCTAGGCTACTATTAATTGGAAGTTTCCTGCTTCCGCACATGCGTGACTCACCTTCACCGCTCTCCCTTATTCCACACAAGTACGCTTCATATTGCTTCCGGAAAGGCGTTCGTAGTGGTATCGCTACCTCGTATTGCACCTCGTACAGACACCCCGTTGGCAGGCTGTGAGCTTGTTTGACCACGTGTTTGCTGGCTGGGTTTGTTTTGTGTGTCCAGTTTGTTTTGCTTTAGAGAATTGTTTACCACATTAGGCCACTGTGTCCTGGGATGGCGTTTTAGCCGCCTGCTGCTGCTCTGCCCTGCTGCCGGTGCGCCGCTAATGCCGGGGGCGGTTTCTGTGATACGAAGCTCGCATGGGTGTCCGGCATGTACGTCGTTGGACAGTTACCGGCATGCTCGGGTGTTCTGCCAGCGGGCAGATTGATACCAGTAGGTAGGTCTCAAGGGCTTGCACTTTGCAAGTGCAGCCCACGGCAATACTACCGTAACAATGCATTGCGAGGACATGGCAGCCCCCAGCTCACCTTGCCGGCTATGTTTGTGGTGGTTGGTTTGTGGTGGATTGCTGCTGGCTCAGCTTGCATGTATGTGGTGTGTGACAAGTTACGAGCCCCTGCATGGTGATCTGGGTTGCATGTATTGAGGATGCCCGGTGTACGACGTGCGCCAGGCAGGTGCCGAGCATGTCCGAGGTGATGGCTCCCAGGAAGGCCTGCTATGCGTGTTGCTGCAGTACCGGTAACAAAGTCTATGCGACCCGGGTGCAAAGCGGACTGCGTTGTGGCTGGGGTGCGTGTAGCTGTGTGCTTCTTACATGTTTGCATGTGCTCTTGACGGCTGTTTCCTACAGTATGTGAAATGTGATTATGAGTAGGTTCTGCGTGTTATTGTCTTTTAACTCGTGTGGAGCTCTGGGCTGGAAAGTAAGATAGCCCTCGGCAGTACGGGTGCTGGCAGTGTTGTAGGCTGCTGTACAGGGAGTGTTCCCACATGCCGCAAAAGCAATCCGCCAGCGCTCCGCGCGTGTAATCCTTTTCTGGTCTGGACAGATTCCAGTGGTCCCCGGGGATCCCCGGGGGTCCGAGGGAACATGGGTGTTATGATCAGGTGGACACCTCTGCTGCCGCGGCTAACAGAACGCAGGCCACGTGAAGGGCCCCAAGGACGGGTTGGGACGTCTACCTCCACTCCCAGGTGGAGTTCCGGCAAGCCCTGTGTGCTTATATGGATTGTAATGAGAAGATAATAGATTTGTAGAAGAGAACCAAAGACAGTTCAAGCATTCCAACAAAGATAGGGTAAATAGTTACAAGCCATGGTTTGTAACGTGCAACTCGTAGCATGATCATAAAAACGCTTCCGTGGTCACACACATACAGCCCTCATTGGATGAAAACTCTTGCTTCTGAAACAAACCTCCTGCCAACGTTGCCCCTACGTAACATCACTAGACAGCCCATAGCCAACCAACATGGGGCCTCTGCCTGCTTGCTAGACGAGGGACAACCCGTGCCCCCTTTCAGGAAACCTTTGGAATTATCGTTCAATCATTCGTGCACGTACGTGGGTGGATTGCACCTTCATAACCCCCTCCTTACGTGCGTGTAGGCATGAGTTCCAAAGCCAAATACACATGTAGCCAACGTATAAAATTGTTAAAACGAAGTATTACGCGATACCCCTCCTCCCCCGAACGCCTCACGGACATGTGCAGGGTTGGGTTCATTTCACCCGTGTTCCTTTTTAAGGGAACCATTGTAACTGTCATTTATACATGGAGCTTCTTTGCCCCTTCAAAGCACGGAACCGGCATATACCGGTACTTAATAAAAGCGACATTCATACGGATTACTTGTGTTGTTAAGGCCTCCCATGTACGACGACAGAGCGCACAGGAACACCCATTAGCAGGGGCCCAGTATACTCACGAGCCGCCACGGCTCGTGGCAACGCATGGCAGGCCATAAAGCTTAAGGAAACCATGTTCATGAATGAGGGTCTGCTGACCGCCTAGATCGCAGCGACCGTAACCGCATCCCCCTACAGCTTCCGAGATATGTAGAGTGTTAGACATGCATGAAAGCACTTGGGCGTAGGCGTTGGCGTTGGGTGACAGCACCGCCAGATAACGCCGATGTCATAACAAACATGTAACCCTGCGAAGCGGACAGTCTCATCCACAGCACTGTCGTATGTAGTTTGGGTTGAAATTCAGGAATGATTGATTGCGACATAAGTGGCATTCAAGCCCGTCTAACAAATGGAATGAAGACTTCATTATAAAACCAAGCCATAAGGAAATGGACCCACCAGCTGCCACCCAGCAACCAACGGATCTTACCCAACCAAGAAGGCCCACCCCAAACAAGGAAAACGGCCAGCAACCCGCATTCAGGGGCTACTACCAGATAGTGCAGCGTTCCATGCTACCCCAATCTTTGCGTGCAGCGGGTAGGTATAGCCGAACGTGTTTTCCTACCATTCTCTCTTGCAATTTTGCTGCCATGATAAGGATTCTTACTGCTAACCCCTTCCCCTGCCGCGCCTGCCTGCTGCGGCTCCTCCCGCCGGCGCCGCCACGCGCACAAAGTCCGTGACTGGCTGCCTGCAGAAGGGGCACAGAAGCGGCCGGCTGCTCACCGCACGACACAGCTCCCCCGCACACACGCTGCAGATGCCGTGATGACACGTGGCGGGGGCGGCGGCCTCGGGACGAGCAAAACACACGCTGCAGATGCCGTCATCTTCCTCCTCGTCGTCCACATCCTCCCAATCTTCTGAACTAGTTTCAACCCCCTCGGCTCCAACAACCAAACCGCCTTGGTTGAAGGGGACTGCGCAGACACGTGCGTAGCAGGATGAGGAGTCAGGTGCACTGTAAGACCGATGGTAGCATCGATTCTTTTCGTTGCTGTTGACGTTACGGCCCCTCGCATTGCCGCGGCCGAATCTTAGTTCCAAGGCATAGGTCTCTTGGTCTTGGACCCCAAAAGGATGCGGTTCATCCTTCGCAGAGTTGGGGAAACCTGCATCCCGCCAGACTCCACGGGAGGGACTGCTGCCGTGCAGCGCTTCTGGAGCTTGTTGCCGGGATGTCTGCAGCTGCTTGGACGGATAAGGCACAACTTTTGACCTGCAAAGAGCTTTGCCAGCACGCAACCGCAGACTTTCCGAGGCTTGGTATCCGCTGTTAGTGGAGCGGCCGTTGAAAGCGCCTCGTAAGCCATTAATGCTGGTCGACGCGGTAGCGGAGGCAGCGGCGGCGGAGGAGTTCAATGTACGGCAGCCACTCAGGTGAGGTCGCGGCGGCACTGGTGCTGACGTCAGCACCCGCGCCGCCTCCGCCTCCGCTGCGGCCTTCCTCTCCGCCACCTCCACCGCCGCCAACGACGCCAACAGCTTCTGCTTCAGCGCCGCCGCCGCAATGGCAGCCAGCGACGGCGGGCCGTAGTCAGCAGCGCTGCTGTTGCTGGCTGCGGAGGTGCTGACGTCGGCATCCGGTGCTAAGATGTACAACAGGGGTTGTGTGGGGTGAAGCGCCTGGAGCAGGTCAATTCCCAGAACTTCGAGCTGTGGTAGCGCCAGCTGCCAGGCCAGCCGACCTGACAGGGTGGCCACGAGCCGGGGATCTGCGGCGGCGGCGGCCGTTCGTTGAACTCTTGCATCCTGCGGGGGCGCCGTACATACCGGTACGTATGGATGGGTAGCCAGGCGTGGAAGCAAGCAACTTGGCCAGCTTTGACCACACGTGTGGCACATCCTGACCAGCCACTTTGGCGCCCGCACCCAGCAAGCCGTATGCCTCTCGTAGATTCCTACATACTAACAAACATCGGCCCAGTGGGTCGGGCAGTCGTCAAGGATGTTGTTTTAGGCCTTCAGGCGCATGACAAGTACATGTCTCCCACCTCGCGGCTCGCAAAGTGCAGCAGCAGCTCCCGAACAGCAACTGCATCGCCTCGTGCCGCCGCCAGATGCAGCGGCGTGGAATGCGGCTCGCACTCCTCCAGGCCGCTGACCCATGGGTCATTGGGGCCGCTGTAGTAGCTGCAGTTGCCGGCGGCACTGGTGGCGACATTGATGTCCGGGTCATGCCGCAACAATTCCCGAAGCACCTCATGATGCCCATGGAGGATGGCGTAGTGCAGGGCGGTCAGTCCACGCAAGCAGCGAGCGTTGATGAGCCTAAACAAGTAAGAGGGAGGAAAGGGCAAAGCAAGGAATGAACGGATCGAACACAAGCAAGTGGTTTGTCCTTGACAAACGAATAAACAAATGCAGGTTATTGGGCTAGACGTGCATGCCAGCTCGGGGTGGTTGTGTTGTGTAAGGTGCACAGTGAGTAAACGGCCCGCATCCTACCAAGCACGGCTACGAGACGGTTTGTGCGGGGTCTGATCCTCCAGCAGCGCTGCCACGCAGTCTGCTGACCCCGAGATGGCTGCGTAATGCAGGGCGGTACGGCAACCGCACAAGTCAACTGCCCAAACACTTGCACCCTGCATGGCATTTCCGCAAGGGCATGTAAAGCTGGATAAGGATAATTGAAGGCAGCTACCGGTAATTAGACCGAGAGCACAGGTGCCTAAGATACCACTCAGCGAGCAATGTGTGTGCTGCTGCTGCTGGAGCCAACCCTCATGCATGCATTTGCTTTGACTTCAAACAGCCGTACTGTACTGGGACTGTTGATGGTACGCAAGAAACCGAACATAAGGACGAACAGAAGGACGAACATAAGGACGAACAGAAGGACGAACAGGGGGACGAACAGAGGGACGAACAGAAGGACGAACAGAGGGACTAGCAAGAGCATACGCCTCATCTAGCACCAGCTCTGGTAGGCTAATGCGGGCGGTACCTGCTCCAGTAGCAGCTTCACAAGCTCCGGACAACTCGCAGCGCATGCTAACATGAGAGGGGATTGACCTGGGGCAGCGGCGCCAACGGCAAGGAGCACGGTGATTTCGACGGGAACAGCAACACATGGCTTAAAGCAGATAGGGAATTGCAAATACTTCTGGTCTTGCGAGGACATAACAGAGGCTGAACGAGGTTTGCCTCACCCTGCATTCCCCTTGTTCGTTGCTCACCTTTAGAGTTGCACATGCTTGAAGCCATTCTGAGGCCTTCACGTGAACTGCTCGGCAATGGGACTCCCATGCGTCGGCAGTACGGCTTCAGTGCTTGTCGAACTGTATAGATGTTACTGCCTGACAGAAAATTAAACATCTGACGTACAACCTGCATGTCATGGAGAGGACCGGTGCCATGTTGGATGGGGATGATCTGTCGGTTGTCTGATCTCTTTTGGCTTTAAGCTTCTACACCAAAATGTGGGAATTTACGAACCTGCAGTTGAGCCTTCTCTACCGCCACGTGCAGCCATGTCTGCACCTCTCCCCGGCCGACCAACACTCCAAGCCCCCTGACGGATGTTGATAGAAGCCTTGGATCGTGACCAAGTTTATCCAACACGCCCGCATCGGCTTTGGGGTTAACAGTCGTAGCTCCGCCGCTGGTGAGCGGGGTAAGCATGCTGGCAAGGCGAGAGGAACTCGCGCCCATTTCGTTGTAAATCTACCCAGAGAAATTCGGGGGCCGCATAGAGGACTGTGCTGACCACGACCACGACCTGCACCACGACCGAGGGTATTTTTGTAGTCCGACGAATGGTGTGGCGAGTAGTTGTAAGTGCAGTCCTTTCGTCTCTTGTAATTGCCAATATGAAGTTATAGCAAATAATAAGCCAAATGTGATGCTGTGAGCCCTTGCCAGGGCAAACGAAAAGTCGAGCGCGATTCACTGGCTTGCATAGCCCTGACACGGTGCAAATTCACTGCAGTATGTGCGGGTAAGCGAGTCTTCCAGTAGCTGCAGCTATATGCTTAGGGCACTAATGTTCTATCTAGGCACCAAGGCAGTCAAGGAGTTGCGATTCCGCTCGGCTTTACCTCGCAGCTGCCATATGCTCTATACTTTCATCACTTTATACTACAACTGTGGATAATGAGAACTTGTGTCAGTGACCATGATGAAAGTCTATGCCAGTGCTTTGGTCTGGATAAGCTGCCGTACAGCACGGGACATGAGCGGGAGCACAGGACGGGACTCGCGTCGGGGCCTGGCCTGGCCTTGAACGACTCAACTAACTTGAGTCGTGTGCGTCATAGATTACAAACGCGTATGTTCTCTGTATGAGTACTAAGCCTGCTGTGTCGCCGTCGCTTTCTTGATTAGTAGCAAAATCTAAGGGCCAGTGACTACCTCCATGACGCATTGTGTTGCTCCTTGCCAGAAGTATAACAAAGTAGCCTATACCGAGTACATATGAGCATCTATCCGTCAGCAACTTCAGTTCTGAGTCAGCATCCCGCTCTGGAAATCGCGACGAACGCCAAAATAAACGCCGTCAAACCTGTTAGCCATTTGTTCTTGCAAACGCCAACTTCTGTGCGGCGGAATAAGGTATATCTGGAATAGAGCGCGGTGTCTCAGCAAGGATATAAGTGGGTAAAGCCTGGGTAAAGTGGAAGAAGCTAAGTAGGTATTCCGGGATAAAAGGAAGAATTTAGGTTGTATGCTTGTAATGTACTCCTTTGACACGTACTCCTTTGACCGTAAGGATGGGGCCTACATGGCCATGATGACTCCATACATGTACCAGGGTGCTACTCCCATCATCTGCGCGAACCCAAACTTCCGGTAAACCATCCGGATAGCTGTGATGATATACAGTAGACAACATAGCATTTGCTCATCCAGGCCATTGCACTATTAAGGAGGCCCTGGCAGCCGTGACCGCCAACAACCAGGCAGCAATGCACCAGGTACATACAGCCCTGGCATGCATGGTTACCAGCCAAAACGGGCTAACACCAGGATGACATGGCTACTGCAACTATATTATTGTACCACACGCACATGGCGAAAACATGATAGTATTACTGAACATCAAGAGTGGCGGCATGCGCCTTCACAATTTTTTGCAGAAGCCAACATTGGTTGCGTACTGGTTTTGGCGGCATGAAGCCCCATGAAGCCATCTCGATCACGCACGGAAAGAGGCCTGAACTCTACCTTGCATTACGGAGGGAAAAACTCCCCCAGACGTCCCTCCAAAACAACCCTTTTCCAGCAGATAAGTATGCACCGGTAACGACACAAGCACATAAGTGCGCTTCATACCGCGTTAGGATAAATAATATGAAATATCATCGAAGCCATTTTACAACACACAAGACAATGGTGGACAATGGATTTCTGCTGCTCGCTCCAGATGTAGCACAGCTGCTACAGACCATAAGCCCCTTGACCATCGGCAGCGACTAGGAATGTTTAATAAACGCACACAGTGTCCTTCTTGGCTCAGAGTACAACGGGCACCCAACTACCGTAACCGTAATAAGAAGGCAGGTTTTGACCCCCCACGTGCATGCAAGGAAAGTGCAATACCAGCCCCTAAGTAGGGCAGTCTCCCATCAAGTAAAGCGGCCCAGTGGTCAGAGGATGCGACAGCAATACCCAGAGATGCTATAACGGTGTAGGGCAACGGAGACACCGGATAACATGACTTTCCGACAAAACAAAACGTTGCGAAAAACATACAATAACAGCATGTAGATAGGGACAAGCTAGATTGTACCACCCGCCGTCGCAAAAGCAGTGACCATGGCAACTGGATTGGCGGCTAATCCTGTCGACCCAATTCAGATTGCCAAACAGCAGCGGAATACAGTAGCTATACGACGCATCAGAAACATGTCATTGCGGAATCATGTTGCCTATGCAGTAATGCCATGCGGAACAACCTTCTGATCACCAAAGGGTAACAAGCTCAGTTTCGACAATATCTCAACCTCAACCCCGTCACGACGTTGCCCCTGCTCCGGTACCGTCCCTCAACCCTTATGTCAATAGTGCTTTCCACCATCACAACCGTAGTTAATGCGCGCCATGTACTTCCTACAATTGTAACATAAGCAGGAGCGACCGTGACCGTCAATGCGGCCGTGTCCGTCGCCTTTAACCAGCTCCATCACAGCACTCCCATTTAACAGTTGGCAAATCCTATTTTGAGGTTTTCAGTTGCGCCCAAGTACGTTGACCGCAGTTACCACAACTGCTAAGCCCGGCCTACCACAACAATTGCGTTTCTTACATCACGCTTACGGTCGCCGCTGCAGCTGCAACAACGCTTGCTACAGCTGCTGGCGTGGGTGATTGCCGCGGTCACAGCTCCAGTACCCTCTCCTTGCCGCGCCTGCCTCCTGCTGCCCCTCCCGCCGGCGCCGCCACGCGCACAAAGTCCGTGACTGGCTGCCTGCAGAAGGGGCACAGCAGCGGCCGGCTGCTCACCGCACGACACAGCTCCCCCGCACACACGCTGCAGATGCCGTGATGACACGTGGCGGGGGCGGCGGCCTCGGGACGAGCAAAACACACGCTGCAGATGCCGTCGTCCTCCGCGTCGTCGTCCACATCCTTTTGCTGCATGCCGACATCATCCTCGATCTCGTCCTCCAGCATGTTTAAGATGCGGAGGCTCGCTTGCCCACGGCCTTTGCCGGTGCCGCGGCCGCTGCCACCGCTGGGCCCTGGCGAGGGGATGCGTTTGCTGCCGCACGGCTGCCACATCGTGCATGGCAATGTTTCGTTTGAAGCCAGCGGTTCAAATCCAAGGGTCACCCCTGTGACGCTAAGCCGCATGCGGCCAGCTGTAGTTGGAGTTTGGGGGCAGCACGAGCTGCCATATGCTGTCACCTCTGGCATTCCAGATGGCAGCCCGGCGGCAGCAGCGGGCAAGTAAGACCGTGCCGTGCCGCAACTTGCTGGCGTTGCTGCGCTGGCAGCAGCAGCAGTAGTGTCGGTTTCTGGGCGGTATAGCGTCACGCAGGCAGGCCCGGAGCAGGAGCAGAAGCTGACGTTGCTATTTGCAGCACCGCTGCTGTATCCAGGTTCCAAGATGAGGCTTTCTTCGCCCAGAACCCCAAAGGGGTGTGGTTCGCTGGTGGCTGCTGTTAAGAACGGGGAATCCAGGGTTCCGGCATCGAGGGGGGTGACGAAGAAGCCGGATATGGTTGGGGCTTGCAGTGCAGATGGCATTGACGGCCGGGGCATGGCTGACGATGAGGGCGGTAGCGGCGGCCCTGCCGCTGGTATCATGCCACGCAAGGAGGCGCAGCGAAATCGGCTTGACTCGTCCAGCAAGTCCCTCTCAGCCTGACCGGCTGCACTCACGTAATAGCCCGTGACCGTAGCGGCACGACGTGAGCCCCGGCTGGCGACGGTAGCAGCGGCGGCGGCGGCGGCGGCGGCGGCGGCGGCGGCGGAGGAGGAGGAGGAGGAGTCCATTGTACGGCAGCCACTCAGGTGCCGTCGCGGCGGCACTGGTGCTGACGTCAGCACCCGCGCCGCCTCCGCCTCCGCTGCGGCCTTCCTCTCCGCCACCTCCACCGCCGCCAGCGACGCCAACAGCTTCTGCTTCAGCGCCGCCGCCGCTATTGCAGCCAGCGACGGCGGCCCAGCATCAGCCTGATAGTTGCTGTCACCATTGGAGCTGCTGCCGGTGCCTGTGGCACGGATTGGGACGGCAGGGGTGGCGGCGGTGCTGCCTCCAACCCCGGCTAGGATGCTGGGGGGCAGCGGCTGCGAGGGGTGCAAGGCCACCACCAGCTCCCGACCCAGCTCCGGATACCTTGGAAGTGCCAGCTGCCAGGGCTGCCGACCGGATGCTGTGCGGGTCAGGCGGGGGTCAGCTGTTGATGTGGCTGTTGCATGGCGCCCGAATCCCTGTGGATGGCGGTGGCGGAGACGAAGGGAGAGCGTGGAGGAGGTACATGGTGTAAGCGACCCACACCTATCAACCAATCTAGAAGACTGTAACATTCATGCGGGGAACGTACATATCTCAACGTATCTCCCACCTCGCGGCTCGCAAAGTGCAGCAGCAGCTCCCGAACAGCAACTGCATCGCCTCGTGCCGCCGCCAGATGCAGCGGCGTGGAATGCGGCTCGCACTCCTCCAGGCCGCTGACCCATGGGTCTTTGGGGCCGCTGTAGTAGCTGCAGTTACCGGCGGCACTTGTGGCGACATTGAGGTCCGGGTCATGCCGCAACAACTCCCGAAGCACCTCATGATGCCCATGGAGGATGGCGTAGTGCAGGGCGGTGAGTCCACGCAAGCAACGAGCGTTGATGAACCTGCGCAATGCACCCGGGCGGAAATGACATGTTATGCAGGAAAGGAAAGGGGAGGACGTTTTGCTGTTAGACGCATCAAAGGAGGACGAAACGTCACTGCAGGCCATGCAGGGCTCATCGTGGCCAGAGCGTGCCAATCTGCCAAAGGAATGCGGGCGAGCATGAAGGCTATACCTCGGACATGCATCGAGCGCCAGAGTGCGGGGCACACGTGCAGCATGGGACGGCTTATGTCATGCGTACGGCATCCTCTTATTTATTCTAAATTCTGTCATACCATGCGCCAGAGGGGACGCTCTCCAGCAGCGCTGCCACGCAGTCCGCTGACCCCGAGATGGCTGCGTAATGCAGGGCGGTACGGCAACCGCACAAGTCAACTGCCCAAACACTCGCACCCTGCACGGAGGGACGGGTTGGGATTCAGTCTTTGTCAACTGAAGGACTGCATGACGACATCTACAGCTGCGAAACCCGCAAAGCACGCAACAAAGAACCAAGCAATTCGTACACCGATAATTCCTTGACTGTTAGCGGCCCAAGCCCCATCGTGCAGCCGCCTTATGTCACTGTAACGCTACCTGCTCCAGAAGGAACTTCGCCAGATCCGGGCAGCAGGCAGCACAAGCCAGCATAATTGGGGTTTGGCCTGAGTAGCAGCAACAACAGCAACGGGAAACCCCGCAGAGCCTTCAGAGACGGGACAAGTGACCGCAAGCATTGCGCTTCGCACCAGGGCCACCCTTAGGAAAATAGTTGGTGGGGCCAGCGGCAGGTGTGAAGCATGCATGCCGCACCAGCCGTGACAACCGCACCTTCGTCTATTCAATTGTGACGCTTTGCCCAAAGTAATAGCTATACTTGATATAGCGTTGCTCACCATTCGAGTTGCACATGCTTGCTGCCAACCGAACACCTTCCCTAACACAGCCTGGCAGCGGAATTCCCATACGGCGGCAGTAGGGTTTCAGCGCCTCCCGTACAATAGGAGTGTCGCTCGCCGATAGGAATTCGAACATTTGCTGCACAACCTGTTGGCCCATGGGGATGCACGTGAAATCGAGCTTGTTGGGCATTACAAGGTTTGCCTCGGTCGTGCACGGGATGCCCAGTTAAGGAAGACAAAAGTAACGGGGTTGCCGTAAGCACAGTCAATTTAAGGCCCGACCCTTCGCCAGGGCCCAAGATAAATTCACACTGGCCGCACACACTGGCTGACCTGCAATTGCACTCTTTCGCAAGCGACGTGAAGCCATGTTTGCGCCCCTCCTCCAAGCAGGACTCGAAGCCCAGCGACGGGTTTGGACAGCAACCCAGGACTCTGAACAAGCTTGTCACGCACGCCGGCTTCGCTTTCGGTGCCTTGAAGTGGGCTGAGCGGTGAAACCGAGGCAACGAGACAAGAGGAACTGGCACCCATAGCAACCTATACTCATGAAAAGGTGTTAATATGCTTAGCTATGATTTTCTGCTGTGGTTAAAGCTGTAGTGAGGCTATCGGGCTTTATTGACGAAGGAAACCCTGTCCGCCATGACACCCTAGCAGATAGCTTTGCGGCTCAGGTTTACTGTTTTCTTTTGACGACAAATAATACGAATCCTTCCTTCTAATTGTTACTGCTTGAATGTGGTTGAGTGAAAAGTCGGCTACCAAGATACGGTGCTCCATAACCGAAAACGTAACCATGGGAATGAACTTCACAGCGAATTATACACTGTCCATAACTGCTGGTGAGTGGAGTGCAGGGCATGGATTGGTTGCGGACACGTAGAACTGGGACTGACGCGAAGGGGCGCCATCTCCTCAGCGCCCCGAAGCTTAAGTACTCTAATGCCATTGTTTTCGAAATATTGATTGCTCGAGAAGATAATGAGCCCTTATGGAAGGAAGTTAGGAAGCTGATGTTGGACAGTCATGCCCAGAATTGAGTCAAGCAAGCAAAGGCACACTATTTCAAAGAGACTTGTGCTAATATGAAGTTGTAAGAGAGAAACTCTTATGCGCGTAGAAGGCGAAGAGCCGTGCACGGAAGCTGGACGGGTCTGATCTATCCTTGAATGCACACGTACGGGAGCGAGAGACAGTTATACGTAATATACATGCCTGGTTTCTTGTAGAATTGTTGGCTTTTGTGGTCAGCCTAGGTCGCATGGACGAGCAAGCAAGCCATGAAATGTGTTGGCGACAGGCTGCCCCGTTTTAGACAGCGTAGACGTTAAGATGTACAGGGTTCGGATACGATGTTTGGTGCTGCAAAACCTTACTCATTGTCCATCATTGACCACTTCTGGCCTCGTTATAAGGTCGTTGGGCTCATGAGATTTCGTGGCATTCACTAGTAATGTACGAAATCGTGAGGAATGGTATGCATGCACACAGCACCCATGAACGAATTGCCGGTTAATAAATATGTATGCAAAATACGGAGAAGTGGCCTAATGGGTACTACAACAGGACCGGAGTATGCTGGCTTGCTCATAGCATGTTCACATGTGCAGATTGTTTTTGCTGCGTAGCAGACATTAGGAGTTGGAAAGATCATATACGCCTTCTCTTACACTTGCCTGCATGGAGGCGACATACTCTCTCTAGGCGGTTCGAATTGTGTCCAAACAAAAACGCAGCCTCAGACACGCGAACAAGCCCTACTAGGCGTGTAGGACAGCACAACTATCACCTAAAGACGGAGAAGAAACACGGCCTGCGGTATGACTTGCACAAGTTGCCCGACTTCGGTTTAATAATCCACAGTTCTGTTCCCACATCGACGTTGATCGACGCTTGACCAAACCCAAAGCGCAACAGCCCAACCGTACAAAACCCAAACCCTTAGATAGATCACCAACCGCGATAGATAACCAACCGCGGAGGCAACGTACGGCACTTAATTTTTGCCTCATCAGAGTTTCCGACTACTATTTAGGTTCACAACGAGCACCTAACCAAGAACCAACCCGTTCGTCAGCATCTCCTGCCAAGCGCACAAGTTGATGCATTCCGTAACATCCCACACCGTCCCACTGTATTGCGATGTATGAAAACCTACGCACATGCCAAACCAAGCCCAACCTCCAGGGCAGCCCAGCTTAGCAAAGCTAAGCAGGGAGCTCTCGTCGTGTAAGGTTGGCATTGCCCAACCTGCTAATAAACTGACAACAATACCTCGGGCCTAAGTGCCCGATGTGTAAAACCTCAGATTGCCTAGATACACATGCGCACTCTGGCGCAATTGACATCCCCACGGTCTTAGTAGTCGTACATTTAGTAAAGCCGTAAAGGCCGATGCGAACAACACACGTCAAAAGCTCTTCCACAGTTCCCTGCTTGCCCGCCCACATGTGCAAACGACGTCAAAAGGCGAGATGCGGGAATATTGTGACAGCTAAAATGCCGATGCCAAGGGCGGCTTGGACTTGCACACTAGTCGCCATAATCCAAAGAAATGGAGCATGTCTTTTGACGTACGCTGTGTCGTCCTGTTGCTGCTGTTCCTGCCTGTACTTGCAATCAAAATACCCCAGACTACTCGACAGAACACACAACCAAACGCGCGTAAAAGCTGGTCATCTTCTCCATTGCCGTCGTGCGTGCGCCCAAAACACGACAGACACACAAACACCGCCCGCATAATAATCGCCTAACACACATACAACAGAAGCACACATCAATACTCGGCACACACACACACGGTTTCCACTGTGACCACAACATCACAGCAGAGAGCGTTGTATCGAACAATGAACACATCACAATGAACACATCACGCTACCAAAACGCGCAAGGTCGGTCGGACTCGATGACAACGCAACGCACCAACCCCGCCTTCACGACAATCCCTCGCCTCAATCGTCCAAGCAAGACAGGAGATCGGCGTCAATGATCGCGCCTAGGCCCATGGTAAGCACCTCACCAAAGCCGCCATCACTGTACCCCCATCCGCTTCCGTACATCTGCTCCGTATCTACCGTTGGAGAGTACGACAGATGCGAGGCCGTAGCGCATCCGTACGAAGACCGAGGAGCAGCAGCCATCACATCATTTCCCATGACAGGAGCCACGCCCATAGACATAGACATCGGCTGCTGCTGCTGCATCGGTGCAACACCCATCAAACCCATACCCGCACCCATACCCATACCCATACCCATACCCGGGGCGTCGTTTTGCTGGTACATCACTAGCTGCGAAGACATCGCAGGGAAGTTCTCAATCACGTCGAAGCCGCTCGCACCGCTGCCGCCGGCGCTGCAGTTCCGGCTGGCAGTGCCGCTCTGCAGCATCTGCTGCCACCACTCGTCATCGTCCACGAGGGAGAACAAGGCGTCGTCGTCAGCGGGGATGTCAGCGGCGGCGGCGACGGAGACGTCTTGGAAATAGGCGGCGGCGGCGGCGGCGGCGGAGGCGGAGGGGTTGATGGTGGCGGCAGCGCTGGCGGAGCCGTTGGCGTTGTACGACTGCCAAGCAGTGGGGGCGGCGGTCGGGCCGCTGCTGCCGGCGTCGCTATAGCCGTAGCAGTTGGCGGAGGCGGTGGTCCCGTTCATGGAGTGGTTGGCGGAGGCGCCGGCGGTCGTCGTCGCCGTCGGGTACTGCATGTTGTACTGCAGGTTGCAGGGAACGGCGGCGGAGGCGGGAGCGCATACGTTGCGGGCGGCGAAGGCGCTGACGGCGTTGGCGGCGGAGACGGCGGCGACGGAGGCGGCGGCAGCAGCCGCGGCGGCTTGGGAGGTGGTGGTAGTGGTGGTGGTGGCGGCAGAGGCGCTGCCATACGTACCGTTGTACACATTCGCGTTCCATGCAGCGTCGTACTCACGGGTGTCGTACGGCTTGGCGGCGGAGGGGCTGTTGCGCACAGAGGTGGTACCGCTGTTGGTCGCAGGGGCAGTCGTCGTCGCGGGATGCCAGCAGAGTTCTGGGTGACCTGCGTTGGCTATGGAAAGGGAGGAGGGGTCTCAGAAAGAAAAGAGAACGAGAAGTTGTGCGGTAGTAAAAGTCAAGGCAATAGTCGGCACATGGACGGCACGACGGATGTTAATGAAGAGAGAGGATCAGAGAGAGACGGACGAGGACGAGGACAGGCGAGGTCGACAGACGACGGACTGAACAGGACAAGAGACAAAGACGAGGAATTGTAAATGTCAAATGGAAAATAGGTATAGGAGAGAGAGTTTGTATAGTCTTGGTCTGTAGTCTGGGAGGCGGTGGAGGGGTGGGGGAAGAGGCTTGGACCGTTGTCGGGATCTTGAGCCTGAATCGTACTCGATCTGCCGTACACCTGCCGTACTTGTCATCGCCGTACTTCCGTACTTGGACAATGGAAACTTCCTCCGCTCCAAGCTCTTGTGTCCGGTGCACTCGTGTGCGAGTGATTGCCGTGGGCTGGGTGCGTGTGTGGGGGACCATGAAATGCAGAGTGCGTGTGGGGCAATGCAGTGACAAGGCAACAGAGCAGGGGAAAGAGGGCAAGGGGCCAGGAAAAGAGAGGAGAGAGATTTGTATCTTGTTCTGTAGCGCGTCGTCCTTGGTGTTGTTGTCGAGCCGTCCGTCCGTTGAGCCTTGTCCTTGGGACCTGCAGCCAAGGGGCAAACTGGGGAAAGGGGGAAGGGGAGGGCAGGGAGGGAGGGAGCCCCGTCGCAGGGGAGCAGGTTTTAGGGGCATGTGTTGGGATAGAAAAAGATGGAGAGGGCACGCAGCTGCAAGCAAGAGCGTGGAAGGTCTGCTTAATAACAGGTGAGTAAGGGACATGGCGGTTGCTAAGAACACAAGCAAGCAACAAGGCAACAGGCAGGGTGCTAGGAGCTAAAGCCAATAAAGAATGGCTGCAGGTGCCAAATGCAATGCAAGGGAAGTCAATGAGCCAAGGTCTGCTTGCGCAGACGGGCAAATAGCACTGCAAGACAGCAGTTGAACAACAAACAAAAGGACAAGCACACCTCCATGTTTCCCGTGGCGTAAGCCCATGGCGCATGCCACACAATACAGTTACAGCACAGCTACGGTACATAAACAGGCTGTTCAGCAAAAACAAAAAATCCAACCGTAACCGCGCCCCAATCCGTCCCGTCCAACCTGCAGTGATGGCGCTCCAGTCGCTTCCGAGGCTTGAGTGACTAACAATCTCAGAGGCAGGGCGGCTCGAGGTGGCAGCGGCGCAAGGCTGCACGGCGGAGGTACGACCCGCAGGGTAGGCGGTGGCGGCGGCGGCGGTGGCGGGCTGGCGGGCCACCATGACTTGTTGTGGCTGTTGCTGTTGCTGCGGCAAGGCGAGAGGCTGCGGTTGAGGCTGGGGCTGCGGAGTCCGCCGTAACACCAGCCTTGGCCTTGGCCTCTGCTGCTGCTGCTGTTGTTGTGGCTGTTGCTGTTGTTGCATGTTGTACGGCAGACCGACAGAGCCGTCGCTGCCGGATTCCGAGGCGGCGTGCTGCACCTGCTGCTGCGGCGGCTGGTGGTAGAGGTTGGCGGCGGTGGTGGGGAGGGCGGCGGGAGATGGGGACCGGGCCGGCAGCTGCAGTTGCAAGTGTTGATACTGCTGGGGCTGGGGCTGGGGCTGCTCCTCAGGATGTTCCTCAGGGACAGAGGCATCCTCCTGCTCTTGTTGTTGTTGCTGCTGCTGTTGCTGCTCGAGCTCCCGCTGCTGCTTCTCGGCCTTGTAGGCGTTGCCCTTGCGGAGGAGGCGGCGGGCGGCACGGAGGGCGCGCTGGCGAACAGCGGGCTGGTCGGCGCGATCCTTCAGGACACGGACGTAGGTGCGCAGGACGGAGCGAGACTGAAGCTTCTTGGCGCGGAGGGTGCTGTGCCAGATGTTCTGCAAAAAGATAAAAAGAAGAAAGGAAAGGATTATAGAAGTTGCCAAGTTGGGAAAGATCGTTCAGCGCAAGGATACTAGAGGGTGAGGCACATATGCAAGCTGACAGTAAGCTTGATTGCATAATCTAAATAAGCATGGTTGCATGTTATCAGGATAGTATGCTAACATGGCACAAAGTAGCGGAAGAATGGGAGGGCCTGTGTCTCGAAAAATGGAGGGCTTCCAAACCCGACAAACGAGCCTAGTAGGAGATTAAGCAATCTCTACTAAGCACTAGTCTACTGAGGTCATTGCCTGGACTAAGCGATAGGCAAACGCTTGATACGAAGTCGCATGTAGATGCAAACCCCACCTTACGGGCACACGAATATCATAGCGCGCTTTTTAGCCACAGACGTAAATGGAACATACGTCTATTGACTTCAAGAGGTTAAGCGAAAGTGGGTTCACCTCTAGGACTGAGCATCGTCTCACCTTCACTTCCGCAGTCGTCCTGCCCGGGAGACACCCAGCAATGGCTGACCAGGCATTGCCAAGCGCGCAATGAGCTTCAACAAGGACCGCCTCTTCCTCACGCGTCCACCGAGGCCGAAGGCGGCGGCTCCTTGGAGGATGCGATGGCGAGCCCTCGTCCTCCACAGCCGAAGCTTGTCCACCACTTGTAAGGTGGACATCACTTACATCATCATTTTCGGAAAGCAGCTGGGGCTCCCCAGTTGCACAGTCCTCGCAGGGCTCGGACTCCTCGCGAAACCGCTTCACCATTCTTAGCTTGGTATCCCGAAGGAAACAAAACGCCCCGAGCTTTTAAGAGCCCTAGAACAAGGCCTTCCTTTGCGTAGGCTTCGGGCCAAGCAGAGGGCAAAGCAGGCTTGCTGGTAACAGCAGGCCGACGTTACTTTGTCGTAGTAAGGAAACTAGCTCCTTACCACAGCGCTACGCAATCGACTCTGGAAACAATAATGGCTTCTTATGAATAATTGCACACGCGCCGAGGGCACGTTCCGACTGAGGGTAGTGGAGCAGCTATGCTGACGCAGTCACTGCAAAGTAAAGGTGGTCTTGGACAGGTCTAGCTGAAGTTATTATTACTATATATACAAAGTAGGTGAGGTTATATAGGCTAGAGGAGTAGCGCGGCGTTATGAACTCGTACAACTTGTGGTGGACGATTACGGTAGTCCTAATAGCTAGACATTTACCGCAACTGATGTTACCATACAAAAGCCCGCTGCTTTCTCTATTATCTCAGCAAGGTTTCCGAAAGCAAAGCGATATGCGCGTTACGCGAGGATGGTGGGCGATGGCGGTTGGGGACTTTGGAGTTACTATCAAAAGGTCTGACACAACTGCCTTGTTTTGTAACATGGATGTTGTTGTTTGATGCAAGGAAGGTAGCAAAACGACCTAAAGCATCTTAGGGGGCATCGTCCTCGGATAACACACAAGTCCGGAACCCCGGCGTAGTTCCGAAAGGCTTTCAATGTCAATAAAAATACAGAAACCAGATCGTTGACATTATTCCTCCCTTACCTTTCGTTGTGCTCTTCTGAGAAAATGGCGACTGGCATGTACCGCATGCACGTATACATAGCGTCGCTTGAACTTGCTAACCCACCGCGAAACCACTATAGTGATGCAGCCTTTGTGCAGAACAACAATGACGGCATAGGCATCGGGCCTCTTGTCCAATACCTCCGGAAACCACATCCGGCAATGACCGACAGCTAGCCATGCGAGCCTTCCAGGGTCCGTGCTTGGACATCGTAAGCATTCATCACTTCATCGCAGCTACAGACGTGTCTTTATGTTACATGACAGCTCATTTGCAATGCGCTGTGGATTTAATTAGGGTCACGCTACCCGATTAAGCTATCTAACATGAAAGGTCAACATTATACCGCAGTGCGTAAACCAAGCCGTAGCATACGCCCATCATTTGTCACCATAACCTAGGCACCTCCATAGCCACAGGAGCGTGTTGCGTACACTGACGACCCCTACCTCAATGGAAGGCAGCATTGCGCTACCGCAGCTCAAACACAGCCCTGAGCTTCCCGGCCGCCCGGTACACCCTTTCCGCCTCTTAAGGCCAGATGGGATGGGCAATCTCTGCTGCACGAATGGCCCATCCCCTGGCACCACAACGAATGAGGCACTTGCGATGGTACTGCTCTCCGGGCGCACCTAGAACCCGGGTCATGCCCAACCAAAGCCCCCAACCCGGGCTTGCTCTGCTTGCTTCACGCCAACCATCAGCTGCAGTGCTGCTGAGTCATGGTCTTGGACCCGCATCACACCACGTGACGCCGCGTGGGGAATCTACATTACCTGGGTTGCGGCGTCCGGCTCACTCCCTCGCCACGCCTTGGCTACCTAATGCGGCGTGTGCTAGAAAACAAACAAGAGTGCTGTATGCTGCAGTGCGTACATCGCTACCGGGAACGTACTTCCCGCTACCACTATTGACCGCTAGGCTGCTAGGCTGCTATACCGCTAGGCTGCTATACCGCTAGGCCGCCAGGACTCTACCGCTGTTGTTATCGGGTTGAATCCGGAACTGCTCCACCACCCTGCCCCCGATGATGTGCTCCTGCAGGATGCGCTCGACCACCTCGGGCGTGCAGCTGTGGTAGTAGACCTGTGGGTGGGCAGCAGCAGTTGCCGGCTGAGGGTTAGGATGCATGTGTGGGGCTTGCGAGGGAGCGTTGTCGGCGGGGTAGGCCAGCTGCGGGGGGGGAGGGGGGCAGTTGGCCGCAGCCAGGGCTGTGCTGCTCTCTTAGGAGGATTTCCCTGCGTGCACCACCCAGCTGTTCCCCGTGTCTCCCTCGTACTCCCTCGTACTCTCTCCCCAATCAAAACGGCCTATCCGGTCATTTATGTGCCTCCCATGAAAGCTCCTCCTCCCTAAAGTACCGTACTGCTGGTATTCTCAGGGGTTCCCACTACTGGTTTCACCACTTGCTGCACCACCGGGGCTTTCCCAGCCACCGATGAGTGCATGGCGGCTCCGCCTCCTGCTGTGCCCCCTCACCCCCCTTACCGGTATGCCTGGCCCCCGCCCCCTGCCGCGCCTCAGGCCCCCTGCCTCCCCCCTTCCCCACGCCAGCGCACCTGGTCCGGGTAGACCACCGCGATGGGCCCCAGCGCGCACACCCGCAGGCAGTTGGCCTTGGTGCGCCACACGGGCACCTCGCCGCCCTCCAAACCCAGCTCCTGGGCGCGCGTAGCAGCAGCATGGCAGGCAGGCAGGCACCAAGGCGTCACATGTCATATGACAGCGTACGGACTGCTTCCACGACTTCTCCCGCTCTCATCATATCATCGGTGCAAGGGCATACATGGGTGACAAACACGCTTCTCTACAGTTCTGCTACCGGTACATTCATGGTCAGTGCACGTTCTGCAGAACACCCAGCTGCAAGAACACAGGCGGTTTGTTGGTCTTGAGAGTCCCTCCTGTTGTCCTCGTGCTTGCGCTTTGCCTTCCTGTAGCGTGTTACGTATATGGTAGCACAGCGGCCATGCAAGGGAAACGTGCGGAGTGCGCACCTTGACACGCTTCTTCAGGTAGTCCCAGCTGGCAATGCCGTCCGCCTGGCCGAGGAGAAGAAGAGACAAGGGAAGAAGAGATGGAGGACAGGAAGGAATGAACGCAACGCATTGCATTCTCAAAAGCAATGCCAATGGTTGTACATGCCCGCAGCCCTTCAGGAACTGTCAAGCCACAACAACCAACATGTGAATAGATGCAGTAGCCATGCACCAGTATCAGGAGCGGCAGGGATTGTTCGTGGCCCAAACTCCCATCAACAAGCTTTCCTAATGGCTACACAACCTGCCCCACAACCAGAACCCTGCCGCCGCACCCCACACCCGCACCCACAGCCCCCCGCCGCCCAGCCGTACCTTGCTACAGCACTTGGCATTTGTCTGGTCCGAGCACAGGAAGATGTGGCGGCCGGGCGTGTTGATGCGCAGGCTGGCGGCCATGCGTCGCATTGCTGCCTCGGACGAGCTTGGGGAGGAAGCGGCGCGTTGGGGTGGGGAGGAGGAAGAGCCCTCGGGTGGCGAGGATGGAGGCGGCGAGGATGGTGGCGGTGAGGAGGGTGTTCCCGATTCAGGGGAGGTTGTGCAGCATGTGGTAACCGAACGCCGGTGCAGCCGGGACTGGGTTGAGGGTGATGATAGCCGAAGCGGCGGCATGAGGACTGCTGCTGGGCATCCGGTTGGGGGCAACGCTAGTCGACTTTGTAAAGCCACCAAGCGGCGGCAAGCCTGCAGAGCCAAGCAGGGAAGTGTCTTTGGTTAGTTGAGGTTGCATTCTGCTACGGTTACGCCAATAATAGGAAATTATGTCTCTATGGGCCAGGGACAAGGACTGGGATGAACGACACTAACACCATGGTGACTGGGGAGGGTCGAGCAACAACGATTGCGGTGGGTTAGACCACCTTCCTGGTCTAGTTGTGTATGTACCAAACACGGCTGTGCACTTTACCTGGGTCGACCCGCTGCAGATGTGCATGCCGCTGAACGCCCTTACGAGGGACAAGGGTCCAAGGCGATGGTAACTCGAAAGCGTTATATGTAAGAGTATGTGACGCTTTTATATAAGAATACCCTGGATGAGCTCGTTCGTAAGCCTTGTCGGTCGCACAATAAATATTTCTGTAACCTGCGTAAGCCTAAACGCTACTCAAAGTTGATAATACTAAACCATAAGCGCATTCAGAGGTAAATGCAACGCCACAAGCTCGAGTGCAGCTGCTTTAGTAGTTAGGGTCCTTTTGCTTGCCGCTGAGGATTTGTCACATGCCTCCGTACACAGCTGCAATGGCCTTTGAGGCTTCAGTCCTTTTCAACCCTGCAAATTCAACCCATAGTTTGAATTGCTAGCAAAGGATACGGTGGTCTCTCACATGTTGGTACTTTTGTGGCAAACGTTTGCCGAATTCCACGCTGCAAGGCGTCACTTGCAAGCCACCTTACCAACGACCGCAAACTATGCGACCTCATCCCAGCTATGACTCACAGTTTCAACGCGCAAAACCCTCGCGCTGCGTCACGTACGTCCCACGGACCTAAGCCATCGCGCCCGGCGCCTCGCCATCCGCAGCGGAACACCCAGCAACCTCCAGCCAACGCTTCCTCACCCTCGCCAGCGCCTACAGCAAGGCCTCCGGAGCAAATCCGGCAACCGCAGTTACCTTCCCAAGGACGACGACCGTCTTCGCAGCAGCAGAAGCCATGGCATGCCCCACGCGCCCACACGCCCAATGGGGACGGTTCGTCGTTGGACCCTTCTCCGCCGGGTCACTCGGGGCCTTATCCCTCTAGCGTTGGCAGGAGCGGCAAAGGAGGCAACGGCAGGAGCCTGTGGAAACGTAGCGGTGAAGCGACAGCAGGAGGTGCAGCAAGTGAAGTAGCGGACACCGGCAACAGTAGGCAACTAGAAGCCCAGCAGCAGCGGTCAGGACAGCAGCCGCAGCGATTGGAGCAGCAGAATAATGAGGAGCAGCAGGAGGAGGGTCATTACAAGGCAGGCCAAGCTATGGTGGCGGCGGTTTCTGGGCCTGCCCCATTGACGGAGGAGTTGCGGCAGTTGGAGCGGCGGTACGGCGGATGTGAGTGCCGTGCTAGCGGAAGAAGGGTTGGTGGATTCGCGCGGACCTGGTATTCGTGCAGAGCGCCTCCTTCTGCATGCCGCGCTAAGCATCTTCCTGTCCCACGCATCTATCCTGATCTCAGTTACGCGTCTTCGCCTGTCCCAGCATTCCCCTAAGCCACATAAATCTTCCCGCCCACACTTCCCCTCAATGCCACAACCCTCGCCCCCCGCCACAGCTCGTCGCACTCGCTCCAGCTACCGCAGTCGCCAAGAGCGACTCGATCGCCGCGCGGCGCAGCGACGAGCGCTGTACGGCAGCCGCCATCGCGACGCGGATGTCCGGCTGCTTGCGTTACGTCGCGAGGCTGCGGCGGCGGGGACGCTGCGGCGGCGCGGCGGTTTCGCTGCTGACGATGCGTTGCCACGTCAGACGACCTGGTATAAATTGGCGGCGGGTTTGCGACGGGAGATACGTGAGTGCGTGTTTCCAGAAATCCCTGACCGCGAGTGCGTGCGGGGGATCTGGGCAGAACGGGGTTGGAGTTGGGAAGAGTGGAGGCGAGCAAGAGCCGCTGCTGACTGGTCTTCCTTTCGACCCAACATACCCCATACGCCCTTTCCACACCTGCCTTAGACCTCACCAAGCCTCCTCCCACCCCACTCCACCGCAGCACATACACCTTTTTACCCTACCCTACCCTCCAGTGTTTCCGCGGCTCAGTTAGCTGAATGCCCCTCCCTCATCTAGTTTGCCATTATCGTTCAACACCCTTGGGAGCTCTCCTTCTCCCCACCCTGCTCCTCCTCCTCCTCCTCCTCCTCCTCCTCCTCCTCCTCCGCTGCCACGCAGTACAGGAACGCTGCACCGCGCTGCAGGTTGCCGCGGGGCCGCCGCTGTCCGCCCCCGCAGCCGCCGCCATGTACCTGGCTGCTCCCGCGCTGCTGTGCGACATCAGCTTCGCAGTGGCAGCCAGGTTGAGGGCGCTGGCGGGGCGACTGGGGTGCGGAGTGGAGGGCGCGGCGGCGGCGGTGAGAGGCCTCACCGGGAGGGGGATCAAATTAGACCAAACCACAGGGAACCACGAATTACGGCAGAGTAATGGGAGTAATGGGAGTAATGGGAGGGGAGACAGGGCGCGGCGGGTAGGGGACAACAGGTGCGGGGTAACAGCAAGGCGCGCCACGGCCGCCAATGTCCGACAAGTACGAAGAAACGTTGCGAAAGTTACCGGTGCTTGTCTTTACGGCTCCTTGGCGGCCTGCGTTTGCCACAGGTTGCAGCGCGACCCGTGCTGTGTGAGGTCCGACCGGAGCAGTTGGAGGTACGGCTGCGCTGAGAGCGTGCTGTGCTGCTTCCCTGCTACTGATGTCTCACTTGCCTGCGAGGAGCGCCAAGGAGCCTGCCTGCCCGCCTGTCAGCACTCCCGCAACCCTCCCGGTTGCCAGTATTGTCTCCGCTTGTCTGATGTCCTGCATCCCCAAACCGGACCTGATGAGCCATCTATCCGTTACCCCACTGCCTAACCTCCACCACCTCACCATCTCTACCACCACCACTCCTAGGCTTGTGCTGCGGAGGTGGCGGTGTGGCAGGGTGGCTCGCTGCCCCTCCTGCTGACGCAGCAGCAGCTGGGCAGGGAGCCCTCCCTGGCGCTGCAAGGGCCCGCGGCCATCACCACAAGGTATGGTATGCTGTGTACGCATGCACGCGGGTCGTCCGTCTGCCGTCCCGCACACACGCCCTCGCACTCCAGCTGCATTGCTCCTTACCCCGTACCGCAACTGGTAAGACCCCATTAGCCCGCCAACCACACCGCTTCTCGGCATGCATGCATGCGAACAATAACGCCCTGTGCCCGCCTGCCTTCATGTGTTTCGCAAGCTTGCAAGGTGAAACCCACCCACCCACCTGCCTGGCTGGCTGCTTGGATGGTTGGTTGGTTTCGGTTCGCCACTGCCCATGGGAGGCCATACTGACGATGTTGCTCTGTGTGCCTCCCAGGTGTCAAGCGCTATCCGACGCGCTGTCGCTGTCCCGCCCCGCCGCCTTTCAGCTGCTGCTTCAGCAGCCCAGGCTCATGGCCAATGACCCACGGGTCATTCCGGCCAGAGCCGCAGCAGCGGTGCGCATAGTACGGCAGGCAGAAGCGGCAGCTGGTGCCCCCATGGCCGTGCCGCCTAGCCTGCTGCTCTGTACGGAGGAACAGGTACGACAAGGATCGTCGCACGATCCTTAAATTCCTTATACAACGCTCTTATACGGGTTATAACGTTCATCTGGGTGCCCCGGCTCCCCCTTTGAGTCCCTTGTGTGTTGACTGCTTGGCCTGATTCACTCTCGGCCTGATGCACTCTCGCCGTTTTGACGCCCTGCTTCCAGCCCTGCGAAGGCCACTTAAGTCCCAACGTCTATCCCTCCATTCCTTCCCTCCATCCCTCCCTACCCCAAGCTGACCGCCTGCCAGGCCCTGCTGCAGCAGCTGCTGTGCCTGGGGGGCCCCTTCGCCGCCACCGCCCTGCTAGCCCGGCAACCCGCTCTCGCGCTGCGCCCGCCAGCCGCCATCCGAGCAGCCCTCCACTTCCTCACCTCGCAGCTGCCCGCACCAACCCCTGCTGCGGCATCAGCGGAGCAAGGGGCAGCGGAAACAGCAGCAGCAGCAGCAGCGGGACCGCTGTCCGGAGCACGGGAAATCCCGAGGGGCCCGCCGGCGCCGCTGCCCGTGTCCCGAATCGTATCAACTCGGCCTGGGAGCCCCTTGACTTCATGGCGACGGCTGCAGCCGCGGGATCAGCAGGGGATCCATGAGGGGCCACAGCAAGGACTGGAGGACTGCAGCGGACATCAGGAGCAGGAGCAGAAGAAGGAACACCAGCGGGAGCAGCAGCAGAAGCAGAAGCAACTACTGCCGCCGCCTCATGTACAGCAGTTGGTACGACAATGTCCTTCCGTACTGCTCCTAGAACCCCGCCGTGCTGCTGCCGTACTAGACTGCCTCTCGGCTGTCCTGGAGGCAGCGACGGAAGAAGCGTACGGCACCGCATGTACGGCATCTCCGTACGACATGGGCGGCAGCCGTACGGCAGCGGAACCGTACAGGTCGCGGGAAGGAGCATCGCTTGACACCGCGCCGGGAACGTTCAAAGCAACAGGGGGGAAGACAGAGGCGGTAACGGCAGCAGCAGCACGGGCTCGTGAGATGGCAGCTGGGCTGATTCGAGCTGCGCCTCGGTTGCTGTTGTGTCGGCTGTTGACGCCGGGCTGGGTGGTTGCTGGCGGGTCCGCAGCGGCAGGGGGATCTGCTGTGGTGAAAAGGAGGAAGAAGAAGGAGGAGGAGGAGGAGCTGCAGAGGATGCCACTGAGTGCCGCTGAGCGGCAGATGAGTCTGATGGCCTGGGTGAAGGTAAGGAGGGGGCTTTTGCGGGCTGTATCGTACGGTGCTGTCTGCTGTGTTGCTGCCGGGAAGTTCACTTGGTAGTAGCACTTGCTGTAACAAACAAGCGGCTCTTAACAGCGTAACTTTCTTTATACCACAGTTAATAGACGCGGCTCATCGGAAGCGATCGCTTGACTCGCTGTCTGTGGCGTCTGATGACCCCGACTGGCCTCGGCCGCTGGTGCGAAATCCCCTTGAGGACGAGGAGGAAGCTGAGGATGAGGAGGAGGAAGAAGATGACTGCGATGATACAGACCCAGGGGGAAGCGACGGCGATGCCGACGGCGACGGTGATGATGGTGATGATGACGATGGCTGGAATGGTGACGGCGGCGGCGGTGTTGCTATGGCACCTGCCGCAGGCAGGCCTCAGCGGCCCCGCCGTGTCCCTGCCAAGTACAGGAACGGCGTGAAGGAGGAGGAGGAGGAGGCCGCCGCCGCTGCGACGGCGGAACTCCTGGCGGCGGCGGCGGCCGTCGGCGCCGCGGCTCCCGTACCTTTGGATCTCGCCGTACGGGAGTCGGAGCTTCTGGAGCTGCTAAGCCTGGAGGACCTGGCGGCGGCAGCTGCGCCGACAGCAGCACCGGCGACAGCGGCAGCGGAGGCGGGATCTGCCGCACAGGGGCGCCACTTGGGGACAGGTACGGGGTTCGGAGGAAGCAGCTGGCTGCACCAGCGACAGCAGCAGCGGCGGCGGCGGAGACAGATCCGCTGTTGGCTCTGGATGCATGTAATCGTGGCGGCGCCGGAGCTGCTGTTGTCGCCGTACAAGCAGTTGGCTGCGACGGTTGATACATTGTGCAGTTGGTTTGCCGTACCGTCGGAAGCGCTGGTGCGGTACCTCTTGCCGTACACCGCCATCGCCCCGTTGGACGTGGCGCCGCAGTCGCCAGTGGCGGAGACGTCAAGAGCTTCTTCACCGCGTTTGCCGGTGTCACACGTGATCTTGCTGACCCATGGGTCAGAGCAGCTCCAACGCGCCGGCTACAAGGTTTGGAACTGGCTTGGCGGCGGCGCGGTGGCGGCGGCGGCTGACGTCGCCGCGGTACTGCGGGCCTTGCCAGGACTGTTGTACGACGAGGTGACGTTACGGCAATGTACGAACGTGTTGCATGCGGCTTTGCTGGATGCTGGCGAAACCTGCAGCGGCGGACTGGAAGCACCGTTAGCTGCCGTACTGTCTCCAGTTGCTGCAGCCCTGCTGCTCCGTCATCCCGCCGAGGTGCTGAGTCAGCCAGTGCTGCGACTGCTGGAGAAGCCGGCGCGGCCGATGACGTCAGCGTTGACGTCGGCCCGCGCGTCAGCAACACCCAACCAGATAACGGTGCAGGGGCCGCCGCCGGACGCTGACGGAGTTTCCTCTGAGATCGCAGCTGCTGTGGAAACAGCGGAGGCAACGGAGGTTCCTGGCGTTGCACGGCGGCCAGGCGGGGACGGTATGGGTAGCTGGAGCAGCAGCAGTAGCAGCAGCAGCGGTACCCGGCTGGGTGGGGCGGTGGGGCGTCTTGCTGCGTTGCTGGGAGTGGGCAGGCCTGCAGCGGCGGCGGTGGTGCTGGTGACGCGGGGGCAGGCGGCGGAGCTTGCGGAGGAGCTGTCGGCTGAGGCGGAGGGGTGCGTCGCCAGGGTAAGTTTGACCGAAGTTTGAGCGTCTCTGCCGCTGCTCGCTATGCACTAGAAGCCGTGTGCGCTCTGGCTCTTATGCTCTAAGAAGCCATGTAGGGCTTTGAACGTCGTGATTAAAATACGGCACCGTCCCATTCTTTCCCGACGTCCCGACACTTGCCCTCCGAATCGCCTACGTGCACAGGCCATGTCTATCATCCGTAACGGAGGGGGCCTCTGGAGTCGGGAGCTGCGGCGATACTTGTACGGCAGTACCTCTTCAGCTCCTTCCGCCGAGCGCTACAGCTACAACCTGTCGTACGGCGGTGATGGCGGCAGAAGTGGTGGCATGGGTGGTGGTGGTGATGAGAACCTGGATGCGGTTTCAGCATCAGCGGAGGAGCTGTTGGTCGTTGTACGGCACTGGCGGCATGTGGAGCGGTTGGAGGCTTTGGACGCTGCAGGTACGTTCTCTTGGCGTCCGTCGCCAGGATGACTGGACTTTGCGCCTCCTGCTTGCGTCTTACAGCAAACGCCGCACACAGTGTTATTAGCCGCCCCTGCTGTTGCATTTGCCGCAGTGACAACGGGGCTTGCCACACGTCAATCTTTGTGCGGTACCGTAACAGCACTACATGCTTGTGCACGCTCTTAACTGCAGGTCTCCGGGATGCCATGAGCTACGTGACGGCGCTGCAGCTGCCGCCCAGCCAGTGGAGGGAGGTGCAGGCGCGCATGACGCCATCACCTCCACTGCCGCCTGCAGGTTCGCAGCCAGGCGTCCGGCGGGGCTGAGTGGGGCGGATTAAGGGTTGGCCTGGTTCCATCACGAGGATGTAAACAGGGGGATGTAGCGAATGTAGCAAAGGGGGAGCAGGATGTGCATGTTTGGCATTCGCGCTTATATTAGGAGTGTACGCTTGCAGGGTCTGAAGTTCACGGTGACATGTGATTTGTACACGCTGGCTGTAGGTACCGGTAGCAGGGTTGTGCACGAAGCAGAGCTAGTGGATTCCCGTGTAAAGACTGGACTTAGACACAGCTTTTCCTATGCCAAGCCATACGGACAGAACGCCCATATGAGGGCAAACCCTACTAAAGGATACCCCTACCAGGGGCGCATCCTGCGCCACCCAGCCATGTGGATAGCTCAACAACAGGAGTCCCTTAACTGCTGCCATATCGTCTTCATACCCAAATCATACGTCTTTAAGCGCCATCAACAAGCCAAGCGTTGTAACACACTATGAATCACACACCACCACGACCGTGCGAATCCTCATGTCAAACCGTCAGCATTCGGTAGCGGCTGCTCTAACGGCACATCCACGACTAGGGCAGAATCCAGTCAGTTGTTCATGTCTCCTAGGGTTGGGTTAGGTCAGATGCGACCAGCGACAAACACATGTCCTGCGACTTCATTAAGATGCCAGGCGCCACCATATCTAGGCCCAAGGCCTGCACCAAGAGCAACCCCACACATTCCCTGCGACAATGCCGATCCAACCCCATGGGCTGCCATGACCCATGAGTCACGCATCCATAAGCGTCCAGCCACACATCTAGCGAAATAAGCGCGGGCTTTGGCCATGCAACTCTTACACTTGCAAACAATCAACGTTACGCCACAAGGCCCCTGGGGCAGGCAACCCTAGCAAGGAAGTGCAAACCGTGTTTCCGCGCACATGCGACTCTGCCACACTTGGGGCTCCGCTTACAGAATTATGCAGCTTTCAAAGCTGTTCCAAATATCCATCGCATCACTCAGCAACCACCCAGCCCCCTTACTCACCACTTCGCACCAAAACCACCTAATTCCAACTACCAAGCCATCAGCTGGATGTCAGACCAAGTACACAGCCCCTCCCCTAGGTGAAAGACCAATGCAATAAAAAGCAGGCAAACAGCCTGTCTCCATGCTTTGCGTCAGCCGCATGCTAGGCGTTGCTCAAACCATGCCCCTCCAAACCAGTACACTATATGCCCCTCCACGGCCGCCACGACGACATTGCGGCTGAGTGACAATGCGGCTGACAGTGCTTCGAGGCCCCTGCGCGGCCATAAAATCCTCCACTGTCGCAACACAACACGGCCATCCGTTAGGGGCCGTTATGGACTGCGCCGACTGCAAAGGCTGGCGCCCCCGCCGCCGCTCATACCGCTGTCGCCAGCGTCGTGGGCAGGGCTGGCGCTGAGAATATGCTCATGAAGCCCTGCTGCGTCTGCGGTTCGTGTGTGATGACATGGGTGGGAAAACCGTTAGGGTAGTGGTTATGAGTTGCAGGAGGCATGAAGTACCCGTTACGGCAATGCTGTAGGTTGCACAACCGTCTGGTGTCTACACATGGGTAGCCCCCAGTGCCGGTTCACCCTTGCTATACATGACCAGCAGGTTCGCAAAGGACTTCCCCCTTACCTCGCCCTCGTCAATGAACAAGTTGTCGGGCTCGCGGAAAGCGCCGTGCAAGGCGATAACCGCGAGGCTAAGGCTGAGAGCCGAGAAGAAGACGGCTCCCACGCTGCACGGCAAAGAGAAGCATTATCACAAGCTAAAGCCTGTGCTGGTGCACTTCAGTGCCAAGGGACTGCCAAAAGCTTCATGGGTATTTAAGCTGCTAAACTCACCTGGTCAGAAAGAAGATTGTAACGAATGAAACAGCGGACATGCCAAGCAGCTTCTCCCGCTCGCTGCACGGTCGACATGGAAACATTGGTATGTTATATTGTATATTGCTGTAAATTGCCCGTCAAATCGCTGAGAACGGTCTTGTATTCTACCTGAGGGTACGCCCTCCCAACTGCAGTGGTGTTGTCCGGATACAGAACACGTACACCCAGCTTGCTCCCAGCATCGCCAGCACCAGCAAAGACGAGGGGTGCATAATGAACGTAAGGGCCGTGGTGAGCACCATCATGATCAAGTAGTTGACCTTGAAGTAGTTCGCATTCTTTCGCAACCGCGATGTCGCCTACGTCGCCAATACAGCCAATTAGACATGCTTGCCTGGACGCTAAACCGGGCTTTGCGTGCCAAGCAACAGCGAAGTAGGCAGCGCACCTCAGCGAAGCTGCTGGGCTTTGATAGCGCATTCTTGTCAATAAGCTCGCTCCAGGGCTTGCCCTGCATCCATAGAGTAAGCTTTGAGTGCATCGCTTTCTCCTCTTTGCGTTCTGGAGCTGCTGCCCAACCTGCTTGACAATGTTGGCTGCATAGTCCTTAAGACGTGTTGCTATCACGACCGGAACACTAAGGCCTATGGTAGGAGACGCAACGCTGGTCGGCGCAACTGCGCCAGGTTGAGCCATTCTGGCGTTTACAATGAAACTGGAAGTTTCAAAAGCAACGTTTTTCACTAGCCTGAATAACAACTGGTATTCATACAATGCACTGCTGAGAAAAACCTCTGTAGCTTTGCGCGTATGCAATTGGCCAGGCAGTCCAAAATGCTTTGAACGGTTCCGTACAGCCCTTCACAGAAGCAGATGACCCGCGCGTGCCAAGACTTTTAGGCAGCCTTTGTACTGATTTGGGCTGCAAGAAAACAAGTGTTGCAGTCCTCGGGATATCAGGTCCGTTGCGCTTTCTACGCGTGTGCCAAGGGAAGCTGGACAGCCGAATTGGGTCACACGTTTACCACCCTCGCAGCAACGCGAGTAACGCATTGTAGCCTTTGGTGGCCTCTAAGGTTGCAATGCCGTAGGAAGTTAGGGGACTAATCATGGGCTACGAACGAAGGGGAACCATGCACGCTGGCGCACTCCCATTGCCTTTAGCCAAGCTGAGGTCGAGCCGCTTTCCTCTGCCAACGGGTATGCCCATTACGAAATTACAGGGGGCTGCTCTCTTTATTTCTTATGGATACAGAGGCCGTGTATCATGCATTGGGGTGAGCCACTAGCTGCAAGGCGGTGGGGAAGGTCATCTGCCGGCTCCACCCCTGCATAGGCTGTACCCCTTCTACGAGCTGCAGATCCAAAGTACCTACCTTGAGCTCCCACCAGAGCTTCCCTGGGCATCCTAACGATGGCCAAAGACATGACGTGTTGTCTTGTTGACATTCGCGCATCACTCGGTCGCTTCCTGCTCAAAGGCATGCACATCAATAGATGATCCTGGGTAGGGAACCCCTAACCGCGTTTATGCGGCGGCGCCCTTGAGTGCACGTGGCTTGGGCTTCTCTCACCGCTGTTATCCTTCCCTTGCACCCATGATGGTAAGTATGCCACTATACATGGGACTCTCAATGACTTAAGTGCAACGCAGAACCCTATGCGCTGACAAGTGCGCTCCATCAGTCGTCAACTGTCGTACGTGTCCACAAGGATTAGTCAAGATTGTTTGCAGCAGCAGGAGCTGCATTAGGAGTATATGACAATGCACACCTTGCACACAGAAATAGCTAAATGCCCAGGTAATATGATATAGACGCTTGCTTGGATAGGAGCAGACCGCGACGTTTGTCGCCGGCAAGCCAACGCAGTCCCGTCTTACAACAGTCGTCCATAATTAGGTAGTCTTTTGTTTTTTTGCCTGGCTAGGCCTGCTTCCCCGTTATTTGGAACGGCGCGCCAGACCAACGCTTTCCATGCACAATCACGACACTAGTCGACGACGTAACTGACGCGAGCAAGTCCTAACAAGCCATGATACTTAGCGGCTCATGGATAAAGCCGTCGCCGTCAGGGCAACACCGCCAAGCAGCGGCGCGACAAGGATGCAAGCCATCATCAGCGGCCAATCTCGTGCGCCGCAGCCTGAACCGCAGCAATGCCGCTACCACCCAAGCAATCATCTCTATTATGAACCAAGCAGATAGCAACCAGGAAGCACCTGCGAGCAGTAAGTCCTGCAACCTGGGCATCCCCGTCCAATGCCAGCATGGACGGGGACAAGGCCTCCCTTGTGGCCTCTTTTCCAACCTTTCAACCTCCCAAATCCCCAGGCCCAGACGCCGACCCCGCCTCACACGCGATGGCTCTCTGCCGGGTGTTGGGTGTCTCCCAGCCGCAGCTGCTGTCCATGGCGCGCAGCTGTCCATACATCTTCGCGCTCAGCCCCGAAGCTCTGTCAGCCACGCTGAGTGCCTTGACAACACTCACCGGACTGCAGGTGCGGTTTGTGGTTAACTGATCGCTTTGCAACCACATTGCATGTATCGCTTGGCTTATGTGTATGGCGTGTAGATATGCAGCCTGTGTGGTGCCTTCTGATGTTATGAATCCAACTCGACCGCAGCATCCGGCGCCCCATGGCCTTTGCTTGTGGGCAAGCCGGCACGAAAGCTGCCCCGTACCCGGCCCAGCAACGTTACGCCGCTTCCCCGCGTTCTTGACTCGTTGCTGCACATATCATTTATCTTTCCCCCTCACTTATCATTTTTCCCTCTCCCCCTCCCTCCTCCCCCCCTTGTGGTTTCCTATGGTTTGGTATGGTCATTTGAACCCCCCTGGGTGCCTCAGCCCCACCAGCTTCCCTCCCTGGCGGCTGCCGACCCCGCGCTGCTGCTGCAGCCCGACCGACTTAAACACAACATGCGGGGGCTGGCGGAGGTGAGGGCGGGCGGGCAGAGGGGGACGGAGGGCGGGGGCAGAAGGAGAGGGTAGAGGGTGACAGTAGGAAAGAGGCTAAGCGGCATGTCGCTGGCTGGGGCCAGGGAGGGGCGGATAGGGGTTAGGAGTGGGCGTCCCGGTTACTCCTTCCTGGGTCTCTGGTGCTGGGCATGCTCTACGTCCTAACCCGTATCCCTGCCTGCCTCTCCCTCCCTGCCTGCCTCTCCCTGCCTGCCTGCCCGCTCGTCACCCTGTCATGATAAGTCACGCAATGCCATGCAATGTCATGCCATGCCACCCTGTCATGCCATGCAACGTCATGCCAGGTGTTGGGGGTGAGCGAGGGCCAGGTGGGCCTGATGGCGGGTCGGGAGCCCGCTGTGCTGGCGCTGAGTGGGGAGCAGGTGGCGGCGCGGCTGGGGGGGCTGCGGGAGGCGTTTCAGGTGGGAAGGGGCGGGGGTAAAGATGAAACAACTAACGGATCGTGTGACTACGGGGGAGGGACTGAGCTAGGCGGGGCAGGGCTGGGGAGGGATCCCCCTCCTCTGTGCGCTGCCCGCTCTCTGCTTCACCCAAACCAAATCCCCTGCACCCGTCGAGGCATCAGGCTACCAAGCAACCCCTGTCCACCCGTGCCCTCCTCGCCCCATCCCGCAAATCCCCCCCACCCCCCACCCCCCACCCCAGCCTGCCCCCCACGACGCGGTGGTGTCGGAAGTGCTTCGTTCGCCCGCCCGCCTGCTGCTGCCGGAGCCGGGGGAGCTGCAGGGGCAGATGCAGGTGGGAGAGGGGGGGCGGGGCGTGCCGCGTCTCCCAGTTTCCTGCCCCCTTCTCCCGATGCCTCTCATGCGCTCATGTCACGAACCCCGCCCCGCTCCCCCCTCCCATGTTGCCCGCTCCCCACCGCAGGCGCTGGAATCCGCACTGGCCTGCCTGCCCGCTGGCAACTGGACCCCCACCCAGCAATCCCTCACCGCAACCCCCAACGCAAAAGAGGCCCCACAACCGTCACCGTCACCGCCAACACAGCCTCCATCACCGCCACCAACAACACCCCCTCCATCATCAACCCAACAGCAACCTCAAGCCGCGACCCAAACCCAGACAAGTCCCCACCAAACCACCCACCACCAGCAGCAGCCCCCCCACCCGCCCTACCCCGCCATCCGGCGCCTGCTCGCCCCGCTGCTGCTGCGCCGCCCCTCCCTCCTCACCACCGACCCCACCACCCTCGCGTCCAGAGTCCAACACATCGCCTGCAGGGCCGGCGTCACCCCCGATCGAGTCCTGGCGGCTGCACCCACAGAGCCCAACCTGCTGGCCATCTCCTCAACCGATTTTGACGGCCTGTGCGCGCGCATTGCGGAGGAAATACGACCCGTGGGTCGGTCCTCGTTGACGAGCGCGGTTAGCGCACCCGCGCTGCGTAGGGGGTTAACCGCTGCAGCCCCAGCTTCCCCTGCATCGTCATTACCACAAACAACAGCAACACCAACAGCAACAGGAGCAGCAACGTCAACAGCAGCAGCAGCAACAGAATTGATACCGTCCTCAGCGACGGCAGCACCCAGGTCCGCCAGCAGTACCCCCCCACCCGGCCCTGACCTCAGCCACCCCGGCAGTGGTCTGGGCCTGGGCATGAGCCTGGGCCTCTCCCGGGTGACCTGCTACCCGGAACCGCACCGCAGCAGCAGCAGCAGCAGCCGCATGGGGGGCCCTCCGGGGTCGGAAGGCGACGGAGCCAGCAGCGCCGCTAGCACATCCGCCCCGGCTGCTGCTGTTCCTGCTGCTGCTGCTGCTGCAGAGATGGCGCAGCAGGAGCGGCACCGGCAACAGCTACAGGCGGGTTACCTAGACGGGGCAGCAGCAGGGGCAGGGGCAGCTGTACCGCCTCCGCCTCCCGAGTGTGAGGCCGCTGCTCTGCTGGTGGCTGCCCCCGCGCTCATGTCCCAGACCCCGGCAGCCCTGGGCACTCGCTGGCGCACCCTGCAGAGCATCTGCCTAACCGCCAGCAGCAGCAGCAGCAGTATCGGTACCGCCAGCAGCAGTATTGGTACCAGTAGCAGCAAGCCAATGGTGGCTAATCATGAAAGCAGCAGCAGCAGTAGCAGCGGGTGCGCTAGCAGGGATAGCGACAGTAGCGAAGACGATGATGAGGATGAAGACGAGGAAGAGGACACACACAGCAACAATACCGGTCGTGAAAGCGATGATGAGCACAGTGACGAGGAATCTTCATCATCAACGCCATTGGCAGCTACTGTTGTCAGTTGGGAACAGCGGTTGGCCAATCTAACGGTTTCGGAGCGAGCGGAGCTGTTAGCGTTGTCGTACGGATCCATGGCTCGGTTGCGGTTTCTGGTTGATTTCGGGTTGCAGGACGAGGTGGACCTGTTGGAGGTGGTGCGGACCCCTGGGTCGGTTTTCGCGGCGCAATATCCGGCCTTCATTGACTGGTTGAGGAAGCCGTGAAGGAGTTAGCGAGGGAGGAAGGAAGAAGGGAGTGAGGAAGGAAGAATGGAGTTGTTGTGGAGTGGTTGTTGGAGGGGTTGGGGGAGGCGCATACTCACTGCACGGCAGATGCAGCTGTGCGTTGTTTCCTGTATTCTGAACTGATTAAGAAGGTGCTTTGAGATGTGCTATGACCCTATGAGTGACTGCTACAATGGTAATATGTGACATGGCTCTACAACGTCATCGGAGGGGCGGCCTGTGCTGCCTGAACGTATGTCCTCAACTGGGGAGGTAAAGAGGAAACAACTAACTGACTGAGGGATAAGGCGTCAACATGGGTTGCAACATGTGAGCCAGCCCGACCCGCCCAACCCGAATTAGTGAAGCCAGTAGGGGGGGGGGGGTCATTTGCAGGTGCTTGTGCAGATGCACGGTGCGTGTGTGGAGGTGGCTCAGCGGTGTGTTTCAAACCCATGGATGCCTGTACAACGCATCTCTCATCTTGCATGGGCGTCCTCCTCCAACTAACGGTAAATGTTGCCGTACGCAACACAACCGCCCGCCCAAGGTATTGCACAGTGTGGGCCATTGCACCTCTCTGCAACTCCCTCTCACGCACCCGCCACTGTTCACCTGTACCTCGTACAATTGTTGCAACGGGCGTTGTCCTCAAGAAGCGCGCGCGGTTCACCTGACCTGATTCAATAGCCGCCTAGTCCGCGCACAAATCGCCCCGTGTCTTTGTGTTACTGGTGGGACCCCACATGCGCTGCCATGCCACAACCACCCCGCTGCCAGCACTGCTGCGGCTGGTGTTGCTGGAAACCTAGACCTACCAGCTGCTAGCTGCGCACGCAACCAAGCGAGCAGCCGAGTACCTGTTCCTGGTAGTCGCAAACTGTACTGTTCCTCGTCATACCTATTACTGCCTCACCCCAGTCCACGGGGCACCGAATCATTACGTTACGCGGCAGCGCCCAGAAGAGCTGATCCCCTTTGGGCGGAAGCAGCGTATCGTGAGTTCATTGCGATATGCGGTATGTAACTATGGCACAAGCATGCAGCCGTGAGGTCACCGACGGATGGGAATGGGTCTAATGACTAATGCGCGTCCTGAGGGGGCAGTCAACAGGCCCGGCTGTAGCCCCGGGAAGATGTGAGCTTTGTGAATGCCACCATCCACCATAAGTTAAAGGTGCCTGGTTGCACCAAATGCATGGTTCCCAGGGACAATGGCTCCGCAGCAGACGGCTCCCTATTTACTATTTTGTGCCCACTAAGGAATGCCTGCTCCTCATTATTACTGTAATGTGTGACTCTTAGAAAGCTTTTTATGTGACGCTGAGCAGTATGGCGGACGGCGGGGGCTTCTGCCAGGCAAGCTGCTGCGAATCATGCGGCAGCCTCAGCTTCAGCTCCGAGTGGATGCAAGCGTTCGGAGTTGCTCTGTGTCATCAGTGCAAGCGGGGTGAGGCGCTCATATCAAAGGCAAGTGCCGATGATGCGGTGTTGCAATGTTGAACTCACGTACCCCAAAAAACCTACAAACTTGTATGAACATGTTAACCTCTTACATGCAGGGCAACGCGATGACTCTATACTGTCTAACAGAGAAGGATTTGCGCGGCTTGGGCTGCCTGACAAAGGTAGCCGCTTTGCGCCATCTTGGCCTTTGTTTTCCGATGGCCCCAGCTCCCCCAGGGTTGCTCATTCCAGACCCCTCTCTGTCCTACACCAACTTCAGGAGAATCCCCAGAAGAAGAACTGGAGCGCCATGAAGCTCTACCTGCGCGCGCAGGTGGGTCATGTCGCTTGCAACGTTGCAATGTAAGGTGGTGGAGCAGCACCATGCCACACCCGGTTGCTTCTAGGCCCGCATCGTTGCTCTTTGCACGCACCGTCTTCGTTTCCCCAACACCCTTCCCTCCTTGCCCCTCCCTCCCCCCTTTCTGTTTTCTAACGATTGTTTTGCCCCAACTTGTGGATTCCCTATGGTTCGGGATAATCTTTGTCCCCCGCTCTGATGCCCTCCTCCCAGGTTGAGGAGCGGGCGCGGCGCAAGTACGGGGACCTGGAGGCGGCTCGGCAGCTGCGGCACGACAAGGCGCAGGTGCGGCTGCTGGAGGGGGGGGGGGAGATAAACGAAGAGTGAAGCAACGGAGTCCCAATCCCATCGACAATGAGTTAATACGGAGACACTATCCTGGAAGCACGCAACTCAGAGGCTTACCGAATGAAGGGCGGCTGCTGTGGGGGTTGGCTGCTGGCGAGGGCGTGGCGGGGACCACTGAGGGAGGAAACAGGAAAGGGACTACACATTACGGGAATGGGCACCGTTAAGGGAGCAGCTAAAGCGGTTGGGATAGGCGAGCCGCTTGGTGAGCTGCATGTTGGAAGGGGAGCTTGCGGAGACCCTGCTTTACCGCTGTTCTTGGTGTGGTGGCGGTGGTGGTCCCCTGGCGAGATGCAAGTGCGGGTACGGAGGTCCCCTTCGCTGACCTTCCGCCCCACCTCCATCCCCGCACGCTCGCAAGCCTGTGACGCTTGACGGCATGACCCCTGTGACACTGTTTTTGCAGTACGTTCCGACTCGTGGCCAGTCTTCCTAACAACCCGCCTCACACCCTCCTCCGTCCCCAACCTCCCCTTACCTTTCCCCCAGGCCAAAGCTCAGGGCTGGCTGGCCAAGCGCGCACGCGCCGCAGATGGGGAGGATGATGGTGAGGAGGAGGGTGGTGATGTGGAAGCGGAGGATGGCGGGGAGGCGGGCGACGGCGGCAGCTGCTCCTCGGTGCAGAGGGTGCGGGTGCGGCTGAGCGGTGTGGCAGCGCGCGTGCGAGCCCGGCTGGCGTCCGAGTACGAGGGAGGCGAGGGAGGGGCAGCAGGTGAGGTAGGGAGGCGGGGGAGGGAAGGAGAGGGGTGGGGGCGGCTGCAGTAGCCTGCTGCTGGAATCCTCCTCCTGCTGCTGCTGCTGCTGCTGCCCCCTGCTGGGGGTGGCCGCGAGGGGCGCAGTGCCGCGTGCGCTTTAGACGCGCTTTCCTGACCCTCCTAGTGGTTTCATCAGGAGAGAGCGGGAGCGGGGGCGGGCGTGTTGATCCTCTCTATATACCTAGCCCCGAATGGCTTCTCTCAGCAAGACGTGTGATGGAGTGCGATGTGGCCCCCGTGCCGTGCCCCCATGCATGTCACCGGTAGGCCAAGTAGCAGGCGGCGGAGGGGGTCATGCGGATGCGGGCCGCCAAGAGCAGGCAGTGGCGGCAGCCGCAGTAGCGGCAGCAGCGGATGATGTGGAGGAGTTTTAGCGGCCGGCGGGAGGAGGGTGGCGGCTCAGGGACGCTCGCGGGTTGCTGGCAGACCCATGGGTCGGCGGGAGCTGCATGCAGCCGGGCGTGGAGTCCAACTGTCATCAGGTGCGGTGCGAGGCTGTGTGAGCTGGCAGCTGAGGCGGGGGGGGGGGGGGGAGTGGGGAAGCGGTGAGGTGCGGCATGCACACTTAAAAGGGAACTGGATATGGAAGAGGGCGGAAGAGGAATGCGCGGAAGGGGATGCGCGGATGGCTGCGGGGACTCGCAGGCGCCTGAGGCTGACAAGCCCAGGAAGAAGGGGATGTTGCAGCAGCGGGTGGGTGAGGTAGTGGGGGAGGGGGCAGCGGGTGTGCTGGGGGTGCGTGCGCCTGGCCCCCACCTCACTCCTGTGCCCAAGAGCCAACCCGCCGAACCCTATAAACCCTCCTGCTGGTGTCCCCAGGAGAAGCGTCAAGGCATGATATGGGAGCACGCAGCAGCACCCTCGGGGGCCAGGGAGGAAGCAGAAGGTGGAGAGGAGGCAGCCCAGGCAGAGAGCGAGATCAGCAGGAGGATGGGTAGTAGGCAATGGCGGTATAGGATAATAGAGTGGGTGTCGCCGCTGGCTGCCGGCTTGAGCGGGTAGCAGCCTCTGCCCCGCTGGCCCGCTTGGGAGGTAAACGGGTGCAGTGACGGGAAGCAGGTGGTGGAGCGAGCAGGAAGCGTGGAATTGGGTTTGGGGGGGGGGATGTTGGAGCGGGAATGCTGAACTAGGGGAGGGCTGGGACTTGCATGAGGAATTATCATTACGTTGCTCACGGGGATTATGAATGTGGATTCGGTGGGTGTCGTTATTCGAGGGACACGCGTATGCTATATGCCGTACGTAGGGACCGGACAGGTCGTTAACAGACCGCACCCGTTACCAGTGGATGGACCGTTTTGGCCGAACCTTGCTTTTTCATGGTTGGAACCATGGCCAATATTTTTAAACTCGGCGACAGGACGAAAACCAAAAGCTCCGCAAAGAGTTCAGCTGTTTCAATACCGGTGTATGATCCCAGCTCTAAACCGGAATGCTTACTAGGCTCGAACAAACGCCAATCTGGTTTAGCATGGTTTATCGTCCAACACATGCCAGGTGCTGTACGACAAAGCATGCTCAGCTTCGCTGGCCCGTGCTCAGGCCTCACTAGACCACCGCACACCATGAGAAGGACTGGGGAAGTATAGGATCCTAACTTTTCCCAGTCCTTCCCATGTTGTGGGGTGGTCTAGTGAGGCCTGAGCACGGGCCAGCGAAGCTGAGCATGCTTTGTCGTACAGCACCTGCTCAGGGTTGCTTAGCCGGAGGATGGTGGCGTTGTGGCATAGTGGAACTTGCTTGTGGGGGTTAGCCTGCTACGAGGGGGCGTTCATGCATGGCCGGGCTGGGTGCTGCAGAGCTCGCGCATATGCATGCAGAATAGTTGGTATTGGCTATTGGGTAGAGGTCCAGATACCGGTAGACCAAATCATAGGTTAGGGGTGGCAGGCCTCCCAGCCTAGGTCCTCCATTCCCAGCGCTTCCCGCCCCCTCCCTCCCTCCCTCCCTCCCCCACAATGTTGCACGCCCGGCTCCACTAACTCAATTCCATTCACCAGGAGCGTGTCGTCTTGTTTTGACATCCTCATTCAGCACATTGGGTATTGTTCCTTCCCTGCCCCCCTTCACATGGCCCTGCTCCTTCCCTGTCCTCCCTCACATATAGCCCTGCTCCTTCCCTCCCCCTCCCCCTCCCTCACACCGCCCCACTGGGCTTGTTGCTGGTGCCGCTGCCGCCGCTGACCCCCTCCCCCCGCAGCGCCGCCTCCGCCCGCTGCAGCACCTCCCCAGTCAGCAGCGGCAGCACCCCCAGCGCACCCATGTTGTCGTGCACCTGGCTCACACGACTGGCACCTGGGGGGCGGGGGGCGGGGGACGGGGGCAAAAACTTATATAAGTGAAACAACAAGTCCCAAGGGAGGGAGGGAAAAGAGGAAGTCCCAATGCGTTGAATGAGAATGCAAACCAGACGACAAGAGAGAGGGAGGGGGTGGGGGTGGGAAGCGACCCATGGGTCGTTTGGTGGGAAAGCGGGCGGAGAACGCCGGTAGTTTTCAGGTGGATGGGTGTGCTAACAAAGGCACTTAGCGGAACAAAGACGAGGAGGAGGAGGAGGAGGAGGAGGAGTCCCCCGAGCATCAGGGCCCCTAAGCGCGATCGACCACATCTCCGCGTACAGAAGAGCAACCAAGCCGCACCCCAACCCCCTAACAGACCACCATCACCACCACCACCAAAACCACCAGGCCTCCCTCCCCTCCTTCCCCTCCTTCCCCTCCTTCCCCTCCTTCCCCTCCTTCCCCTCCTTCCCCTCCTTCCCCTCCTTCCCCTCCTTCCCCTCCTTCCCCTCCTTCCCCTCCTTCCCCTCCTTCCCCTCCTTCCCCTCCTTCCCCTCCTTCCCCTCCTTCCCCTCCTTCCCCTCCTTCCCCTCCTTCCCCTCCTTCCCCTCCTTCCCCTCCTTCCCCTCCTTCCCCTCCTTCCCCTCCTTCCCCTCCTTCCCCTCCTTCCCCTCCTTCCCCTCCTTCCCCTCCTTCCCCTCCTTCCCCTCCTTCCCCTCCTTCCCCTCCTTCCCCTCCTTCCCCTCCTTCCCCTCCTTCCCCTCCTTCCCCTCCTTCCCCTCCTTCCCCTCCTTCCCCTCCTTCCCCTCCTTCCTCCCCGTCCCCTCACCCGTGATAGCGGTGCTAACGTGCGGGTTACGCAGCGTCCACGCCAGTGCCAGCTGGGCGGTGCTGCAGCCCAGCTGGGCAGCGAGCGGCTGCAGGCGGGAGGCCGCCTCGATGTGCGGCCGCCGCTGCTCCAACTTGGCCTGCAGGGGGCCGGGTGGGCGTTAGCGGGGGGAGGGAAAGAGCGAGGGTGGGGGTGGGTTAGGTGAGAGGTGTGTTGAGCGAGGGCAGAGAGGAGGCGGGGAAGAGGTGCATGCGTGTTCCCCCGCAGGAGCCCCAACAGACAACCCCAACCAGCAGGTACAGTACCCCAAAAGTGCTTACTTGACAACGAGTGCCGAGTAAGCGTCCAGCCCTCAACAAAAATGTGCAACGTTATACGCTGCCGTACACACACCGAGCCGACCGTGCGCCGTGCGCCTCCCCCCCGCACTGCCGTACCTTGTGCCCCTCCAGCGCCAGTCGGCTGCCCTCGGGTGCCGTACCGCTGCCGTACTTGCCCGTCAGGATGCCCGAGGCCAGCGGGCTCCAGATGGTGAGTCCCAGGCCGGGGCGGCTGTCGTACAGCGGCAGGTAGTCCTGCTCCACCTGGGGGGGAAGGGGGAGGGGGGGGAAGGGGGAGGGGGGGAAGGGGGAGGGGGGGAGGGGGGGAAGGTGTCAGACAAGTACCAAAACCATGAGTTAGGGCAAAGCAAAGCAGTGGGGAAAGCAGAGGGAAGCAGTGTGTCACGAAACAAAAGAGAGTGGCGGGCGGGCGAGCAGGAACATGTGTGTAAATGTGTGTGGTGCACCCTTGCATGCATGCATGCGTGGACGGACAGCTGCATGCATGCATGGATGGACGGACAGCTGCATGCATGCATGCGCAGGTGCACGCCCAGCATGAACAGATGGAACGACGCCGTTAATGTATGGGTGCCGGATTCAGAGTTTCAGACCCGGAGCAACGGCCACGTGGCTGAGACCAAGTGCAGGAAGCAGGAGGAAGCTGCGGTACAGGGGCACAGCGGTACAACGATATCAGGGCACTGTGGGGTTTAAAACCTTCCTTCGCCCTCTTGCCCCCACCTTCTTGCGCTCAAACATGTTGTACTCGGGCTGCTCCACCACGGGGGGCAGCAGGCCCAGTCGGTCCGCGATCTCCTGAGCCTGTGTGTGTGGGGTGGTGGTGGTGGTGGTGGTGGTGCATGCAAGCAGCAGGGTATGTACGACAGCGATGTGCGGTCGTACATAATACGCATGGGAGGATTAGCACACCACTACGTTCGGATTCCCCTATCCTTGACGCCACCAGACCATCACGATCCCGATTACCAAACATACATACCCTATCCAGCCCTATCCTTCCAAAAAACACACCCGTCTTCCACCCCCCCCCCTTCTTCGTCTTCCAACCCCCCCTCGCCGCCGTTTCCTTCCCTGTCCCCCCCCCCGCCCGCCCCACCTCCGCCACCTGCGCCGCCTCCCACTCGCTGGTTCCCCAGTAGAGCGCCCAGCCGCGGTCGCAGCAGTGGCTCATTGCGCGAACCGTCTCCTCGATGGGCGTGTCGGGGTCGGGTCGGTGGCAGAAGAGCAGGTCCACGTAGGGCGTCTGCAGCCGCTCCAGGGAAGCCTGGCTCGGGGGGGTCAAAGTCCATACCAAACCATAGAAGACCACAGGTTCGGGCAAAGCAATGGGGGAAGGAGTTGGCTCGGGGGGGGAGGCAAGGAGGAAAACACACACACATTTCTTAACACACACATTTAGGAGTAACATACAGGACAGGAGGAGAAGCGTTGAGGTGAGGAAACACATGATGCAGCTCCAGAAAGGGTCCACGGGGGGATTCATTTCTGACGAGTTTAGAGATTCCATACTGGGATGGATTACAGGATTGCGTGTGCCCGCATGGTCGGGCGGGGGGAGAGGGGGGAACAGAAGAAGAAGAAAACACACACAACGCAGGTCAGGAGGAGGGAAAGCGGTGAGGTCAGAGGGCAGCTGATGCTAGGAGGAGGGGGCGGGTGTGCTATGCGGTCGGGGCAGTTGGCAAAAGAGTGCGCACCACCAACAAGCCTTTAATTTTAGAGCGCTCCAGGGGCCACACCAATCCACCTACCACACCAATCCACCTAACACCTGCTTCCCCCCGTATGGGCTTGGAACTCGCCGCTGGACTTATCAGTTACTCTTCCCCAGCCCTCCCCCTTAGGGCTCTCACTACCGTGCACACCTGCGTTCCCTCGATGATGTGCTTGCGGGACAGCCCCCGGTCGTTGGGTCCGGGTCCGCCCCAGTAGATCTTGGTGGAGAGGACCAGATCGCTGCGTCGGTAGCCCAGGTCCTGTGCAGGGGAGGAAGTTTGCAGCATTGTGAGCCAGCCCGACGGGTTAAGGGGGAGGGGAGAGCGAGGAGGGCTGGAGAAGAGAGAGGGAGGGGGAGGGACAGCGCGAGCGAGCGGAGGAGAAGGGGCGGCATCCCAGCACCCCTATGTCCCTTCCCATCAAACCCTCCCATCCGGCCTCCCCCGCAGCCCCCGCAGCCCCCGCAGCCCCTGCAGCCCCCGCCCCCCTCCCGCCCTCACCCCCATCCCTCCACCCGCACCTTCAGGGCCTGCCCCATGATCCGCTCCGCCTCCCCGCCCGCATACACCTCCGCGTTGTCGAAGCTGGCAAGAGGACGGCAGCAGAGGGAACAGAAGAAGAAGAACCACAACAACAACATCAACAGAAGCAGGAAGGGAAGGAGGGCGCGCCGAGGAGGCATATCTGAGGCTCCCATTGCTCAACAAGCCAGAGGGGGCAGCGGAGGAAGGGTGTCCCAGAATGTATCACTGAAATAGTTGCATTCCCGGTGCGCCTCCCCTTCCTTCCTCCACTGCAGCCTATCATTCCTCCCACGCCCCCAACCTCCCGCCACCCGTATCCTCCGTCCCTCGCCCCTTCCTGCCTCACAAGTTGACTCCCGCGTCTACACACGCCTTAATCAGCTCCTTGGCCTGGTTGGGTGGATATGGGAGGGCGTGGGTGGATGGGTGTGTAGTGTGAAGGCAGCGCCGCCGCCACATCAGCAGGCAGCAGCAGGCAGCAGCAGGCAGCAGCAGGCAGCACCGCATCAGCATCACTGTGGTGGTTTCGGCGGTACTGATGACGAGTCGTCATGTCCCCCATGCGGCACTGGGTAGCCAGCAGGGGGGGGGTGTGCACCGGCATGCGTGCCGACACTGGTCGGCCCCCTGAACCGTTGACGGCAATCCGGGACGGAACCAAGCTGACGAGGCAAGCTGAAATGAGTTGCGACAAGGCAAGACAAGTCAGACAGCCACCCTCGCCAGCTGCCCCCCCCCCCACGCACCTGTTTCAGATCCGCCTGCTCCTTGAAGGTGGTCCAGGCGCCGTACGACAGGGCGCTGACCTGCAGGGGTTTTGGGGGTTTAGGGTTCGGGTTAGGACGGTGGGAGAAGGGGGGAGAGTGGGGAAAGGGAGGGGCGCAGACCACATGGGTTCGGGGGTAAAGGTGAGATGGGTAAAGAGGAAACAACTAACTTAGGCTGGTGACGTAAGCCTTGGACACCCGCTCGGTCCTTTTATCGGCTGCTATGACAGGGTTTAATCATCCAATTTTCCAAAGATATCGCTCAAGTTACACGTTCGTATGGGCTGCTGCTGCGGACCTGCGACAATCCCCTTAGGACCCGCGGGTCAGCAACAAGCCACGTATAGCTGGAATGGGTGGAGTTTGAAGACCTGAAAGCGGAATGGAAATGTGCACAGAAATTACCTTGAGACCTGTCTTGCCCAGGCGTCTGTATTCCATTGGTGGATTGGAAGCCATTCTTGTTTGGGGAGGCAGGGCTTCTCGTTGCTGCGTTGTGCGTGCGTTTGCCGGAGAGGAGTCTATCTGGAATTTAATCGCTAAATCAGTTAAAAATTAGATGTTGACGGTAGCTGTGCAACTTAGCCCTTAGCAGCAGGCGTTGCGGCTACGGGTATTAACCTCGAGCCACATGACTGATCATTACGGCACAGCTACGACGTCTCGGCAAGCCGGATCCAAGTAGCTGACTTGCCACCAAAGACCAGCAGGCAAGAGAGTGTGCAGATAGGATAAATAAGGAAGAGAGCTTTGAAAGAATGCTCCTGACCGAAAGGTTGCGCGCTTCGGGCCGGTCCGTAACACGCAACGCGACTTCTTCTTCCCAATCTTCATATACGCGCATCGTACGATGCCTTTACACAGACACGTCTGTTAGTTCGCTTGCGCTTGTTGGTAGCTCGTGGTCAAGTGCGGAATGTCTGAACAATTCCGCAGCTGGCGGCATTGTCGCTATTAAGAGTGCGCGCTGGCGCAGATCAGTTCAAGCAGCTGCGGCTCCATCTGATAATGGCCCACAAAGCCAGCCTGCTTCTGACCGGCTCCAGGCAGTCATCGATGCCTTGGATGAGTTAAACAGCAAAGACCCACGCACCGTGGAGGTGAGCAAAGCACAAGCGAAAAGGAGCATTCATTACACGCGTATTCACGCATATATTACTTGACGCTTCTGCGTCAGTTGGGGCGCGCAGCTTACGTTTTGGCCATCCCGCTTGCATGCAACATTCCGCAACCATACAAGCCGACAACCATGTCCCAGAACTCCGTCCTCCAATACTCCTTTACTTGTTCCTTACATGATACCACTCAACATACGCAACCACACGTCTGACTTCCGCTCACGGCCATGCATAACATCCCTAACATGTCACGCCGCCACACTTTCCTGGCCTGCTTTTCTCCAATCAAAATAGGTTGACGGCCAGCAGGTGCCGTACGAGTTGGCCTACGCCCGCTGGCTTAGCGTCTGGGTGGAGGCGCTGTGCCGCGACGCGGGCCGGCAGCCTAGCGAGGAGCTGCGCATTGCCGCGCGGGGGCAGCATGTGGAGCGGTGGAGGGTGCCTCGGAACACGTACCCGGAGGTGAGGGCGCAGCAGGTTGGGGGACTCCATGAGGGGTTGGTTATGCCTTACAGGGCTGGAATAACAAAGGATTGCCTGTTGTACACTTGCACGGTAGTCTGTACGCGGTTGGGGGTGGGAGGCGGTCAGGCGGAGGTGAGGAGTGTAAAGTCGACCATGGATTGCATGTGCCCCACCAGTGGGGTTGCATGGTGGTGGTTATCCTCACTGTGGCGTGTGGGGGGGGAGTGAGGAGTTGGGGGCGGGAGGCGTGAGAGGCACAACGCGGGTGTTGCTTCGTGCTTCTTACCCACCCTCCCACCCCTAATCACTAGGGATTGTCAGCAACTTGTATCATTATCATACCACACTTTGGAATTTCTTTTTTACCCCTAATCACCCTCAGCTTCCCATTCCCATTCCCCCGGAGCTTGTCACCTGGTTTGCATTCTTAATAAACGCACTGGGTATTCTTCTTTTTTCCCCTTCCCCTCCCCTTCCCCTCCCCTTCCCCTTCCCTTCCCCCACCCCAGGGCCGCTCCGCATACCTGCAATGGCGCGAGGAGCTGAAGCGGCGCCACGCGGCCACCACCACCGGCCTCATGCGGCGGCAGGGGTACGGGGAGGACAGCTGCAGGTGCGGGGGTGGGGTGGGGGGATGAAACAAAGGGAACTGAAACTGGAAACTAACGAGCTGAGTGGGGAGGGGGGGGGATAAAGATGGCCCAGCCTAATGCAGAGGTGGGAGGGTGGAAGGGAGGGAAGGAGGGTTATGGCAAGGTGGAGTGTAGAAGGGAGCCTCAAGGCGCTTACTTGGCGTCCGACTCCTGCGCCTGACCAACCAAACCCACCTCCCATGCACTGGTGCACGTCATTGGGTTTCTCTCTGAACTGCCCCTCCCCCCGCTCCCTCCCGCTCCCTCCTGCTCTTTTGCACTATCATTTATTTTTCCCCCGCTCCCCTTCAGGCGTGTGGAGCAGCTGATCTTGAAGCGGGCGCTGCGGGAGGCGGAGGGGCAGATACTGGAGGATGCGTTGTGCCTGGGTGGGTGATGGGGGGGGTAGGGTGAGTGGGTATGCGGACGCTTGGGGGACTTGTTGGGGCCGGGGAGGCAGCAGCAGCAGCAGGGCACGATGCCGGCAGGCGCTCCTGCTGCTGCTGCTGCTGCTGTTGTGTGCTGTGCTGCCTTACTGTCCCCTTTCCTGCCCCTCCCTCCCCTCTTTTCCCCTCTTTCACACCACACATTGGATCTTCTTTTTCCCCTGTGCTCTCTGCCCCCTCCAACTAACCATGTACCGGTACCCTTTCCTTGCCCCCCTCCCTCCCTCCTTCTGTATTGCGTGTTTCTAGAATACCGTCTCCGTGTGCGCTCACTGCATGAGTCGGGATATGGATTGGGACGCCAGTTGCTGCACTTTACTCATTTCCTGTTTCCCCCCCTTCCCCCCCTCCCCCCCCTCCCTCCCTCCCTCCCAGTCTTCCTGGAGCGTCAGTTCGCCGACTTCCTGCCCAAACTGGCGCACGGTGGCAATCTCACCGCACCCCCACCTGACCCCGCCTCCACCACCACCTCCTCCTCCACCTCCTCCTCCACCTCCTCCTCCTCCAGTGCTGAGCAGCAGCAGCCGCAGCATGCGGGCAGCCAGGCTGGTAAGGCGGAGGCGGCTGCGGAGGCGGCTGGGGCGGCGGCAGGGGCGGCTGCGGCTGGTGAGGCGGAGGCGGAGTCCAAGATGGTGGACATCCTGCGCAAGAGCTGGGGCAAGATGGGGCCGCTGGGGCGGGCGGCGGCGCTGCGGCTGCCGCTGGGGCCGCGGGAGGCGGAGCTGGTGGGGCGGGCGCTGGCGGGATAGGGAGAGGAGGAAAAGGGCGCCCAATGTGGTGAATGAGAGGGGAAGGGAGGGGAGGAGCTGACGGGTCTTGTGACATGTAGTGCCAACGTGGGAGCCGACCCGTCCCGCCCCACCCGAATTGGAGCAGAGGAGGGAGAGAGACGACAGGGGGAGGGGACTTGGGGTGGAGGGAGCTGTAAGAGCAGGGGATCAGGTGGTGGGAGGACAAGTAATGAAGGTGACGCGTGAAACGAGAAGATCGAGGTTGATAAGGAGAGATGGAGAGGAGGAGTGAGGTGGCGATGTGCGAAGTACTCGCGTGGATTGTACAAGAAGCCGGTAAGAGTTGCGTGCGTATTTTCTGCTTAGCTGAATAAACCAACTTGGACGTAGGCTTGTGGGGGTCTGTAAGGATTGGCGTAAGTATAAGGCGCGTGCCGACGCGCAGGCGTACATGATGAGTCCTGTACATCACTGACGACGAAACGTTAAAACTGCAAGGTGACTCCGGCTGACTTGGAAAAGTTCCAATGGTATGTGCACTACCTCGGGTCTCGTTTTAACTTGGGCAGCAAGGCCTCCTGTATCGATAGTTACATTACAACTCACACGCAGGATTCGGTCCACGGGTCATCCGCAAGTCAGAAGCCCCTCATCCCAAAAGTATTTCAGTTACCGGTATAGGCTTTGGGTGGTGTACTATTGTCTGGGCCGCATCACCAGTTGAAGGCACCGCGTTAGCTGGATACGGGAATTTCCGGACTCGAAGGACCGTACACACATAGACGGCTCACGGTTTCCTTACTACCTTCTGCAGATAGAAATTCACTGCTATGAATTGCACATAGATTTGTCTCTCCGCTGTTTCCTTAACCGCTGACCGAAAAGAATGGCACCGAAGAAGCACGAGCCTCCACCACCTCCACCTGAAGATACCAATCCTTACGGGATATTTGTTACCATTGCGGTACCTTCAGCTACGCTAGTTCTGGTAAGGTTGGACCAGGCGTCCCCATGCATGCATATTCCCAGCGACACGTTAGAGCGACAAGACAAGACTTTCCGCGTCTCAATATACTATATTTCGACTGCAGGATGTTCCAGCTGACGACCCAGCGGCGCAGCGGAAAACCCACCTTACGCTCAACATCCCCGGTTGCCACACCCCTTGGGCGTCTCCACAAATTACCCCGTCGGAGACCGGTGTCTACCAGTTCGATGTCGTCAAACACTTTCGTCGTTCGGGCGGCAACGATGTGCTGCTTCAGCTGATCAACGGCACCGTCATGGTCGCCATCGTTGACAGCGCCACCAATGCCGTCCTGGCCACCGCTACCATTGACCAGCTGTGGGGCTTTGCCATCGGCCAGAACAGCTGGAGCGCTGAGGGACTGGACCTCACGCCAGCCGCAGAGCTGCCCGCTGGCGTACCCAAGGTGCGGGGAACCCCACATACCGCATCAGCACAGCTCCAGCTTCACTCCTGTGGGTTCTGGAATCCATGGGACCCCAGTCAAAGCCGCTGGATACATGAATCAGCCCTCGCCACCACTCCCGTCAGCAGGTCTTTCCTCAGGAATATACAGCCTGCGACTCCAAACCCGCACCCTTCTTGGGTCACCGGACCACTGTAATCCAACCCTCGCCTCCCGCGCACCCGCCTCCAAACCGTGGCCCCACCCTTACCCTCCCCTCCTCTCCACATTGGGTATTCTTCATCCCCCCCCCCATCCGCACGCAGGTTCGCTCCGCGCGGCTCTCCTCCTTCTCCCTGGCACTTCAGGAGCGCCAGCTGCCGCCCGGGGTCGACCCCGCCGCAGCTGCTGCCGCTCCTGCCCCCGCTACTACCGCCGCCGGTCAGCAGCAGCCGCCAGCAGCCGCAGCTGAGGGCACGGAGCTGCCCCCCCTGCTGCCGTACAGCTTTGTGAGCCCGGAATTCGCGGAGCGGGGTAACATGGTGGAGCTGGTGGTGTCAGGTATGGGGCACGGAGGGAGGGAGGGAAAAAGAGAGGGGAGGGAAGGAGGAAAAGAAGGGGAAAGAGGGAAGGAGGCGGGGGAAGGGGAGGAACGAGGGGGGATGTGGCTGGGACGGAGGTGGGGTAGCTGTACGAACGTTGACGCTGGGAACGTGCTGGGTTTGTGGGGAAGCTGCGTGGTGGCCTAGGCTGAGCGTGGTGTCGAGCGATACAGCAGTACGGAGCACAGCTGGCCGCCTGGCGGTGCCTGCCTCATGCCCTCCCTCTCGCCCACCCTCCTTCCCTCATGCCTCCCTCCACCTCCCGCCCGCCACAGACCTCTCCCCGCTGCCGCCCACACTGCCCACCACCGCCGAAACCGCGGGCGGCAAGCTCTCCGTTACCGCGGCGCTGCAGCTGCCCGGTGGTGCCCCCGTGCTTGCCGTACAGCTACCCATAGCGGCTGGCGGCGGCAGCAGCAGTGGCGGCGCCCTGGCTACCCCCGCTGTACGGCGGGAGTTGCTAAGTGAGGAGATGTGTACGGCGCTGCGGTACCAGCTGGAGGATGGGCTGCCGCTGGTGGTGGAGGTGGCCAGGTGGGCAACACATAGTGGGCGCCGCATATTGGGGTGCAGCTGCTACGCGGCTCTGTTGATTTAACACGTACTGGACTGGGTTCGGGGCTAAGGAAGGGGAAGGAATGACGACTGTTGGGAAAGAGGGTACTGGTAAGGGCCTGCACGGGAGGTTATCAACTAGTGCCCATGCACCTGCGCAATCCAGCCTTGTGGTTTCGCTCTCTACCGGTAACTGAGGGGTAACTGCACTCCTTACAGCACTCTCGCGTGTGAAGCTATATGTGTGTCGTACTAACACGTTACTGCCGTACGCATTCAGGTACGTCACCGCGGAGGGCTTCAACGACCCCGCCTGGGAGGCCTACCACGCCTCTGCAGTGGCTCCGGGGCTGGTTTCGGCACTGGTGGTGGCCGGAGCGACCCATGGGTCCGTGGAGGGGCTGGAGCTGGCGACCTTTGCAGCCGCCGGCGAGCAGAAGAGCTGCCTTCCGCCGTACACTCCACCTGCGGGGTAAGGCCTTTCCTGCCAGGTCGCAAGACGCATGCATGCTATGTTGGTTCCCGCTGCTGTGTCCGTCTCGTCCGAAGGCCACAGCAACGGCTTCACTAACCCAAACCCACCGATTTTTAATCCCGGTACAGCAAATCCAAGCCGGTGGAGGAGCCGCACCCCGCCGGCAGCTGCGCCTGGGAGAAGGCGGGCAGCCGCATCACGCTCACGTTGCGGCTGGCGCGACCCGTGGTTCCGCCCTGGCAGCCGCCGCCGCCTCCGCCCCGCTCGCTGCTTGAGATGATTCCGCCTCGGGACCTGACGCCCAAGCAGCCGCCCACCACCGCTGCGGATGAGTTCAAGAACAAGGTTAGGGATGTGGGACAGAAGCGGAGGAGGAGGAGAAGAGAGGGAGGTGCTTGGAGCGGCGGAGGAGGGGGACAAAAGGGCGCAGGGCTTTCCGAGTACGCGTATGTCTAAAGCTATATGGGCATGGAATCCATAACGCGGCATTAACCCCTACTTTCCTCACACACATACCCCTAGGTTCGACTCATCGCTCGCGCCCTGGCTGAGGAGTATAAGTCCGTCCTGCCCGACCTCACCTCCTCCTCCTCCGCTGCTGCTGCTGCTGCCGGTGGCCCCTCCACCACCAGCATCGGCAGTGCTGCTGAGGCCGGTGCATCAGCAGCAAACGGCTCCGAAACCGCCGCAGCTCAGCGTCACAAGGCCCTGGTGTTCGAACTGAACCGCAGCGGCAAGTACGCCCAAATGCGCGACTCGCTGAAAGCCTCCGTGGTGGCACTTGTACGGGAAAAGTACCGCAAGAGTGGATCCATGTCGCCCAACGAAATGGCGCTGCTGTACAACGACCTGTACGGCACGCTGCTGGCGGCGACCCATGGGGCGCTGAATGAGATGGTGGAGGCGGCGGCGGTGCGGCCGCGTGCGCCACCGCCGCAGCGCGTGCCTGACAAGCAGCAGCTGGGGGAGCTGCTGGACCTGGCGGCGCAGGTGGGGGTGTTTGATGGGAGTCTGATCCCATGTGATCCCATAGCAGTTGTGCGGATACGTGGAAGGCGGGAAGCAAGAGTTGTTCCTTACCTACTCCGCACACCCCTGGTCCCATACCTCCCATGCCGCCTGTCCCAATAGGCCGGCGCCCGGCGCCCAATTCACCCTATCACACTTATCCCACACCTCTCCACCCCCTCCCAAACCCAACCAGGCCGAGGCGGTGGGCGACGCCGCCCGCGCCGAGTCGCTGCACCAGCGCCGCCTGTTGGCACAAACCGACTCGCAGGTAGGGCGGGATGGAGGAACTAGACTTGGGAGAGCATACGTTACACGGTCACCCAGGAATGGGTGCGTTGAGGGGAGGGCAGTATAGCTGTGTGCGCATGTGCGGCAGCATCAGTTATACCGCTACACGCCAAGCACGCAAAACCGTTGCCTTTTCTTCGATTTGCATGCTTGCATGCATGTTTCTTCAAAACTTTGTTTTGACCCCCATCCGGTCTAAATCCCTCCTGACCGCAGGTCTGGTACGAGTACGGCACCTTTTGTCTACGTCGGGGCAGCCGAGGTCGTGCAGAGCAGTGCTTCCGCGAGTCCCTCTCCCTGGAGCCAACCCACCGGGGGGCGCTGCTAGCCCTGCTGGGCTGCTCGCTAGCAGAAGGCAGGGCGACAGCGGGAGCGGGAGTGACCCATGGGTCATCGGGGGCAGTTGCGACCCACGGGTCACATGGGGCGCATGGCGGTGCGCATGGTGGACTGGGAGGTGCGGGAGGAAGCGGAAGTGTCGGGGCTTTGCTAGCAGCAGGTGGGGATCCCGCGTATATGGAGGCGGCGGAGGCGGCGGCGCAGAGGTTGCTGGAGGTCAGCTCGGGTGGGGCTGGTGCTGCGGAGGGAGGAGCGGCAGCGGGAGCAGGAGGAGCGGGCGGGGTTGCGGTGATGGAGGCGTGGGCGGCGCTGGCGCTGGTGTACAAGGCATTCGGTGAGTGTGGCAAGAAGCTGCCGTTGGTTTGTTTTGGGAAGGGGCACACATGCCGGTACGCTTGCCATTCCTATTGGCTTTTAGCATCCACCATCTCCAGGGTTACCCCAGACCCAACCCTACATCTCAGCTAACTACACATCTCCTTACAACTCCTGCACCAACCTCTCCCTCCCAGGCGACTCCAAGCGAGCCGAGCTGGCCTCGTGTGAGCAGGAGATGGCTCGGCTGGAACGAGAGGAGCTCGCAGCAGCAGCTGCTGCTGCAGCCGCCGCCGCCGCTGCCGCACAATCCGCCGCCGCAGCAGACGACCTCTACGCCGCATCCGCTGCCGGCATCACCGCCGACGGCATGGCTGCTGGCGACGCTGACGGCGCCGTAGGAGCGGAATCCGGTTTGGCAGCTGAACCCTCGGCATCTATTTCTGCCGTACTTTCTGGAACCGGGTCCGCTGTGGCGGCGGGCAGTGCCGCCGGGAATGCTGCGGGTACGGGCGAATCCCGTACGGTGACTGGATCTGGCATCGAGGCGGGCTCTGCGGCGGGCAGCGGCGGCAGTGGCGGCAGCTCCGCACCGGGGCTAGGGGACCTGCAGGTGGGGTGGCTGCTGCCTTGATGCATGCTCCCCACGGGTCTTCGCGCTGCGCAGTTATACAGCTATGGATGTGCCGGTATACCCACTTGCATCGTGAGATCCGTGACCGAGGCTCTTCTCCAAAAGCCTACTCCCCCTCGTAACGCCCCCCCCTCTTCCTTTCCCCCTCCCTCACCCCCATCTCGCGCAGGCCCGCGCCCTCATCTCCCTTGCCTCCACCCTGCTCGAGACGCTGCAGCTGCCCTCGGAGGCTCTGCTCGCACTGGACCTAGCCACCGGCCTCAGGCACTGGCCCTCACTCACCTCCGAAACCCGTACGGCACACGAGCTGACGTCAGCGCTGGCCCAGCAGGCGCTGCTGCTGCTCCTGCCGGGGGCAGGGGCCAGCAGTGCTGCCACTACCAGTGATGGCACTGCGGGGGGTGCGGAGGGCGGCGGTAGGGCGGCTGCTGCGGCTGGCAGCATGGAGGCGGCGGCGGGTGTGCTGCTGGCCGCGGGTGGGCCGGTGCTGCGGCTGATGCGGGTTGGCGGCGGGGTGGGGTGGCGCGCGCGGCTGCTGGCGGCGCAGCTGCACCGGGCGAGGGGCGCGGAGGAGGAGGCCATACGGTACTACCAGGTAGGGAGAGGGGCTAAGGGGGGGAGGGGGAAGGGGGCTTCAAGGGAGGGAGGGGGGAGAGGGTTGACGGAGCGGCATGGTCGGGCTGGGGTAGTGGGGTAGGCTCCGTCTCATGCGCCCCCAGGGCTGCGCCCTACCGCGTCCGTGCCGGGGCCTCTTACGCCCAGTCCTGAAGCCGTCATTTCCTCTCCCCCTCCCTGCCCCTCCCCCTCCTCCCCTCCTCCCCTCCTCGCAGGACTACCTGGATGTCGCCCGGCAGTGCGGCCAGCTGGCCCGTGTGCCGCTGCCCGTGTGGCTGCAGCTGGCGGGCTGCTACACGGCGCGGGGGCAGCACAAGTACGCAGCGCAGGTGCGGGGGAGAGGAGAGAAGACAAGGCATGTATTGCACCGCTGCTGTTGTGTATGCCACCACTGCCTAGCTGTCTGACGCCTGTTGGTTTCTCGGCCCCTCTCACCCCCTCTTCGGCCCGCACAGGTGTTGCTGGCGGGGGCGGCGGAGCAGCCTCGCTGCGCGGTGCTGTGGCGGGAGGCGGGCGTGAGCTTCGTGGAGGAGGGTGAGGGAGCCGGGCGGGATGGGGTGGGGTGGGGAGGTCGGTCCCGGAGCGGGTTGGTTGGCTACGGCAGTCGTCATACCGATAGCTGGCTTCTCTTCACATGTCTGTACCGTACCCCCTTTCCCAGCTGCCTTATCACACGGTCAGTTGGTTGTTTCCTCTTTGCCCTTCTTCCTACCTGCCCTCCTGCTATCCACAGCATGACACGTACCCACTTCTCTTGCCCACCTCCCTCCCTCCCTTCCCTCCTACCTGCCTCCCCCTCCTCCCCCCCAGGCGACCTGCCCGCTGCCGACATGGCGCTGTCGGAGGCCAACGTGCTGGACCCGGAGGACCCGCGCGCCTGGGGCTGGTTGGCACTGGTGGCGGTGCGGGAGGGGCGGCAGGTGCGGAGCCACTCGGACCCGGCAGCGGTGCCGGTACCGGTGCCGGTACCGGTGCCGGTGCCGGTAGCAGCCACCCGGTGTGGCTGCAACCTGGCAGCCCGCGTTGCGTCCTCCTTATTAGCTGTACCGGTATCGTAGCGCCCGCTGCACGCCCCACAACACTGGTATACCAGATTGCTCACAAGGCCAACCAAGTACGGCACCAACTCCCTCCCTCAACCTCCTGCCTCCTCCCTCCCCCCCAGGATGACGCCGCCACCGCGCTGTCCTTCTCGCTGCGCTGCGGCCTGGCTGACGCGGCGCTGCTGCTGCGGCTGGCGGAGCAGTACCGCGTGCGGGGGCAGCTGCGGGCGGAGCAGGGGGTGCTGCAGGTGGGGGGTGGGGGTGGTGAAGGGGAGGAAGCTGACGAGGGAGTTTGGTTGGGGTTGAGGCGGCGCGGGGGCGCCGGAAGGGAGATCCCTACGTAACCAGTCTAGTACATGTGTCGTACTCTGCCCACAACTGCAACCTCCGCCCCTCCTCTCACCCCGCTGCCGGAAACTCTGTGTGGGATGACACACGGTCACTCCTCTCAACTCAACCCCGGTACCCCGCCTCCTTGCTGCTGCCTATCGCGCTTATCGCGCCCTTGCACTGCAGGAGGTTGCCTCCCGGCTGCTGCCCCGCAGCTGCCCGGCGCGTTGTGCGCTGGCCCGCTGCCTGCTGGCTCAGCGCATGGGGGCGGAGGCGGCGGAGCAGCTGGCGGTGGCGGGCGGGCTGGCGGAGGGTGAGGAGCAGGCGGCGGAGGTGGCGGGGCTGGTGGCGCAGATGAGGGGGCTGTGAGAGGGGGAGGGGAGATGGAGGAAGGCCAAGGTGGTAAGGAGGTAATGAGGCAAACCTGGGCGTATGGCGTTGCATGTCGTGTCAGGTCGCGTGGACACTGTCGTGCTACGGAGGTAAGGCCTGCGCGTATCAATAATACAGCCGTGTGTGCGGTCTTGGAGCTGTGGGGCCCGGAGGAATTTCATGATGCCGGTTGCGACGAAGGGGTCCTCATCCTGTCAGAGTGTAACATAGTGGGCTACTCTACGCGTAACCGTGCAGCAGCTGCAGCTGCCTGCCTCCCTGGCGTGGATAACAGCAACGATAACAACACGGGTGTTGGGGCCATCAGCGGCGGCAGAAGTAGCAGCAACAGCAGCTGTAGTGTTTACCCACACCAACAACCCACCAGGCTGACACAATACGGTATTAGAACGCTATGTGTGCTTGACGGCTGGTTTTCCGACATTCCCATAGGCTGGTTACTACACCCACCTTGCCAACCTGGCTTCCATAGCTCCATTATGAGCCAGGCAGATGCCTGTTGCTCCCATCATACCCCGCTAGGAGGCATATGCAACGTCCGTCAAACAACATACACATCTAAAAGAAGGCCCTACGCAATGAGCTAACTGAGGCTTAACTCCTCGCAGCCCAGTCGGGCAGTCCCACTGCCGTACACCGGGCAATGAAGTGCCGTACACACACCAGGTCTAACAGCAGAGCAGGAGGGGAGGGTCTCCCTCCTGTGCTTCATCATCTCTCGCATTCAGCAGCCGCAAACACATGCCCATTACCCTCTCAGAGGTGTTAGAGAGCCCACACTTCTGGACATACATGGATTCAGCCTAGTACTCACAGAAACCGCCAGCCACCCACAACCGTAACCCGTACGACGTATCGTAAGGGGTACACATGAGATACGGCTGGCGGAAGGCACGCACTACTCAAAGACTCATTGCGCAAATGCCGTACGAAGGCCGTCAGTAGTGTACATGTCAGTGTGATGCCGTACCGGTGATTGTTTATGCCGTACTGCACACATAATGTGCGTGGCTCAACCAGACTGGCCGTATGGTACATCTTCCGGAGTAGCGGAAAGTCAGGAAAACAAAACATCACACAATGTATCTGATACAGGTACGAGGTTTGTGCCCCCCCTTTCCCCCAAAAGGACATAGAACATGCAGAATCGCTATGTGAGCTACGAGCAACGCGGAAGAAGAAAAAGTACACAACGTTCGTCATCAATGGTGCCAGTCAGCCCAACAGCAGCAGCAGCAGTAGGACCACCCCAATCGTAAAGCATACACCATCACCCAATCGTACCCACCGGCTCTTTACTTCCAAAGCAAAGACGCTTGACACACACATTCTTCATTCGCTGACTCCTTCATCTCCTTCATCTCCTTCGGCAGCACCAAATGGCTGGTGCGCCTAGCTCCCCTTATCCTCATGTGGTAATACCTCACGTAACCAACACCTTGACCACACTCCAAACCTATTCATACTCGTACAACAACGACGAAGTTACGACAATGAAATTTGCAACCATGCCCCTCGTAAACCCTCTCGCAGACACCCAACTCCTAGCCCCTCCTCCTCCATGTGCACCGTAACCTCACCCCTCCCATATGCTGTACTGTACAACTGTTTACATCACCCAATCTCTCCTCTCTTTGGCCAAACCCACATCTCTCCAATAGAGCAGCACCCTACAGATGTGCGCCACATTTATGCCGTACCGAACAAAACTAATATACAGATGACTCTTACATACAACACAGCGTAGGAAAGGCAAGGCGAAAATAAACAACAACAACAACAATAAAAAAAATCATGCAGGATGGCGTAATCGTACAACCCTCGTAGTGATACAGCTCAATCCCTTCAGCAATAGTCTCAGCAACAGCAACCTCAGCAGCACCCGCCGCCGTTACCGTTAAGCCGCCACCGTCCCCGCCACCGCCGCCGCCGCCTGCTTCCCCGGCGACACCTCCACTTGCAGCCTTCCGCCCGCCTGCCATACCGCCTCCCTCAGCTGCCGTACCGTGTGCTGCGTGGCGGCGCTGGGACAGGCTACCAGCGTGAGGCGGTGCAGGGCGGGCAGGGCGGCCAGAGAGAGGATGTAGGCGGAGGTGAGTTCAGGGCCGCCGGAGACCAGGCGGAGCTCCTGAGGGGGAGGGAGGGAGAGAGGGAGAAGAAGGGGGCGAACGGGGGGCTGGTGGAAGGGTACGTGTAAGCAGAAGGGTACGACACTGTGGGTATGGTCACCGACAGGATGAAACACCGGCAGTGGGTCTGCATACCTCCACATCAGTCACCCAACGACCTCTTCCCACCTGAAGTGACTCCGCCACGCACCCCCTGCCGCCGCCTCCGCTGCCCGCCCCGCCACCGCTGCTGCTGTCGCTCCCCCCGCTGCTCCTCCTGCTGTCGCTCCGCCTGCCGCCCCCGCCCCGGCCGCCCCCCAGCAGCAGCCGCAGCACCTCGTCCCGTGCCGTACTCAGCCCGCACAGTTCCAGGCGGGCCAGCCGGGGCAGGCCGCGCGGCAGCAGCAGGTGCAGACCCACCTGGTGGCCAAGTGTGGGAGGGGGGAGGTGGGGGTGTGTGTATGGGGGGTGTGGGGGGGTAAGTTGTGGCGCGGGTAAGAGATGGCGTAAGATGCACTTCTGCTGCGCAACCCAGATCGGGAAACGGTACAGTGAAATGGATACGCACCTGGAGTAGCAATAGGTAGCAATGGGTGGCCGTTGGCAGCGCATGCTAGTGCTAGCAAGCGACGAGGGGAAGCCGCTCATGGACCCATGGGCGACCTCCTAACCGCACTGACGGTAGACCCCACCGACCCATGGGTCACCTGCCAAACTTCACACGCACCTGCGCAAACATGCCGCCCAGAGACAGTCGCGTCAAGCTGGGAAAGGTGATACAGCCGCCGCCGCCACCGCTGCTGCTGCTGGTAAAGCTGCTGGTTGGTGAGAAGGAGGAGGCGGAGGTGGCAGAGGCGGCGGAGGCGTGTTGCAGGTGTGCGCGGGAGGGGGAGGCGGGGGGAGTGCGGCTGTGTCGCAGGTTGAAGTTGCCTAGGCGCAGCTCTACCAGAGGGCAGCTGTGTGGGAAAGGAGGGGACGGCGGGACGGGAAAAGGAAGAAATATCACGGGAGGGGGAGAGGTTTGCGGAAGTTCCGGTGGGGCAGGAAGGGGAGGGAGAGGAAGCGGTTGTCGCTGAGTCAACCCGGTCACGAATACACCGGCAGGACGGTGAACACCGCGCTCTCCAAAACGCATAGCCGCGATCATTCGCGGCCGCGTGACCTATTTAAAGTTACCGCCTTGTTGGGGTTCCGGGAACTCACCACGACAGCGCAGCCAGCCCTGTGTCGTCCACCTCCCAAACTTGACCCAAGTCCAGATACTCCAGTCGCGTGGCCTGGGCCACGTGCCAGAGGCTTCTGCCGTACGGTTGTACGGCGGTACCGCAGAGCTGCAGGCTTCGCAGCGAGCCGGCCTGCTGGCTGCACACAGCTGCGAGTCCATGCTCCGCGAATGCGCGACATCCCTGAACCGACAGGGTGCCGAGCTGAAGGCCAGCAAAGCCAGAAGTGCCGTTGACACGGGTTTGAGATAGGTCTAGAGAAGTTAGGCTGGGCAGGCGGGCCGCGCTTAGGTGCGCGACGCCCGCATCGGTGACCGCGATGCAACGTTTGAGGTTTAAAGCTCGAAGGGACGGAAGCGCGGGTAGGTTCGCAAGCATGTTGTCTGTGAGAGAGAGCACATCCGTCGTGGAATCGCCCAAGTCCAGCTCCACAAGCTGATTCCCGAGCGGCTGAATTGTGCCCAGATGGCCGCGGTCTAGCCATCGAGGCGTTCGCAGCCGCTCCAGCCGCGGGCATGCAGTTAAAAGACGCTTGAGTTCTGAAGCTGAAATGAAGTTGCATTGCTTGACGTCCAGCGACTGGATTTGGACACCAGGCTCCACGATTCCATCCTGGCCGTTGGTTAGGGCTAAAAAGCGGTCGAGGATAGGGCCGCATATGTTTTCCCGCGGCGAGTCCACCAGGACGATGCACTCTAGATGCTTAAAATCAGCGGCCAAGCGCTGCAGGCTAAGGCGTTGCCCGCCCGTATAGATATGGTTGCCGGACAAGCGCACCAACTGCACGTCCGCGTTGACAGTCAGCCTTGCATACGTGCAAGCATTTCGGAAAGACTTGCGATCTTCAGCGGCGAGGTCGTTCAAGACGTGGCAGCTCAGGATTGAAGGCGGGAGTTCAAGGATACGCGTCATGTTGCAAGGCTTGATGTTATGCTAGTTGCTATTCATAGTTTTGTATACATCTAGACGTATGTTGCCTTGCACAGCGATTAAGTCACACCGGATTGGGGTTTTGGCTGTTGTATAACAACCGCTCGACGGTCCATGCTGTATATCGTGCCAGCTCTTTTGGTAAGGCTGCACTTCTTTCAACCGCAAAGCCTCATGTTGTGCGGATAAGAAGGGGTCACGTTGCTGGGCCCCTCCCCTTTCTATGGTGCCGAGGCAAGGCCGGAATTTTATACTGCGTCTACACAACTAACGAACTTGCAAGTCGACTACCTGGCCTGTCTTCGGAAATCTTCTGCAAAGCTTCGTGCCAAGGGGCAAATATCCCCCGCTTTGACGATACCAATGTAACGGCCATTTAGTGATCACTTGGGCTGTCGTATTTGTCGTACCCGTACTGCCCAGAGCGGTCAAAAACGGAAGTGGCGTAGCGATTCATTACACTCTTTGGTCGTACAGGCCTTGAGCAGTCTAGACATCGTACAACGGGGCAGTTCCCGAGGGCGCGCAGCACATCCTACTACTACACACTCTTCCCTCAGTACAACAGAAAGCCAACTAACAGGTTTCGAGGAGAAACAAGAACTCGAGCGACCCCAACTCCTACTTAACACGAGCGAACGGCGATGTAAATAAAGGAACAAAACACACTCAGCCAATCATATCATGGCACACACACTTCGATGCAGAGGACCGACGGGGTACGGCGGGGGTACGGCACCCTACTACATAAACCTTCACCCAAAAAAGGCCACCACCCAATTCCCATCACAAGCCGCCTCCATTCCCACAATCCCAAATACGGCAATACTGTTGCAAACACATCCCGCATCCCCTCCCGCCCGCCGGAATCCAGTGCAGAAACAGGCATCTCAACCTGTTGAAAGCTATATCATGTCTTAGAAACAGTCGGAAAACACGGCAATACCTCGGAATCCCACAGCGCTCTGGACAAAGCTAGTAAAGCTCCCAAAGCTGAGAGAGCGCAGCCCCGCACCGTGCCAGCAGCAAAGACAGCAGCACGTAGAGGGCCGTACGCTCCTACAGGGCAAGAGGACACGCGTAAGCACGGATGCCCACTCATGACCTCTCGAAAAGGGGGCGACACGCGTACCCAGAGCATGAGGACCGCGCTCCACCCCACGATACATCCGCAACCTACACGTCGTGAAAACAGTGCCAGAAAAGCAGTCATCTTTATTGCATGACACGAGTTCCCAAAACGACGCCCCCACAGCACGCCTCCAAACAAGCGTGTATGGGCGCCTGACGAATAACTACAGCGGCAATGAACCTGAACTTGAGACGAACCACAGCTTCATGTGTCCCAAAATCACGTGCCACCGCCGCCCGCCGCTGGTGCAACAGCAGCAGCAGCAGTAGCCACACAACCGGCCAAGACCAGGCTGGTTTCCATGCGCGTCCCAGTTCTTGCCCTCCCTTGCGTCTGCCTTATGATACAAATGGCATCATACGAGTCCTTCAGTGTTCGTGATTCTTCTTCTCCGCCCCAAAATGCAAACGAACGGCCTGACTTTTGACAGTGTTATATAAGGCTTATCACCAGCTGCTAGACATAAAGTGCCTACACACATACGACCATAGAACCTCCAAATCAGCACACACCACGCCAGCAGGAAACTCGGATCCAGACGACGCACAACGTTCAACATTGAAGCATCATCAACAAGAGGAGGAGCCGTACTCGCGAGGAGAGAGAGCCAAGCAGAGGCCTACCCGCGACCCCAGGCAACAGGACCCCCACCATCCAAGAAGCAATGCAACATCATACGCGATAGTAAAAGATATACTGTTGTTGAAAGAATGGCTAACTCGATGGGACACGCAGGCCCTAAAGGGCCATGACAGCAGCGGCATCAACAGCGAAAGCAGACGAACCCGCAGCTGGGAACCAACAGCCAAGCGGTCAGTCGTGACAGGGCCCTTCCAACCAGCCAGCTGCCGCCGCTGCCGCCTGCGACGCCGCCGTTGAAATGCGTGTCGCCCCCCTCCGCCTGCCGGCGACACACCACCACGCAAGCAGGTATGCATCTCTAATACTACCTAAAGAGTAATTCTTCGGTGTTCTTCGTCTTCTTCATCTTGCCCTAATGCCCAACTCGGCGGACCCTAGCCCAGTAGAACACGGCAGAGGGACGGACGCCCTCCCGCTGCGCCAGATACGGCCAGGTATCATCCGCCCATGCAACCACATCAGCGCACAACTCCTGAGCGAAACCTGGGGTCAAGGACCCCCAAAGTAAGGCCTTCACATGATAATAGGGCTCTCAGCCACACAACAAGCGGCCACATGCATAATATGGTTGATACCCTCGCAGAAACTCCAAATAGCCGCCCATAACCAACAACAACAAAAAACCACGCTGTCGTCTCCATATGCTTCAGTAAATGCCCTCCTCTTCTTTCTCTTCGCAGCCAGTGTTCTAAACACACACGACGCGTCAATACCGCATCAGCGTACCGCAAACCCGCTCACATGACTGCCCCAACCCATACGGATGTAACAGGGGGAGGCACACGCCGGATGAATGCTGCAACCGAGCTGAAAGGGGTGGCGGCACTCAGGACACAAGCCTCCCGCGAGCCTGGCGAGGTAATAACCACACTCAACCACCACCATAACCACAATAAGAAACTACGTCGATTGTCCACGGCCAAACAGCAAGGCACATCATGGTGCCGGCGCGAAGTGCCGTACACGCCCCACGTTCTGATAGCAATCCATTTTATATGACATGGGGGCTCTCCGCCCCTCGCTATCTGCTCCTGCCTGCTGGTAACAACCCCGGAGAACCGGGCTCACACGCACTTGCATCGAATCATGTCCAAATAAGACGCCAGTCCAATTGTCCCCCAATGCAACCCACACCCAAAACTAGAAATCCCTCACTCCTCAGATATGCGTGCCTTGCAGTACAATACTCCGACATGCCATGACCTCGCCATCATCGCTTCTCATCGCTTCCGGCCTTCGATCGGGCCGTCCCCAACACGTCCTCAACAAGCCCCAACCGACATACAACGCAGCGTCTCCCCCACAACAACTTTCCAATAGCAGCAATCCGGTCACAAGCTTATAACAGCCGGTGACAGCCTCATTCGCAGGCAAGCATTCTTGTCCTCACCACCGCTTACCGCGCTGCAGCATAGGCTTCGCAGGGCTCGCTGCAGGCGCAGCGTAGGCTAGGACAGTGTTCGTGAATAGAAGGCCGGGCAGGCGTGCGGTCTCCCACAGGCGCGCGCATATCTCATCAACAGCTACAGCTGACGATAATACGCAGGGCGGCACGCCCCTGCAATCGCCCCACCCACACACTTCATCATCTACGGAGCGTACAGCAGGGCCGACCCAAATGGAAGCCAGCCGGCCAGCATGACGGGAAGAATGCCGCACGCACGCAAAAGCCGGCAGCATGCGTGAGGCAGAGAGCATCGGTCCGCCTCCTTGCCCATCGCGACCAGCTGTTAACTCTGACCCCGTGCCCAACACCAGTTTGGAGTTCAACGCAGCTTGGCGCGATTGGATTCAAACTGCACGAGCTAGGTCAAGAGGTTAAAACCGGCGCTTGGTTGCCGCCTCCGACTGCGCAGCGTAGTAGACCCACGGCTCGCAGCACTCGTGCTCGCTGCACTCCAAGGACTCCTGTACGACAAGCTTCCCGTCGGTGATGGAGGGCGCAAACGTAGCCGAGCGATGCAGTCCGTAGCTGTGAGGGCGTGTGCTATCCTTGGCGATGATCTCGCGCTCGAGGTTCTTAGCGCAAGACTTGACTTGCTGAAGCAGGTCAAGCATGGTCGAGTAGAGCTCGGGACGCTCCGTGCAGGCTCCTCGAGCAGCCATGCGGGATATGGAGATGCCGTGGCGCGCGCATGAGCGGGCGTTGAGATACGAAAGCGCCTGGTTGCAGTTTGCGCGAGGAAGCAACGTCTTGTCGTATTTGGCACGCTTCTCGGGATCTAGAAGCGTCTGATACGCGTGCTGGCATTCCTGTTAATTGAGCGAATCGGGGAAGGATTTTGCGTTAAAAATTGCGTTAATAAGGTGCAGCTTTGAACAAACCGGCATTGGGCACAGGAAAAGGCAACACGACACGACGTCGCGGTCGACGAACTTCATCGAACATGCGGATACTATATTATCCTTCGGCACGGTGCACTGCTCCCACAGACACTGAAAACGCTGGACGCGACCTTACATGTACACCGGGACAGACAAAGATCGCAAGACGCGCTTATAAGATTCACAGAACCTAAAGTTGCAACTGTTTTGCAAGATGCTTACAAGCTTACATCTAGATGCAACTAACACGTAACGCCCGCTTACCAAGAATGCAAGCGTCGCAAGAGGGTCGGTAGGGCAGACGTCCGGGTGGCATTGCTTAGCCTTGCGCCTAAACGCTACCTGTGAAGAAGGTATAGGCGAGAGGATGCAACCAATATCAACAAAGGAGCACATTGTTGACAATTGCCAAGTGGTCAAGAAGGACAGCCATGCTCCTGTAATGCAAGACGCTACATGGAGCATAGTTGACGAACATCTTAACATGGTGCAAAATAGCGGCATCCCCGCAGAGGGTAGGGGTAGATAGTCGTGCCGCCATGGTGATTGAAGTCAATTGCGACATACCTTGATGGCCTCTTCATCAGCATCATAACTCACGCCCAGCGTTCTGTATGGGCATTTCCCGCCTAGCGCAAGGCTACGACTGGCAGCCATAAAGGCACAAGTCACGACGACAGGACGCCTGGGGGCGGCCGCAGCCCTAGTTACTTTGCAGCGACTTGTCTGGGGTAGAACTGTGCCCCTCATTTTGGGGACGAGGATGCAAAAGGATTAAGGAGAAAAGCGCGGTGTAAAGCCGTAAGCGAACTGATTGGCGTTTCCTAGCCGCGAGCGTTGTCTACTGTAAAGGCAGTGTAGCAATTTGCCTACTTGTAATAACGTAGGTGTAAGAGTGGTATAGGTAGATCGCTTTATGTGTGAATCCAGGGCTTTCAGCAGAGTAATCGACGTACAAATAACCAGCTTCGGAACCGCATTCACAATTACATCACCAGCAACGCTCCTCAAAGTTCCAACAAGGCTAGTAGCGACAAGCATTGCTTATATTCTATTAATATCCTTATTTTGTCGAGGGGCTTTTTTCTTGTTCCCGATCAACATGCGAGCGGCAATCCTCGACTGCGAAGACGCTCTGAAATGGAAGGATTGGTCAGAACGTTTGTGGCGCATGCTTCTAGAGGCGCCAAGGGACAAGTTCACAGTATTCAGGCAGGTTTGCGGTTAAAGAGCAACTATCTGGACGAGCTTCGAACGGTTTGTGCAGCCAGGACTATGGTTGTATGGCTCCAACGTAATACGGTACATCCCTACCATCATGGTACATGTTAGGGTAGCCCCTGTTAATTCAGAAACCTGTAAACATAAAGAATTCCTGCGAATACACCAAGCACCTTTCCTTCCAAGACAAGAAATCCCTGCCAGTCTTACATCATATGCAGCCCGCCAGCCCTTTCCAGAGGCTTGGCATGGAGTTTGGCATACTCACCACTTTCCACACCCCTTGCATCTTGGCTGCGAATTGGCGTCGTGGCGGCCACCCTCTATCAACAGCGACCCGTGGGACACTCAGGACCCACTGCTGTTCGCCACAGCGGCCAAGCCTTCCCCGAACTTAACCAACATTCCACCCACATGTTACAGCTCCGCCCCATGTATCAAACCCACATGTGCCGTGACGTCCAAGGCAGCCAACCCAATTCGCTCTCACTCCGCACGACCCAAACACAACTCCTCCTCCCCATCCTTCACCTCCTCCTCGCCTCCTCCTCCGCGCCTCCACCTCCTCGCCTCCCTTCAGGTGTCACGCCGGCGAGTTCCCCGACCCCGCCACCGTCGCCGCCTCCTTCGACGTCCTCCTGCTAGGCGGCAGCCACCACAGCGCGTACGACACTCATGTGCCCTGGATCCGGCAGCTGGGTGCGCTGCTGCCTCGCTACCTGGCTGCGGGGGTGCGGGTGGTGGGCTGCTGCTTCGGACACCAGCTGCTGGCGCAGGTGGGGGCAGGGAGGGAGGGAGGGAACTGGCGAGCTGTGTGACGAGGTGGGGGCAGGGAGGAGGCGGGGGGTGGAGGAGGAGGGAACCAGAAGAGGAGGAGCAGGTCTCTCTGGGGCAGAGAGAAGGGTAGGTCTCGCTTGTGAGCTCAGGGGGAAAGGAGGTAGAAAGGAGCATGGCAGGCTGAGCAGCAGTAGCGTCAGTAGGGTGGACCGAAGGGTGGGGCCGCGCGGCCTCCGCATGCGCAGGTTCCGCATTGACCCATTGAGCGCCTTCGCCCTCCGCCCCCTGCCCCCTTACCGGCGCCCTTTCCCTCAGGCGCTGGGCGGGTCGGTGGGTCGCAACCCCTCGGGTCGCTTCGTGCTGGGGCTGGAGCGGGTGCGGGTGGACGTGGCGGCGGCGGCGGCATGCGGGCTGCACCTGGCTGGGCGGCAGGGGGCAGGGGGCGGAGGGGGGCAGGCGGCAGGAGGGGAGGTGGAGGGACAAGAGAGGGGACGAGGGGGGCAGCAGCGGGGGAAGGAGAAGGAGGAGGAGGAGACGGCGGAGGAGGAGGAGCTGAGCACCCGGGGGCCAAGAAGCTTACCCAGCGGAACAGGAGCAGCAGTGGAGGAGGGCGGCGAGGGCAGGAGTGCCACCCGGTGCCCTGCATGTGAGCACAGCACCGCCGGTGGGGGTGGGGGTGGTGGGGGTGCTGCTGCTGCTGCCGCCGCCCCTCCTGCTCCCAGCAGGTTGTTGCTGCCGGGCTGTTGCGAGCTGCGGCTGCTGCAGAGCCACGGGGACCAGGTGCTGCTGCTGCCGCCCGGGGCAAGCAGGCTGGCGGAGTCGGGTGGGTGGAGGGTGGGTGGGAGGGATGGGGTAGGTGGGAGGGGGACATTTAGTTAGGATTGTAGCAACTGGAGGAGGTGGAGGGGAGGGTTGGGGATGGTAGCCGGAGGAGGAGGGCTGCTGGGAAGAGGGAGGCGGCTGGGGTGCAATGCAAGCGAGTAGTGGTGAGTGGGGAAAAGAAGAATAGAATGCCCAATGCGTTGTGCGGCAATGGTAGCTAGGCGACAAACCCTGGGGGGAGTGATCCATGTGGGCTTCTGCTGGAAGCGCACGCACGCACTTCCACCGCTTCCTCTCACCCGCCACCGCCCCTATGGGGTTCGGCTTATACAAACGTTTTGGTTTATTTCTGGCACACACACACACACACACACACACACACACACACACACGCCCCCCACTACCACCATGTTACCCCATCTGACGGCTCCAGACACCGCCGCCAACGAGATGTGGGCGCTGGGCGACCGCTGCCTGGCCTTCCAGTTCCATCCCGAGCTCACCCCGGATCTGGTGTACGACAAGATCTGGCGGGCGCTGGCGCCGGCGGAGGTGGTGGCGGCGGCGGAGGCGGCGGAGGCTGGGGGCAGCGGTAGCAGTAGTGGAGGCGGAGGAGGCGGAGGAGGCGGAGGAGGAGGAGGCGGGAGCGGGCGGTTGAGTGCGGCTGAGGCGGTGCAGGCGGCGGCTCAGTTGCGGGCGGCGGGGCAGGCGGACGCGCTGGACACGGGGGTGTTTGTGGAGGTAGGCGGGGTAGGGGGGTGCGGGGGTGCGGGCTGCAGGGTGCGGGCTGCGGGGGTGTAGGGTGTAGTGCATGGCATGCAGGGCTGGGAGGAAGGGAGGCTGGGAGGAAGGGAGGAAGCATGCCGGTTGGGAGGTTGACCAGCGGACAGGGGGGCGTTTGCGGAGTGGGGTGGGGTGTGTGTTAAGAAAACTGGCCGCGAGTCGGAACCCAGACCCGCCCCCCCTTGGTTCCCGGGTTGCACTTAGGGCCACTTGGTGCAAGGTGCGGGGGTGCATGCCGCTAGGGGGAGCACCCCGACATGCAGGCAGCCTCCCGGACTCCCCAACCGCCTCTCCACCCCGTCAAGGCCGCTGCGACACCCACATGTGCCCCCTCCGCTCCCCCCCCCCGCCTGCAGGCCCTCCAGGGTTACATCCGGGCACCTGCCGCCACCCCGGCCCCACTGCCGCTGGGGGCGCGGGTGCCACCCCACCCCACAGCGGCGGCGGCGGTGCCGGGGGAGGCGACTGCGGCAGCAGATGCGGCGGGGGCGAGTGCGGTGGTTGAGGCGGCGGCGGCGTCGACCGCAGCGGCGGCGGCGACAGCGGTTGAGGCGGCGGCAAGTGGCTGCGCTGCGGCGGCGGCGGAAGTACGACAGGTACGGTTGTTTGTTGTTTGGGGAGCATGTTGGTTGGGAAGCATGGTGGTTGGGGAGCATGGTGGTTGGGAAGCATGGTGGTTGGGAAGCATGCTACCGGACAGCACGCTTAGGGGCGCAGGTGGTTGAGAGGGTGGCCTGGATGACGATGGCTGCACCAGTGGTGGAAACCTTGGTGAAGGGTACCTCCTGGTAAGGATACCCCGTGTGCTGCTGCTGCTGTTCCCTTCCGCAAGCCGGTCTGCGGAGGGTGCTGACCATGCTGCCTTCCAGGGTGCTCACCATGCAACCCACCGCCCCCCCGCCCATGGTGAAGCCGTATCATACAGCTCGTCAGTTGCCTCATCAGTTTCCTTATCCCCCCGCCATCCGCACCCGCCGCCCGCCCACCACCCCCCTCCCCGCACCCTCCCCCAGGCTGCGGAGAGGCGGTTGGATGCGGCGACGGAGGAGGTGATGGGGCACATGCGCGGGGCGGCGGCGGCAGGTGCGTGTGCGGTAGTGGCATGGGCGCAGCACGCGTGATGGAGGGTGGAGGGTGGTGGCAGCAGGGGCCCTGATGAAGGCCAGGAGAGGTGAGGGCGGTGGCGGTGGCGGTGGCTGATGTACCGCTGACGAGCCGCTCCTGCCGCTCCCCAACAACATCCCCCAACAACATCCCCCTACTACTACCGGTAGTCCGGTACTGTAGCCTGCTAGCTAGCACCCCTCGCCCCCAGCCTACTCAGCCCTACTAACCCCAACGTTCGGGAATTCACCCCTAGCCCCAACGTCGCCAGTTTCCTCCTTCCTACCCATCCCTAACCGCACCCCTAACCCCAACCCTCCCTCTCCCACTCACTGCATGAGTCGGGCTCTGGGACTCTAGTTGTTTGCATTTATTATATAATCCCCCCCCTGCAGCCCTGGCCTCCGCCACCAGCCCCGCGCAACTGCTCACGGACCTCAACCGGCAGGCGGCGGGGGCGTACGGCAGCGCGGCGGCGCAGGTGGAGGCGGCGGAGGCGGAGGCGGCGGGACGGGTGCCGCTGCAGGTAGGGGCGCTGGCGCAGAGGCGGCCCTGCGCTGGTAGCGGTGCCTGCTTGGGCGGTTGCAAGGGGCGCACTTCACCCCCCCAGTCCCCTGGTCCCCTGCTCCTCATTGTCTTCCTCCGCGCCCTTCGCTATATCATTCAACGCATGGTTCTTCCTCTCCTGCCCGCCTCCTCCTCTCCTCACTCCTGGCTTGGGTCGGGCTGGCTCACATGTTGCAAACCATGATGATGCCGTATCCCACGGTCAGTTAGTTGTTTCCTCCCCCCTCCCCCCTCCCCCCAGTCAGCGCTGTCCTCGCTGCAGTGTCTGGAGGCGCAGCTGGACCGACTGGCGGCCGTGGTGGGGCGGCTGGAGGAGGAGAGCAGGCAGCTGGAGGGGGAGGTGGAGGGGGAGGTGGGGCGGGGGGAGGGGGAGTGAGGAGAGGAGGGGGAGGAGGGAAATGGAGCGGGGGCAGGGGGAGTAGAGAGGAGGGGCAGGGGGAGGAGGGAGGAGAGGAAGGGGGTGTAGAGAGGAGAATACTAGCCATGTGACAAGGCAGTGGGACGGGATGGAGCATGGGTAACCCAACTGAGCCGCGATGAAACACTGGGTGGGGGGAAAGGAGCATACCCAATGTGGTGATTGACACTGGGTAAGGGGGCGCGGCAGTGAGGAAGTAGCTGGTTGCGGCAGTGAGAGAGGGGGTGAGGGGGCGAGGGGGTCGGGCATGGGGAAGAGGAGCGAATGGCAGCCGGGATGGGGAGGGGTGGAGGGACGGAGGGACGGAAGCAGCAGGAGGTTAGAGGAGTGGAGGGCGAGAGGAGTTGGAGTGGTGGGGGCGTGACGGTGGGGGGCGTGCGTGCGTGTGTTTGTTTTAGGGAGAATGGGGCAGCATGTGCAGGGAGGCATGGGTCAACAAGCACGGTTTGATTTGTACGAACATATTTTTTACAATTCATAGCAGATACGTTGGTTGGCATTTTTGTGAGCTTTGCATGGCAAGGGAACACGATGACGACTCAGTAGGGGAATCCGTAGAGATGAGGTCGCTGTTGCTGGAGGGAGCTGCGGAGCTGGAGGTGTAACTCAACCGTTCTGCGCTGGCTTCCCCTTTTTCCTTCCCCTCTCCATTCGACCTTTCCTCCCGGCCTCTGGTCAGCAAAGTCCATGCAAAAGCAAAGGTTTCGGCATGGCACTACCCTACGACACACAGGCAAAGGCCGTACAGACTGGGCTCATGCAGGTTCATGCAAGCAACATGGAATGAATGTTAAATTGCATTGTAATTTTGTTTTTGAGTTTAGGAGCAGCTACGACTAATAGCTAGCTGTGCTCAGGGCGAGTTGCTGACCATCATAAACATTTTCATAGCAACGCGACAGTAAAATTTGTCTTGTTGTTAAACTCGTATCAGTTGCACTTTATAAAGCTACTGTTAGGGGTCCCCTGTATCGGGACCAGGCCCGATGCGGCTGCTGCAAAAATGTCAGCAGCTTTTGCGTGGAGCCTGTGTAGCTGCAGACCAGGGCTGTGCATTTAGTCCGAGCGGCGTTAAGCACTGGGAGTCGGCCGTGCAGCAGCTTGGACGAGCTGGCAGCCTTGCTGATGGGAGTCGCGACCTCGCAAGTCTTGCACCGTGGCAGCAGCTGCGCTATCTTAGCCTGTCAACTGGGAGTACGCTTTCGGCTTCATCCAACAGCATTCAGCCTGCTTCTGGATTGCCTGCGTCGCTAGCCCTGCCTTGGGCAGTGTCGCAAGTCAGGGGCTTGTTCGGCGCGCGCAAGCCTGCGCCACCCAACCCCCAAATTCACACCCACGACAAGTACAAGTTTACATACAAGCAGCCTACCTACGAGTAAGCATCCTTTTAGCAATTGGGCGTGAACGATGGGAGGGGTGCTTGGGACAAGAAACACGCAGGCTTGCACTATCAGCTCTTCGCTCTCACGCTAATGCACCTGGAAGACACAAATGCACGGCCTGATCATGCATATGCATAGAGTGCATCCTGAGCCTCTTCCACAGTGGGTTGCACCAAGCATCCCTCCCACCAAGCTTCTCCCCTCAGCATCTCTGCATCCCTCCCTCCTTCCTCCTTCCATCCCTCTCCCTCCCCCCCTTCCTCCTTTTCCCTTCCTCCACAGCTTCCTCCAAGGTCGCTTCGTGGTGGACCGCAATGACGTCATCTGGCACCGCCAGGCCAATTACCGCCACGCGCGCTACGCCAAGACCGCCTCGCAGCTCACCCGACTCAAGCGCTGGAAGCCGCTGGCCGCAGCCTACGCCGCCAAGCTGCACAAGGTGGGGTTCCGGAGCCGCTACTGGGCGGCGCCCAACCCTCAAGAGGTGCCTGGCTTCCATGACCCCAGCGGCAAGGACACGCGGCAGCGGCGGCGGTCTGCGGTGCCGGCGCTGAACCAGACGACGGGCGACCCGGCGCTGCGGCAGAGCTGGAAGACGCCGAACCGCCAGAAGCTGCGGTGAGGCGGGCCGGAGGAGTTGCTGGTGCTGTTGTTGGTGCGGTGAGGAGAAGGAGGAGGAGGTTAGGAGGAGGAGCGGGGGGCGGGGGAGGTTAGGAGGATGCGTTTGTCGTAGCAGAGGACAAGGCGGTGTTTAGCTGCAGGGCTCAGGAGGACGAGCGTTCTGGGTGGAAGATGAGTGGGGCAGAGGAGGGGCTGTGTAACTGTGGAGGTTGGAATATTGTGGTGGTTGAGGGCAGGGATGAGGGGACATGCGTTGGTTGAAGGCCGCGACTGCGGCGGGAAGAGTCAGGGTGGGAAGGAAAAATTATATACTTGAAACAACGAGTCCCAATCCCATATCCCGACTCATGCAGTGAGCGCATTCGGAGACTCCATCAGGGTGGGAGGGAGGTTAAGGCAAGCCAACGTGGTGGGGGGCTTTGCATGGATGGGATAAGGGCGCCTGCGAAAGGAGGAGACACGGTTGATGCTCCAACACGGTGTTGGGCTAGCAGGAGGCAGGTGTGTTATGCGGTATGGAGGTGATGCGGTTACATGGAGTGCTGCACAGTGCAGCAGGTGTCGCCGCGGGCAGTGTTTTGAGCAAGTCCAACTTGCAGTAAGGTTTCCTGCACTGTTTTGTAAAGTCGATTGCTTACCTCCCCTACTCACCATCCGTTCTTCCTTAGTCGCAAGTGCGGCAGTTGCACCGCATGTACAAATGGCGCCGTACACTATGTCAACAGCATAATTATGCTGCCTTCTTCATAGCTAAGTCAGTGCTAGCGCTTCTGTCTACTGCGATAACGAACCCGTTGCTCCAACGTTGCGCGGGCTTGATTGTTGAGCTGCAAGCCAATTGCGTGAGACTTCAAACGCTTCCATTCGCAACGACGCTGCAGCTGACAGGAGGTTAGCCAACCAAACCAGGCTAGTCGGTGTGGTCCGTAGGGGAACGCTTACATACCATGGCGAACCTCCAGACTGGCCTTAGCCTCCAGCACCAATGCGGACACACCTGCTGCGTGGTGCACGAGTTTGGAAACATGTACCGCTGCGTCAGCTCTGGCCTGGTGCACATCTGCGATTCCACATGCAATCAACGGCTATATCGCGATGTAGGGATGCGTCCGCCTGCCTCCTTGCCAACTATCCTGCTTATGTGCTGACATTTTTCGCCGCGCCTTCGCAGAGGTATAGCACAATATGCCGTATTAGCAAGAAGTTGCATCCTCCGTTCGAGCAAGCTGGCATGGATGTTGAGGCGGAACCACGGTGGGTACCTCCCGCTTAAGCCTTTGGATACATACCGATACATACAAGTGTAGTGTGTTCATCTATTCTTTCCGTCTTCCTTATGGCGCAGCTTTCACACCCGCGCCTTGTATCTTGCCGATTTTCCTACAGGAAGCGCACGGGCGACGAAGGACTTGAAACAAACGACTCTTGGAAGCGGCGTGCTCACACACCGGTGTCTTGCTAAGGAGCTGCGCGCCGTACCACGTTCTCGATAAGGCGGGACGCCTCCAGCAATACCTGTAGACAGCAGGTTCCAGGACGCTGGGTGCAGGCGAACTTATATTCCCCCTGGCTGTATGGAAACTCTGTGCGTGGACCCCACACGAGATGCCTGATTTGGGAATGGGCTCACACGTTCTCGTGTAACAAGGATCGCGGGGTAAAGAGGAAATGGGGAATCGCGGGGGTTTGCAAGGTTGGCGTAGGGGCCACAGGGCAGTAGAGCCAATGCAGACTTCGGTGCAGAGCACTGTCGCTTGGTGCCAGCTGCCCAAAGGTTGGCATCATGGCTATGTCGCTGCCGCTTTATAGGGTTATGAACATTTCTTTTATATGGGGTCCGGAACTACAACCAAAGTTGCTTAGGCTCTTATTACTGGCGGTACTGATGATTACAGCCTTCGGGCCTATGGACAGACGTTTTATGTTCACGGGTCGCTGGCCGGCTTGGTGGGGTTTCTGTCTTGTATTGTTATATTTGCATGGCATGACGCGGCGCCTTTTGACCTGGTGTGTCCCGGGAGCGTGTTATCATCGTATCAAAGATTGGTGCTAACCCAAATGGGCCTAGGGAATTGTGCGGCGCGGCATTTCTGTGGCGCATTGCTGTGGTGGTGACGAAGCCTTCCTGACACCTTGGTCAGCCTTCCTGTCAACTCTGGTGGGACGGCCGTCAACTTCATGAAGCCCGGGTGCGCGTGTATGTTGTGAAAACTGGGCGCGAGTAGGAGCGTACCGGATTGTTGGAAGGTGGTGTCCCCGCCAAAACGCTACGGGAGACGAGGAGTGCATGTGCGAGTGTATGTATGTGGCGTTTGCATGCTGCTGGCACGCACGTGGGAGGTGATGGTGGGTGGTAGCGTTTCCTGGGTGCGTGTTGGTGGTAGCGTTGCATGGGCGCGGCGTGTTTGTGTGTCGTGGCATGTGTTGTGAGGCGCGTTGCTGCGGCGGTGTGGTCCCATGTGAATAGCATCGGAACTTACAGGGTTGTGAACCGGACCGCACGCACGCACTTGCGGATTGTCATTATACTTTGGGCATTTTGCACCTATGTATGATAGGTCGTTGGTGCCGGGAGGGCAGCAGCAGCAGGGTTTGTATTGCTCGGATCTTTGGGTGGGTTTCTCTTCAAGGCATGAGTGGGGTTGTGCGTGTTGGCAGGTGCGTGGAACTCCAAAGGCGTAGTAACGAATGGGGAGACTCTAGGCCAGCGCCTACATTTTGATGTGGAGCAACCGGTTTGTGTTGGTTCGGGCATGGTTGAGGGTTTCGTGATGTGGGGTTCCTCGGACCATGACGGGGCGAGGTTGTTGAACAACGTCCTCACGGGTGTTTGCGTCGATGGATGCTAGCGCATGGGGCTAGAGGGGTGTGGCGGCTGGCCCAGATAGTCGTAGCCGACGCTTCGTCGCTACCAACTGTCCAGTGTGACCAGTGTCCCAGTGCGGGTTGGTTTCTTCCTAACCCCCAGCGAGGGTCCTGTGCAGGAGAGGCGTGTGTTGCCTGTTCCAGCACCGCACTATGTGTGGGATTGGGGCTCCGCTGGCAGGGCTGCTGTTACACCAGGAGGCGTCTGCCGATATACGCATTTATTGCTCTCCACATAAAGCGATGTTGCTAAGCCTCATCGTTTCTCCTCCTGCTGTGTTTTTAAACAAGCCCATAATTGCTAAAAGCGACGAAGCGACCCGAGTCGCGTTTACCGTACGCGACTCCGTAATGTGTGTAGGAGGGCCACCCGCCTTTTCGCATCAAGCCTGAACATGCCGCACTGCTTGTTATAGTCTACATATGAATCATGGCCGGCCCCCCTTTTCAATGCTCAGCATACATTTGTAACGCAGGAGGTTGACAAAAAGGCACTCGGACTTGCATTGAGGCCCTCAGTATGGGCAATATACTATGCCTTTCGGGACAGACGGATGCGGGGTTGGCTGCAATTAGCAAGGATATTCCTGTCCAGCCAACAAAGGAGCCACTGACTCAGTCCTCGAGACATTCGAACATTCCCTGTTTAGAGGTTATTGGAATTTCTGGTAGGACCATCGACGACGAGGAAGAGGGGCGGAAGCTAGAAATGGGAGACTTGAGTCACCAAGGTTGTCCGTCAGCCGCAAACAGCAGCTCACAACACTTGCTTATCACGACCAATTCCCTGATACCACCTACACCAGTGGGAACGGAAAACGTCATATTTCAGGCAAGGTTTCGAAGCCCTATGCACATTCTGCACAATTGCAGCTGGTGCTCTATTGCTTGAACAAGTTGATATGCTTACTGCAGTCGCCGGAGCAAATGATGGAGGATGTCCAACTATTAGAGCCAATTGGCTCGGGTGGCTTCGCTATTGTGTATAGAGGTGAGGATGCCAACGGCCTTCAACCGTTGTGCTCCACTTGCAGCAACCATGCTAACATATTAAGTACTCCACGCAGGTGTTTATCAAGGCGGCGACGTGGCTGTCAAGATTGCGGTCACAAACACCGTAGACCGAAGTGGACTACGCGAAGCCCTTGTTAGCCCACAACTTCGTCATCCCCATGTAGGTCATGGTGGGAAAGAAGCAACTTGTCACTCCTAATAACAATAATGGGTTGAAGCCTAGTCGCCGCTGCAAGGCAGGAAGGCAAGCAGCGGCTTACCTCTGCGTGTACAGCATTACGGAAAGCCTTGGCTCATATGCGGTCCGGAAAGCAAACCAACGGTTATGCGAATGCCTCGCTATCCATATAGACTTCAAAGTCCGCACCTAGAACGATGCGTTTACCGGATGTTTGCCGTACTTCCGTTACTGCCGTACACGACGTGCAGGTCGTACAAACGTACGTCACCCGTGGTGCGATGCTGACGGCTGAGCACATAGAGGAGGTGTACGGCAGTGCGGGATCGGCAGCACCGGCAACCCGGCGTCAGCTGCAGTCGCTGTCCTCAACCGTATCAGGTAGGTAGGGGTTTCAGGGTAGGTGTAACTGCGGTCCCAGTTTCAGTCCTGCACGCACAAGGGCCTTCCAGGCGCCACTGATTGAACCCGGCTGCGAAGGCCACGCAGCCCTAGGACAATCGCCAGTCGTTTGTTCAGCCCCCTGCATCCTCCCACCCTGCACCTGCATGTCATACCGGTACAGCTCGTCAGTTCCTTTCTCTCAAAGGGTTCGTTTCTTCCACCTTACAACCCTCTCCAGAGGATGGTCTGGGCGCCCCGCGCAAGGCCTCCCACGAGCAGCAGGACTGGCGGGAGGTGCTGCTGCGGATGGGCGCAACACCCGACCGCTGCCTGGTCATGCTGGTGCAAGGTGTGCGCTTGAGGGCTTCAGGTTGCGTGAGAAGCAGATACGGGATGATACTGGGATGATAACAATTGATCGATCTCACACATACCGGTACACCATACAAAGTCATGGAGTTTCACGTGTCTTTCCACGGCTGTACCCTTCATTATCGCACCTCGTACCTGAAGAATCGCACCTCGTACCTCCCCTTCAGAGCTTTGCGAAGTGGGTAGCTTGGCTCGCGCCATTCGCCAGGGCATTTTTAAATCCAGAGCGGCTGTACGATCGGATCTGGTGGCTCGTCGGGTACTGCTGCGTACGGCAGCTGAGATCTGCCGCGGCATGATCCACCTGCATTCGGCGTCAGTCGTGCACGGTAGGAATGAGTGCGTTAAGGAAGCTGCCGCAAGTGGTACTCAGTGTCGAGTGAGTGTGTATAGGAAATTGGCCGCGAGTGATGCGTTAAACGGTCTTCTTACAATGCTTCTTGCTCAGTGCATTCCCATCCCGCTTACCGTATGTTGTGTTGTCCTTTTGGGTCGCCCGCTTGTCGTGGTGCCACGTGTCAACGAATGTCGTACCCTACGTCGCGCTTTACGTCCCCCCGCAGGTGACCTTAAACCCGCCAATGTGCTTCTGGCTCGCTCTCGAGCTGACCGGAGGGGATTCGTAGCAAAGGTGTGTGCGTATGTGTGTATGACAGCGTGCACTGTATGGCAGCGTGGACCGGTTTTTATACGGCGTGTATGCACAGTGCTGTGTATGCATCACCAGGGGAAATAAGAAGGAGCTTCAGCCTTGCCAGCGTCCGCTTGCTGCTATTAGCGGCTTGCCGTTCAAGCCTTTTCGTGTCCCCTGCTCGTCCCTCTTCATGCATCGTAATAACATGCGGCCACAGGTTGCTGACTTTGGGTTATCACATCTGCTCCAAAGTGGTGCTAGCCGAGTGGAGTCCGCGAGTTGGGGTAAGGGGGTGGTTGGTTGGTGTCAGCCTTTTAGTATGTAGGATGAAACCCTGCCTCGCAAACTGTTTCTGACACCGCCACCTGTCTCCAGCCACCTGCCACCAGCTGCACCTTTTGAGATCCTTTCCTTCCCTCCTTTGGCACTCTGCCGTACAACGTTTGGGGTTTTCCTAACTGTTTCCTAACCGCCTAACCGCCGCACAACTGCCTGCCAACAGGTACCGTGTCGTACGCTAGTCCGGAGAGCTTCAACGGCACCCACTCCAAGAGCTCTGACGTGAGTATCGTGACGTTGTGCCATCTTTCCTTGTCGTGCGCTTTTTTCCTGTAAACGCCGTCTAATTTGCCGTACTTCCCGTCTCATCCCTTGTTTTCACCATCCACGGTGCCACTGTGTTTTGCTCCTTGTTCCCGCCCAAGCTTCCGCTTGTTTCATGCTTCCTTGTTGCATGCTTCCGCTTGTTGCATGCAGGTCTACTCGTTCGGTGTCCTGCTCTGGGAGATGCTCACTGCGAAGCGGCCGTACGAATCACACACGGCAGGTACGACAAACGCATGTTGCCGTACGGAAACGACAGCGTTGCCGACCTTGCGACATCGCGCACCCGCCCGGCTCTTAACTGTACCACACATCCACCTGACCACATCCCCCTGAGAGCCCACACATAGCCTGACCACCTACATACCCCACCTGACAGTGCTACCCTCTACTGCCAGTACCGGTATTTCCATGCCCGCTGCCAGCTCGTCCACACCCGTTTCGTTTTCTTGGCAAGTTTCCTTAACACACACACTCTCCCTCCCTCCCTCCTTGCCTCCCCCATCCCTCTGCACGTGTCCCGCTTCCAACGGTGAAACGTGCCAAACACACGACACCCGCACGCACCCATGCATGCGCGCAGTCCAAATCATGATGGGTGTGAGTCTTCAGGGGCTGCGCCCCGAGTGGCCCGAGGCGGAGTGGCCGGAGCTGTGTGCCCTGGGTGCGCGCTGCCTGGCTCAGCAGCCGCAGCAGCGACCCAGCTTCCGGCAGCTGGAGCGGGAGCTGGTGGCGCTGGAGGAGGGGCTGAGGGTGAGGGGGGAGATGAGGGCAGGGAGGGGGGGCTGAGAGTGAGGAGGAGGGGCTGAGGGTGAGGAGGAGGGGCTGAGGGTGAGGAGGAGGGGCTGAGGGTGAGGAGGAGGGGCTGAGGGTGAGGAGGAGGGGCTGAGGGTGAGGAGGAGGGGCTGAGGGTGAGGAGGGGGGGCTGAGGGTGAGGGGGGAGATGAGGGCAGGGAGGGGGGGCTGAGAGTGAGGAGGAGGGGCTGAGGGTGAGGAGGAGGGGCTGAGGGTGAGGGGGGAGATGAGGGCAGGGAGGGGGGGCTGAGAGTGAGGAGGAGGGGCTGAGGGTGAGGAGGAGGGGCTGAGGGTGAGGAGGAGGGGCTGAGGGTGAGGAGGAGGGGCTGAGGGTGAGGAGGGGGGGCTGAGAGTGAGGAGGAGGGGCTGAGGGTGAGGAGGAGGGGCTGAGGGTGAGGAGGAGGGGCTGAGGGTGAGGAGGAGGGGCTGAGGGTGAGGAGGAGGGGCTGAGGGTGAGGAGGAGGGGCTGAGGGTGAGGAGGAGGAGGTTGCTAGGCGTATAACTGTGGCAACTACAACTGGCATCTGTCGTTCTTTTGTTCGCCCTTCCTCCCCACCATGCCCTCATCTCTCCTCATTACCGGTAACCCCGTCTCCCTCCCTCACCCCCGCCTTTCCTGGTGTCAGGAGGAGAGCATCCGCCGGTCCGCAGAGCGCTCCCGGCCCTCCGCCTCGCAGCAGGGGCAGGGGCAGGGCCAGGGGCAGGGGCAGCAGCCTGGGCTGTCCTCACAGGAACTGACACCTCGGGCCTCACTGGAGCTGCAGCCGTTACGCGACGGGATTGCAGCCGGCGGCAGCGGTGGTGGCGGCAGCTGCCGAGGCGGCAAGAAGCCACCAGCTGAGAGGGCTGTCAGCAGTGACAAAGGCGGCGGAGGCGACGGCGGTGTCAGCAGTCTTCCGGCCCTGCCAAGTACACCGGGGGTGCCGGAGGCAGCAGCGGCTGCTGCGTCCCCCTTGTTGCAACGACTGAGGATGCATGGTGGCGGCAGCGGTGGCGGTGACAGCAGTGGTGTCGCTGGTAGCGGCGACGACAGCAAGGGTGGGGTGTACGGACGGGGAGGGGGCGATGCTGCTGCGGCCCGCAGTACTTGCTGCGACCTCACTGACAAGGAGCTGGCACAGCTGGGGGACTACCGCTGCAGCCCTGATGCAGATGTGGTTGTTCGGGGGGGCTTTGCAACAGACTACGGCAGTGCTGGTAAAGCCCTCGGGTGCAGTACCGGCGGTGTTGATAAGGGCACCGCAGCAACCGCAGCAGTAGCAGCAGTTGCACCTGCTAGCAGCGATGCCAACGGCAGTCATCCCAGCGTTGCTGACATCTGCGGCGCCTCCCTGCTGTATGTAAGCCCCACTGCGGCGGGAACTGCTGCTGCTTCCGGTAATGCTGCTGGCACAGCCACCAAGGATACCCTCGTCGACCCCTGCGCCGCCTCCGCAACTCCAACCTCAACTTCGACCACCCCCATTACTACCGCCATTGCTGGTGCGGCTCCTCCGGCTGCTGATCCTGCCCCTGTCGCTCTGTCTGAGCAGGAAGCCAGGGGCACCAGGGCAGCAGTAGCAGCACCCGTGTGGGGTGTGTACGGCAAACCCAGCACATCATGGGATAGTAGTGTCGTACGCTGCAGCTACAATGGCAGCCATGGAAACGGCCAGGCTTCCTGCCTGAAAGGCAAGCATGGAGGGCAAGAGGTACGTGCCATGGAGGAATCGCCGCCACTTTGGGCAGCATCCGCTTCGTCTGCTTCGTCTGCCGCCGTGAATGCCAAGGGACGGGTGACCCATGGGTCACCACCGCCGGCGACTAACCGGAAAGGACGCTGAAGGCTTCCATGCATGCGCCCTTGGACTGAACTGTGGAAGGGTAGCACCTGCAATTGTGTGTTGGGTGTGCACCTGACCCATGGGTCGTTAAAAATCCATGTCATTGGCGTGTTGTAGTTCTGCCTCTAGGCGGCTTTTTCGTTTTTCGTCAGTTGGGGAGGTGTGACATTCAGGGGTCGACATTCCGTCAGTATCCGAAAGCTTTAGCTGGTCTGCAGGGAAGGAAACGTACTGTAAAATGTACTGCTAAAAGGTCGTATGCTTTGCATATGTTGTACTACTATACGTTCCAAACACTGCGCTGATGCCATGATCTGTCGTACTTGGGGCTTAAATGACGCATGGGCGTACGGCGGCTCTCGAATTCAATCTAAACGGTTGCTCGTACGCACGGGGGAGGGTCGTACGAATAACGAAGATTTGGAGTACCACACCGCTCTGGGTAATCCGCCTTTTGGGTTTCCGCAAGCGGTTGTGCAGAAGTGCGCTTTGCAGGAGGACTTGATCGAACCTGTGGATCCTGTTAACCAACCGCCAAGTACGCGCTGATCCGCTGCAGTTGGACTTACCAGTTTCGGTTGTCGGTTGCAATTGACTTTTGACCTCTTCACAATTCGTGAATTTGCACGCTTCGCTGGTGCTGTTAGTAACGCTGTATTACCGGATTGCCAAGCCGCTTATGTGTGTGGTTGGGTCTTGGGCGCCGTTTGCAGCTAGATTAGCCGCAAGCGGCTCATGTTACATGTTTGCTCGGGACTTCTCTCTCTATCTGACAGTTGGACTTGTCCGCGCCCAAATAACGGGTTTTCCTGCCGGTTCTTGTTTAGGCCGGTCCACTAAGCCAGGCGTGTGTGAAGGTGATTGTGTATGGTGTGCTGTTGGAATTGAACCCTGCAAGCTGCTGCTGACAGCTCCTAGCCTGGCTAGCCGCCAACGCATCAGAAGGCTGGTATTACGCTTTTTTATGCGTGCGGCTGTGAATGCGGATTTTTGTGCGTGTCTACAGGTGTCTATCTTCCAGATTAAGAGGAAGCGCAACAACAGTGACCTGTTGGCAAAAGTGCTGCGGCAGCTATTACGAATGCTGCTTGTCGTACGTAATGAACGGATTCGTCGTACAGTAAGTATAGGATGTCGCATTACCGGCAAAATTCGCGCTGCGTTCTGCGTTTTCCGTACCTATTGCTGCAAGCGAGTCGGTTGTTTACTGTTCTTGGTAAGCAAGGAGGTCGCCGATCCGTATCGCACATGGATCACATGGCCCTTAAGTCGTTATGGTGTCAAAACTGCAGCATTGCTGTCAAGAGTAGTAGCAGCAGCAGCAGTCTCACCGCGATCTCTCTTCGTCTTGCTTCCTGTGTTATCCGCTGTCATACTGATAGCTTGTGTGAGGAACGGCACATTTGGATAGGCAGCAGCTGTGGCCCCGCTGCAGGCGAGCGTGGGGTATCCTTACAGGAGTTGTCGTGCCTGGATGGCGGCGATGATGCCTAGCTAGCACCATCCTGAAAGTGGTTTACTTATGCGGATTGTATTTGTGCGAAGGAGGTGTAAGTAACGAGGACTCTTGAAATCAGTATTCTAGGGCTGCCCGGGGCAGGGGCGGGGGATGGAGGAGTGCGCGCGGTGGGCATGGCGGATGGGGGGATGGGGGTGGCGGGAGGGGGCTGCGGGTCACACAGGCTAGTAGGCAGTCCCAGGACCCCAAGCACTGCGTGAGCCAGGGAGCAAGGCGCAACAAGCGAGGGTGGCGCACGGAGTGAACCGCGGGTCGCTGCGTGATGCAAGGTGTGGAGGAGACGCGTAGGGCACGACATGCCAGCAAGTTGAAAACTGCGACGCCTTTAGTCTCTCCCGAACTAAAAGCCACCAGAAACATGTAAGTATTCGGCACGTGTGTACACCGTATGGCTAGGAAAACGCTGGTGACCCTTGACTGTCATGATGGTAAAATTGGATTCCATGTTGGATCCGTAAAGAGGCCCTTCTGAGCCTGGAGTCCTTATCAACGAAATAGTCCTACAGACAGCCCTTTGCATTTAACAACGCGAAATGGAGAACCCGTCAGTTGAGGAAAACAGCGCGCTGGTGCCGGGCTTTTCGGATGTTCTCAACAACCTCAGCATGGCTGCGCGTGAAACCTTTTGCAACATTCTCCAGAGCGAAGGGAGCATGGCAAACGCGCGCCTGGCGCTCCGCGCGCTGTGCAACGTAGTGGACACCTGCGTGCGCGGATTAACGCTAGTCGTGCGCCTTAACCATCGGCAGTTAAGGAACCAGGGCTTGATGCCCTCGCTTGAGCGCTGGCCCTGCTGCAAGGCTATCGGGCTGGACCTGGGCCGACTGGACGCGGACGTTGTCAGCCCAGAAGACATCGCAGAACTCGTAGCGCTGCAGTTTGCGGGCTCGCCGCTGGCAGCCAGGCAGCGTATCAAGCGTGTGAAGGTCAATTGGTGGACTAGGCAACGCATTGACGTCCAGTTGGCTGTTGCGCAGCTGCCGCTGTGGCTGCCCGCTCTGGAGGTAGTCGACCTCTCCGACGCGTGGCCGCTCATGTACGATCCCCCACGGCGGAAGCAGCAGCTGATGTACGACGCCCTGTCAAACCTTTGGGACCTGGAGCGGCTGGTGCTGCGCGGGGGTATGATGCTGAAGGGTGTGGGGGCCCTGGCGGCATGCAGCAGCCTGACGCGATTGGAAGTGATCGGGACGGCGGGCGCGTTCACAAATGAGCCGGACCTGCCTGACGGTTTGACAGCTCCAGTGATTGCCGAGCTCGCCAGGCTGCAGCATCTGCAGGCGCTGCGCCTTACGTGGTGCGATCTGACGACTGAGAAGGAAGACGAGGAGGAAGACGAGGAGGAAGACGAGGAGGAGGAGGCGGAGGACGAGGAGGCGGAGGACGAGGGGGGCAACTGCAGCAAGCCGCTGCGCCTGCTGCTGGGCAGCTTGCCGGCCTCCCTGCGGCACCTGCAGCTGGAGGAATGCCGCTTTCCGCCCTTTTTCCTCAACCACATTGACCAGTCCGTGGAGTTTCACCTGGACGCGGGTCACTTGCGGCTCGTGAAGCTTCAAGGCGGTGACCTCAAAACTCTGCCAAAACACTGGCTCCTGCACAGCATCCCGCGTCCCCTCCTGCAGCAGCAGCAGAAGCCACGTCTGGTCATTGACGAATTCTTCATGCAGTCGGATCCGCTGTCCGAACAGCAGCTGTCCCGTGCCCGCGCGCTGATGTGGGAGCATTTCTCCGTTACGGAGGTGGGGACCTTGTCGTTCAAAGGTGCCTCTGTGGCTGCAGTGCTGCAGGCGGTGGAGCTAGTAGGCCTGCCGCAGAAGTTGCTGTGTTATCGAAACTGCCGGTACATCACGATACGGGTGGCGACAGCGGCGCCTTCCGGCCCTGCACTGGCGGGCGGCGAGGGGCACCAGCTGGGACCGGCGGCGGCAGGGGGCTGGCAGCAGCTGCCGTCAGAAGTAGAGCTGCTGCTGAGTGCGATGGGGCATTTGGCGGAGGCGGCAGCGGCAGCAGCGGCTGGGGAGGAGGTGGGCGGGACTGCTGTCAGGGGTGGCTCGGCAGGAGTTCATGAGCTGTGTGTGAGCGGCCCGCTCCTGGCTACAATGCTGAGGCAGGGCGAGGAGGGGCAGCAGGAGGGGGAGGGGGAAGCATCGCTCCGGCGGTGGATGAGAAGGTTGGATGAGCGGGCGGTGCAGGCGACTAGAGGGAAGGGCAGCGAGCACTGCTTGAAATGGTACCGAGAGCTGCCGGCTGTGCAGGCAGTGGTGATGGGGTGCGACGGGAGGGCGGCGGCGGAGGCGGTGGAGGCCGCTGTGAAGGCGCTGGCGGATGAGGCGGGGGCTACTGGGGCAGCAGCAGCGGAGGGGCCGGGGGCGGCGGCTGCACCGCTGCAGGTGCTGCGGTTTGCGTCGCGGCAGGGAGTGGGGTCTGAAAGGTCCAACATGTATGACGCCGTGGAACAGGTGGGTGCGTGTACCGGCAAGTCAGCAGGCGCTGGGGCCTGCGGTGTGTGGGGTCGCGGGTTGAGGCAGGTCACGGCATGAGGTCCCTACGGCGCCTTTTTCCCTTCTCCCCAACGCTGGCTGCACCTCGCTTTCCCCCCCCCCCCATACACACCCACACCCACAGGCCATCCAGCATGCGTGGGATGGCGCCTGGGAGCCCAGTGGGGGCGGCATCGGGCTGAGGCGCCTGGAGTGGCTACTGGCGCTAGACAAACGGGTCCTCTTCCCGTTAGAACGTCTCCTGTGGCCTGTTGCCTGGGCTGCCTGGGCCTCTTCCACCACCACGGCTGCAGCTGCGCCGGCGACGGGCTTTGGCTTTGGCGGCACTGGCACCAGCGCCACCGCCGCACCCGCTCCGACTGGCAACCTTTTCGGCAGCGCTGCAGGCACCGGCACTTCCAGCACGCCCTCATTCTCCTTTGGCGCACCTGCCGCCGGAACTACCAGCACACAGCCCGGCGCGGCCGGTAGCAGCAGCGCCCCGGCCCTGGGAACCGCACCCAGCACGGGTACGACAACCGGTACGACAGGACTGTCTTTCGGTTTGGCGCCGGCTGCCTCGACGACGACAACCGCCTCCGCGGTTCTCACCTTTAATGCACCTGGTGCCGCTGCTGCACCTTCGTTTGGCGGCTTTGGCGCCGCTGCCAGCGCGCCGGCGACCAGTGGCACTGGTGCGGCCGCAGCCACAGCCACGCCCACCTTTGGCGCACCGGCTGCGGCTTCCTCAGCACCAGCGCTGTTTGGCTCAACGACCGCCCCGGCATTCGGCGCAACGGCAGCGGCAGCTGCGGTGCCGGCTCCCGCCGCAAGCGGCTTTACCTTTGGCGGCGCCAGCGCCGCGCCCTCGGGAGGGGCTGCGGGATCCACCGGCGGTGCAGCTCCGGCGGCGGCAGTTCCGGCCTTTGGGGGCTCTTTTGGCGGTGCAGCGGCGGCGGCTGGTGGCGCAGGCGCCCCTAGTCCCTTTGGCGGTGCGAGCAGCACTGCAGCTTCTGCGCCGTCATTCGGCGGCTTTGGCGCGAGTACGGCACCTGCAGCGGCGCCCGCATTCGGTGGTGCTGCAGCCGCGGCGCCGGCGGCGACAGGGACAGCGGCGCCTGTGTTTGGGGGCACCACGGGAGCTCCGAGCTTTGGGACGACATCGTCTTCTGGAGGTGGGTTGGTGTGTACGGTAGCAGAGAGAGATTAGGCGAGCGTTGAGAGGTGCGTAGTGTTGTCGATGCCACTTAGGGCAGGGTGTCATGTTTCTTCCTTTCATTCAGACCCCCAACCCTTTATCCTTCTCCGCAGGAGCCGCGCCCAGTTTCGGGGCTCCTGCCAGCGGCCCCTCCTTTGGAGCCACCACCACCGCGCCCTCGTTCGGCGCTCAAACCGCCGCAACCACCACCGCTCCTGCCGCCGGTGGGTTTGGTTTCGGAGCCTCCAGTAGCGGCGGAGCAGCACCGCCCAGCTTTGGAGCCGCAGCGGCTGCTAGCGCACCCGCGGCTTCCACCTTTGGGGCGGCGGCAGCGGCGCCGGCCTTTGGCAGCAGCGGTGGGGCGCCGCCGCCGGCGTTTGGGGCCTCGCCGGCCCCCAGCTTTGGTGCCAATCCTGCGCCCTCCTTTGGTGGTGTGAGTTCGGCGCCTGCCTTTGGCGCTGCTGCCTCCGCTCCGGCCTTTGGCGCGAGCTCGGCACCGTCTTTCGGCTTCAGTGCAGGTAAGGACAGGGTCTACCTACGTCATCCTGTTTGTGCTGCCATACATGCCTGCCACGCTTTCGCCCCAGTGCCAAGTTCCCGGCAGTCGGTTACTTGCGGTTAATTCCCGTGTCTTACTTGTCCTTTTGGACCGCGCGGGGGCTGCCCAAAACGTCTCGTCGTTGACCTGTCCTTGCCTTGTTGTCCCAACACCGTCCTGCAGCCCCTGCCACATCGGGCTTTAGTGCCGCCGCGGCTCCCGCGGCATCCGGCTTCGGAGCCGCCGCCGCGCCGGCATTCGGTTCCAGCTCAGCGCCGGCATTCGGATCGACGACTGCGGCGCCGACGTTTGGCGGCAGCACCGGCGGAGCCGCTCCCTCCGGGTTCGGAGCCGCACCTGGTGCTGCTGCTGCTTCCGGTTTCGGCGCCGCCAGTGCACCTGCGTTCGGGGTGTCGGCGGCGCCGGCCTTTGGAGCCGCGCCGGCTCCCGCGTTTGGAAGCTCTGCAACGCCTGCATTCGGTGAGAGTAACACCGGCTAAGGGCGGGATTTGCCTGAGCCATGCCGCCCTTGTTGCCGCGCATCTCTCTGCCCATATCACCGGTACTCCTGTCATGCACGCTGACCTGGCGTCCTGTATGTCCCCTATGCCACCCCTCAGGTGCCGCTCAGCCCAGTGCCACGCCGGCCTTTGGTGCCGCTCCTGCACCCGCCTTTGGCGCGCCCTCGCAGCCCGCCGCGCCGGCCTTTGGTGCCGCCGCGCCTGCCCCGAGCTTTGGCGGCGGCGGCGGCAGCTTTGGTGGTGCGGCCCCGGCCTTTGGTGCAGCCGCCCCTGCGGCTGCGGCTCCGACGTTCGGGGCCCCCGCCGGTGCCCCCGCGTTCGGTGCCGCACCTGCCGCGGCCCCCGCAGGCGGCGACGGCT